AAATAATTTAATTAATAAAAACTATCTTAATATAAATAAAATTAATATAGTATATTATATACTAGAACTATAGATAATATATTAAATCTAAATAAGTATAGATTAGAGAATAGTTATTATTAAAATATAACTCTTTAGCTAATTAATCTCTATTCTTAATAAGTATCTTTATTCCCTATAGCTAGTTATTATTATAGTATAGAGATAAACTAAATAGGTATAATTACTTAATTTACTATACTATTAGGAGCTATATAGTTATAAGAAGCTCTCTAATTAATTAGAGACTTAAGTATTTAAGAAAATTATTATATAGCTCTTTTAGTTACTATCTAATAAGATCTATTATCTTTTAAAGGGTCTAATTAATTATATAAACTAGGCTCTATATAGAAGGGATATTAATATTAATTATATTTATTTTATTAGTTATTAATAATAAGATTAAGTAATTAATAATAAGTATTTACTAGATATATTTACTTAATTAATAAAAGATAATTATAATTAAGAAAAAATATAATTATTTAATTAATAAGTACTTATAAAAAGATAATTATAATTAAGAAGAAATATATAGTATTATTTAATTAATAAGCTTAGAAAAGTAATTATTCTATTAATAAATAATAAGTTTCCTCCTATAGGGATTATAATTAGGTTTTATATCTAGCTATATAAATAACTTCTATTATTAAAGTTTTTAAGATATTAATATCTATATTTAGACTATAAATATAATTTTTAATTTAAACTCTATATAGAAGAAGATTTAGATATAAATTAATACTTATATATAAAAAAACCCTATATATTTAACTAATTATATATTATACCTAATCTTAGAATAATCTTATTTATAGCTAAAAAAAAACTAAAAAAAAAAATAATTAATAAGTATTCTTTCTTAGAGCTTATAATTAAATTATAACCTAGTAAAACCTTATTAGAGTTTTTAATAAAGCTATTATTTTACTATAGCTTATATAAGAAATAAAGTATAAGGAATAGAGTTAAGATTAGATATAGATTATAAATAAGTAAAAAATAAGTTAAATAGATCTTATTATATATAGCCTGATCTTAGAATATCTTCCTTATATATAGTAATAACTATAAAAGAAAATATAGATTATTATTAATTATCTTTATTATATATATAAGAACCTATTTTCCTAATATTTACCCTTATTCTATCTCTTACCCTCAGCCTATATTGTACAGCTTTATATACAAGCTTATATATCTCGTAGCTACGACCGCTTTCCTCTTTCTCACGAAAACTGAGAAAAGAAAGCTCATGGAGTCATATAATCGCTTGCTGCACCTTAAGGTCTATAACCTGCCTATCCGATTTCTCATTGCTCATACCACCTCGACGAGCTGCAGCTACTATCAACTCCACATATGCTATCACGTGTAAGCTCCGGCATAACATTATACTCTCTGCTCTGATCTGCTCTATCGAGATTCACCATATCTCGAGCATACTATTCAGTTCCTTTAGCCGTCGATATTAGTCTAAATCGATTCTTTTCAGCACATCCCACCGAGTTTACCCTTGTGCCAAAAGAGATTGGTATTCCCCAACGGTCTTCTTCATGCGCCCCATGTACGCACCAGCTTGCGAGATAGCTAGCGGTAGGTGTTGTAGGCCCATAGGAGAAGAGGAAGCCGAGCGCACGCTGCCGTGGTTCTTGCGCTTGCTGTCACGAGAAATGTCCAGACCAAAAGTGTGGCTCAAGAAGGAAGCGGGGGATCGGTTTGAGGAATAGGCGGCCCGTCGTCCAGACAAGGTGCAAGTCCGTCCGCTCTGTGACGAAGATTTCTCGGCGGGGCAACAGCTGGTGGTGCAGTGGCCGCGGCGGAATGGCCGACCGGCAACCCGTAGCCAGCCGTGGACACTGGTCAGGCTATTCCTACCTTCGCTGGTCTAGCTTCGGCTCTTCTAGTAAGTACTAGCAGCGAGACTAAGAAGGACCTTATTAAACTAAAGTTATTCTTAGATACTAATCTTATAGTATATACTTAATAGGTATTAGAAATCCACTTATACAGCCTCTCTTATTAAGATAATAAGACTGCTAGAGTTTAGAAGTAATTCAGCTTCCTAGAATATTAAGAACATACTGGTTTATTTAATAAAGAGATCCCCGAACCTAAGATAAGCCCAGAGGTAAGATAGCAAACTGAACTGAGAAATAAAAAAGTCCGGATAATACTCATATTAGATTCAGATTATAGAGGTTAAGCTTAAGCTTATTATCTTAACTCTGATACCTATCTCCTAAGGAAATGCACTATATGCTCTGTCTATAATTTCTAATACCAACCCTTAATCCTCAAGCTCGGCTAACTATTAAGACTCTATAGAACATTAGAGTTTAACTTTAAGTATCTAAACTTTCATGTGAGGTGTAGAGCTTGAGATATCTGAGAAAAACCTCATAATACGTCTTCCATGACGAATTAAATTCCGACCAAATATTCACGCGGTACTGTCTAGGGCCACTGATACTCTAAACTCGGGATTCTGTGATGATATCGTTTACGCAGCCTCGCCAGCAACAAAGGCAACCTGTACAAATGCCGGTGTGGATGGGGGTTAGACGGTATCCTTGAACTCGGCGTACAATTTAGGCAGGAATGTTGCTAGGTCTGTGGTGCGTCAGGTTTTGCTAGAATCACTTCGAACGAGCTTAGAGACTTACGAGACATCTCAAGCGCGCAATGAACGCCCAGTTGGTGGCCTTGATCCTCGGTGAATTGCTCCAGGAAGAATCGGGATCGCAACTCGCGACTCCCGTCATCCTTGCGACGAATTTGATGCATCAGATAGGAGTTGCCAGTGACATTGGTAACGTGTTCTGGATATATTAGGCAATGCACAAAATCTGACAGGAAAAGAAACTCACCGTTTGTAATGTGCCCGACAACCATGGCCTCAATGCCTTGAGATGCGAAAGCACTTGTGTTAAATCCGATGGATTCAGGTTCGACGAAATTAACAGTCAGTTTGGAGGCAAAGTTGCCAATGAACTCGTTAATGAAAGAATGGGATCCAATATAGCGTTGCGGCAGAGTCTTATTCCCCCAGTCGGCGACATTAGGGTACCGCCAGGCATATTGATGAGCGACTGGGTGCCACAATTTATATCTTTCAGTGTATCAGACTATAGTCAAACTGGGAGATAAGGAAAAGGACATACCTCTGAGGGTCGGCTAAGTGCCACCCAAACCACCAATCGTACATCTCGCCAGTAACTAGAGTACGGTCAGCGCTACGCCAGCTCATGGTCGACTTCTCAACATGCCATTGCCCATATTCGTGTGAATTGCTAGCATTAGGGTTCCACTATCAGTTACTGCCCAGCCATTCTCCAGCTGCAGATACCCAGATCGAGTAAGATAGCCAGCGGCTTCTTGTGGAGTATAGGCTGTAGAAAGAGTCAGTAGATACAAACGTATGATCTGCCAGATAACTCACCCAATCTACTCGCATAGGGGCTTTCAGTCATCCCCTTTTGCACTTCGTCCGTGATCGGCTTCATGAGGGGGTTCCAGTACTTAGAGAACGGTCGCGTCCAGTCATCGCCTTTGTACCCCAGATAGTAGAGCGATGCATTTGCCTGGTAGGGTACTGCGTTGACTGATGTCGAGTTTTCTGACAAGGTGTTGAGTGGAATCGGCGAATAATGTTCTCCGCTAGGGGGGCCAGATGCCACCTGGGCTAGGACAGAGGGCGTGAGGATGAGAACTGAGGTAAGCTGAAGCTTCATCTTGCAAATGGTAGAGGTTTCTTACAGGAAGAGCAAAGCGAATGATGAATTGGTGCGATAATGGGACAGCAAGGCAGAAGAAGCAGGTCTATATAGCGGGATCAACTGACATGAACGCCCTCGTATACCGGCAGGGTTAAACAATAGACCGAGACAGCACAATGTTCAATTCGATCCGTGGAGCTATCACCATGAAGCCCGGAACAAGTCCATGACCGTGGCCGATGACTCAGCGGCGAAAGGAAACCGGCACAAGGTTGCGTTAGATACACGCAAATACGATGGTATTAAACAAATGTGGTCATGACGTTGTCGATTGATGTCTTTTGGATACAAGAATGACATTGTGACAGGCTGTGACCCCACTTGAACATTTTCATGTTGCATCGCCTCGTCTAGTTGTACCTGAACTTGAACAAATTAGTTAGCCGGGGATTGGAGCGGATCGTGTATGTCGTCTATTGCATGCACAGCCGCCTAAATTGACGGCCAATTAGCGTTCGATAGCACCGCAGTGGAGAAGCACCCCCATAACCAGGGGTAATGATACGTACATCGTCACAGTATGTCTCTCTAGAATCCGAGCCGCTTAGTGTTCATAATCTAGATCCCGAGCCGCTTAGTCAGCTCTAGATGAGCAATGCAGCATGAGCTATAAGTTAACTACCTGTGGAGGACGCTGTTGTCGGAGGCTCATATCAATCATCGCCACTATCTTGGAGTGCTATTGACCAGTTCTCTTATACATACTTTGTTTTATATCCCTTTCTCTCCTCTGTTCACCTAGTATTAATGATGGCTGCTTTCGTTAAGCAGATCCCTCGGAGCATCTTGGTCTTTGGAGCTTCCGGCCATATCGGACGCCCTCTGGCCGAGTTTCTCGCCAAGAATGCACCTTCAATCAGTTTATCTCTGGCAACTAGCAGCCCCGAGAAACGAGATACCCTCCAGAGCTTATTTCCCAAGGCTCACATCGTCCAGGCCAATTACACGGATGTTGCCTCCTTAACGAAAGCTCTCCAAGGCATTGAGGGGGTGTTTGTCGTTACTCCGAGCGGAACTGATGAGAGAACGGCCATGACCAACCTGGTGACTGCTTTGAGTGGAAGCAAAGACATTATACACATTGTTCGCTTGGTTGGTGTCTTTCCGGAGTTTGCTCCGCAACGCGTTCCCAAGGCTCTGATACCTGGAGGTCTGCCCTACGAGCATCCAATCGCCAAGAGCATCTTGGACAACAGCGGCCTCCCAGTGACGTATCTGAATTGCGGCGCCAGTTTCATCGACAATCTATGGCTACAGATAGGCCCGGTTCTAGAAAGGCAGACATTCGTCTGGCCAGAGCACCGAGTGCCGTTTATGGATCCCCGCGATATAGGTGAAATTGCTGCGAGACTTTTGCTGTCAGACAATTCCAAGCATATTGGCGCATTTCATACGATGAATAATGGCCAAGATTGGCTTACCTTCAAAGAGGTATCTGTCATCTTGAGCGAAGTGCTGGACCAGCCAGTGGGATATGATGGGAGTTACGAAGGTTTCGTCGAGACATTTGGCCCAAGAATAGGACCGGTGGTAGATACGTTGTGGGCTTTCTTCAAGTTTGAGGAAACAAACGAGGAGAACTGGGCCCTTAACGGCTTTTCTGAGAGGATTCTCGGTCGAAAGCCCCGCACTGTCCGAGAATGGATCATAGAACATAAGGACAAGCTTCTTGAAGCACCTAAGAAGCTCCAATGGTCAGGGAAAACGGTTTGAGATATATCAAGAGACCAGTTCAATGTGCTCACCGGGCCATGGCTCCGCCGCTCATACCATGCATAGAACACAGGCACGCTCTAGTGTTGTTTGCACCAATGGCACATTTTTGACTGACTCTCAGTTTCGCCCGCACGTTGAATGATTTCTTCTCAACGGCTGGCCAGGATGAGCCTCATCTCAGCCATGCTTAGCTAGATGCTGGCTCACGCATAAAGAAGTAGAACTAGAAGCTATAGAGCAGATTATATACTAATATACACTTACTGCTTATAAGCTTACAGATTTACTTGATAATCCAACTAAACATTCAGGGACATAGAAACAATATCCTTACAACGGCCCAGGAACTCCAAAGTCTCTTCCTTGCTGTGCCAGGCATCATTATACGCGGCACTCAAACACAACCTACCCCGGAAGGTTCCAAGAAACGCACCATAGCCGTTGCCAAGCTCCTCGCCGGTTACCCAGGGATCATACACTTCGATATTTCCTTGTGTACTTTGAATGACAGTATCTATCTTACCCATGCTGGATATTGAGGCGGTGGGAGTAGTCTTAGGCGGAGGGACAGGCGGGATCGATCCATCCGAAGGCAACGATGGGGTGCTAGCCGCCCAGTACGATGGCGCAAAGGCATAGTGTTCGGCGTCGTCGCGCACGTTGTGATAAAAGTCGCGTATTTTTCGTATTATACCCGCGAATTCCAGCGCCACATCAGACGGCTCGCGAGTGCTTGACTTTTCGGCGACGGAGAGATCCAGGTCGATTACCAGAGCTTGGCCGGAAACCGAGTGGTAGACCGTGACCGGGTGGGCTGTTGAATTGTATGGCTCGACGCAGCTCGTGCGTTCGTTTCGGAGAATGTAGTTCACGTATTGCCCAACAGGCGAGTTGGTGACCGGCGGCTTCTGGAAATCGCGGACGGCCATTGCAATGGCGGCGTGGAATGCGTGGGTAACAGTTGCCCCGATAGCTTTGCAAGATGCTACAAGAGCTGCAGTCTGCTCCTCGGATAGCCAAAGGCTGACCCGTTGGTGACGCCCAGGACGCGTCTCCCCGATTTTATACGGGATGGTGAGAACGGGGACAGAGTCACTGCCCTTCGACGCCGCTGCTTTCTGTTCGTTGATCTCCTGGATTCTCTTCTCTTGAGAGGGAGTCAACTCCACAGGCACGTTGGCAGCCACGCGATAAGGGGGACTGAGGTTCTTAATCTCTGAGCCCAACTCGGGGATCGGTTCGGCCACGTGGCCCTTCTCGTATGCGTTCGCGACGTGACGTATAAGGTTGTTGAGCATCTGAAGCGTTCCAATACCGTCCAAGATCTCGTGGGGAGACCGGAGCACCAAATCCCGCCTCAGCTCAGAAGTGGTAGGTCTCAGAACAAACAACTTGGGCACCAGAGGAGCAGGAGGGTCAGAGTTTGCCCACTCCTCGCCGGTTAAGTTCCCCGAGACCGATACAAGAGTTTCTCGGATACAGGCATCCAGATCCGCGGAGTTTGAAGGAGACTGATAGACCTTCGTGGAGGAGGTCGCGCTACTGTCCAAGAATACTTGGGATGCTATCGTGGGATGGTCGAACCGGAGAGCGAGCCAAGCGTTCTTTATGGCGGCGTCGAGCCGTCGTTCAGCCTCGTTGTTAGGAAGATCGGGGATGGAGTTGGCTTTGAGGATGACATGTCCTGTCATGGCGAAAAACATACGTCCACTGCCTTCGTAAAGCTTGGCGAGGGAGAAGTAGAAGTGCTCGATCTCGTCCGTCGCGCGTTCCCAGCGCCCGGGCTGGGTTTCTTTCCAGTTGAATTTGTCGTAGGACATTTCGAGATAGGCGCGGTGAATCGATTCACCTAAATTGTTAATGAAATCGTGAGTATCTAGCAAGGAATGGGAATGTTGGAGTATCAGTCGGTAGGCCTAAGTAGACGGAAGGTGGTTAATATAACATCAATTAAAGAACATCTTCTAAAACCTCTAAGAGAATCAGACTGACGGGATTTCGGTCCGTAGCTTCCGAACGGAGGGTGTATCCAGTGTTGAATGGGCGAGCAATGCCTTCAGATTCAGGTTGGGTGGTGAGACCCCAACTTGTCCGGCGGTAATTCTATGGTAGAAGGTCGGCCCGTGACACACGACTTTGCTCCTCCAGAGTCGCTTATCATCTTTATTGGATGGGCCTATGGGGTCAGACGAATTAACAAGGCCACATGACCTAAACACCCCTGATTCACATACAAAGGCCACAAAGCTGTGGAGCTGCTACGGAAGTCACACAACTTATTAGCGAGATCAAGAGCAACCTCGAGCCAAACAACCGAGAAATCTTAAGTCATAGAACTAGTTCTTTTGGTAGATGCTTCAACTTTTAGGACGCTACGTAAGAGTCAATATCTAAATATCTATATTCCCTCAGAGAGGCTCGAGGGTTGATCTATTCTAACGGGTCGACCTTCTTGATAACCTTTGCGGGGACCCCAACAGCTACTGAGTAATCAGGGATGTCCTTGGAAACTACAGCACCAGCTCCAATGGTACATCCCTTCCCAATTGTGACTCCAGGGAGAACTGTCACATTGGCACCCAGCCAGCAGTCGTCTCCGATCACAATAGGTTCGGCATACTCGATGTTGTCGCGGCGCGACTGCAGACCCGTCTCGTGAGTCGCAGTGATGAGGCTCACGCCCGTGGCAAACATGACCCGGTCCCCGATAGTAACATGCGCGCAGTCAAGGATCACGCAGCTAGTTGCTCAGTCAGGGGCGGCCCGTATAGAATACATTGAGAAAAGACCTACTTGAAGTTGGCGTAGAAGCCCTTACCGACGGTAATATTGCAGCCATAATCAACCTGCAGGCTGGGTTCAAGGTATGTGCCCTCGCCGACCTTGCCAAATAGTTGATTGATCAAGCCCTCCTTAACAGCACTGGCCTCTGCGTCTGAGTCGTTGTCGCCGGGCACATAGGTGTTGAACTTTTGGGCGAGGCGGCGAGCGCGGCTCCTCGCAGCGACGAGCTCTGGGGCCATGCAGCTGTAAAGCATGCCTGACACCATTTTTTCATAATCATCGCACCAGGGCACGTTGGTCAGCGTCCTGGCGAGGGCAATAGCCGCATCGCTTTTCTCCGTCTTGACCGGTGGCACCATTTCGCTTCCACTAAGTTGGTTTCGTATGGCCGAGGGCAGCTTTTTTTTTTTTGCCAGGGAAGAAAGAATGACCAAAGTAGGATATACAACAGCGTTGCGTATCTAAGCCGGAAACTGGACGAATTTTCTGTCGTTGATGCTTCATGCCCCCCGCCGGGTAAATCCCGTCAAGGAAGAGAGGGGTTTGTCTTGGCAGCCACTTCCCAGAGATGGAAATAAATTCTAAAGACACACCTGCATGAGATCCACCTGTTAGGCTAAAGTTCGGTACGCTAACTACCCGATCTAGAAGTAACAGGCTCAGGGGCTGCCATCTAATGAGTACAGGATGCCAACCTAACACTGGCCCAGCAGCGGAGAAACGGAGAAATGCGGTGAGATCGGAAGGTCGGGAGGGTCATATGATCAAGGCCTGGACAAGTTGCTTGCCATAGTATGATGGAAAAATGTCATTATGGTGAATCTCGGGTTGTGGAGACTCTGCTGCGGTGGACAAAGTGCTCCATTTTTCCAAGACCTGGTCGACTCCATCTAATTGTGGGGACTTTTTGAAAAAAGGCAACTCAGGACGACGTTTGTGGGTCAAAGTCTGATGCTCGTACATTGGTATGAATAGATGCCATAATAAGTGAGGGGACAGTAACTGTCAAAGCAACAGTCTAGAACCAGAATAGTCAGTTTTATTACTAATCGTATTTCTATGACCATTAGTTCATGGCCGTGATGTTTGTCCGTCGTAACCGAGCTTGCAGGGTGTTACTTCACGCCACAGAAGAACGTGACCGTAGCTGTAGGGTAGCTACGTAGTTGGGAGTATTGCTATGACGTAATATCTCAAAGTAGCTGCTCAGTATTCCATTTTAAATTAATTTGGAAACCCAGGACGACAACTAAGTACGGCGTGTAGGGGTTTTATTACAATAAAGCACTCTCCGAGCCTTTTTGTTGTGTTTTATTCTCCGGTCACACCATTTTGCTTGCGAGATAGAGTTATAATCCCGGCGTGAATGCAGGATATGAAGGGATTAAGAAGGTGATGCTTGCATTTTTTTTCAAGCAAAAGAGTCCTAGAAAGATATTTAGAGTGAGATGTGGGCAGCAGCGTGTATATTCGACGCTTTGTTAGTTTGCTGTGGCTTTTGCCCCTTGGCGAAACCACCCAATCCATCCCTGCCTGTAAAATATCCCCTCTTACCTACTTCTTCTTCTATCTCCCATCGTGTCTTCACTTTTTGGTGCGACATGTGACGACGGGGGCCGGCTATCTAGTCTTTCTGACTCGAACTTGGCGAAAAATTATGGGCTCAGTAGTCTTCCACTGGCTTCTCACTCGTCCTCGACTTCCATTTTTGATCCTTGGTTTCAAAAGGTTTTAGCCATTTCTCATCCTCGATCGGTTATGGAAAAGGTTTTCGCAAAGTCTATCGTTAAGCGCTTCCGCCCCAGTGGAATGGAAACGGCCCGCTTAACCAATTCCGGCACAGAAGCCAATATGCTGGCCATTGCTGCCGCCTTACATTTCACCAAGAGGCGAAAAGTTCTCGTCTTTAGCGGTGGTTATCACGGAGGGACACTGATCTTCTCTATGGATTTGATGAAGAATCGGTGTAATGTAAACCTGCCTCACGACTTCGTTTTCGCACCTTTCAATAATATTGAAGAGACAAAGGCTATCGTTCAAGCTTTGCCTGCTGAAAGCCTTGCTGCCATCCTTGTTGAGCCGGTTCAAGGCTCTGGCGGTTGTCGTCCGGCCACAAGGGAGTTTATCCAATACTTGCGGCGATCTGCAGATGACCAAAGATGCCTGCTGATCATAGATGAGGTCATGACATCGAGGCTTTGTCCGAATGGTTGCAGCGCCGCCATGGGAATCAAAGCTGATCTCATGTCACTGGACAAGTTTGCTGGCGATAGCATGGCTTTTGGGGCATTTGGAGGAAGACGGGACATCATGGAGGTGTTTGATCCAGAGAAATCAGGTCTCCAACATCCTGGAACTTACATCAATAACGCGATAACTATGTCTGCGGGTATTGCTGGCCCGGAGGAGAAGAATGCCGCGCAGGTGGAGAGACTGAATGCTCTCGGGATCGAATTTAAGACAAGGATCCAGGAAATTCTCATTACACATGGCATATATGCGCCGCATCCTGCAGGCGCTTCACGTTCCATCGCCGAGACCGACAGCTTCAAGTATCAGACTATGATCTGCCCTGATAGCCCATCATGCCCTGCCCACGAGCGCCTCCCTATCATCTTTGTCACCGGTTATGGTGGCATGGTCACTGTTCGCTTTAGTGGATTCCATGCTAAGGAATTGCAGACTCTTTATTATTTCCATATGCTTGAGCATAAGGTATATCTCGCACCTCGACATTATACTGCATTGTACTCGGAGCTCCACGATGCTGATGTTGACAAGTATGTTACTGCTTTTGAAGGGTTTATAATCACATATCAATCTTTCCTAGAACAGATATTACGTGTGCATTCAGGTTCGTGGGCCAAATAAGATTGGATAGGATTGGCGTGACTAGCTTGAGGTGTTTTCAAGATGACACATAAGAAGACGTGTGCGTGGATACTTGTTTTTGTACTCTCATCAGAAGAAATATGGCGAGGATGACCATGTCAGTGGACTGCACCAGTTGGAATAATCGTATTGTGCTTGTAACAGCTATCAACTGTGTGACTAGAAACAGTCTAACGACGGAAAATACAACCACCGGAATGGATTCATACATTTACTGGTGCTGGTCTGGATGGGGCTAGTTTTTATATATTGTTGATGAAAGGAATTCCGGCTGGACTTGACTGCTCATATATTGGGAACAGCCGGAACTTTCCACTGCCAAATTACATTCCCGGTTGAACAGGCGACGATACATCGTACCTAAGGTGAGCGAGGAAGCTAATGCCACCAATTCGAGACCGTTGTAGCTGGTCCCCGCTCTAGCATAAGCGGACCATGGCATCGGCTAATCTCGTTCGCCCCGCTGGTTCTGCTCATCTATTGGGCCTTGTTCCGTACACATCACTCTCTGGCGTGACGCGTGACGAGCCATCCTTGAAGGTCTGTGCCAGCTGTGAGCTTCGAACCTGAGCTTCTCAAATGCCGAAACGGGTGAAGCGCACGTTCACCGCTTGCTGGACATGTCGAAAACGGCACGTCCGCTGTGACGGGAAGATGCCGGCTTGCGGCCCTTGCGCTGGGCAGAGCCTCGACTGTGAAGGGTATGGGATCCAACTGTCGTGGGTTGATACTGAAACTGGCCGATATACCGCTCGTTTACGACGAATCCTAGGCCCGGAGCTAACCTGGCTTAATCATCACACCTACTCAGCAGGGCAATTGGAGCATCTGCTCGAAGAAGGCCTGGAGGATTGCCACTGTGGACTCCACATGTCTCCAAGTAACCCGTTCCGATCGATGCTTATCGAGCCGAATGGTTTTAGCTGCGGCTTACGACTAGTAAGGCCAAGCATTAATCCCTTAGCCGGCCGTCATACACAAGAGCAGTTTTTGTTCTTCCACTATGTGTCCCACGTGGCGTTCCTCATGACACCCATCGACGATGGTAGAAACCCCTGGAAGTCAGTTTATCCAGGAATGGCATTGAGCAGTCAATCGGCTGCTTGTAAAAGTCTATACTACGGTCTCCTTTCTCAGGCAGCTTTCAATCTCGCAAACCTACGACGCGAAGATTGTGATTCCTTTGCTCGACACCGACATGAGGGACTCAAGCATTATGGCAAATCACTAAACATGCTCCGAGAAAGTCTTGATACGCCCGATTCCGAGTTCGTTTGCCAGGTTGCTACTTTTTTGACAATCCTGATGATTGAGGTACGCAACGCCTGATACACTGGTTCAATCGATGGCGATTCTAATCAAAGTCGTAGGGGGCGTATTCTACAGAGGTATACAGCTGGCGTTCTCATTTCAAAGGAGCAGCTGCGCTAGTGAGCAAAATGCTGCATGGTCGAGATTGGACCCAATCGTCAGATGCATGGGTAATATCCCAAAGCCTTGCCCTATCTCTGGAGATTGCGCAGACCGGCCATGTCGATTCAGAACGACACGCTGGCCCTACTGGGATGCTTTTGGATGCTCTTTCCACGAGGAGCGACTTCGGCTACACCATTGGGAGCCCTCGAGCTGCGCTTAAAGCAATTTCAACACTACAGAGAGCTGACAGGGTGAAAGATGATGATGGACTAGCATTGGATAACCTAGAGGTTGAGATATCTGATGCATTGCGGATCTTGGACTCAATGCAGGATGAGGACGCGGAACATCAATCAAACTTTCACAAAGAGCATTCACAGAGGAATGAGCGGATGGACTACCTCGCCAAACTTCATTCACGGATGTTTCTCAACGCAGTGTTCATATACTTAAAGCGACTCAAACCCGGTGTCACGCCTTCACAGGTCAGTATATACACTTCATCCGTGCTGAAAGACATGTCAACATTTCTTGACATGGATGGCGGGAGCATATCGATATGGCCGGTATTCGTCGCAGCAGTGGAAGCATGCGCGCCAAGTGACCGGGATTTGGTCCGGAGGTGGTTTGAATTTTCTTCCCGCCTGGGGATCGAGAACAGGGTCCAAGCCCGTCAGATAATCGAAATGGTTTGGGAAACACGGGACTCAGTTGCTGATGAGACGGGATGCCCAGTAGAAGAAACTATTGTAGATTGGACTACGGTGCAGCAAGCCTTGGGGATTGACATCTTGCTACTTTAGTATCATTTAATCGTCGTCAAATGCCCTTTTCCGTTGGCGAAACACATGATGAAAAAGGGACTTGTACACTTAAGCGATGGGTGGGTTGACCAGATTCCTGTGACTATTTAGTATTGACACCAGCAACGGCCACCCCGCCATCATTAATGGTAGGAGTAGTGTATGTCATTGCATTGATTTTGGCTCAAGGTGGAGAAATGGAGCAATACGGTGAGGCTAGAATACCTAGGTCAGATGTTGGCGCACATGACTAAGGTTAGGATGTGCAACTGGCCACGACATGGGTTTATTGACTACTCTGGTAGGCCTAATTTTGCTTATTGTAGTACACATAGAGTAAACTGGTGCGGTCAAACCGGACTACTTATTCCTGGTGAGTAGCGGCGAGGTTTTGCTTCTTCGTCTGCGGCACCAGGAGCCAGCTTAGAGACGTAGCCACCCAAAGTGCAATCAACATGGGCTGTAGGACTGCCACACCAGCCGAAGATGCCACGCCTCCTGTGATCATTGGGAACAATGAACCCCCAACCTGTGCCATTACGAATACGAAAGCCAGTGCCGTCGGCTTTACCTCTGGTTCGAAGAGTTTCGCCGCAAGAGAAACACCCTAAACATGCAAGTGTAAATAACTGGACTCTGTCGAAGCAGTGATTGTACCGAAACATACCGTGGCGAATAATGGGCCCGCAAAGAACCCAACAATGCTCACCGCGATGGACGCAGCGATAATGTTTGGCACACTGTATGTGTTAGGTAAACGTCCCTTCCAGTGTACACAGGGGCCAGGGAGTACTTACAGCCAGAAAACCAGCTGGAAGCCGATGCACAAGATACCAAACGCGAAGACCATATAGCGAGGCCCAAAGCGGTGGATGGGCTCTGCTAAAAGTAAACGCCCCAAGAGGGTGCCGCCATTATAACCTGCGGCCACGAAGCCCATCTGCGAAATGTCCCCCTTGCGCACGTCGATAAGGTATTCCACTAGCCACCCGCTTGCGGTGAGCGAAGAGCCTAGATAAAAGAAGAAGAAGATACTGAGATACCACAGAGATGGGCTGCGGAAAGTGAGTGTCATCAGTTTGGAGGCATCCTTGTGGCGCGATTCTGAGGATATCTCCCCCCTGTGCCTGAATTTGACGGTATCACGGAAGGCAAGGGCAATAAAGGCCGTATTTGCGACACACAGTCCCAAGGGCACAGCGTAAAAGTAGTACCAAACAGAAGGCGTTGCTGCAGCCGCGACCGCCGTGCCCACAAATGGTCCGACGAGGCAGCCGGCGGAGTACGACGCGTGGATAAGGGCAAGCCAGCGGTGGGAGCTCCGAGCATCTGCAACAAAGGAGTTTGCATGGGTGTCATTCAAGGCTTGGCCAAGACTGACAAAGGTGAAGCTGAGGACGAAAAGAGGGAATGGTGGGTTCCAGATCCTCAGTGCATGCGCCGAGGAGCATCATAGAGCCCAGATGAAAGAACTGGGTCAGGTGGGTGTTGATTATGGCGGAGATGAACCACCCCGCAAAGTTGGTGGCATATCTTGCTATGCGGTTAGCTTGAATCTTGATTCGAGACAGATCTGGGACTTGACATACAAAGCAGATGTTTGGGCTGTGTTTATGTTGTACTGGCGAATGACATAGGGAATGAGCGCACCGACGCTGCCATCATTGACACCGGCGACAAAGAACGAGAAGCTGGCGGTGAGAAACTTGAGAATGGTATGGTTGGGTAGTTGTTCTGGAGAGGCCGGAGGTCCGTCTCCCTCAACTTGAGCGATTTCTGGTGCATTTGTATTCTCTGGAATTGACCGCAGCTCGTGGCCTTGTTGGCCCTTGGAGTTGGTCATCATGATACAAATGTCTTATGGACTGTGGTGTTGCAAAACTCTAGAGATCGCTGATTATTAGGAGATCATGATAGCTTCCCAATCTTTCATTTTCAGATTGACGAGTATATATAGGCTGTATCTGGAAGGGATAGCCAGGGTGAACCCGGAAATACCTTGGGTTATTTAGAGAACAAGAGGCCGGCGTTTTTCCTGGGCCGTGTTAATATGAGCACTCAGAAGCCCGATAACATGGAGCATGGCATCATGGGCTTTCTAGGCGAACCGCGGAGAATCGGAGGGCCTCCGCTTTTGGCCAGGCGAGTTTAGGAAGTAAGCTACAGAGTGCCAAGGGGCTATTTGGGGCGTGGATTGTCGTGCTTCACTCCCCTAATTCCCCTAATTCTTGTCGTTCTTTTACAGCCGGCTGGTCGCTCCGACTTGCCGGTACTACCCCACAAGGAAACTCCGCCTCTCCGCATCGTTCATCAGTCCCGAAGTTATCCCGGCCTGCTTCAACCCTTGTTGAGGTGAGACTTGGGATCATTCCCACCTTAAAAGTGTACTACACTGGACGACTTGAACTAACCACCTGGAAATTGATACCACAGCGAAAAAAAACCACCAAAAAAACCACTCCTTTTGACAGGATGGCGCAGTCATCGTCGTCCCAACTTCGGCAGCCTCTTCTCGGATCGCGGGATGAGCAATCCCCTGATGACGATGGATCTCATCACGTTGCGAAAGACTCTTCTCTGACGACAACGCTCCTCATGTCTGGGGCTGCCATGTACTCGTTTGCGTTGCTAGGCCTGTTCGTATCAACTACTGGAGTAATGCTTCCGCGCATGGAAGCATTCTACCACCTCAATGACGTGCAAGTTTCTCTCTGCTTTCTAGCTGGGCCAGTTGGATATGTGATTTCTGCACAGCTCAACCATTCTATCCACTTACGCTTCGGGAGAAGGGGAATTGCCGTTGTTGGGCCCATCTTTCAGATCCTCTCAGCTGCTCTTACGGCTATGCATCCTCCATTCCTCATAGTGCTCGCCTCTGCTGCCTTGGGTGCATTCGGAGCTGGTCTCCTAGATGGATCGTGGTGCGCCTGGGCCGGACGGATGGACAATGCAAACCTGATATCAGGTCTGCTACATGGATCATTCTCTCTTGGGGCTGGCTGCGGCCCTGTCCTTGCCGAGCTCGTGCTCTCTAGGAATAGGCCTTGGTATTCCTGGTTCTATGTTCTGGTAAGATGATCATTTGTTCTCCTTCGATATCTACGTCCCTTCGTTGGAATCGCTTATTAACGTTTCTTTTCACGCAGACAGCCTTTAGCATTCTCGAGTTATTTATCCTACCGTTCGCCTTCAGGCATGAGAACGCTGAGAAGTACCGCAACCGCCAGCCCGACGAAAGCGAAGAAGAAAGCCATCAAAAGCTTTCAAAGATCTTCCACTATAAGACGACATGGATCTGCGCTCTCTATCTACTTATTTACGTTGGTACAGAATCAGGAATTTCGGGATGGATCGTGTCTTTTATGCTCCGAGTCCGTCACTCCTCGACACAACATGCGAGTACCTGTTCCTCTAGCTTCTGGATTGGCATGGCCGCTGGGCGGCTTTTACTCGGAATGCTCACAGATAGGGTTGGTGTCAAACGCGCTACAAACGGCTATATTGTCTGTGCTCTGGTGTTTCAGATCCTTTTCGTCACAGTGGAGGGCCAAGTAGCCTCTGCAATTCTCATCGCCCTCGTCGGCTTCTTCTGTGGGCCTCTCTTCCCGTCTTGCATTATTGTCCTCACCAGGCTCTTACCCCGGGATCTCAATGTTGCTGCGGTTTCTTTCGTTGCATCGGTTGGTCAAGTTGGCGGCGCTTTCTTGCCCTTCGGCTTGGGAGCCTTGAGCCAGCTCATCGGTCTTGGGGTGTTCGGGGTTGTCATCGTTATTCAGCTGTTTTGCTGTCTCGTGTTGTGGATATTATTTTCTGGGCTACGGCCAGTGGAGGTTGATGAGATTACGGACGACGACAACACTACCTAGAGATTTGAAAGGTTCACATCCAGCATGTCAAGCCTATCACATGATGCTACTTTCCGATTAACTTAAATTCAATGGATTGGGAACAAACTTCAAGAGGCTTCTTGTATCAAAGTCAATACGGTCTATCATTAATTATACATCTTCTGTAACTTGTAGTAGATAGAAGGGGACCAATAAGAAATTCAAAGTTAGATTATAAACCATCTTCACCATCGCTTCCTTGGGCGCCCTCTAGCCTTTGCAGAATTCTACAGAAACGCGTAACTGCCATCTTGAAATGGTGAAGCTGGCTTGGATTGAGAGACATCACCACGGGCCCGGCCTTGGCTAAAAACCATGCCCGATTCTTTGTCGCCGCCGCAGCGCCTGTAAAACAAAGAAATACGTAAAGCTCGTTCTCAATGTCGTACTTGCTACCTTGAGGAAGTGAGGAAACGCAGAGACGGAGGTTCTCCACGCTGTCTTGATTATCGTCAACGCAGAACCTATTTCGTTGTTGAAATGAGTCGAGATGAATCGTTGCCGCAAGCGTAACGGCTGTCGAGAATTTGCTCTCCGCCTCGTGGATCACAAGAAATTCTTCCATAGGTTGTGCTAAAGGCCCATACTCGAAATCCAAGGTCGCATCGTGAACTCTCTTGAGTAGGGATGCTAATGGCTCAGTAATTCCGCTTTCACGTAATGCTCTCTTAGATTGACATAGAACGGTAGAAACAAGAGATATGGGCGCATCGCAAAACTGATATTGTTCGTCAACGCAGAAAGCCGGGCTGGAAGCATTAAGAATGGAATCCCCAATGTCGATTCTACGTTCATGGTTAGTCTCAAATTACAAAACCAAGGAATTACACCTACAGTATGATCAAATTGGACAGCCGATCGCCGCATAGACGTATTGCACCTAATCCGCCATTCCCTTTGACCATTTGTTGAAGGCCCTGCTTATGGATCTTCCCTTCCATTGTGTTGGAATTCATGGCCTTTGCCAAGTCAGCTTTGCTCTAACGTTGGATAGAGATCCGTACCTCGTAGTGCCAGAGGTAGGTGGCCGTAGCAACTGCGGTGACAGATACCCGATCTGAGGATGAAATGTGATCTAGAAGAAGTTTTATTGCATGCCGTCGGTGATATTCGGTGACAGGGTTATCAACCTCGCCACGGAGTACATCGAGATGGGATGATGCAGCAAACAGAATACCATGGAAAATGCATGGATCAGACATTATTGCCTGAATCCATTCCTTTCTGGACATTTCGTCGTTATCAAAGTTCCCTTTTCGAGTAAAACTCGGAAACTGCATCTCGTGGTCTGCATACAAATCAGGGCTTGTGATCAGCAGTAGGATTACTCGCAAGACTTACAATGATTTACCAGGAAAGGCATGTACCATCGAGACGGGATTGGATATGTCACAATTGGGTCCAGTGATATATGATTAGGTGAGACCTGATGGGAAGATATGCGGTTGTGGTTGGAGAGATGTTCCACTCGTGACCGAAGCGTGCGGATTTCGAGTTGAGTTCTGTTCTCGTCATAGCTGCACTTCAGCAGTTTTCTATTTCTGTTAGTTATGTTTTCACGTCTTTCGAGATGAAGATACTCACTTCTTGCAAGTCGTACAGCGAGGGAACAGTCTGTCGCATTTTTTCTTATTCAACCTGCAACGGTCACATGCCTTCAGCGCCACACTTGTGACTTCACTGTCGCTGAAGGTTTCCATCGTTGTCTTGGCTCGGCAGGTGAAGATATTTCAATACATGCTTGTCGAGGATCTACTTGGTTAACCAGACGGGGAGCACCTTTTTGGAATTAACAGTATTCTGCACTGCCACGGCGCAGAAATGTTTCCTAGGGCTGAAGACGTCAAGGACTACGTAGACTTGGCCATAGCCACACTGGTGGGTCAATATAAGCAGACACAAGCGAACACAGATTCTGGAACTCGGTAATATAGGGGCTAAAATCTCACGTAAATCAACTATGACATTAGATCCTGCATAAATACCTCCAACTCAGATCTCTCCTAATCACTGACTAAAGACAGTCGAAACTAGCGGCGGAAGCGTTTCCGCCTCCAATGTACCTCGCCGTCAGAGGGTAAGGGCAGATAATTCGATCAGCCCCCGAGACTTGGGCGGACAGTTGGGCCGGTGCCTTCTTCTCCTCAACCCAGCTTACCAACGCCGCAAATGGATCGATCGGAACGGTACCAAGAGATGGTGTCCCGGCGCAATGGTCAACCCCTGGGGCAAGGAATAGGCGGAAGAAGTGGTCTACATTGGACGGACCGCCCAGCAGTCGCTCGACTCGATCGCGATAGGTGACACTTCCGTTGGGGAAAATGATCTGATCCGACAAGCCATGCCAGACCAGGAGCTTACCTCCTGCGTTTTCGAATGCTGAAAGATCGGGGTTGTCTGAACCAATAATGGTATCGTATTCCTGGGCTGACTCGGTAAACAGATGTGCGAGCGTCGTGTAATCAACCTGGTCAAGGTCATATTTGGGGTCTTTGGCAACCCAATACCGAATCCAAGCATCGTTGACGAAAAATGAAGACCCCTTGCGTGCCCCGTCAACCAAAACTGTGTTGGCCAGTGTGTCCAAAGCAGCACCGAAATTCAAGCCATACCAAAGTCGCTGCCCGCTTTGATCATAAGGCCCTTGGTGCACCTTTTGAACCACACTGGCAACAGACTCGGCGATTGTGATGTTAGTTCCATCACATTCAATCACATGTCCAACCAGCTTGTACGGATTAAAATGGCAAGCGTTGGGATCGTTGATGACTCCATCCGTGAGCCCGTCAATGGGATCACACTCAGCAACTGCGGCGTCGGTAAAAGCCTTGAGCTCACATGGCGACGGAAACGTGTTTTCCTCGTGCATGACAACTTGCGGCCACTGTTCCGCCACCACGTACGTTGGCCAGGAGATTGCGGGCGCCCCGACCAGAATCCCGTCAAACAGGTCTGGGTATCTCTGTGCGGCAACCAGTCCTTGCCTCCCACCAGTTGAGCATCCGTTCCAGTACGAATATTGAGCTTTCTTTCCGTAGAACTGCTCAGTGACGGCCTTTCCGACCAGACCGACATCTTGAACAGACCGATACGCAAAGTTGACCAGCGCCTCTTGATTCACGGACCCATCCGGCAGCAATGCCCATCCATCAGGCGATAGGGGGTTGAATCCAACACCTGCGTCTGTTGATGCTGCCGCGTAGCCCAGCTTGGCGGTAGGGCCGAGCGTCAGATCCAGAGCACCAGCTGCGAAGCCTGATCCGCCGTTGGCCTGGAACCGTCCGTTCCAACCCTTCAGTGGCAGCCAGACTTTGACAAGAACCTGGTCATTTGCACCTTGGTGCCTCAGAACCACGTCGACCGCGCAGATGTCAAGACCTGTAACTGGCACTGGGAGGAGGCCTGGGAATGCGGTGACGGTGTGGTTGAGAAGCTGCGTCCCGTTGATGGAGATGACCTCTGCTCCAGGAATATCAGGCTTTTTGAGTGCCGTACACGCGCATCTCGAGTTTCTGACAACTGCTTTGTCCGCAGCTACGGAGGCGAGGAGAGTGATAAAGAAAAAGATGGAACGAAATGAAAACATGATTGGTAGTAGAGCGTAGAGATCTTGATGATGCAGGTTTAATGACCCAAATTCATCTATGTTGAAGAGGGGCTAGAGGGCAATTTATACTTGCTTCACGGGCTATTCTTGAGGTCCTCTTAGAAGTTAGTCACGTATATACAAGAATACCTCCCCTGGTACAATGAACTTTCTGCCTGGAGATTTGTTAGATTCATGGCGGCAAATTTCCGACCCCTGCTGTCAGTGGCTTATATCGAGATAATACAAACCCCACACATAATGCTCGTAAGAGTATAAACAAGGTGAAGACGGTAGTTGGCAGATGTCAGATTCGATCATCAACATGGTTCGGCCCCACCCCGCGGCTGATCTAAAGGACGCTCAGCCACGGCTGCTAAGCTACAGAAAGTTTTCAAAGGTGGTCAAGCTATGGTTGTCAAGTAGTTGCTGTGGTAAAATTACCGATTTCTAATACGGCCGCTGAATTAATCATAGTAACACTGGGCGACCCATCTCACGTTGTCTAAGTTTGGCGCCGTCACAAAAGGCAAAGCCATTACTTTGGATCGAGTAATCACCAAAAATGACTGTCTGAACGACTGAAATCCTAGCTAGCTGGTAAGAGCCCCTCGGGCTGACGAGATAAAGAGAATAATGAACATAATCTGACTAATGACGACTATCATCCCGATCAGACTTGTTCTCAGATTTACGCCTCCTGTAGTTTTGAAGATGTTGATACGTTGTTATTTTTTTTATTATGCGCTTCGGTATATTAGAAAAATTGTTCGAATTTAAATTATTGCCGCCTGTGTTCTAAAATATCTTAGTTCGGTAACTTTGACGAGTTGATTGTTTGGACGGTACGCAAGAGAGGCTGACACGCAGGATCGGCGCAAAATTCTAGATGATTTGAGCATAACCTTCTATATGTCATTGATCTTCAGTCTCGGGAAGCTGGCTCACTCTCTTTTAAGCGTTATTTATGCCAAGCAGGATGCTATCGTGAAACAGGGGTTCTGCCCAACTCATTAGGAATATGAATGGAATATTGCTTGCCGCGAGCATCGAAATCGCATTTCATCAAACATAATCTCAATGGCCCGAACTGATGTCCTATCTATGAGTATGAGTACCCCCTGCTCACTGACATTTCACTTCATAGAAAATTCGTTGGCGCTCCGTAACTAGTCACTAGCAATATGTGTAACTAGATTTTTATCTGTCTTTCTCAACACGAAGCAGATGAAGTGACTTTTTCCTCCAAAGTTTGTAGAAAATAAAGCATGCGACTGTAGATGGTAAAGTAAACACAACCCAAACCCATAACCGGTCGACATGCCCAAACCATGCCTCCTCGCTGAAGAACGGCATCGAGAACACGGCCTAGGAGATCCGATCGTTAGTTCAGACCTCACTACATCAGGGAGGAGCCTGCTGCTTATCGTACAGCGAAAGTAGCACCAGGGAGGAATGCCATCGTAATAATCGCTATCTGTTCGCAACATTAGCTTCACGCCAGGTCCGCTTACCGAGACCTTCAGATAGAAGGTTAGATCGATACGTACAGTTCTCATCGCAATACTGTCTCTCTTCATTTCCAAAGCAAGTTGGTGTGATGCATCAGCTATTTTTCGCCCTATATTTGCATCATTCTGCATCGCCACCAGGATCTCTTGCATTGCTTTACCATTGGCAACAAGTAGCCTATCGCTATTTATTTGCATTCGATTAAAAAGCTTGAGTAGGGCATATTAGCGTATATACAATCATGAGGATATCTGTTGAAGACGAGTTACCAAGTCTAAAATATTTTTCGTCTTCTTCTCTAATTCTAGAGCGAAATCCAACGAGGCCTCAACCTGCGAAAGCACCTGCTCAAAACTGAGAGTTAACTGTGCCAAGTCTTCGCCGGAAAGACTTCCACCGTTCGAGTAAATGGACGTATAGAACTTTATAAGATCGTTTGCGATCGCCTTGAGGGAATTGAGCTCTGATATATAGCGATGCAGGTGGGCGGCAATGGAGTGAAGGGCTCGATTTAGCTTCGTCAGGGTCACTTCTGGCGTCAGTGTAATCCCAACCGCGTCAAGTTCGGATTGTAGAGTTATTTCATAGGCAATCAGTTGCTCGTTGACACTGTTCAGAGAGTTTGTCCACCACCGCGAGGTGCTACTGATATAAACCAGATGTACGAATGCGCCTGTGGAAAATCTCGCGTCTGACGCACCAATCTTTTTTCGATGTGCCATCACCTCGGCAATCCGTGCTTTTGGCTCAAGTGCAATCTTGGGCCATTGCCCATGCATAAAGTCGAACGATGCCACAGTAACCTTACCTGACGATGGATCTACCCTGGTGAAGATGCCAACGCAAGAGCGGAATATATCTATACCGACATCCGGTAGGTGAAGCTTATGAAAAGGGTTCATCTGTGCTGTTCCTCTCTGACCTGTTTCCAGCCCAGGCTGAGCTCCCACTTGAACACGAACGGGTAGGAAGTACCAAGAATCATGGAATGTGGAAGTTCCTAGGTTGGAATGGCGAAATGCTCTCCCGGTAGGGAGATAATGCCGAGTTAGTGCGAAGATGAAGGCTGGCGGGAGACATATCCCAGTTGCCAATGCGTCAAAACCTAGCACAGATATTCGCAGCTTCTCAGAATCATCAGGGATCGAGGAATTTGTATCTTCGAACAAGTGCTTGTATACGAAACTAAATAGTTGTTACCATATCTTTAGTATATTTGGGAATAATGCAACCTGGTATTATTGTGGCGTACAAGAACTGAAGACTGTGGTCCTCTGCCAGTGGCTGCGAAAGGAATTAGTTGAAGCTGCCATGGGAGAGGACGTTCGTTGTGTCTCACTAGAGCCTTGATATCCGCGCGAGATTCCAATACGGCCTCTTTGAATTCCCCATTCAATCGGCCGAGGACGTACTTGATCCTAGTCGATGTTGATAGCTGTGATGACTGGAAGCTGTCAAACGACTGTGATATTGATAGGGCATGTTCTCTTGGGATCGGACCTTCCGTCAGCTTTGATGACCCATGCTCAAATTTCACCAGTTTGGCGATCTACGACTTACAGTTCTGGCGCTTGGCTCGCCTTGTACACTTCGTGGGGGCTTTGCTTCTTGCTCATTCTCGAGATAGGAACAGCGGGCTGTGCGAAGGAAGAACTGGTGGATATCACAAATTAGTTCAGGGAAAGGCTTTCGGTTGATTGCTCCCCCTTTCCAGCAATTTCTTCAGCCGCATATGCGGCCAAGCCCCCCAGTCGCTCCGCCACACGGTGCAACATCCTTGCCATCTCCATCCACAAGGGATTTATCATCACTACTAATAAGCGCCCAAACCTCTCGGCCCATGTTTCACATTTGCGTGCGCGCTTTCTTCAATAGTGATCGAGAAAGCTGAAAGATCGGTTGCTGCCAGTCCGAAGCCAATGGCATCAGATATACGGCCTCTGAGGAACATATCAGACATGGAGGGCGAAGGGGGCACGCGCCCTCATCTCGCAGGGGCGGATTCGCCATTTGGTGGTATTTCTTCCCAGCCACAGATTGAAACATCCACGACTTCGGAACCTTCCCCTCCTTCCTCTGAACATCATTCTGTTTCGGCGGCAAGCGGCAGTACTACGTCTCAACTATCTAACGACACTAAGTCGACCTCGATCATCGGCTCCTCTGTAGCATCTCTACCAGGCAAACCCAAAAAGAAACGCTACGCTACACAGCATGAGACTCGCTGGCTTGAAGAGGGGCAGCCGTCTGACCCCATCTTGAAGCAGAGCTCTGGTCTAGCAGATCAACCCCTGCCGACTCTCCCGCCCAACTCACAGCAAATCCAACCAGCGGCACAGCCCCAGAGCCAGACACCTCCCTCAGTTGTCAGCACTGTCTCCCCAGCGCTGTCTATTCTGGGATCCGGCAAATATGCGAGAATGAGCCCTGGGCAAGACGCCCCGGCCATCCAACCAGGCGCGCCATCAGCATACTTGGCGGCGCAGCCCTTGAACCACAGCTCCCTTCGAAGCCAAAGCCAAAGCACCCAAATTGACGCGACGAATGGAGATGCTCTCAGCGCCATCGACGAGGAGCAGACCATACGTGGCCGGTCGGTCTCGCCATCACCATCGGCACCACAGCCAGAGCTATCGAAGCTACGCAGAGGATTGTCAAAGCTGCTTCGGAGGAACAATTAGTCATGGCTGTCTGTCGTCAGCAACAATCGCGGAGGAGTGGCTCCCTTTGCTTCGCCACACCATCATGCACGCAAGGCGTCTAATCTGGGTCGCATCAGGGGGCCTTGTTATGTGCGAGGCAACCCACTCGTGGATTTCCATCCCATGCTGGTTGATCGCGCTAACAATGAGGGTTCAATACTTTCGGCTTCGCCTTCCTTAACCCCCTTCCCCGGTTGTCAATTGCGATTCCCAGCAGATTGTTGGCGCCATGGCAGATGCATTCATCCAGCGGCGGGCTTCTTTGAGGACTAACCTACTCCGAGGGTTCATACAAAGTTCGTTGCTCGCTCAATTCTTTCAAACTAATTAAATTTGATATGCGAGCTTTTGATTGACTGTTGACAGGGCTCACCTTGCGAGGCCCAGACCCTGACCCTGATGAGAGCACAACTCAAGAGCCAGTGACATCTCCGACGGCAACAGGATTCCCTGTGTGCTTCGCCGTCGATGTATCCGGTAGTACAGAAGGATGGGTCCTGGGGATGGAGCAGGAAGCCATTATCGCAATCAGCACTGCCCTCGGCAAAACCACACAATATTCGATGAGCCGGTCATCGATTCTCCCGTGGAATGACAAGGCATACGGCAGACTCCCACTGAAGGACGTAAAAGATCTTGTCTCGGGTGGAGGTACAGTCCCCGCAGCCATATTTCGTGACAGTGTATACAGAAGCTATCTCCAACAGGCCGGGCTCTGGGTTCTCATAACGGATGGGCAAATCGACCAATTCAATGTCCGAGACTTCTCTAATTCGATTCTAGAAGCTGGAGTTCATGGAACTGCGTGTGTGATCATTGCATTTGGATACCGAGGATGGTCCCCTTTTCAATGCAATGTTTCTGTGGGAATATCCGTGTTTGCTGTTGCGCCGCATTGCCTATTCCTCTATCATGCTATCCACGAGAACAAGACCTACGTCATTCAGGCCAAAGGGTGCTTCAAAGAGCTCCTACCAGATGATAAACGTTTCATCTTGTTCAACGAATTAACGCGTTGGGATGATCTTCACAGCATCAGATATGACGACTTGGCTAGGGTTCGAGTGCCTCAGCCTGCGAAACTATTGAGAGATTCTGTCTTACTCCCAAACGGAAAGATATTCGATATGCGAACGATATACAATAATAAAGTCTCGAATGATGATACGCTAGAGCTTCTGTCAGATCCTGCCTCTCTTGATGTCATTTTGCTGGCAGCCAATACTAGAGGGACTGGTTATCTGATCGAAGCTTGGCTGGAGAAGATTTGGAAAAAGCACAGGTTCGCCGCTTCAAGGTCCTTCGATCGTGAAGAGATTATTGATCGTGAAGATATCGGAGGCGTAGGGCTACTTCAGCTCACCACGCTCATCGTCCACGCTACCAATGGAGCGGGTGAAGATAACTTCTGGGACGTGTTGCGAAGCCAATGCGTGTCTCAAGATCCAACACTTCAGGACCTGAAATCAAGTCTTTGCTATCGGCACCAGCTCAACTGGAACAACTTCCAACTCAACATCAACGCAAGATATCAGCTATTGTCTAAAATACAGAAAGACGTTGATGGTGCCTTGAGTACGATGTCGCATATTGAGAGCGGCATGTCTGCCCCTTCCCCTGCCTTACTCACACCAATGTCTTCCCTTCCACGAAACATGGAACAGAATGTTGCCTCTTTACATTCAATCAGGCCCGGCTCGGAGCATGATTGGTCAAGTTTAAGCTGCTCCGTCGGACCTTCCCATACAGACCGCCTCGGTCCTTTCTCAAATGAGCCGTCCCCAATGATCGTGGGAACTTACGATGAGCCCAGTCCCCAGGTGGATATCAGTACTATCACATTTTTGCCTGAGTTCAAGACTCGGGATGTTTCCGGGATGTCTGATTACGATATGGACCATCCGCCTGCCTACGACACTTGTTTGCTCTGCGATAGACCAGGATCAATCCAGACTCTGCTTTTTCATTCCAGCTCTACAGTACAATCGACGCGCGGCTTACCGGCTCCGAATAGTCGTGCAGGACATAAATACCCGCTTGTTCTGGGTAATTATGCTGAAACAGACGTCATTGCCCCTATAGTCACCTGCGACGGCTGCGCTTTTTTGTTCCAACAAGTTAAGCAACTTCCAAATGGAGGAGGCTCGGTCGCCGCTTGTCTACCATTGGTCCCTCTTAAATTGATTGAGAACCGCTCTAAATGGATTGAAGTCCTGAGTGAGGTATATGAGCACCGCTTCAGTCAGAATATTACCCTGCTCGTCTTTTTGTCTACCCTCTGTTCCACACTCGAGGATCTCTCGGAGTACAATGACGACGGTATCAAGACGGTTCAAGGGTGGTTTGAATGGGTTTGCAGAGAAATCATGAGCCTCCCTGGATTAGCTGCTCTCGTTGGGCTCACACCTGCCGCGGGGGTTCTTTCTGGGAAAGTGAAGCCAAGCATGCCTTTGAGAGATGTGCTTACGATGATATTCTTATCAACGGGCAGCAACAGCGCAATGATAGAGTTGCCGCTTCTTGCCTACCCCATTCACGGGTTCATTGTTATAGTGAGACTCGCTCGGCTAGTCAAGGATATAGAATTGTCGCAAATTGAGCTTCTCGTATGGAAAAGACTCTGTTATTATCTCATCGAGCAGCATGCAGAGATGCAAACTAGGCTTGGGGTCGAAACCGCCGATAAAAGTCTGGACGATTTTCTCTTTGACTCTTCAGTCTTGGACAGTATCTCACTTCCCGATACTACGAGACGGGCGCGTTCGGTCTGCCCAGTTGTCAAACTTTTAGACACCCATCTCCTCCAGCAGGATATACTTGACCAGTTCCGGCGTATAGATCCCTTTTTCAGCGCCATCGAAAGTAGCAAGAGTTCTTTCCTATACGCATTGGCGGTTTTCTTACATTTACTCAATAATTTTGTGAAAACTGAGTCAGAAATTACAAATCCTGCATTCTGCTTCAGCAGACTTCAGTATCAAGCAGACAAACTTACATGGGGTACCGCTTCTAAAGATGTTTTAGAGAGTCCCAGTCTCGTAACGGAAGAAATGGGCGCTTTGCTAATTGGTCAGTGTATTTCACTGAGTGCGACTTCAAAAGAATAAGTTTCAAATATCTACGCTACATATTCATATAGCAAATCTAAAGAAATTCCATGAAGAGTTTTAGATTTCAATCTATAGAAGAAGACAGACTTAAACTTGCTATGATTGTGCGAGCATGACCAGTTGAAACAACTTATTATCTATTGTCAAGCCTAGAATACCATGAATTAAACTACCACAAGTATAAAATTCCCACTACGAATCATGCTCATTCCTTTGGTCAAGACTGAACACCTCCGAAGAAACTCTTGCTCTTATATACAACCAAATGCCTTTGCATAGTCAAAGTCACATGATATCCGTAACACTTTATCTTCTCTTGGCCATAATAATACGCCGTCCGAATCCAAGACACATCTTTCCACGCTTTCTGAGTCGGCCCAGTCCCGTGGAATAAAGTAAAACCTCTCAAATGAGCGAGAGGGCGAACCTACAACTCCGAGAAGATAAGAGCACAGCCAAAGTTGATGATCTAAAAAGATGAACCTGCGCCCCCCAATAATACCTAGCGGGCTATAAATGTGTTCTAATATATGTTCTGGGACATTTATCAAGCCCAGTGTAGACCCTGCTGATACTGACACGTCTGGTAAATTACAGGTCCCAACCTGTAGAAAGTGGCTTCCAACTGCAAAGCAAAGCATCAAAAACTCAGGGGCACGTGACGCAAGCACACGAGTTAGCTTTCTATCTTTGTGATCGAATTCTGTTATTTGTGATCCAGCACTCTTGTCTTCCAGTTCGATAGTTGTTGAATTCTTAATTGAGATATTGCTGGCCACCTTTGTCAAAGTTTTCCAGCTGTAAGCTTGCATATATTTATCACAAGATGCGAAGATTATATCTTTCTCTTTCGGATGGCGAAACCATTTGTGTTGAACCCCAGATTCAGTTTCTAGATAAGCCTGCAGCGAGCTAGTTTTGACCATGAAGACGAAACATTCTCTCTCAGTCCATAAGAATATGAAATTTGAGTCCAAGCTAAAAATGACACCTTCGATATTGAAGGTATGGCCGTCGGATGGTCTGTTTATTTTCTTAAAATCCATCTCTAATTTGGGCAAGGCAGAGAACCACGTTTTCCCTTGATCGCGGTGTATTTGCTTCACAATAACCTCTCCAGCCAAGTTCACAATCGCAATGAAGAGGTTATTGTCGCTCCATACAAGATGAGTGATTTCGAAAGCATAGCCGAAATTTGCAACTTCCAAGGGGCATGTTGTTGGATCCTCAAAGAAGAGCACGGTTCCGTTCTCGAAACCTGCCAAGTATTCAGTCCCACTTGGAGAAGGACAAATTGCCGTCACGCAATCAGTATGAACAATCTTCTCCTCTGAGGGCTTTGAGATCTCGGTAAAGTATTTATCTTCTCTTTGAGTGTTCCTGTTTTGTTCCTCATTCGCGTAGAAGCGGGTCACAGCATCCGGCTCCCATGCGTTGACTACTCCGCCTCGCAAATCGTAAAATCTATGGCTTCCGGGACTGAAAACAAGGTCCGTCACAAGATCTTCGGTCGAGAGTTGGTAAATGAGGGTGAAACTTGCAAATTTCCATACGCGGACAGAACCGTCACTACTGCTCGTCGCGAATAACTTCCCGTTAGGACTGACAGCAATTCCATCCGCTGGTTTTCGTAGTTCAACATTCTCCCTAGTAAAAGGGTGCCACTTGAAGATGCATCCATCCTTATAAATTCCCAGCACATGGCCAGTAACTGGATTCCAGGTGAATGTATCGACGGAGAACCAGGTTGTTGACGATCGACGAGTGGCAAGTCGAGTCTCCTTTGAGCGCTGACACTTCCCAACGAATCTGCCATCGGCTAGACTCCAAACCGAGAGGGGAGCTCCTCTATACGAAGCCCCAATATATTTCTTGTCGGCACTCAATGCCAAGCACATCGGTGAATTCATAATCGTGCTGGTATCTCCTGGAGGCCTTTTCAGAAGAAGATTCGAGTGGATGGCTTGCCATTGTGGACTTGGCAAATCCCAAAATGCGCTCCTAACAACATTGTCATCTCCACCAAAAAGCAGCTTTCTATCTTTTTCAGCAAAGGATATCTCCATCGCCTTCGTAAGGGGTGGATTGCGGAGAATAGCCACCTCTTTACCGCTTGCGATAGACCATATTTTTGTTGTTTCTAGACCACACGTTGCGAGCTTCGTTCCGCTAGAACTAAAAGCGATTGTCGTGACAGGCTCTGTGTGAAAAATGGACATTATTTCCAAAAAGTTGGACGAGTCCCAAACTCGCACAGTGCCTCCGAATTCCAGCACTGCTATATACTTTGGTGCACAGGCTATCTTCATCGCTCGGCTGCCTGACGGTAAAGCGAAACGGCCAAGATTACCATTCCATAGCCTATTCTCATTGCCCAGAACTTCAATTGTAGATTGATAGTCCCTAAATTGTCTAGATATTGCTGTCTGACCAGGACTCAAAGCTGGGATCAAATTGTATACGACCTCAGGCTCCATCACCAAGATTTGTCCAAATTTACCAACAATCTTGTTCAGGTCTGCGACCCAGTCTTCCAATAATTCGAGATCATCGGAACTCAAACTTTTCGAGTTGTTCGCAAAATCTTTCTGTCGACTCCCATGCAACATTGCCCCAAGAATGCTGGCGGCTTTCGTCAAAACTTCCAACCGCCTAAGTAATGCTAGGATATGTATCCAGCTCAAGACGGCGGGGGAGCGAAAGAAAGATACCAATTGGTGCAGAGCTTCTGAGGAATCTGGTAGGCATTGTTCTAGATGATATGACCAGCTAATGGCTGAATAGAACACGAAGGGCTGGCTGCTTCCCAGCGCGTGGCGATTCTCTATCAGTTTCCATTGGAGAGTCGGTTCCTCTAAGGCCGAGGTGGTTTTTAGGAAGAGGCGAGTATGAGACACCTCAAGGTTAATTGAAAATATACTTGTTGTGTTTCGCGTAAAGTACTCGCTAGTTGTGTGGTGTAGCATCGTGATGTTGCTGCTGTCGTCAATTTGAATAAATTGCCCACAAGCATCCTTGATTGTTCGCTTGAGATCGAGAAATCCAGTGAACTCAGGCTCAAGGGCTTGGGACATTTCGCTCAGATTAAGTGGCCTCTGGGCGCATATTGTCCACTCAATAAGTGCCTTTATAAGTGGCTCATTGGCTCTTCGACCTGATTGAACAAGACTTTTCTCCATCCGTTCGTACACTAGAGTCATGTCATCCGGGATCTCATCCAGCACTTCTTGGATCCTTTTCTCTGTATGACAATGCATTACTTCGTCGAGCACCAATTTAGTCCACAGAAAATTGCCTTCAGAGCGTTTTGTGACATTCTGAAAAAGCTGTTCCCGAAACTCTACCCCGCAACTGATCTGTTCAAGTCCTTGCCTCACAAGGATCCCGATATCTGGCAAATTGTGTGACCCGTCGATCTTTTCAATAATCCTGACAGACACTTTCTGCGATAATCGATCAAAGGCTATAGGGAGTATGCCATCTTTTCGGCTCAAGATCAAAAGCCTAATGGGTACTGCTACCGTGGGAAGCCCTTTGAGGCAGTTGAGCAGATTCTGAGGGGTGTCGCACTCATCCAATCCATCAATGATCCAGTACAAATAGCCCTCGATCTTAGACTGTGAAAATGTGTTTTGGAAGACATTCTGCCAAATCAAGGTAGCGTCACCAGACTCCAAGCCCAGGCTTTCCCGGGGAGCATCACATAGCAGCCGGCCAAACTGCGGAATATCATGTGCAAGCTGAAAGGCCAAGCTCCGAAGGCAATTTATAGCTGACCGTTTCCCGGGGTCAGAGTATTTAAAATGAAAGAATTGGCAGCCATTCGATGATGATTTGAAATGGTCTATGACGCATGTAGAGAGTATGGACTTTCCATTTCCCGGAAGAGCAGTATACCATAAAATTGAAGATTCGTTTGAAGGCGCCATCCAGGACAAAAAGTCAGTCTCTTCGAAAATCCAGTTGCAAGTCCCTGAAATTCGCCGTTCGCTGAGGGCGTTATAGTCATCTTCGCTTGTGATGCAACCACTGAATAGATCCGCGACTGTTGCCTTGATCTCAACCTTAGTCACGGCAGCTTCATTCTTTGCTTTTCGCAAGGAGTCTGAAACAGTGTAGGCTATCGCATTTTTGATAGCGACGTAGTTTTCGTCAGCGGGGCTGTCATACTTGCATATGCTTTTGTGGTTGGCATGAAGAGGTTTTGAGATTTCCGATGGGTATCCCAAAACTGATGAATCTTTCTCCAACACCATAATCTTACTTGGTCCAATCGATGTTGCGAGGGTCTCATAAAATGACCATATGGACAACTTTGGTGCGAAATGACGGAATTGCTCGTTTATATCCTCGATGGCGAATGAGCCTTTGTTAAGATCCGAGATAAAGCTTTTCGATGATTGGAACGTTGCGGAAAGAATATGGCTGAGTGTTTCGGCCAAGTGTGTGCCTCGGTGAGGAGTAGCTAAGAATACAACGGCTGAAATGGATTCAACGATGGCTTTATAGGTCTCATCATGAATTCCAAGCAAATAAGCCTTCTTGACTACGAGACCCCCCATACTGTGAACCACAAAAACGATAGGCCTCGATCCGATATTGAGTTCATTGCCCGAAGCATCTCTAGCAAACCGCAATTCAAATAGCAAATCTTTGGCAAAATCGATAATAGTTGATATGCTTTTCGTTGAACCACGCCAGTTTGCATTGTAACCGAAAGTCATTATGCGAGAAATTGCTATGTCTGGCTCCAGCGGAAGCCATTTGGCAGGCCAAAAGAGGTTGGGGTCATGATTTTTTGTCCATGTGTTGTGGCTATGTCCTCCAAGGCCGTGAACAAAAACAATGTCCAAAGCAGCAAGGGGAGGCTGGTACAAGACATGAAGGCCTAATGCCGCAGTTGAAGAAGCAGCACTAGTTTCAAGTACACTCGACGGTATTTCGGGCGTAACTCTTATGGTAGTGGTATCATTTCTGTTCTCCTCAGTTGAAGAGTCTGGAGGGCCCCTGTCCGCTGGCTCGCTTCGAGGGCGCAGCCTAGTCAAGCGGAAGCGCTTCAGCTATAGCTGATATTAGCAGTTTGCTCCGAATGATCCGTCCTCGTGGTAGACACCAACCATTGTAGCCTGAACCCCTGAACCTACTTGATAATGAAATGAATGAGCTTTGGCCTCGGGTCTCTGTGGGGAAATCTTCTGTCTGTTGGTGCTACGCGCTCAGGACCAAAACGGTCCAATCTAGTTGCAGCAACCCCTCAAGTCCCCACGCATTGCTACGTGGTCATATCAGTCATACGAGGATCCTTGCATAAGCCGGAGGCAGTAGACGATCCGCCATAAGGCAGTTGGTCGCCTGATTACTAACTCATATGCCATGCTACTCTAAAAGATAGAAACGGTGCTGACTAGCGTGATGCGATAGTCAAACGCGCAACCTTGAAGGGCCAATTTCTAATATCTTGACCTAATGCTGATCGACACACAAGTATACCTACCATTCAGAAGCATATCGCGTGCAAGCGACAGTACACACTATGGCTTCATCGGAGTCCGCGAAAACCAGTACGAGAAATACCACTGGCAAAACTTTATCCCCATCTTCGAATGGAAATGTACTAGATGTACCCAATAGTTTCATCGTTGACAGCAACGTTCTTGGAAAGTTTCCCGGTGGGACAAAGATAATATCGGCTCATGAAACTGTGGCTTCAGCTTGGACGACCACTGCTCAGCTCCAGGTTCAAATAGATGATGGGTCGGAAGAAACGTACTTCCTGAAGTTGGCCTCAGGAGATCATGGTCGGATCATGATAGAAGGGGAGTTTAACTCAATGTCTGAGCTATACGCGTGTGCTCCGGACTTTGTTCCCGAGCCGCACTCCTGGGGGAGATACGCCAAAGGTAACCCCGACACATACTTCTTCTTGTCACAATTTCTGAAGATGGACCATACGATGCCAGATCCAGAATATCTATGCTCCAAGCTTGCGCGCCTTCATCACGACAGTAATTCACCAACAGGCAAATTTGGATTCCACTCCACGACATGCCAGGGGCGGACTTCCCAGTGTGTAGGCTGGGAAGAAAATTGGACAGTATTCTTTGCGAAGCTCCTTCAGCACGTGATAGACTTGGATCTTGAAGTGAATGGATACTGGGAGCCTCTCGACAAGGTCAAAAAGCGACTCATAAAACATGTCATTCCTCGCTTATTGGATGCCCTTATTAGTGATGGGCGTTCCATCAAGCCGAGTTTACTTCACTCTGACCTTTGGGAGGGCAATACTGGAACTTTGGCTACCAATGGAAGAGTTTACATTTTCGATGCTGCTTCCTTCTATGCCCACAACGAGATGGAAGTCGCAAATTGGCGTGGATACTACAACAAGATTAGCGACGAGGTGTATACAAAGACATATCTCTCTTACTTTCCGCCGAGCGAGCCCAAGGCCGAATGGGAGGACCGCAATCGCCTCTATAGCGTATACTACAACGTGATATATTCTGTCAACCACGAGAGCCAAGGAACGGCTGTTCGTCAACTGTAAGATTTTCATACCCCTGATCAGGTATAGCTGCTGACAAAACATTAGAGCATTTAGTGATATGTATTATCTCGTCAATAAATTTGCACCATTCCCTGAGGGTGAGGCACCCCCGCATTTACAGGAATCAGAAATTGCTTCTCTCTCCGCTGAGCGCGACCATACTCTAGCTTAAGATAGGCATCATCCTCATTAGAAGTGAATAAAAATACTTTTTGCCTAATTGATATACGCCGATATCTGTTAAGCACATGGAACGTGATGTATGATGGTCCTCCAACTTCACCCACGTAGGAGAAAGAACATCAAGTTCAATAGCAATGAAACCTGCCAGGGCCCGGCAACTCAACTCAAAGAATATCAACTTCATCCACAGCACATGCTTTTCAATTAAGACAGGTCTCACTTTGCAATTAACCTCCCTTCATTTTAATTTGGTATCTGATAGATTTTTGGTAAATATTCCACCCCAAATTGCACAATTATGTCCAGTATGCCTGTACTTCTACCGGGGTCCCCGAAAATTACTCACCCATTTTGTTGGTTCATCAAATCCCTGAACGGCTGCTGTACCCCGCACCATTCAAGCTTTTCACTATAACTTTCGATCTTTTCAATTATTCAATACTGAAGATGACTAAAGTCTCCAAGGAACTGTTCGATAAGGCCCAGGATGCTGGTGAACACGCAAAACCCAGTAAAGATGAAACAAGTATCAGGAACCCCGCCCCTTCAGAAAACCCGTCATATACGGTCTTCACCTTGTCCGACTTGAGGCGATTGAGATTAATTCTTGGTTTGGGAACAATCACATCCCCTCTCACCGCAACCATATACCTCCCACTGCTACCACTGTTACGACATCAATTCAGTGTTTCTGCTCAGGCTATCAACCTTACCCTGACATTGTACATCATCTTCCAAGCGATCTCTCCGGTAATATTTGGTCCCTTTTCAGATGCGTATGGGAGAAGACCCATATTCCTTCTCACACTGGGCCTTTACGTGCTTGGGAACATCGGTCTAGCAGCGAACAAGGATAACTACGCGGTGCTGTTGGTGCTTCGAGCTGTACAAAGCTTAGGCGCGAGTGCGGCTTACGCAATAAGTTTCGGCGTGGTTGCTGATGTATGCAAGCCAAGTGAAAAAGGCCGGATGTTAGGTCCGATCAGCATGGCACTTAACCTTGGAGCTTGTGTTGGTCCCGTGGCTGGTGGTATCGTTGCCTATGCCAATAATAACCATATCTGGGTATTTTGGTCCCTGGTCATTGTCGGTAGTGTTTTGTTTCTCGGTGTAGGTCTCTTGTTGCCTGAGACTTCGAAGAGGCTCGTAGGCAATGGTGGCGATCCGGCTCGGTTCAAATGGTGGCAACTCAGTTGGATGCAACTTATACTCAGAGACGCAATCAGTAAAAGCTCAGATGCTAGCAAGTCTCCATCATGTGGATCAGAGACTGTAGCTAGAGAACCTGCTCACAAAGTTGCTATAACGAATCTACTTGGGTGCTTCCGAATGATCTTTTACCCAGACTCATTCTTGAGTCTATGGATACATGGCTCATTTTACACTGTTGACTACTCATTCGGGGCGGCTTTACCAGATATCTTCAAGGACATATATGGATTTAATGAGTGGCAGTTGGGGCTTGCGTATTTGCCTCGCGGAGTTGGGATTATCACTGGGAGCTATGTCACTGGAAAGCTGATGGATAGAAATTACGCAAAGACACTACGCGAGCTAGGTTGGACAACGGACAGGGTCACTCCTGATGAATTAGTCCATTTTCCGATTGAGAAGGCAAGGACTCGGAACACCTATCCCTTCCTATTCATTTCTGCTGGAACTATCATCGGTTACGGATGGGCAGTGACCCAATCAGCCCATCCAGCCGTGGCACTGGTTCTGCAGTTTATCCAAGGATTTTGGGGAACCTACTTCTATACAACATATAGTACTCTGATGGTAGATACCTATCCCCAAAGTCCTAGCACTGCGGCCGCAGCTACCAGTGTCACACGCTGCGCAATGGCCGCTGCTGGGGTGGCCATACTGCAGCCGCTTCTAAATGTCGCGGGACGGGGATGGTATTTCACTGCTCTCGGGCTTTGGAGTGGCCTTTTTGGAACAGTCGCGGTTTCCCTTCTTCGGTGGAAAGGCTCGGTTTGGAGGAGTAGAAGAAACCGCCCGACTACAGAAGTGCAGGCGACTAGACAAGATTAATGGATGATGTGAAACGTCACAGTCTGCTAGCGCTTTGTGGATGACTGTCATAATCGCGACACGGTTTGTGATGGCAGTTTGAATAAATGTATCCATTCTTCATTCACAGTGGAATTAGAGGTAATTTGCCTGATCATTCTTTTCAATAGGTTAATGCACAATATAGCGTTGCGTGCGACTCAGATGAGAGTTAGAGTTCAAGTTAAGAAACAGCAATGGAAGACACCAAATCCAATGTCTCAACAGGATGAACACGATTGCAAACAGTCGCAGGAGTTCCAACCGAGACTTAGAGGGATGAGTATATCTAGGCATGGCCTGGACGAGGATTTCAGACTTTCGAATAATCGTCTTACTTCCACTAGTAGATAGTGAGCACCATCCCGTTACTCGTCCATTGTGGGATAAACCACCACTTGCAATAATTATAGAATGCTGGTGTTATCATAATCTGATCGGTTCTTCATTGGTCAACCAAGTTCGCAGGGTTTATATTGGCAGATACATCAGAGCGTGAAAGTCTGAGCAATATGTAAAAAAGATGCTATCTCTAGTAGTAATGTACTGAAGGGCATTGCGTGTAACCTGAATAATACCCATGCTCCATCCGTTGGTAATGAAACTGCGGTACTACGGAGCCTATAGTTCCCATGGAGGTTCCCATGGAGGCCATAGTTCCCATGAAGTTACAGCGTTTGTGGTCATCGGTTCAAGTAGGTCGCCTGAACCCGTAAGTGGTGCTAATTGCCCCATTTGGACCGCCTGCGAAGGTTGCTGTGATGTGTCCTCGAGGCTGATTTGTCCCACAGGGTTCGAACAGGCCTCGCTTTGCAGCACCTGAGTTGGAAACTGCGGGAGATATGGCATTGTCTGATACATCAGTGACGGCTGGACCATTGGCTGAGTTCCGGCTTGGGTAGATATTTGTTGCTGTTCAGGTCTTGGTTGTTCAAGCTGCTGTTGTTCGAGTTGTCTTTCGTTCTCGCTCGAATTCCAGTTTTCAACAACACGCAAATAAGAGAGATTGCTAGAGCGCTGAAGCTTCAGCACTCATGTGTCGTCGAGGTTTGGAGAGCTGGCTTCACCACACCATGTGTTATCCAGTGATGGGTTATTGAGCATTACTTAAGAAGAAAGCAATTGTGCTGTCCAAAGTGTTGCTTCTGATAGAATTATGATACCCATAGCTTGGGACAAAGAGGTATATCTTGGTATCAAAGTGTCTTCCCACTGCAGAAGTCAGAGTTTCATCTCATCAAAATCTCATCAGCCATCGACGCCGAACTTAAATAATAATTACTCTCTTTTAACTATGTCCACCAAAACCACACACAGCAAGGAAGCAACCACCTGCGAAAACGACACGGAGTTGCAGGCAGTTGAGCTACACAGTAACTCCAGCAGCCACGGGTGTGACATCCTGATTCGTCGGGTATACAAAGATGGAACGGGGCAGTTCTGCTGCGAACATTTTCCCGTTGATTCATTGAACCAAGGCGAGGACGTCTTTACCAAACTTACTCAAATGAGAACCACAAACGGCTGGTCCAGTCTTTTGGTCGCTTCTGTTGACGCAGCTCTTATGCGACGCGATTCCGTATGGATTGTTTCCGTATCTCCTGTAAGTACCCACTGCCAAACCTAAAAGATGACTTCAGCTAACGCCACAGCACTACAGCTTTCAGGAAGCGGAAGCAATATGCCGGACCTGGAAGCCCAGGCAGGGAGCAAGAGAGTCTACGTCAGCCAAAGCGAGTACAGCGAGGCTCTTACAAAGGCATTGTACAACCCGCAACTGCTCCACGGCGCCAATAACTTTCTCGTCTCCAACTATGAGGATCTCATTCAGGCTGATGATGTCCTGTCGGCCGAACCAAAAAGGGCGTTATGTGTGAAAAAGGTTTTCTATCCACGCACTGCGGCCGTGTGGTTTGGTCTAGCGCTTTTCCTCTCCACTGCCATAGGACTCACTGCGGGTATTGTTAGTCACGATCTAATGCTTGGGTTTGCTGCTGGTACGGGTTCTTTGGCTATTCTCGGTGCTATACAGGGGGCTTTAGTTTGGCAGGCTCGCTCAACCGGCAAGTAACTCAAGGACTGTTATATAGAGTTCGTCATTAAGTCGTGTCCAGGAGGTCAACGCGTCGTGGAGTGGGAGAGGGGCAGCTTCAGAATGGCAAAACAAAACATTCATTAATTATGCGCAGTAGACTTAGTTAGCTATGCAACTTCATAAATTAATGAAATGTCATGGCGCTGTGTGTGGCTTAGGGGTTACCCGACGCAGCAGACTTACCCTATACGCACAGACCGAAGACCAGCACTGCCTACTTATTACTTTCCTAAATATTTTTCAAATGCCTCTCTTAAGCCTACTAGCTGTTTTCTGTAAATTATTGCCCTTCTTTTGTAGCCTGATGGAAAGTTAGAGGTAGAAAAAAATAACATAACATTTGATATGAGGTTCGACGATACCATGTAGCTATGAGATTAAATATTTCAATCTTAAACTACAATGATAACACATGACATAAAGGTAAATACTGCGACCCAAAAGCATATGTGTGGAATAGGCATAAGATCTAATAGTACGATTATACAGGCGGTGCAAAGCAATTGAGGATTTTAGCCCTGAACACGTTTTGATTGTGTACCATTTGCGGAAGCTACATGTATAAATCTTAGGGAGCGCAGCGAAACTGACAGTTGGCCATGGATGCTCTGAAGACAGATCTGTCCAAATCCGAGAGTTGCATTTCGCTTATGTTTCGCCTATCTAGAGAACAAGCTTCGGAGCAAACTCCGGAGGTAACGTCTTCTCGATTTCGCTCCCGGGATACAGATCGGGGGCTCGAAAATTATACACACTCACTCACATGGGAAAATACCATTGGCCGCATTTATGTGTTACATCGGCTTTTGGGGGCTAGGCATCCTAGAACTTGGAGCGATGTCCTGGCATCTTACGAATGACCTGCATATGTAAATTGTCGGTGCTAATGCAGAGTGAGATCTCGGCAGCATCTGGGTAGGATTCAGCGCCGTCTAGCCCAGGATGCATGTCTCGTGTATGGCGCCATTCCGTTTGACCGGCAACGATCTCCATGCGTATCCGGTGGCTGGCTGTTGTTTCATAGATAATGAGTGGTTTCTGTGTTGCATCGGGAAGAATAGGTAGGTCTCGATCATACTCGAGACAACCACGAGTCATGTTCTAGGCCTCAAAAGTGGTTTGACTGTATGTGCTTGACACTCCGGGATATCACGACGCATTGTTTGGCACAGCATTGCGCCGTGAATGGTGGCGATGAAGAAAAAGAAACGACAAGTGTGGTGGATCTCACGTACATGAAGATGCACGTCGTGGTGGAGAAGTTTATGCCGGGAGTGGCCGGCAACGCTCGCTTCAAGGCAAGGCCAATCGCTCCCGCCTCCCTTGGATTCTACAGTCTTTCCTCGCTTGGACAAACCTGCATCTCTGGCCCTTCGGATGAACCATATCGCTGCAATGGCTTTTCTCCAAGATCATAGCATAAAGCTCGCCTATGTGGGTTCGCAGGATCCAGGAACGGGTTTCTTAGACTGCGTTCTACTACCCTTCGTAAGCTGATGCTTTTCCAACGTGCATATTTTCTAACTGATGATTTGCTTTCTTTTTCTCCGCGCGAGTTTACCCGGGTGAGAGTCTAGAAATAAGCTCCAACTCATCCGGTGGCGTCGATCGACGTTGTATTCTTAATGCCGGCATCCCTGGGCTCAGAATCGGAATTATCAGCCTCGCTCCTGTCATTTTCTGTATGCGTTGTTCAGCCTGCCCAGCCCGGCTTTGTATCCAGCCAGCATAATGTAGATGATGAGCTCCCCCAACATGGAGCGGCTAGAACCACTTTGACCCACGACCAGCTGGCATATATCGTACCATTTCCCTGCCTGATGACAGCACGCGCATGAAGGACCGGCCCCACACAATCAGCTCGACAGATCTCCTCCGAACGCGATCCGGGGGAGGCAGATTGGCTAAGAAACGGGCGGGTAGAGCGTCCAATTGAAGGCCCGGAAAGCCTCAGATATCCGCTCAAATTGGTGACATCGGGAAGCCACTAGGCAGGAAACCCCTGTGAAGATTCCATGTGTTTGAGACTATCTTTGGCCGGTCAATGGCAAAGGGGAGAGGATCGGATCGGATCGCGGGGATTTATCGCCGGTTGATTTCTTTCTGCAGGGGGCTTGACAATGCAATGCGAGTTGAAGGACCCATCCAGCCACGCAGGCCGTGAGTTTGATTAAAAGAAGTGGGAAAAGAAAGACCACAGAGCACTCCCCAAGTAGATAAAAGGCGAGAGATGTCCCGGTCAAGCTGAACATTTCCTTTCCATCTCATCCTCATTCTCATCAACAACCTCAACAACTCTTCTTACACTTTCACACACACTCAAGTCTTTCAGACTCCCAAAACCACACTTCAAAATGTCTGCCCCGTAAGTCCGCCCATGGAACGGTGATATCAAGTCACAAAGTCTAACAAGATTTCCAGCACCCGCACCACTGAGCAGTTCACTGTTCCTCTGCCCACTGCCACCGCTCTCTCCCAGCCTGCTGGTATGTAACCACTCCCTCTTCCCTTACATTGAACATACATTTGGATTATTCTAACAGAGATGAAATTGTAGGCCAGATCCTCAAGGGTGCCACTGACGAGAACGGCACCCCCCGCGATGCCGCTCTTCTCCTCGGCATCAAGCTCGACCTCGAGGCCGAGGTCCACCTGACTGCCCGTGTCAAGGGTGATGTCGTCGTTGGGCTTTACTAGGTGTGAGCTAGTTGGAGTTGCTAGGGTTGTAGTATGATACTGAGAAAACCTTGTGACGGCGAATGTTGGATCAAGTCATCCGAACCAGCTACTTGGTTAATAAAACATGTTGCCATAAACTTTCAGTTCGCTGATTGCCAGTCTTCGCTCATGAGTGATATGCCTTTACCTTTGATGCGCATGGTGACGTAGCTCTGCTAAGCTTCCGGCCTCCTCACGCAATGTGACCACCAGCAATCCCTTACAACAATGTGGCTCATGCGAGAGTTAAGTTGTATTCTTGGTTATTAATACTATGCAACATAGCTTATACATCGAGTTACATCTAATGATAATTCTAAATTTTAGACAACGGCTACAGCTAATGAACAGAAAACGATCTAGTGATATGCGGCAATGACGGATTCCCCATGAGACTTTTTACAGGTTGTCTTGATTCACCGCCGCTCCTGTCTTCAAAAAATGGGCTTAATGAGCCCTGCGTTGGCAGGCGGTCTCGGGTGATAGGCTGATACAACCATCGGCGCTATCTTCCTCGAAGATGCCGCCGTAGAGGATGGCCTCCTCAATACCGCTCGGCTGGTATCCTTCCCTAGTGATATCCTCTGCAGGCCCTGTTGGCTTCTTGAGAATGCCGAAATGAAATTGACCTTGACCACTAATATCATTGGACGTGGGATTGGTAACGGGCTTCAATGCTTCGTCATCCTGGGAGTAATAGACTTGAGTTGTCCTATAGGTTCGTTAATATCTAGAATAGGATGAAGGCCATATGCTCGGCACCTACAAAGCATCAAAATCGAGCTTCAGGGCAAAATTGTGGACAACGCCCTCACTGAATGGAGCTTGGAATATGAGAGGAGCGCCCTTATTGACGTTGCCATAGACTTGCAGGCTGTCCGGCTCAGAGATGTTTCCACCAAGGATGGTACCAGTCTTGAGAACAAACTGGTTGGTAGAATAATCAGCGCTTTCGAGGAAGACAAGTTGGTACTCGTGAGAGAAATTCAAGGGCCGGGCGGGGTCCTTGGCAAGGCTGAAGTGCAGCGTTTTGATGCCGGTCGTTGACGGATCGGAGCCGCTGTTGGAAGCCGGAAGCAGCTCCGCACGACGGAATCCTTTTTGCACATTGGTCTCCGATGGAGCAAAGATGGAGGAGTCATTGATGGTCAAGTACACGGGTACAGAATTGACATCAAACTATTCTAATCAGTAATTGCGTGGTACCTAGGTTTGAATAATGGCTTACCAGAGTGGTCTCATCGGTGATCTCCAGCAATTCGCTAAATTTCAGTCCTGCGACAAGCCATTGTTAGTCAACTTTGCTTCTGGTTTGCAACAGAGATCTGTACCTTTGCCCTTTACAAAGTCAGGGTTGAATAATCCATTCTGCACATCGAACTGGTCAGAGGTGAGGTTCTTGGGAATCCGCCCATCGAATTGCAGCTGGCATGTTTGCGCCGTGACCTGCAAGGCGCCAAAAAGAATGGATAGAATGGAAGAACGGAACATTGTGGTAACTGGTGTAAGTTGTAGAGGCTGTGGATTACCGGTATTTCTTGGAAGCACGAGAAAGAGCAGATTCTTTCGTTTAAATATTTGGCGAAAGCTGTCAAGATAATGGCAAAATGGGGCTTGAGCTGTCACTGCGATCAATCGATGACATGCTTTCAGACAGACTAATTTACCCCAAGCCAAAGCCGCGGAAGTCGATGCTCCTGAAACTGAAAGCAGGCCAATTAGGCAGATCATTGCTGGAGGGGACAGGGATCTGCGGAAGGCTCGGAGCACCCGGCCTGGAGTTCGTTATTATCGATCTGTAATGGTAATTTCTCAAGATGATGCTTTCAAATATTTAACTCTAAGCATAATCTGAAGCTATTGTGGAGATCCTCGTGTCTGTGACCATCATGAAACAACATGAAGATATTGCACCTTCAGTGACATCTTTATTGGAACCCTCAAAGGGAGGCCTTTTCACTATTTTATGAAGTTGGTGATGATAATAGCTGAGAAACAAGCTCATATCATTGCAATAAAAAGTGTGAAATTGCAGAATTGAGCAAGACAATTGTTCAGCCTCATATTGGAAGCCAGAAAGGTTGTTGACTGAGAGTCTCAGGCATCCCGGGCTTGAGATTGGATATAGCTGTTTGTGCCAAATTAAATGTCGATTAGGCTTAAGCATCTTTCCTCCAAGGAATTGATTGATGCTTTCTACTGATGATGATATTTCGACAAATCAGGACCACTTACAGCGCTATGCTGGTTGATTTGTAAGTCCTTAGCGCGATCGCGGCATTCTTGGAGCCTCAACAAACAGCTCATTCCAGCTCTGAAAATCTTGATTCTCACTCAATGAGCATCGCACAGCATTGCTCAGTGATTGATGCGACTATATGTGAATTGGCCCACTGCTGCCGCTGACGGGCTACTGGATTGAGACTGGAATTGGGATGACATGAGAAGAGCTGAGCCACCCACTCACCATCCTTGCCGTGACACACGTGACAAGATCTCAGACACCAGCGATCCAGCGCCGCTCGAGACTGCGCCTTAGCATCTGAGTCGCGATTGAGATCAAGACGCAGGCGACCTCCGCAGCGCCTGCTCTGGCCGCCCATCCCACGCCCGCCCCGTCTCCTGGAAGCGCTCAAATGGACCAGGCCGAGCCTCGTGTTCCGGGCTCGTCCGAGCTGCCGGTCCAGGGCGAGAAGCGCACCGCCTCCGAGGAGCCAAATGTCCCGTCCGAGGCCAAGCGGATCAGGACGCACCACGACGAGAGCCCCGAGCTCGATATACACTCCTCCCCTTCGAGCCAGAGGATCCCCTTCCCAGAAAAGGCATGCCCTATCTCTGACTCCAATCTGATCCGGTCTGTGCTAATTGAGCAGTAGCCTGCCGTCATAGAAGAGCGCAATGGCGAGATTGAGTTCCGCGTGGTGAACAATGACGGCGCTACAGATAGCATGATTATACTGACTGGCCTGAAATGCCTCTTCCAAAAGCAACTGCCCGAGATGCCCAAAGATTATGTCGCAAGGCTTGTATACGACCGCACTCACCTGTCCATCGCCATCGTGAAAAAGCCAATGGAGGTCATCGGCGGTATAACATATCGCGAGTTCCGCGCGCGCAAGTTCGCCGAGATTGTCTTTTGTGCCGTCTCGTCCGACCAGCAGGTCAAAGGGTACGGAGCCCATCTCATGGCGCATCTCAAGGACTACGTCAAAGCTACTTCGCCCGTGATGCACTTCCTGACCTATGCCGATAACTATGCTACGGGGTATTTCAAGAAGCAGGGCTTTACCAAGGACGTCACCCTCGACAAGCCCATCTGGATGGGGTTCATCAAAGATTACGAGGGAGGTACACTAATGCAGTGTTCTCTCCTCCCCCGGATACGCTATCTTGAAGTCGGCCGTATGCTTCTTAAGCAGAAGGAAACAATCATGGCCAAGATCAAGGCAGTGAGTAAGAACCACATCATCCATCCTCCTCCCGAGCAATGGGCCAACGGCATCACCCCCATCGACTCCCTTTCCATCCCCGCCATCCGGGCCACGGGCTGGTCTCCCGACATGGATGAGTTGTCACGGGCGCCTCGCCACGGGCCTCACTTCAACGAGTTCCGGCGGTTCCTATACCAGATTCAAAATCACAAGCAGGCATGGCCGTTCCTCCATCCAGTCAACAGGGACGAAATTCCCGAGTACTACAAGGCCATTGCGCAGCCAATGGACCTTTCGACGATGGAGGAGCGGTTGATGAGTGATCACTACACCACGCCGACGGACTTTGTGGCGGATTTCAAATTGATATTCAGCAACTGTAAGCAATACAACGACGCGTCGACGGTGTACAGCAAATGCGCGGTCAGGCTGGAGAAGTACATGTGGACTTTGATCAAGGAAATCCCAGAGTGGTATCAACTGCTTGAAGAATGATCAAGAATGATTGGGAAATATGCTATGGCCGAGTTGGATCTTACGAAATGCAGTCAGGGTTGAAATATTAAGCCGGAGTCGGAGTTTATGTTTAAGTCAGTGGGAGGGCCGGCTCATAGCACATCTAGGTAACGGGTGCGTCTATGTAACTGAAATACATCTATTATATGCCTTGTTCAAACAGTCTCTGCCAATACGTCTTGCTTGTATTGTAAAGCATCTCATATGTTCAGAATGCATCACTTGCATTAGCTGTGGTTCAAATGATACATGCAATTGGAACTCTCAAGCCGTAGTTGTGATATCCCTAACCTCAACTCATAGCTCGTAGCGGCGTTTACCAGGACAACAAGTATCTAATGTTATTTTTGAATGCTTACAAACCTAGTAATATGTTGATCCGATATAGAGATTTATTGTTATAATCACAACTACCTCGTAATAAGGATATTCCTGTTTCAAACAACTAACAAAAAAGTGCAAAATTGCTACGACCATGTAAAAGCAAAGGTAATGCCCCGGGTGCGATTCGAACGCACGGTCTTCGCATTACGAGTGCGACGCCTTACCGCTTGGCCACCGGGGCTAGCTCATGGTAATTTTCGAATTATTGGGCTATTAATATTGAGCCAGACTGGAGTTCTCCGTTTGACCTGGTTGGCGTGGCTGTAAACCTTACCAGTGCTAACGCTCAGGATGGCCACCATTACTTTGAATAATATAAACTAAGTATCTGTATTTCGCTTTACTTGTTGTATTAAATCAGACACGGATGTAAGTTCTGAAACTACTTGAATTCCGTAGTTATTAATGTACTAGGCGTAGCTAGAAGAAGGTTTCGTCCAGAAAAATGCACCTTGAGCCTGCTACAATGCGACACCCACCCGAATCAATATGCCCATACACCAAGATATGTACATCAAGTGATTCTGGCATTAATTGATACGGTAAGCCTGAAACTATGCATTTTTATCTGGCATTTACCTTCGATCAAACGATCTACGGATCCAGGCTTAAATCCTGGAGTCAAGGGCCGGTGTGCCTGCTGAGCCGATCGACACCACCACCAAGAAAGCGTCAAAGAGGAGGGAACATATAAACCCGTCCGAAATCTCAAACTCGCAACAAATGACAGGGGCGAGTAATCGCCAGAGGGACGAATAGCGGAAACTTGACTATTCGTCCATTCATGAAACACGGAGTAACTTACCCCGGGCGCGTGTCACCAGATGCTCCACGGCCGAAACAAGAAAATGGCCGTGGAACGGAGGTCCAACCTCCGAGGTCAGTTTCACATATGCTTGCACTCAAGCGATGCACTCATCTCATAAAACATTGAACCCCGCCAGTTCCGAGTCTCCGCAAGCTCTTCTTCAATCTCTATCATTCTTCTTTTTCTCTTCAACATGCGTTTCTCAAAGGCAATGGTGGGAGCTGGGCTCCTTACCGGAACGTCGGCTCAACTCCACTCCCTCGCTGTCGCTGCTGGCAAGCTTTACTTCGGTTCAGCCACTGACAATGGCGAAATCACCGATACTGCGTACCGGGCAATCCTAGATAATGCCGATGAGTTTGGGCAGATCACACCCGGCAACGGACAGAAGTGGCAGTTTACTGAACCAACTCAAGGCCAGTTCAGCTACACGTCCGGAGACGCGATTGCCGCCTTGGCTAAAGAGAATAACCAGCTCCTGCGATGCCACACGCTGGTCTGGCACTCACAGCTGCCATCCTGGGTCTCGGGTGGCTCTTGGACAGAGGCGGAGCTGACATCAATTATTGAAACGCACATTAGCAACGTCGTTGGTCATTACAAGGGTGCTTGTTACTCTTGGGACGTCGTCAACGAGGCACTGAACGAAGATGGGACGCTGCGGGACAGCATCTTTTCCAAGGTCCTCGGATCTTCCTTCATTGGTATTGCGTTCCACGCAGCCGGCCAGGCTGACCCAGACGCCCTGCTGTACTACAATGACTACAACCTGGAATGGACTGGATCGAAGAGCAAGGCCGTCATCAACACCGTCATCCCTGCCATCAAGGCCGCGGGCGCCGAAATCGACGGTGTAGGTTGCCAGGCGCATCTCATCGTTGGCTCAGTCCCGTCGCGCGCGGACTTGGCTGCCACCCTCAAAAGCTACATCGACGCAGGTGCCCGTGAGGTGGCATACACCGAGCTGGATATCCGCTTCTCTAGCCTCCCACCCACTGATGATGGCCTGAAGACGCAAGGGGATGCCTATGCTGATGTTGTTGGAGCGTGCCTTGATGTAGAGGAGTGTGTTGGTATTACCATCTGGGACTACACAGACAAATACAGTTGGATTCCGAGCGTGTTCCCGGGCTCTGGAGCCGCTCTGTTGTATGATGAGAATCTGGAGAAGAAGCCAGCATGGACAAGCGTGAGCAGTATTCTTGCTGCTGCAGCAACTCAGGCTTGTTAAGAAATTGACAAATTGACCAAATGATATCGGGCGCCCTGGCAGGTAGCTAGATGTATATAGCCAGTTTGATTTCTGTACACAATCATAACCACTTGGTATCAATTCGAGATCGAATATGCGTCGCTAAGATTCTGATTGTTATTTGTTGAAGGATAATTCATTACTTGAGCAAAGGAGATTACCGCTAACGTAAGGCGTAACATCACCTCAATATCTGATACATCCTTGTTATTGCCTACCCTTGCGAAATGATGGTCAATTGGAGAGTACTTGGTGGATGAAATCACTCATGAGCTGCTAAGCAAGCTGTATTCTGCCGACCTCAGACGAAACTTTCCTGCAGTAGATGTAAAATAGCTTTCACCATCCCATCCTCCTGCCACGGCCGCCTACTCTTAGATAACAATCCTCATGTTAGCTCCGTTAGCCATCTCGTACAACGCGAAATCTACTCGGCTCGTTTAGATGCGAATCCTCGCTCCAGCTGATAGGTCTTTCCATGATTGCTTTGAACACGCCCGTTCAGAAAACACGCTGATAAAATATTAGAGCGACTTAAATTTCCAGGCGAGATCAAAGATACCGCAATGCCCTTTCGGGATGGCCCGTAGCTGGTGAAGCTTTCCGTGGTGCCCTGCCGATCAAAATGTTGAATTTCACCCACTACCGCGCCAAAAACCTCTATCTTACAAAACCCCCATTATTCTCCCAGTTTACATCGCGGCTAAGTAAATTAACCTGAAAAATCACTTATAACGGCCAGGGTTATTCGGCTATTTATGACCTCAAAACATCTTTTTTTACTCTTGCCCAGTTACACTGAACTGTTCGCGTCGAGCTATGAGCTGTAAGAACTTTATGTTTGTTCGACTCGGAGAGTTTAATGCACCCTGTACTTCGAAAAAGAAAGTTAGAAAGTAGCATCCAAGAACTAGTAGAGGCAATAATAAAGGGCCTCTTGGTATGATTAGTGAGACAACCAAGGGAAAGGTTACGAACGTGAAAACTCCGGAATGCCCGGAAGTTGGGAAAGAGGCGCTATCCCTGGTGAATATACTTCGAGGGCCTGTCTTGGACGGCATTCAGTGCCCGATTCTTATTACATACCCCCCCTGAGTAGCAAGGAATAACGGCTCTACACTCGGCAGTGCAACAACGCCCAGACCAACCGCACGACAGGTATCTAGCGTGCGAGCAAGGCCTTTGGGGCTTGAATCGTCATTCCTGTCATCATAGCAGGTACTAGCAAGTTTTATATGGGAATTTGACGGAGTAGAAGAAGAAGATTTGATCATAATCCGTTGTCTGCGATCAGCGCTGACAGGGACCAAGAGCTCAAGGATGAAAGAGGGGTTCGTAGGGTCTCTACTTTACAAGTATAGCATGCTTCTATAGTGCCAGAGTCAATACGTAATTATGCGCATGCATATTTCGAACACAAGTATCATAACAGGAAATTATATACTTGAAGGAAGGGCGTGATGTGATATCCACACAGCGTCCAAAAATCCTGAAGATTCAGTGACCCTCGAGCACGCACTAAAATCTTAGATCATCAAGTCTTGGGCCTCCAGGAACTTTTCTCGATATTAGATGTCTGTATGCGAAGTGTCTCTCCAGACTATGGGATCAAAAATAAGAAAGATTGCGCAGGCTGGTAGGCCTCATCGATCAATGAAACATACAATACAGGCTTCTTTTACTGTTCGCGTTCAAAGTACATTCTAGACATCAATTTGCATGCCTGTGATATCGAACCACTCTTCATAGGTAGTAACGAACTTTAAATAGTTTCAAATACGGATATGCTGTTGATGCTTGAGTAGCATTTGGCTATTTGTAGATAGCGTACCATGACCTAAGATGCCTTCATCCACCGTGAGCTACATTTAAATGTCTTTTTGTCTGTGAGCTTGTTCATTTTTGGGACTGTCTTCATGATTGTTTATGTTGTTTATGCTATCTGAGAGATCAGAGATGGTTAAGGTTGACTAACTTCTCCACAAGCAATTCTTTGAGTTAGCCTAGTATCCGTAGCATAGGAGGAAATAGGTGGCCTATCTTCTAATTCTAAACTTGACACTTGCCATATTTCTCAAGCCCAGCTCTGGATTTGCCACCACCGTCGTAAATCATCACCCATAGATGAACAGCGTTGAGAGAGACTGCAGGGTAATGTCCCATTTGGTGGGGATCTGAAACATGGATTTGAATCGGGAAGTATCCTCGCGCCCCCTGTCAGTTTGAAATAAATGCAGAGCCATACCAAACTGGGAAACATCATCGCGTTCCCTGTTAGCTTCAACTCCAAAAACAACAGCTCAAGACAACGCTCGTATCTGGTCCACGACTTGCTAATAATATGAAGAAAAAGCTCAGACAATAAGGGCGATCTTACAGCTTATTAGATTCATTTCTCCACAGAGCTCATGGCCTAGTTAACTCATTATTCGGGTGACTGTCTCTACCTGCCCCTTTTATGACGACCGAAGACCCTCTTTTCTCCTCTGGTATCTTTCTATAAAAGCTTCGACTGGCCATGTATCACACGTAGATAGAATTGAAACTGCACCCAACTTCACTTCACTCTTTTACAAATCACTCCTTTCGATTACCTTTCAAGATGCTGTGTCTTCACTACCTCGCGCCCATCGCTTTTGGCCTTTTCAGTCTTGTTTCGGCAGCTGATAATTCGTCTACGACCGTGCCAATCCCGCCAAGCCTTGATCCGTGGTACACTGCGCCTCAAGGCTGGAAATGCAAGCCGGCCGGTACACCTCTGAGGGTCAGACCTGCCCCAGGTAACATCTCGGCCGTAGTCAAGGGCGCTGCGAGTGCCTACAATGTGATGTACCGCACCTCCAACAGCCATTACGAACCTTCCTGGGCCGTGACGACGCTCTTAGTTCCACAGACGCCGAACCCGAAAGCCCTGCTCAGTTATCAGATTGCATACGACACCCATCATCTCGACGACAGCCCCAGCTACACCATCTACTCTGGCCTTGCTACTGACGCGATGGCCTGGGAGTTAGTCCTCACATCCGGCCTGTTCATCAACTTGCCAGACTACGAAGGTCCTACCTGTAGCTTCGGGGCAGGCATTACCTCCGGCCTCGCCACCATCGACTCCGTCCGCGCACTCCTCAGCCTCAGCGACGAGCTCGGCCTTGCTGCTGACGCACAATATGCCATGTGGGGTTACTCGGGAGGTGCCCTGGCCTCACAATGGGCGGCAGAGCTGCAAGAATCGTATGCGCCGGAGATGAACTTCGCTGGCATGGCCATCGGTGGTGTTCCGATCAACGCGACGAGTGTTATTCGCGACCTTTCGGGCACGCCGCCGGCTGGGCTGGCATTCTCGGCCATCTGGGGGCTCACAAGCCAGTACCCGGGCTCCTGGGACGAGCTGCTCAAGCGTATGAAGACGGAGGGCCCGATGAACGTCACCGGATGGACCGATGCTGTCAAGAAATCGACCACAGAGACTGCCACCATCTTTGCGAACCAAGACCTCTCTGAGTACTTTACGAACGGGTTCGACTTTCTCTACGAGACGCTTTTCTCGACAATCTTCTATAGGGACGGCACGCTGGGTCACTCTGGCACGCCCAAGATGCCTGTCTACGCGTACAAGGCCATTCAAGATGAGATTAACCCGATTGCAGAGTTGGACGAGGTTATTGCCCAGTACTGCCACGACGGGGCTAACATACTGTATGAGCGGAACACCATTGGTGACCATGCGGCAGAAGGGCTGAACGGGGCTTATCCTGCACTCTTCTGGCTCCAAAGTGTATTCGCGGGCACATACGGTTCTACGTACAACACTACTGGATGTACAATTAGGGATGTTACCACCAGCTACTCGGACTTTAGTTCCTAATTGAGGCAATAGTCGTTTCTCAAGAGTAAATTTGATGTGCTACAATATTTACTATGCCTTCAAGTGGTTCTCGAACGGCGGCTTTATGGTAGATGGGGTACCAGAGACAGCATAGATATCACTAATTACATTTTCATTTCAGACAGCTAGATCAGATCAAGTCAATAACTTATAAGCAGGTATTAATAAATTCTTCAGCTATGCAACTTGTGAACATCGATGAAGTAGCCCACTGAATACGTAAACTCTCCCCCTGGACATGAGCTGGAAAAGGATGCCACCTTCCTAAGCGCACGTCCTCGCATTCTCTAGATGGTATATCTGAAGAAAGGACTCTCGTCGCCCAAGTCCCTCAGCTCATCCTCGGTATACTTCGCATGGACCTCATCAACCGTCATGGCATCCCTCCTAGCATTGATCTGCTTGAACTTGAAGCGAAGAAACATCGTCGCACCGAGCGAAAGCACAATGACGCCTAGGGATGTGCCATAGCCTGTCCAGTAGTAGGGCGCCTCCCGCGTGAGGTAAATGTTGGTTCCGACAGCGCCGCCTAGGTTGCCCACTGAAATCATCAGGGCCATTCCCACGGATCGCTTCCACGGACCAGCAAGGTTGTTTGCTAAGTGATTGTTAGCTTAATCTGTAACCAGAAATTGCGTGAGTTGTCCAATCATACCTGTCCAGGCGACAGTCCCGCAAACAATTGAGTACAATCCCATCGCCACAAGGAAAAGCATGGCATAAAGAGCGCCAGGTGCGACGCCCTTCTTTGGAATAGCTAAGAGTCCAACAAGTCCTGCTCCTCCGATCATCAGTGGCACAATCACAAAGAGTGATCGATCACCTGCTCTATCGGACAAGAAAGCTGTCAAAAGCAGGGCAACGACAGCGGCGGCGTAGATGGGCATCGTCATAAGTTGCTAAACAGTGAGTTAGAATTTGCTCCGCCAGATTTCCTGTTCGTTGAAACTTACTGCAATCTCAGCAGTATACCCAAGCTCCTTCAAGACAGTAGGCAGGGTGTAAATGAACCTGGAATCATGGTTAGCCTGGCTTGGACGTTGTAAATCGCATCACTTCCCTTACCCATAGATTGGAATAGCACTGCCCCAGTAGGCGACAACAACAGCCCAGACCTTGTAGTCTGACAACGCAGACCAAACAAACTTCCACTGGAATTTTTCGCTCGCATCGTAGGAACCTTGAGTCGTACCGGTATCGTGTCGGAGTCTGTGTGCCACAATTGCCTTCTCCTCCTCGGTGAGGAACTTGCATGAAGCAGGGTCGTCGGGTAAAACGAAAAAGGCGCAAAGGGCGATCAACACTGTCAACATGCCTTCAAGAATGAAGACCCTGATTTGTGTTAGCTGCAAGTATCTCTGGCCTGCAAGATATACAATAGGTTAAATCTTACCATCGCCAACCTTCAAGACCGGCAACACCATTCATTTTGTTGATCAAGTACGCGAGAAGTCCAGAGACAGCGCCAGAGAATGCACCGGCGGAATAGAAGATGCCTGCGCGAAGTTGAATCTCATGCCGTTTATACCACATGGTGAGGATATAACTGGCAGCCGGGAAGAAGCCAGCCTGCGGAACTATGTTAGTTGCCATCCTCATGTTTCGATTGAAGCCGGATGTTTACCTCGCCGATAGCCAGAAAGAACCGCGCCGCCATTAGCCCAGGGAATCCTTTTACTAGACCCATGAGCCTATTGACTTTTGATTAGCTTGTTGAAAAGGACATGGAAGAGCTGAGAGCCACTTGCGTTGCGATAGTTCCCCAAGTGACCATCATGATGCCGATCCATTTGGACGGCTTCAGCACCTTCAACATTAAATTGGATGGGATCTCGAAGAGCGAGTAAGGGATGAAAAAGATTGTTAAGCAGAGATTGTACTGTTCGGCGGTCAATTTGAGGTCTTCCTTGAGACCAATGATGGCGGCATTTCCCACTGTTTGCAAATACGTGAGTAACTTGCGTCTTGCGAATCTAATAGCAGCGAGACTTATATAGATACGTACTATTGGAACGATCCAAGTAAGAAACCAGGTACATGATAGCCAGCATCGGCAGCAGGTACATGTCGATCTTCTTCTTGATCCGACTCTCCTGCTCCGGAGTGTAGTTTGCGCAGGCTTCAGCACTCCCCATGGCGAGAGACTGATCGTCTGCGCCGACTTTGGCTACCATCTCGGTCTTCTGCGTGCTGGTGTCTTCTTTCATATTGGTTGTTGGGAGAATGAGGGAAATCAACAGTGTTGTCTTGTGAGAGAAGATGAGAGATCAGAAGTTAACCCGGATTCTCCAACCATGATATATACGCGTCAACTTCCTGAAGATCAAGTCACTTGATAGGACAAAGATACGAATCCTTGCCCATCAAGGATATCCTTTCGCGCCCCCCAATGAAAACTTACTTTCTTGCATACCAAATCGCGGGGGTGGATCGGAGAACCCTACGATAAGTCATGTCCCAGTCTTGGCCATGACTAGGGGCAAAGTTAGGGAGAAAGCCGGCTCAAAGCCGTGCCGGAACCGTGTCGGGGCCGTACCGGCAATGACACGGACGTGTCCAGCATGGAAGAAGCCGACCAACCATTCCTACCCTTTATCAGAACTAATGGAGTCATTCTCTAGGTCTGTGGATCTTTGCGGGCATGCCTTGAGTGGATATATGAAGATAACGATTGGTTGGCCCTGGAGTGAGGCCATATCTTCCCATAGTGAAGGTATAAAGCCGTGGCGTCTGGGTAGAGTGCCTTGATATTGCCTAGCAACGCGCAACAAGACTCTAGCTTATCTCTACACTCACTCACACTATTTCGTCCACTATCTGCAAGATGAGCTGGGAACCTGCAGCCCGCGAGGTACGGGAAGCCCTTGAGAGTGCCATCCCACTCAAGTGGAAACTCCCGAGGGGTTTCAAAACCAACTCGAAAGATGTTACCCGAGTGCCTCTAGAGTGCGGCATTCTCTCCGAAGAAGAGATCCGTATCACAGAATTGGACGCATCAAGTTTGGTGTCCAAGCTATCTACAGGAAAGCTCTCGGCCGCAGCCGTTACTGAGGCCTTCTGTGCTCGAGCGGCGATCGCACATCAACTTGTAAGCAGAATAATGGATTCGGCTTGGATGTTTGCAGCTTCATGTTCGACTAACATCAAATCCAATCTTGCCTACTAGGTCAACTGTTTGGCGGTATTCTTCCCTGATCAGGCGCGAAAGAGAGCCGCAGAGCTGGACGAGCATTTCAAGCGGACTGGAAAGCCAATCGGGCCACTTCATGGTGTGCCAATTGCCCTCAAGGTGAGGATCGATATTCACTAGAAATAGGGCAATCTATTCTCCGCCTCTCGGCTAATGATTCTTCCAGGACACCTTTGATGTCCCCGGGTATCCCACCACTTGGGGCTATGCTGCGAGCTGGAAGAAGAAGGCCAACCGTGAGTCGGCAATCGTGACCGTCCTGCGAGAAGCCGGAGCCGTCTTCTACTGCAAGACGACAATGCCACAGACTGGGATGCTGTTGGAAACAGTGAGCAACCTTTTTGGGCGCACCTTGAATCCCTTCAACCCAGCATTCGGCTCAGGTGGAAGTTCGGGGGGTGATGGTGCTCTGGTGGCCATGAAAGGAAGTCCCTTTGCTCCATCTACAGACATCGGCGGTTCAATCCGTGCTCCGGCAGCGTTTAACGGACTATATGGAATTCGTCCTTCGGCGGACCGGATACCAAAACGATCTATGAAAAGCGTGGAGAGCGGTCAGTTGAATATCCGTGTTTCGTGTGGCCCTGTGTGCCACAGTACATCCGATCTCAAACTCATGACAAAGGTGGTCACAAATTGGCCTTCTGCAAGATATGATACGGCAAGCATGCCTCTGCCGTGGAGGGAGGTAGATGAATCAGGACAGAAGCTTTCCTTTGGCCTCTGGGAGTTTGACGGCGCCGTGATGCCTCATCCTCCAATCCTCCGAGCTTTGCGAGAGTCAGCTGAGAAGCTGAGGAAAGCCGGCCATGAAGGTAAATATCCAAGAGCTCGCATTCCCTATGGTTAACATAACTAACAGAGAGGATGGATAGTTATCAATATCAAGATTCCCATAGACTTTTGGGAGGCTTCCGAGGTTTACGTAAGTTTATTTTGCAGTCTTATAAGCCAGTATGCTTGAGGTTAATGTTTTCCGGCTCGATTAGATGAGGCTTTATTACCAATGCGGAATTGAAGACAGTACCAAGTTGCTGGCAGAAGCAGGCGAGACAATGATGCCGGCTGCTCAAAAGATGTGTGACATATATGGAATCAAGAACGAATCCATTAGCGCCAGAGAAGTTATCAAGGTATGTGTCAACTTCTTTCCAAGTAGTGTGACATCAGAGAAGCAATCCCAACACTAACCCGATTATTACGTAGCTTGTCCAAGCACAAAATAGATATCGGGAAATCCTCTCCGACTTCTGGGACGCTACCAAGACATCAACAGGGCGCCCTATGGATGGCATTCTCTGCCCGGTCTCTTCTGTAGCAGGTTACCCTCACGACTTCCTGCCCTATTGGGGGTACACCTGCTTTTTGAATCTCGTAGATTACCCTTCGACTGTTTTGCCTGTTAAGGATATCAAGATCAACGCTGGAGATGACCCGAAATACCTGTCCTACCAGCCTCAGAACAATCCGTTCGATACCGAGAACCGAGATATCTGTAAGCTTTGAAGGCTTTTGACTGATTAAGCGCCCATCTTCTGACAATATATGATACAGATGACCCTGACCTATGGTCGAGTCAACCAGTCACTATCCAAATTGTGGCTCGACCGTTCGATGACGAGGAACTATTGTCTGTGACTGAGGTTGCGGACCGGGTGATTAACCCTGCACAAAAGCCAATGCTATAGAGTATATGAGGCTTCTACTGTACTTTTAGAGACAGTTAAATATATCCCTTTGGAGTTTCGACTCTGTATGAAAACCCTCCCCAGTTCCTTTGTTCTTGGTTCTTATTCCATTTATGAAGCCGCCCTCCCTCCCAGCAGTTATTATACGCCTCGTGCATAAATAGAAAGACATCGGGGAGAAATGCGGATGCGAGTAACGTATCCAATCACATATAATATATTTTATTATCTATTGACAGAGTCGTCAACGTCCATATAATCCTGCACAGAGGCGGCAAATAGACTAAAGTCAAAAGAATTGTCAGGCATGCCAAACGAAGCATACATATCCAACTGGTCGCTACCTGCGATTGCACTTCCTTCCGGGAAGTCGCATTGCGACATAGGACCGGAAGGCCAACCAAAATCATCTGCTGGAACGTCGCATTGGTTGGTAACGCGGCTGCTCGATTCTCCATCTATAAGGCTGTGTCTCTCGGTCTGGGTATGTTCGCCAGCGTCTGCCTCTGACCACGTAGTAATTTGAGATTGGGAGTTGTCCACCGCTTGAACAACAGAAGTCGATGTTGGACTCGTGGCAGTTTTCATACACGAGGCGGTAAGTCTTGCAAGGTTGAGGATAATCGTACAATATGTTTGATGAGGGTATTCTCCGAGGACATCCGCCACCGAGAGAAATGACGACAAGAGCTTTTCCCAGTCCGAAAAGCCAGGAAGTATCTTCGCCAGTCGAAACGCGAGAGCGGCTGCGTCCTGTCAGATGAAAGCTAAATGATTGGGAGACATAAATAATGACGTACCAGTAAACGCAGGAAATAAAGCCGAGTACGTGGGTGCCCATTGTAAATACCATTTGTAATCATTGTCGTCAGTTATGAAGCTCAGTATTTTGATGCTTCGCATCAGGGTGACCTCGATTAGGTCTTTCACTTCATCTGTCATCGAATTAGGATGAATCTTCTCAGTATTCCCTTCACTTAGTTTACTGATCAAGGCGCTGCAGATGATGATGAATGCGTAGTCTCTTTGCAAACGAATGCTGCTTCGTTGGAAGCTGCTCACACTGTAGTCTTGGTCTACACTTTGTTAGCCTTTGGGTGAATAAGCGAAGTATTGAAGGTTTACCTTGGAAGACAGTGTCCCAACGATTAAACCAGGTGTTGATTTCATTTTCAATGTGACTGACAATGGTGTTTACAGTTCCGCCGAGGCTGTCATGGAGCTCCAGCTCCTTAAGAAGTCGACCTTTAATAGAAGTTAATGGCCGTGTTGATAATACGTAACTGACAGTGGCGCTTACCTCGTAACTGTACCACTTCAATGTTTGCCACGATTCTCATATCCCGGGTACATGATAAAGCGCCGCCAAGAAAAGATTCGAGGAAGGACGATTTTACAGCGTTGCCGATAGATTGGCGAGCTGTACCACCTGTGACTTCCTGTTCAACTTGATGAAGTATCAAAGCCGTTCTTATCCGTCGAATGGATCGCCTATCACCGAACTGTTTGGTATGTAGTTCTTGTTTATCCCCCGTTTCACCCTCTCGAGGAAGGAGATCAGGCAAATGTAGCGCCTTGCCCATCTGGTATGCGTGGCTGATAGCGAACCAGTTCCTCTCTGCATGGGCCGACAGCAAGATCATCCCCTGGACGGTTTCCAGCTGTGTGGAGATGGCAAATAGACTCCGGGCGGCAAGACTCTGTGCCTCTTCGAAGCACTTCTTGCTGGTGGGGTCGGTTCGCGGGCGGTCTGCTCGCAATGCAATGGCAAGAACAACAGTGAAGCAGAAGGTCGAACGGTGACGAAGAGCGTCAAAGGTATCCACAGTCGAGTCGAAGAATGGGAGAAAAACATTGGCATTGGCCATGTATCTACGCACGCATGGTTATCAGAACAGTGAGAGGCTGTATGAAATGTATGCACGTACAATTGGAACAGCTTCCGGCCCTCGGATTCTTTTAGTATTCCACGGGAGACAATATCGTCATATTTCGGTTGTGTAGGCTGTAGAGGCTGACCATAAAGCTTTGTGGTATTCGGCGAGGCCGATATTGTGCTATGATCTTCAATGCTCAGGGAAGTAGGAGAGGGCGGTAGTGAATTTGAGGTCATGGCATGAACGGCGGTGATAGGCGCTTCGAGCTGTAACTTGTCCAGATGCTCTGAGGTGGGTGAGTGTAGAGACTGGGAGCTCTGGACAGTTGCTATATCTCCATGTTGAGATTGCTGCGGTGAAGATCCAGGCGACTTATGAATCCCGTTTACCAGTTCTCGAAGTTGGGAAATTTCTTTCCCAGGATCCAAGTACCTACCCTTTGTAAGCCATGAGCCCTCGGTGTAGCAAATCGTAGGGGAATACGCACTTGGGACGTTTGTCTTCTTGGCCATTCTCCTCCTCCGCTGCTGACTGACCTCTCTTCCTAGTACTTCTGGCGCTACCTAGCTCTTCGAAAACGCAGTCCCTGCCAGTCGCATGACATCGCTTGCAGGGTGGGTTCTCCCCATCGATAATGCATCGAGCTTTCTGGAGGCGGCACGTTCGGCAGGCTTTGAACGTCCTCGGCCTAGTCGCTTTGTACACAATTGTACGCGGTGAGGGCGAGGCCTGTGACATGTTAAAATCGTGTCCCAACAGTCAATCAGTGGCAGTTTTGTTTCACTGTTGGGTAGTGTAGTTGAGTGGCACATTGATCATCGCTCGGCCAGATGTTGGAACACCAGGTTCTCAGGACTGACTAATGGGGGATTCATGCGCCTTATTAGCCCAAGTCTTATCTCCTAACAACCCCTAAGACAAGATCCTTGGCCAGAAAAGCGGGTGCTTCTTATCATCTGTGGAGGAGACTATTGCTGGTTAGGCCTATATATGAGTGGCTAGATGGTCCGGGGCTGCGATTCCGAGTACCCCAGTATTTCTTCCCATTGCGGGGAAATTGATCTCCTCGTGACTCTCATTCACGCTAAGAAGCCTGGGCATTCCTTATATTGGCTTGGAACTAGCCAGCTTGTGGTACTATAGGCGGTGGGAATAACATGGATTTTGAAGCAGATTGCCCCGGGAAAAGCTCTATTCTGTTCGCTGCTCTTACAGGAAGGAATCCGCGGTACTGGCAACCAATGAAAACTCACCGTTCCCAGGAAGTAATCACCGTTCCCTTGGGCATAACAGTGTTGTCATAGCTTTCACCACCAGCAACCCGAACGACTCTTGTCCACCACGTCTCCTTTTCCGGGGACCAGTCCTCGCTAAATGTATCAAGCCAGGCATCGTAAAGCTTCCGTCCCAGGTACCACTTATTTGCAGCCCTAATACAGAGTTCCGAAACTCCGATTAATATACCCAATGTGACAAATGCAACTTCCAAAGGCCTCAGTGAGCTGTTGCTAACGACTCTAGATACGGCGTAGAGCACCGATGAGACTATGCCGCAAATGTCTGAGATGTAGGGGACTACAATTGGAAAGAGCGGTTGTATGAACAACCAGGGTACTACCTCTGCTGAGAAGTAGACGGCAACCATCGCAATGGTGAATGGAGAGAAGGTGCTTGAATATTTTGCACAAATAGCAATCAGCATAAACATGCTGATAAGTCCAGACACCCAGCAGAACCATAACATGACACTGGCCACGCCGGGGAGAAATGCCCACGACGGTACGACTGGTCTCCGTGGAAGAGGTAGTGTCACATGCTCAGGAATGTCTGTCAAGCAACCAAGTCAGGATATGGTGCAGAATTGTTTGGGTGGTGAACGAGGCATTCAGCCAAAAGGGAAATACTTACCGTAACAGATGTTTAACCGCCATGGCTCAGGAAGGAGGGTAGCGTTGGAGTTAGAGTCCTCTTCCAGATCAAAGGCGGAGGTATCCCCATTGTAGGCGGTATCCAAGGAAGCCGATACGGGACAATCAAATACTACCCGATACTCTCGACTTGGTTCTTTAACTTCGCCCTTTTCTACCTCGGACCCTGACGGGGATTCAATAACGTTCAGTATTTGGAAGAGGGCTCCTTGGATAGGCTTTGGTGAAAGCTTTCTGCCGGCACTTAAACCTGGCTGGATCAATTCCTCGGTGAAGACCAACAGCGCGGCACCGGCTTTGTCGAATTCGGTGATAAGCTTATCACCCTCCTGTCGATGAAGCCTGACGTTGTATTTGAACGGCAGTGCCTTATCGGGAATAGTCTGCTGACAGACCACATCCAACCATCGAGATTCTAGCAGTACAACGATCGGTTTGACTTTTGGTGGACTATCCTCATATGGATTATTGTCACCATCTTCTGTAGTGTCAGTTGCAGAGGAGAGCCAGAGCCCGTTTTTGGACATGTGAACTCTGGGCTCCAAGTCCAAAAGGCCTCCACTGGGATATAGAGGGACCCATCTGTTGTAGTGAACTTCTCCTGGTCGGTCGCGGATGCCGTCATTGCAAAAGAAGAGTGACAATGGAAAGTAGGGTAGGCTGAGAAGCAGTGTCGCCATCCTCTCCGCAGGTGTAGCTAATTTGATGATAGTTGTGGCATTGAACTCCAACAGGTTGGCGAAGATGATGTGCAGATCGTCTTTCTTCGTCGTGGCCCTAGAAGAAGACAATGTGTTCCAACAGGTGACAAAGCGCTGGTACAGCGACTCCAATGCATCCATATCATCAAAGTCTAGACCTATCAGTTTGACACCAAGAAATTCATGAACTAATTTGTCTTTTAGGGGTCGAGAAATAAGTGCAACGAGAGGCATCTGAATGTCGGTGGACATTATGGTTACTTGACGACGCATGGTGTCAGGATCGTCATCGTTGGTGCGGAACATCCGGAGTGCCACCAAGATTGTAGAGAGGAACGGGACTATCCATGCCCGAATACTATCCCCTTCAAATATCTTGGTGAAGTAAGTAGGGTACCCAAAGGAAACCGAATTTGGTATAAACGCCCTCTCCGAGCATCTGACCTGGCGGATTGTGCTGATGGCGGCTTCTTGGAAGGTCCAACTTCTGCCCATCCACGGGGCGACGCACATCCGAGCCAGCATCTCACACGCCTCAACCCCTGGCCCGTCGAGTGAGAGTTGCTCCATGTTTGAGTCTAGTATCAAGACCTGAGAAGCACCGGCGTATATAGCTGCCATCTGGTTGATAGCCTTCATCTTTAGGTCGAAATACTACTCCCCTACAGGAATACAAAGCGTATCCAGCCAAAAGTGGGAAGTATCTAACGTTCTGGTCATTCGCCGAAAGTCCATCTTCAGATACCCCATATTAACAACTCCTTGCTGAGGGGCGAGTTTAGGGGCCTCCAGCTCCTTTATGTATTTCGCCAACTTGGTGATCTGGCATCGCGGCAGAGAGTTCGCCGCTGGATTCCCAAGGCCATCCGACCAAACGTGCGAGAATGTTATGTAGGGGGTCTTGTTCGTCATCTTGATCACGTGGAGCTTTGGCTCTTGCTCATCAAACGTGATTGAAATGATCGGTATTCCGCCTTCTCGGATGATAGACCGAACTTGTTCCGCGTCTGGGGCGACATGAGAACAGTCACAGTCAGGAGACACATGTTTCGACTGATAACGGGACATGTCGACATTGTATGCGACGCACCCGTTCTCACAGCAAAGCTCGTGATTTGCTGTATTATAAGGCCGGAGACGGCTAATGTAATACGCCACCACGTAATTGTAAGAGGACAATACTTTGCATGCCATGAATGGACACCAGCCATTAGCGATCATCTCATTAGACAGAAAATTTGCGGTGGCTGCCTGTGGCATCTTGGATGGCCCATCCATGAACCGCAGCTTTTCGATGGCGCCTGGGTTGTAATTATGTTCCAAAAGACTAAAGTTGCTTTGGCTGATGGTCTCCTCCAAAACGCCGGAGAGAGTGGCAACCAGAACACGGACGGAGAGAAGGATGGCTGGCAAAGGGTCACTTGATGCTTGAGGCTGAACCTCCATGGCATCCGCTTCCTTGAGTACAGTCTCCAAGAATTCCATCATCGATTTCTTGCTTTGATATAACTCTAGCGCGGTGCTACGGGAAGTCTTCGTTACCACCTCGGGGCCTAGGATTGGGATCACGTTGGTTAACAGCCATGAGGTAAGAAGCTGTCGCAGCGGCCGCGAGGAGACATGGTCACCCTCTGGGTGACTGGCACGAAACTCATTGCGGTCGAAGTCAACTCCGAGAAAAACTCGGAGGGTACCAAAATAGAGCCATCCCTGTGCTAAGGAGGCGATATCGCCAACTGACCGTGCGGCGAAATCGTTGTTGAAGCCGACGCGGTTTGGGAATGAGACGAAATCCCCTCCATCAAAAGTGATCTCGTCAACGAATGGTACCCGGACATGTGCAAACGCCGTCGCGGCCTCGGGGAGGTGGTCCATTGTGCCTTATCAGACGTTGAATGAGCAATGTCCAGCTTGAGGCGGAAAATTGAGCCCTGTCGATCTCGTCTCATCCTGCATACTATCGGCTGACGGTGATACTTTTCTCCCCTTGCGCCGTAGAATACTGCCAAGATCTCTCCATTTTCTCAGCAAGTGAGTTTCGTCGTTGAATTTCTGCAGTGGTACAACTAGACGCTATAGATTTTTGCAGTTGTCTCAACTATGAAGATGTGAAACAACATTACTTAGCGACACTTCAAGTATGTATAGACACGGAATGCATGAGCAAATTTTCGGGAGAAAAATACTCCATCTGACATCTGCAGTCAAACCCCTGCAGGGCCATCTGACAACCGAAGCACCTATATTTCAGCGGCCGGGGCACTATATTTATCCCAGTCAACCAGGACAACTAGGATTTAACATAGGAGATCTTCGAAACAAAATAAGTAAGAGGGACCGTATATGCTGGCGTAGACTCCCATGTAGCTAGCCAGCTATCCTGATTGTCATCCTAAGATGGTCTTTGACGCTAGGATCTACCCTCAATCAAAGAACATTACAGAGCGTTGCAGCAGGCTCTTGGTTTGCACAAACCACAGCCAATCACACCTTGTTACTTTCATCACATGACATATATGCCTTGCCAAATCATCGGAAGGCGCCTTTCGAGGCTTAGACCTGTCACCAAACATACTGCGTAACATACGAGGCGAACCACAGCAAGGAACTTTTTCGGAAACTCAAGGACACAAAGAAAGTTGGATCAATTGGGGATATGTTTGGACTCGGCATTCTCCAAGATGATGGCAAGCTATGGCCGATCGATAACCTAGCGGAAAAAATCGAGGAAAAAGTGCCTGGATATTATCTGGGTATCCCAACGCGTACTGGGTCTCTTTCTACTTTATGTCCAGGCGAATTTTTACATTTATTGCCACAGGCTATTGAAAACACACCCGAAAGCAACGCCGCTGCCCGTTTTGAGTTACTTGCCACTCTTTGCCGCGCGTACCCAGAGGAGGATGGTCAATTCGTCATAGCTATGAGTGGTGCCAGTCTGGTTGGCTATGTCAAACAGGCCATCGCATACGCTGGGGAGTCTCACCCATTCTACCCAGAATTGCTCTCCATGCTGGCGACTTCTCTTACTGGTAGATTTCACGATTCTTGGGCGACGGGGGCGAACGTGGAGGAACGGTTGCAGCTCAGGCTGAAAGCGATGCCTGATTTAGAAGAAGCATTGGAGTTGAGGGAGAAGGCTTTGGCAATGACGTCCGAAGATGATACTAAATGGATCCCGCGACTGAATGGGGTCACGAAATCTCTTTTGGAAAAGGCTCAGAGGACTAAGGTAAGCCAGGATTTGCGTGCGGTTGAGAGCAATGCTCGAAAGGTTGTCGACATGGTTCCTGAAGGGCATCCAGACAGAGGTGAAGTTCTATGGCAGCTGGGGGACGTCCTAGACGTCTTAGACTATCTATCTACGGAAGATAGATTTCCGGAGTCTTATTTTGAAGAAGCTACGAAATTGGGACTCCGAGCACTGCCCTTGACGAAGGCCAACAAGTCGGCACGGGCATGGGGGATGGAGCGGAGGCTCATAAGACGGTATGAAAACACAGGCCGAATCGCATATCTGGACGAAGTCATCCGCTTTCGGCAAGAATATGATACAGATGATGGTGAAGGAAAAGGATCATTATCTGAGATCGGGGAGCTATTCATGATAAGATATCTACGAACAGGCGCAATGTCCGACTTAGACGAGTTTATCTGCAGGATGGAACGCACAGTGGCGAACGGGGAAGACCACTATGGCATGCGCACTGAATGGGCAAACAGTCTTGCAGCTGGGTACGGATATAGATACGCAATAACACGCGTCGAATCTGATATCAGGAGATCTATCGATCTACTTCGAGATAACCAAAAGACAATTTCCCGGCGACAAAGTGCGCGGTATGAATTCGACGAAAGCTGGCGAAATCAGGACGAGTGCGCGCTTCACCTCGCCAACCAACTTGAGAGCAGGTTTCGAGTATCAAAATCCATGAGAGATCTTGACGAGGCTATTGAGATCGATAATAACGTCATTCGCCAAATTTGGTTCAGGAAGGACAATCAGATGCATGATAAACAACGCGGTCTTGCCCAGTATGCGATCCGGTTGCTGAAGAGGTACTGCATTCAAAAGAGTGCAGAAGATCTCACAAATGCTGAGAGAATATGCCACCAGGCGGTAAATGCAGAAGTAAATGGCATAAATCTATCGTTTGCGCTTTGTGCGCTTGGGGACGTGTTTTACCAACGCCATCTCGATGGGAAGTCGCCCGATGCCCTAAGAACGGCCAGTTCGGCATATGAAGATGGCTTTTCCAACGAGAACAGCTCTCCACAGCACCGCATCCAATGTGGAATGGGATTGTTGAAGGCTCTTTGCCTCATGGGAAGATGGGAAGATGGGTATGAAACTTCTACCAAAACTCTCACGCTAGTCCAGCAGATGATGGCACGGTCACTCGAAAATGCAGAGAAGCAGTACTTGTTAGGCCAATGTGTCGGCTTTGCTTCTGACGCAGCATCAGTAGCACTAAACGCAGGAAAAGGACCTGAGATCGCCCTGCAGTTCCTGGAGCAAGGCCGCGGGTTGCTTGCTTCTTCAATAGAGGATTCGCGAATCGATGTCACTTCCCTCCGGACGAGCTACCCGGATTTGGCTGGAAGATTTACCAGTATCCGTGAACGGCTCCAAGAGTCAGCGACTCCGAGAATCGATTCTGGGAAAGGGCATGATTTGAGTTACCATAAAGAAGCGCGGTCGGTTCAGCGCCACAGGCTCGGTGAAGATCTTGATCGATTAGTTGATGAGATTCGAAAAAGGCCAGGATTCGAAACTTTTCTCGCGGCACCTACAGTGCCAGAAATGCAAGCTGCTGCTGCCAATGGTGCCATTGTTGTACTCAATGTGAGCAAATATCGCTCTGATGCAATTATCGTTGAGAAGGGTCGACTTCATGCTCTACCATTGCCGATGCTGAGCAAGGAGGAAGTGGTGGAGAGAGCCAGAGGTGGCACAGCAGCATTAGCCAACACCAAGACACTTGAGTGGCTATGGGAAACTGTTACATCGCCGATTCTGGACTATCTTGGCTTTACTCAATCGCTTGGGCAAGATGAATCGCAATGGCCTCGCATCCGGTGGATTGCGACTGGCATAATGAGCAGTTTCCCAATCCATGCCGCTGGCTGGCATGCAGCACCGCCAGATCTAGGACTCACGGTACTGGATAGAGTCGTTTCGTCGTACAGCTCATCGATCAAGGCGATTATTCATTCACAAAAGCGCCCAGCTTTCGATTACCAGAAACTCGGAGACCAGTCTCAAGCGCTTCTTGTCGCTGTGCCGCAGGCCCCGGGATGTTCAAGCCTTCCTTCTGCAGCAAAGGAGCATGAGGTGCTGCAAAAATTGTTCAACACAATCAACTGGGAAGTTCACGCAGCAGAGAATACCAAGGCAGGTGTTGTGTCTCGCCTCCGCTCATCACAGATCTTTCATTTTGCTGGCCATGGCACCGTCGATCCACTCAACCCCTCGAGAAGTTTCTTGTACCTTGAGGATTGGAAGAAACACCCATTCACTGTAGCTGAACTATTGGAGCTCAACCTTCAACAGGGCATGCCGTTCCTCGCCTATCTCTCTGCTTGCCGAACTGGCCAAGTACGAGATGAAGAATCCCTTGATGAGAGCGTTCATTTGATCAGTGCGTTCCAACTGGCGGGTTTTCGGCACGTCATTGGCACGCTTTGGGAGGTAAACGACGATATATGCGTGGACATGGCAAGCTATGCTTACCAGGCCATATGGAATGGACGGTTCACGGATAGGTCCGTCTGCTTGGGGTTACATACAGCGATGAGGAGGCTTCGGGACGAATGGCGAAGCCGCTTGGCATCATCAGGCCAAAGAGGGAGGAAGGGGGCGAAGATTGATTTGGCAAACAGTGCTGAATCACAGACGAGCCGCAACCAGGGGACTAAGGAAGGCAGGGATATGCTTCGCTGTGACGAGGAGGAGACGCTCTTTTGGGTGCCCTTCGTTCATTTCGGAGTATAACCGCGGAGCATAATCGGGTGTCCTTTGTCCAAGACTTGTAATGTAACGGTAAACTGGCTTGTTGAATAAGGGCGTTCGCGCCCATCTTCGGCTAATAGTGCATCTGTGACTAGCAATCGGATTTGATCAGTTTCTCGTGTTATTTCAAAAGCTGTTTGCAGTCATCCATGCTACCAAACCGCTATTTAGGCAATTCCTGGCTCCTTGGAAATAAAAGTACCCAAGATCTTCTGCTTGAAATCATACTGCAACTTCTTTCCCGCATTTCCCTTTGCTGTTGAAAGCTCAAGGGGCTGGCAGGACTTGTTCGGAATGGTGGGGCGTCGCTTTAGCCCGTAAGGCGTCCTTTGGGTTCATAAGGCGTCGTATTGTCTCGTACTCAATGTCAATATTATCCCATGAGTTCGTCTTAACTGCGGAGAATATGGCTTTTCATTGGGTAATTCGCCTGGTGGCTTGTCAGGTTATCCTCTCCCGTCGGGTATTTCCCCAAAGCCCCTGCCGGAAACATCGCCTACATGTTGGCGCGTCACGCATGCAGGAGAAATACGAAACGGACGGCAATAAGTGATCCGGGCGTTTGATGTCAAACTTGGCAGTATCATCGTCGGGGATGTTAGTTGGCTGATCCTGAAACTGATAGCTTACCCCTGAAATTTAGACGTAACAAGGGTCACAACGCTGAATGAAGCAGTGCGGTATCAGACATGCCGAAGCTAAGACACGCGATCGTGGGGTTTAAAACTCTTCGAGTTGTTCATCAAACTGAAAGTTTTTGATCATGCAATTGACTTTACAGTGCCGGACACTCACTCCTTTCCATTGATACTCTTTTTCGCCCCGAGGGTCTGTCATCAGCCTCTCATTATTAACTTCTGTCCAGTTTCGCGATTTGTAATATCTTGCCGAGATCCAACAAACAAAATGAAGACAACATCCACATTCCTCCTTGCCCTAGCTGGACTAGGGAAGCTCGGCGCTGCCCAGACTGTTGTGGGTGAAGCTGAGGGTTTTGCCAGTGGCGTTACGGGCGGCGGAAGTGCCACGGCACAAACCCCAGCGGATATCACGGAGCTGGCAAAGTGGCTCACTGATTCAACTCCCCGAGTCATCGTCCTGGACAAGGAATATGACTTCACCGAGTCAGAGGGAACAGAGAGTGGTAATGTCTGTGCAAGCTGGGGTACAGGCTCCGCGTACCAGAGGATCATCCAGGATGACTGTGGTGACAAGCCCGCGTCCACGGATACATGGTACAAGGCGCCCAGGACGCCCATTGATGTAGCCTCGAATAAGACCATCATCGGTGTCGGAAGCAAGGGAATCATTACCGGAAAAGGTTTTAGATTCACCGACGGGGCGAGCAACATCATTGTCCAGAACATCAAGATGCAGAAACTCAACCCAAAGTACGTGTGGGGAGGAGATATCCTCGGTTTCACTGGGTCTGACCTTATCTGGATTGATCACGTCACTGTAAGTTTACCCCCTTAATTACTTGAAGGCATCTCACTTACGACTCGAAAGACTTCCCAACCTGGTCGCCAGCACTACGTCTTTGGCCATGACCCAAGCACGCGTATCACCCTGTCCAACAACCACATCGACGGCGAGTCTCCGTACTCCACTGGCGGCGATGGCTACCACTACTGGACGTTTGAAATGGTTGGCAAGGGCGATCAGATTACGATGAAGAACAACTACATCACGAAGACAGCTGGCCGCTCTCCTGCTCTCAGCGGTAACACCTTGCTTCACGCAGTCAACAACGTCTGGGAAGGGAACAACGGACATGCTCTTGAGGGTGGTGAGACTACAGCTCGTGGTATCTTTGAGGGTAACGTTTTCAGTGATGTGAAGACGGTCGAAGGTGACTACAAGGGAAAACTCTTCGGTGTCCCTGATGCCAGCTCCGCTTCCAAGTGCGAGTCCGCCCTCGGCAGATCCTGCGAGGTCAACGTTTATAAGAGCTCTGGAGGCACTCTCACACAATCTGACACATCCTTCTTCTCCGAGTTCTCAAGCCTCAAAATTGCCAGTGCTGTCGCTGCCTCCAAGGCACAGACGGATGTTCCAAAGAACGCTGGTTTTGGCAAGCTCTCCGGCTCTTCAAGCACATCCCCAACGACATCTAGCCCGAGCTCTACTTCTGCGACCAAGGCTGCCTCTACTTCCAAGTCTACTGCTACTTCTAAGCCTACCTCTTCATCCACCACTTCCGCCAAGCCTACATCCGAAGCCGCGACTGGTGATAACAGCGAGTCTGACTTGGGGACCGTTGGTGTTTATGGACAGTGCGGCGGTAGCGGATACAGCGGTTCCACCACCTGCGCCACGGGGAGTTGTGTAAAGTACAATGACTGGTACTCTCAGTGTGTTTAGAAAATGAGATAGACAGTGTAGAATATAGACGAAGGTTCTGTTGATATGAGCAGTGACTATCATTCGGCTATCTTTGATCAAAATCAAAGACAGAGCTGCCAGCTGTGTTGAACAAGTGAAGCAAAGGTTGATTTCAGTTTTAAGAAATTCCGGTATTAACTCATGAATCAGACATTTCGACACCTTCAACAAAGATAAAAATATTTCCTAGCCCTCACGTGCGCCTTCATCCTTTGGCTTTGCTCACGCAGCAGTCAGTGCAGTGATTCACGTCGTGGGGGTTGAATAGCAATCAGTTTCGCATCCCACTCATCATGTTCAGCCTTCTTTGCCTCCATCGCTATTCTATTCACATCATTTCCTGATATACTGCCGTCGCTATATAGATGAGTTCTTAAAACCCAGCTTCCCTGCCCATGAACCAGCAAACCAGTTTACTGTCTCCCCGAACATACAAACACTGTAAGCCTTGCCTTGCCACCATTGCCATACATACTGGAACGATCATAAACTTATAGGTCTGGCCCGTGTCAAGAAAAGAGCAATTATTTAAGCACAGATATACACTTGTCGATACGACGGTGAGACTGGCTTGTCGGAGAATGTTGCCTCCCTCGCTCTCCATGCCCACTCCCACTATGTCTAGATCTCTCGAGCCCCGCCCTTTGACGCTGCGTCGTCCATCTCGTTATCGACTCCTCGGCTCAACATCTAAGCCTACAGTTCCAGTAGGAGCATGGGACAGCCATATACACATCATCGACACCACCCGGTATCCGCTCCCCGAGAATGCCAAACCAGTCTCTCATCAGGCCACAGTGCAACAGGCCCTCGCCAACGCTGAGCACCTAGCATTGCCCAACATGGTCCTTGTCCAACTATCCAATTACGGCAACGACAACAGCTGGGTGCTCGATGTTCTCAAAAGACTGGGACCCGCCAGGAACCGAGGTGTTGTCGTATTCGACCCTGACACGATCGACTCGCGTACTCTTCTCGAGTGGCATCAGCTGGGCGTCCGAGGCGTTCGGATCAACTTCAGATCCTCCAACTCCGTTCTGTCGAAGACTGAGATTCAGACCACACTACGCAAATACGCCGACAAACTACGGCCCATGAAGACATGGTCGATCAGCCTATACGCCGACATGGACATGCTCGAGCACATCCAACCGCTGATAACTGAACTCCAGGTCAAGGTGGTCCTGGAGCACTTTAGCTCTCCAATTCGCCTTCCATTGAACCCGGCCGACCAACCCGGCTGGGAGACGCTCAAGACCATGATGGAGGATCCTCGCGTGTACGTCAAGATCTCAGCACCGTATCTTTTCTCGAAAGATACGGAATTCGCCGACTTGGAGGCACTAACGAAAGCGCTTTTCGAGATGCGAAATGGGGATGGCGTCGTGTTTGGTTCTGACTGGCCGCACACCAAGTCACCGGGATACGATGCGACGCGTTTCAGGGACAAAGTGGTAGAGTGGTGCGGTGGCGACCAAGTACTGCTAGAGAAGCTATTTGTACGTAATACTCAGAATCTATGGGATGCTAAATAGTCTTGCTATGAAGGTAGAATAGTCTCACTATCAAGGCAACGCAATCGTTTTGGCGCATCTGCAGTTTGTGCGGGATAGCTTAGTTGGGCAAGAAGTAAAAGTACAGATTACGGGATGATCTAATTCCATATAATCTTTTGCCTTCCACAGAGTACCATTGCTTTTGTCGACTGCAAAAAGGGCCAAGAGAACAAAACCAATCTCAGCTCTGGCCTAGAAGCAACGGCATGATCTTGTAACAGATTTCTGCCACTTTGAGGCCCCAACAACGTAAGCGTCCGAAGGAATTGAGTGGGTTTGTTATGCTCCATCCATGCTCTCTGAAAATAAGTTGCTCGCTCCAGCTCAAGCCCACGTCGAGGAGTTTATCCGCAGGCCCTACTTTGATGAATGTGCCCAACTAGTCAAAGCCAGAATAGGCAGATCTCAGGTCGTAGCATACAACTTCCGCCATCCGGAATCGAGAAGGTGATATTTCCGGCGAGACCAAAAGAGGGCAAATGATTCTTTTGCGTCGTTGCCACATTAATTGATCTTGCCGCAAGGTCAAGAACACGATCCTCCTCGACTCTTACAACTTCTTTACCGGGCCACTGTCCAACTTCCAAATAGAAAACGACGCTGAGGCAGCCGCAGTAAACCTCAGGCGTGGCTCTCGAAACACTGGGGCAGCCTCAACAGGTAGCGCCCGAAGTTATTCAAGCTGAGTCCATAAATAGGGGTCAATGCGCATTACCCAACGCCCCTTGAAAGACCCACCTGTGTAGAAAACGAGTATTTCAATTTCTGTCTTCCCTCTGGCGTCGTTCTATATCAAGTCCTTTCCTGCCTGGCAGCGCCAAAAGCAAGGCTCACGGAGGTTTTGGCATACAAACCACATGCAACAGGCCCAACATTGGCATACTGCAGAACAGTTTAGCACCTTTCCATATGGAAGGGTTCAGCTCATCCACAATCCTACATGGAAAGATCAGCCAACCAATCAGACCTGAGACCATCATGTCAGCATGCTCGTGTGAGCCTCAACCCCTCCCTGCAGCCCAATCCAGTGTGGAAACCTGAGATCAGCTGGCATCAACGCCGCCAGCCTCCCTCGAGCCCTTCCCGCCATGTCCACGAAAGATGCAGGAGTCCAGCAGCTCGAACCGGGACCGGGCGACTGCCATGAGCAGCAGCAGCGACTGGGTAGTCCCTGAGATCCCGGCCATACAGCCGCCCCGAACCCGGCGCATGTCGACCAAGAGGGCGCCATATCCCGCAAAGAGGCAGCAGGCGCCGATCGTGCAATATGCCGAGAACGACGAGCTTCCTAGACCCCCGAGCGCCCGACCCCCGAGCGCGCAAAGAGCTTCATGGCATGCGGCCGGGCCGCCAGCGCCGTACTACGACAACAGGCTCGCGATCCCCTTCCACCCCTCCCCGTATCCTCCGAGCGATCAGGCATATCCAGCGCCCCCATTCGATGACGAGAGGGAAACGGAAGGCAACTGGAATGGATGGAACGCGCAGCCTTACGACAACCCCGCGGCACATGCCGCCGATGGACCACCCGCATCCCGTTATCCTCGCTCCCCGCCCGACGAGCCACCAGCAAACTATCCCGACAGTCGCCGACTGGGCTCGGACGAACAGATGATACGATCGCTTCGAGGTGCAAGATTGGAGGATAGCAGGCCACCGTTGACAGCCCGGCCGCAGTCCGCGAGGCCTCCCCGGGATCCTTGGCACGTGCCGCAGGAATCTCAATTCCAGCGCCCAAAGAACCGTGACCGATCGTTCAGCGTGGAAGATAGAGCTAGAAACCAGCCGCAAGAAGCTGCATTTGATAGCGTCAGCCGCCATGCTGCGTCGCGGATTTCCAACACGTCGTCGATGCAGACGTCGACGGGAGAGACGCAATTTCAATATCGCCCCATCACCGGGACAGAGTTCAGACTGCTCCGTCTTCTACCAGCGAGCATGTCTACTATCAAGTGCGAGATACTACACGCGTCTCTTGATACAGACCCAGAGATCCAGAAGTACACGGCTATATCATACGCGTGGGGAGATATCGAGCCCAACATGAAGATCGAGGTCGACAGGTGCTCTGTCCTCATCACTCCGAGCCTTCACGGGGCGCTCAAACGGCTGCGCCAGCAGGACAAGTCCATCATGGTCTGGGCTGATGCTCTCTGCATTGACCAAAAGAACAAGGCAGAGCAGTCGCAGCAGATAAGCATGATGACCAGCATATATGGCAGTGCGGAATCCGTCGCTGTCTGGCTGGGTGACAGCAGCGATAACAGCGATCTAGCGATCGACCTCATCCAGGGAGTGTTCCACGCAGATAATGAAGGTGCCGTGTCGAGGATCATATCAGCGGAGAGGTTTACTACCCACTTCACCGCACTGGTCAAGCTCTTTGAGAGGGAGTTTTGGGACCGGCTATGGGTTGTGCAGGAGATTTTGAATGCGCAGATGGTCACGGTATATTGTGGAAACGCGTCTGTTTCGTGGGAGGTTCTGCAGGGGGCCTCCATAATCTTTCAACAACATGAGAAAGATCTACGGATTCAGTTCCCGCGCGGAAAGACGAAGGGGTCGCGTCGTGGACTCTCCTACGCCCATGTCCTCGCTTCCTGTGGGCCGGCTAGTCTTGAGCTTCTGCGGGTTTCTCCAGAAGAGGAAATCATATCATTGCTGAGCGTGCTCAGAGTGTGCAGGCCCAAATTAGCAGCGGAGCCGCGAGACAAGGTGTTTGGTGTTTTGGGGATCCTCCCAGCAGAAACCAGCTTTCACTTCCCACCGAATTATGGTTCATCTCTGCGGGAGGTGTATACCAACGTCGTAGACCTCATATTACACACCACGCGGCGACTCGATGTAATATGTGAGGCCATCTACTTCCCTGTTTACACCAGCTCGGTGAAGCTTCCAAGCTGGGTGCCGGACTGGTCGCATATTCCGTCCACTGCTGGTCTCGGAACATCGTACGGATTCAGCGCTGCCAGCGAAGTTGACGCCGAGTTTCAATTCATGGATGCTCCACACAGGAGCCTGCTTCGGATATCCGCCATCTATCTTGACCAAGTAGACATGCGTGGTCTCGCCGTTGGCACTTTTTGCTCTGTGGACGACTACCTAATGGCATTCCTCCACTGGAGAGCAAAGCTTCTGTCAAGATATTCATCATCAGAGGGGAAGACGTACAACATGAAGAAGATAGACGAAGCGTTCTGCCGCACTCTATGTCTCGGGCAGGAGCCCTCTCTAAACCTCCGTCACTCTTGGATGGAGGTTTGCTATCACATCTTCGCGTCTCTGATACGCGATCGCTTGCCTCACCTCCGCCTCGACAATGAGCTAGAGAAGTATCTGTTCATCGACCAAGAGCTTGCACCCGAGACGTGCCGTATGCTTATTCAAGAGAATTGCGCTTCTCGGATGGAGGGCCGCTGCTTCTTCACAACAAAGCGAGGACTCATGGGGATAGGAAGCGGGTTTATGAAGGACGGGGATATCATTTGCGTGCCTCTGGGGTGCAAGACGCCCATCATCATACGCCCAGAGGCTGATAGCAATCAATACCGGCTCATCGGTGATGCATACGTTGATAAGTACATGGATGGCAAGGCAGTCAAGGAGTGGAAGAGTGACAGGAAGAAGCTCATCAGTTATGTACTGCAATAAACTTGGATGCGCGGATGTACATAGTCAATACTGAGCTTAAATAGTTGCACAGACGGACATTGTCCCATCGCTCTCCCATTGAATGACAAGTTGGAGCTAGCCGCTGCCAATATTCCGTTCCATACGTACGAAGTCGAAGTTACGATTACATGAAGGAGGTAATAACTAAGTACGAGAAGCTATTCGAAAAATTAGGTTCCTTCTCACCCTGATCAAAAATCTCTTCAAAAACCTGAAAAATAGACTGGCTGTTTGGGAATAATAGCGTTGGAAATGAAGACCTAGTCGATGAAATCAAAAAGAGGCTCAATAACCGTTAATAGAGCACATGGGTACGGCAAACCAAAAAAAGGGGGGGACTCCAGAATTTGCAGAACTTCTCCCTTCACCTTGACAAATAGCATACCATAGCATCTATACTTATGGTTCCCTCATGTTGGCGAAATTCAATAGTGCCATGTTTGGAGATGGAACCGCTGGAATGGAAACTTCCTCGCCATAATCGAAGGTTTTGTCGCCGTTGATGGCTAAGAACCACGATACTTTGTCGGAGTGATGACGCATGGCGATGTTGGCTGGATCGACCACACTCTCAAGCTTCATTCGGATATCATCCTGGATCTCCCCATCCACATCGGCATGGTTTGCATCCAGCTTGGGGACAACGACAACTGCACGTAGACTTGCCAAGCCACGCCTCTTGGCCCTCCCAATCATTCTGATGAAAGCTTCCAGACGATTTGCTTCACCGTCATCGACATGAGCAAGGAATTGATCATGAGATCTTTTTTATTCCAGTGGAATAACTCGAGATCCTGAGGGAAGGACTTGATATCTTCTTCTATCTTGAGATCGACAAGTGGAAGTAGGACCGCTTCTGGATTTAGAAGAATTTGGACTCGATTGGTTTCATTCTTCTTATTGTTTTGTCGCCTAGTAGTAATAAGTTAGTAAAATATAGACAAATAAATAGTATTTGACTCCAAATGGTAGATACACCGTATTATTTCCGACAGGGCTTGTTCATCCTGTTGAGCGTGCACCTCCCCGATCCTAACCTTCAATCGTTCCGCTGGTTTGGGTCTTGCTCTGATGAATTTCTGTTTTCTTCGCCCAAGACAGCAATTCTAATGCCTTGACTATAGCACAAGATATGGCTTTGGGCCTCGCAGCAGGTCATTGGGCTGCTCGTGCCAACTTGCTAGACATCGAGTATGTTATTGGTAGCCGGCATTTGACCCTACTGGTAGCACACATCCTTGCTCTAGATGCTGGGAGCAAAAGTATATTGGTTAATACAGTCCTCCGAGTCCTGAATCAGATAAACAAGAGTAACTTCACACCTGCGTACTGGCATTAAAGACAGTTGACCCAACTGCGAGAGGGACCTTTTTATTTCTAGTAATATAAATAACCCTCCATAATAGCCTGATATTGCAGTCACTGGTGGCAAACATATTATCTGTTGGGATCCTGTCGAGGCTGAAATGGCATACTTTGCTACAAGACATTACTTACTTTATGTACCATTACAAGGTTTTGTAACTAAGATACTGTACCAAAGAACGCGATAGATTGATCACCTGTAGCTTGTTGCTGATATCGGCCACCTGTTGCCTCTTTGGGCTGCAGACTAGGAATAGGGTTTCGTCGGGGTTCAGGTGCACCATATCATACTAAACGAAGCGAATCTTTCCCTGGCCGTGATATTCATAAGTCTTCTTTAGGCAAGTTGTTGTGTAGTTTGAAGAGAGAACGATATCTTGAAGTGAAGAAGTGAGGGTGTGAAGAAGTGAGGGTGTGAAGAAGTGAGGGTGTGAAGAAGTGAGGGTGTGAAGAAGAGAAATGAAGAAAGAGAAGTGAGGAAATGAAGAGGACCTCTAACTTTTCCTTTTTTATCCGTTCGTTCTCACTACACCAGGACATAGATTTTCCTGTCTCAGTATCGCATATATCTAATCTTCCCGAGAGCTCCATGCTTCTCCATTACCTCATCTTGGGCATCAGTGATTTGTTCTTTCTATTCGACTAAAAAATGACTTGAGATTTCAGAGACCTTGCTAGCCCTGGATGTGGACCGCGGCCATCAATATTTGTACCAACTATAAGCCCTTCCTTTTACTAGAACATTTCGCCTGTATGATATCAGTTTACAACCAATGAACATCGTGAAAGTGTGCGAGTCGTTTCTCGCTGACATCCCTGACGAGAAGTTGAAAAACTTCAAAGAAGGCGAGTACATAATCGCCCCGAACTATGATTTAGGGTACTGCCTCGATCATTAAGGAGTAGGTTGCCGTGACCTGGATATCGCACTACGAGAAGATCCAGTATTTCTGACATTATGTGCTGATATTTTTTAGATGAACAAAGACAAGAACAAGGAGCCGTATACACATCGGCTGTACCTGCAACCTGTAGGCCGTTTTATTGCCAACCTTGGTAATCGCTCAGAAGCAGGACGTTATGTTACTATGCAATATGTGCTGTCTAAGGCTACTTCAAATTACTCAACTATAGTTATCTTAACAGAGTGGTCACCCCCCTTATTCTTTTCCATGGAAGCGTCATATGAAGAGAACTCAATCAACTCGGGCTCGTCGTCGTCTGTCACCTCACGAGCAAGGAACTTGAAGGTCACTTCGTCGCCTGACTTGGAAGATGAGAGGTAAAGGGCCTTCTACAGTATCAGTTAGTATCGTCGGTTCTCTCTCCATCATCATAATACGATCGCTTACCGAGTTGTAGACATCGACATCAATCGGGACCATTCTCTCAGGCTGTAAAAATATCAAATCGTTAGTTCTGAACAGCGCCACAGAAAATCACGGATATTTGTACTTACCAGTTTGTTAACTGTGATCTCGAAAACGTCTCCCACCTTAAATGTAGTCTCTTCTGGTGCTTCAACATGAAGCTCAGGGGCGCCGGGCGCAGGACTCTTTAGCACACCCGCGATGAGGTCCACGATCCCCTGCGCGTACTTCGCAATGTCAGCCTTCTTGTCCTTTGTCAGCTTGACGAAGAAGACGCCCTGCGTCCAAAGCATAGCACCCTTCTCGTTGTCCGAAGGCGCGGACCAGTGATACTTTGCGTCCACCTTGAGGGTATCGCCAGACTTCGATTGCCACACAGCGAGAACGTCTTCGTCGGTGTTGGAATCCCCATTTGCGGTATCAATACCGTGAATGGCGTACTTCTCCAGGTCGACAGTGTACAACTCATGCGCGCTATCGACGGCGTTGCCTCGCGAACCAGGATTATCACCGCCTCGTCGCCCTCCCACCGTGGCGCATCGTGCGATGGAAAGGGACATGGTCTCCCCATCGTCAGAGGTAAAGAACCACTGCGCCGTGAGGTGTGTAGATTGGACGATAATGTTCGGTTCTGTGGCAGTCCAGTCTTTGAACTGCTCCTTCACATTGCGCAGGATATTGCTCTCTGTGGGGACATGGTCGATGAAGTCTGGCGCGAAGATCTCCGGCTGAGTGAAGAGTCTCTTTGGGCCCGGCCAGTTGCTGGGGTTGCTTTCGGGAACAAACTTGCCGAGCGTGCATTTTTTCGGGAACCTCTTGTACAAGTCGGTCTTGTCGTCAATCGAATTGGTGATATACTCGCTCAACGTCTCCCGGCCGGAGTGAGCAGAGGTGAAGGGCCGGCACGTTGCATCCAAGACCTTCTCAGAAGGTGCGTTGATCTTACTTACGGGCTCTCGCGAAATGGTCATGAAAATATGGCTCCCAAAGCCGGTACGCTTCTCATCATTAACGCCCAGGACCTGTGAACCATCTTTTGTCAGAGGGCTGTTGCATGGCCCCCATCCGATCAAGTTCGTTTCGTAGATGTACCCAAAGGGAGCCATGTGCTTCATCTGCAAGGAATGCTGGGGATCGGTGATTCCAAGAGGCACGATGACCGACACCAAGGCAGCTAAATCGTAGCAGTTGAGGGTGTGCTTTGCCTTCTCATCACAGTCATTGACCCAGTGATCGAAAGCAAGCGGGCTGTCACCCCCTTGAAAATAAGAGTTGTGCGAACCCCAAGAATCATACTTGATGCTCGGCTGGTAGTGTAGTTTGTCAATAACGTAATCGAGCCAGCCCTGCTCATTATCCCTGATGTCCCGGCCTAGCTTCTCGTCTTGGAAGGTCTTGATATCATTGTCCTCGGTCATCAATCGTAGGGGAAGCAGAAAACGTCTGAAGAAGCTGACAGGCAACCCCCGGAAGAGTACTTTTGGCAACTTGGCGACGGCGACGAAGTAGAGCTCCACGTCGGTCTTGGCGAGCTGCAGCCTGCGATCCCCATAGCCGCTCAGGATCAATGACCACTGGATCTTGCCCTTGAATCCCCAGGGAAGATTCTGTCGCGCGGCTTTGAAGCTCCCTTGGCACTTGAAGCCTGTATCCACGTGGCACTCAATTTGCACGTCCTGGGTACAAGGCTCACTCTCTAAGCTCTTATCCTCCGGTTGGAAATGTCCCTGCAACACGGCACTGATGGCGCCGGAGGGGCGTTCGAGGTCGTTTGGCCACGAAATGGGGCCGAAGTCGAGTGCGAAGGTATATTTTCCAAGCTCAACCACACGGATCTGATGTTCGTACCCTGTCTTCCAGTAGACCTGGTTCCTTGAAGAGGCCCAGTACGTCTTAGCATGATTATCGACATAGTCATACACAGGAAGCACCGAGGGGCCGACGAGAAGTTCCACCGTGGAAGCCATTGCGAAATTTGCCGTAATAGATAAGCGATATTGCTGAGCACAAGTGATAGATGAAAACTGACAAATCTGAGACGCCAAGAATACGCGTGTGTTATTATCTTATATACCTAAATAATGAACATACAAGACGCCCAATCCAAACTCACTGGCCGTTCATGTTCTCTATGGCACGCGCGGCCATCCTCCCGGCGAAGGTCACTCCCGCTGGTCTAGATTCAATATTGCCAATGGTATTGAAAGGCCATTCCCGATAATCCCACTACTAGTTCGTCCTTTTAGGGGACGGCCCGCAGCCTAGATCGTCTCAATGGCAGCTGACCGTGCCGTCGCTGCGGCTGGAAGTGGGCCTCAGCCACCATCAACGCCTGGTAGATGTCAATCTCGTGGCCTCATTGAAGCCAAATGAGGGGTAAAACAATAATTCCGGACCAGAATACTCTGCCTCGGCTTGATAGATTCCAGTCTTGTAGAGATTCTGGAAAGGTCTGGCCAAAGCAGACAATGTGGCCTTGCTACCTCACAGTCCAAGGCTCGCCGACCAACAATGCCCCGCTAAGTGGCGAGGCGCATTTAAATAAGGCATCACTCGATTGGTAGTTATATTGACATGATAAAAATGATAAACCTGAGGACTTGGAAAAATACATGTTAAGTTCACTGTTATTCTTATCTTCTTCTCATAATGCACCAAATATTGCAATATCAATGAAGGAGCCCGTCCATGATAGAGCACTTGGCCACATTCCCAACTCTCATTAGTTACCCTATATCTGGACATAAGTACGATCGTATTATCGCGCTCATATAGCGATTGACATAGCATAGCTTACAGGTGTTCAAGATTTCAACTAGTCATGTACTTTCCAGAAACATTCTTTTATCTTTTAGAATCATTTTATCGCTCTGGAATAGGTTGCCATGTACTTGATGAAATACTCGCCCGTTACGATGACTCACTACGACCTCTTATCTTACCTCCTCGATTACAAAGACTTTATGCGGGGTTTACGTGAAAGGGATTATTATGATCAATGAGTCAAACAAAAACAGTAGAAGAACTTGAAGAAATAATGCGAAGACACGTAAATTTAGAGCGATGACTTAGCTGTCGTGCGTAGGGAAATAAATGCCACGGTTGGCATCTCCAGTATATTGCAAAGAGAAACAGCCTACTTCTTCTTGTCAAGCCCTCGAAGTATACTCGCAATTCTGTTCATTACATTTAATTTACCACAACCCGCCTGCGTGGGTGAGAGTCAACTCAATACTTATTAATTGTTACTCTCAGGTCTCATCGCGCCGAGTGCAGGAGTTCCTCTTGATGAGACGCGCCAAGCGAAAACACTGATTCATCCCGCTTATTATGCACCCAAAAGGGCAAATTGTCGATATTGTCTGCCTTCTTGGCCCTCCACCCATGTCCATCATGTCGCGCAACCAAGGCAGTGGAGCAGGCTTCATGTTTAGACCTTCTTAAATCCCGCTAAAGAACGCCAACGACCAGCCACAGGGGCAATGACATCATCATCATCTAGAAGGCCAATGGAGAATTTTAGACGCTTGCTTGCGTTGGGTGCCGGCGTTTATGTGGATTTCGGCTAGAGAAGGGTCAACAACTGGTGGAAAGGGTTCGATGAAGAAAGCTTCCGTTGAAAAAGGTTGGAATTAACAGGCATGCGTCGCTACATGGATCCTTTTGTGGACCTGAACGCACACGGTGCTTATACTGTTTCGCTGTTGTTTCCCATGGCGGCTCTAGGCGGTGGGAGTTTCGTACTGCCTGGTCCTGCCAAGGGTGGCAGGCAGCAATGATTCAGCATCTGATACGAACAGGAGGGGAGTCGTCTCTCATCTATTTTCCCGAATGAGGGAAGTCAAGCCGGTGACGTAGGAGTGCAATGCCCTTGTAAAAATTCAATTGCGTTTTTGCATCTGATTGCGCCACTGAACTAAGTTCCCCGAGTTGTTTTCTCGCACGCAAGAGATAAGCTTGAAAGTGGGTTTCGGTGCCATATTCTGACTTCTGTCATGGTTTGTTAGTCAAGAGATCCAACTATTAAGTAAAAGAAACCTTTCAAGTGGAGTATGTTCTCTTGGTGGCTGGGGATGTTTGAAAATGGATTGCTAGGGCCTGCACATGCGGTAAGGGAGAAGAAAGGGCAGCAAGTTGTGGATTCTCTGAGCGGTACGTCATATCATCTCTTGTGTCTGGAAGTGTTCTGCTTGCTTGTTGACTCTCAGATGATCTGTCGTGCCTGTAAAACAGATGTACAGTTGCATAGGCCAAGACGGAAACTGATGGGGCTAAAAATCTTCCATTGCCAAATAAGAAAAACCTCAACAAATTGTGCATGAACCGACAGTCGACTTGCTTCGGAACAAAGAAAAAGCGGAACCCGACCAGGTACTGACGGTCACGTGATATCCACAGGAACACACAAGTAAGGGAACCTGACTCGTAATTGGTCCGAGACGCGTCCAAGCCCCACTCAGTCTGCAGGGGAGGAACTACACTGTGCGCATCGTCATCGACAGAGAATGCGACGACGACACAACTCCGCCTAAATCTTCTCCAGATGGACGCGATCTTGCACGAGAGAATCAGACATGCTTGATCTCAGAAGCCTCGGACTATTGTCATATGGGGAAATGATGGACGGTCGGTTCACCAGACAGACTCGTGCACCGTTTGACGGTTTGTCCCGTCGTTTGGCCGTCGCCACCTTCATCCACACATCCTTCACATCAGCTTTTCTGTTACCCACCAGACTATCCTCGCAGCCGTCCATTCATGTTTGCAATGTGGAGCTTCGTGTTGCTCCGTCTAATATCCCACCACGCTTGGTAGCGCACCCAAGTGGCACGACAACACCAAACCGTCGCCTCTTCTCCCCCTCCAATGATGTGATTTGTTCTCACTCAGGGACCAGAAAAACCCAGGATGTGTCCCCACGCTGTGTCCAATTTGTGGCACCGCCCAGACAGAGCAAAGTCAGCTTTGAGGAGAATCCCATGTCAAGGTTTTTCGCCTTTGCTGCCCCAGAATGACTCGAAGTTGCTGTGAATAAAGACCCTTCTCCCCCCTCGCGTTTTGCTTGTTCCTTGAGAAACTCTATCCCAAATCCAGTCCACCGTCGATTACACCCCACGACCCCAGATGGGAACTGTTAGGCCCAACTTTTCTTCATCTTCATCTCCGTGCATGGGATGCCATCTTACTTACCTACCAGTCTAACCTTCGATACCTCGCTTCCTGTCCACGACCACTCCTTTAACAATCTTTGGTCTCGACTACTGAGCTTCCCAAAATGAGTTCTAAGGAGGGCTCTATTGAGCCCAAGACCGTGGCCCCCTCGGAGGGCATCATCGGCAATGAAAACTCTGGAAATTCCGACGGGCTTCATCGCCGCCTCGACAACCGCCAGATCCAGCTCATCGCCATTGGTGGAACCATCGGTACCGGCGTTTTCGTCGGCATCGGCGCCGGCCTGGCCAAGGGCGGACCCGGCAGTCTGCTCGTGTGCACGGCTCTCTACGGCTGCGTCATGGCCCTCGTCAACAACTGTATCGCCGAAATGAACACCTTCATGCCTGTCTCCGGAGGCTTCATCCGTCTTGCCGGAGCCTGGGTCGACGACGCCCTGGGCTTCATGGTCGGCTGGAACTACTTCTTCTACGAGGCTCTGCTCATCCCGTTTGAGATTGTGGCCCTCAATCTCGTGCTGTCTTTCTGGAATGAAAAAGTGACCGAGCCTGGCCCAACGGCCGGTGTGTGCATTGGCGTCATTATTACATATGGGTAAGGACCAAAGAAACATTACGCGCGGAGTGCAGGCTTGTGACTCGACTTGTGTGCCCCGTTTTGGTATCGTTTCTGCTATCTAATCCCCCTTCCCTCTCATAACGTGTGATCGCATGCTAAACTGTGGTGATTTCTCTCATTCTAGTATACTAAATGTGCTTGCTGTTGGTGTCTTTGGTGAAGCCGAATTTTGGCTGTCTGCCGGCAAAGTGCTACTGTTCTTCATTCTCTTCGGCTTCACATTTGTGACTATGGTCGGTGGCAACCCCCAGGGCGATGCCTACGGCTTCCGACACTTTCATGGTGCTGAAAATGCCTTCGCATCCTTCCGGTCCGAAGGCAATGCCGGCCGTATGGAGGGTTTCATGGGATGTCTTGCCTCTGCTGCCTTCTTCGTCGTCGGCCCCGACTACATCTCCATGGTCGCTGCCGAGGCAAAGCACCCCAGCATCTACATCAAGACGGCTTTCAAGACCGTCTACATCCGCTTCGGCATCTTCTTCATCGGCGCCGCCCTGTCCTGTGGCATTGTCTTGTCCCACACTGACGAGGCTCTCGTCCGCATCAACATTGACGGCGTCGGTGGTGGTACTGCCGCAGCTTCTCCCTGGGTTATGGCTATGGAGAACATGGGAATCTCCGTCTTGCCTCACGTCGTGAATGCCCTGCTGTTCACCACCATCTACTCTGCTGGAAACACGTACACTTACTGTGCCACCCGCTCCCTGTACAGTCTTGCCCTTGAAGGTCGTGCGCCCGCGTTCTTCCGCAAGTGCACCAGCAACGGCGTGCCGATCTACTGCTTCTGCTTTGTCATGCTGTTCCCCTTCCTCTCCTTCCTCTCGGTGGACAGCGGGTCAGCAAAGGCCCTCAACATCCTCCTCGCCCTCATTACCGGTGGCGGAGTCGTCGACTACGTCGTCATGTGCATCACCTTCATCTTCTACTACCGTGCCTGCGTCGCCCAGGGCGTCGACCGCAAGAAGCTGCCTTACTACGGGTACTTCCAGCCCTACGGTGCCTGGATCGCCCTTGTTCTTCTGGTCATCGTGCTTTACTGCTACGGATACACCGCCTTCGCTCCCTGGGATACGGTGACCTTCTTCTCCAACTACACGATGCAGCTCATTGCGCCCTTCCTCTACATAGGCTGGAAGCTGTTTAAGAAAACCCACATCATCAAGCCCCATGAGGCGGATCTCGTTTGGGACCGTCCTCTGATCGATGCCTATGAGGCTAAGATGATGATTGAGGAGCCCCCTACGACTTTTGGGCAGGAGATGATGGCGCTCTTTGGCCTTAGCAAGGTTAAGCAGTTGGTGTCAAAAGCATAGACGGGGATGATTTCGCCGTCATAAAAAATCAAGATGGATGTCGCGAGCGCGTATGCTAAGAATCGACAGACATGCTTATTCGATCCACCATCAGACGCGATACCAAGAACGAACTGCCGCACCAGCATCGGATACCTCGAGCGGCTGAAGACGTGAGCAAAACCATAAAGGCTCAGGTACGTACCATGCTCCTCAGGAGAGGTTGACGAGCAACACAGCAGTTCTGCACGTGGGGCGACTCTGAGTCGGCTGGGAGGAACAATTTGGGCGTCACAAAATGCATACCCTGTGACTGGCTTGCTGTCATAGACATAGATTAGACATATATTTCGAAGCGCATATCAATTACTGCGCAATGAATAAAGATACCCATTATTACGTTATGTCAACTCGGTTCTCGAGCGTGTCATCCTACAAGTAATGCGAAAATGTCTCATCGCGTCATAAAATCCAAGGATATTCTGCAGTTCATCTCTTTGCCAGGCAACCGTTTCGGCTACAGAGCAGGGCGACAAGGGCCACCGACAGCCAAAAATAGAGCCAGTACGAGAACGCGGCGGTCAATCATTCATTGAAATCGCTCTCGGCCCAGTCTACCAAGAATTCTTAAAAATCTTAACTGACGGGCCGCTCGCCCCGGACTTTCACGATACCAATTGAGCCATTTCTGGGGAGACATCATGAGAGAAATAGCCAATCGCGACCCGAATGATTTTTTAGTTTCATCTTTAAAAAGACACAGGCCCGTTTGTACGCTATTCCTAGATGCGTCGGAGATGACAGCGCGGGCTGACTGGGATCTGTGCTGCCTCCATCTACGGGCGGGAGTGGGGGCCAGAGACGCGACCGACAAATCAGCATCACTCAAGTGACCCTGCGAGAGGATCACCAGTCTTTTATCCTCATGCTGGGGTATGCTTGTTTAGTGGGTGAAGCAGCAGAGTGATGATGGTTTGCCGACACGGCGCGGAGGAGGACTCAACTCCCCACAAACTCAGCCATAGAATTGCTTGACGATCAGTCAGTTTTCCAGAGTATAAGTACTCGGCTTGAGGACATTGATCGGGCTTTATTCTCTCTAAGCATCAGCCGAACTCGTTTGGTTCTTACTCACCCTCTTCTTCTCAACGTCCAACAGACCTTGCTGTGCAAGTTTGTTGACTTTTATCAACCTTGTTTCTCTTCGATTCTACGACTATTATTTATTAAACACTTTCTCTTCCTCTCTGGGCATATTCATTCAAAGCAACTCTTAGTCCTACTTCTCTACACATCTCATCCACTCAACAATCACAATGGTCTCCGCCAACTCCCTCTTCGCAGCCCTCATGGGCCTGGCCATGGCCAACCTCGCCACAGCCTCCCTCAGCAACCCCAGCTCCCAGGCCCAGGCCCTCCAGGCCCGCGCCGACAAGTTCGCCGCCCGCAGCGTCATGTACCGCCGCGGCGAGGACGGCGCCCTCCTCTCGCGCCGCAAGGTCGTCGCCCAGCGATCGGTCGAGCCCCGCAAGTGCTACCACAGCTGCTGGAGGAAGGACAAGAAGTCCAAAAAGGAGAAGAAGCTGAGCAAGAAGATCAAGGCTAAGAAGGGTAGCAAGAAGGAGAAGAAGGAAAAGAAGCACAAGAAAGAGAAGAAGGAGAAGAAGCACAAGAAGGAGAAGGAAGAGAAGGAGGAGGAAGACAGCGAGTAGAGCCTTGACATGCTCTGAGATCGCTGATTGATTGATCATGGATGCTTTTGATGATCACACCACAGCCACTTTTTTCTTCTTCTGCCCAGCCTGCTTTCACCTTTTTTCTTTTGTTTTCTCCCAGGCTGGGATTTTCCTTTCTATTTCCCTTTTCTTTTTTCCTTTCTCGGTTTTTATGAGCATTTTTGAGCGTATTGCATTTGGACGCATGGGTAGATTCTGCTCTTCATTCAATAGCAGACCAGGCAGGGACTGGCAATCTCAAGTCCCAACACATGAATAAAGTAAAATTCAATAACTACTTCGCAAGTTCGTCAGAGTGAAAAATGTACATATAAAACCCTTACCTCGATTCCTCACACGAAGCGGGTGGCATTAGAACGGTGAGTGCCTGTGTCATCTCGACTGTACTCCGAAGGGGAACTTCGCAGGCTTTGCGATCGAGTCGCTTCTAATTCTGCATAAATCTAGGGACGATCAAAATACAATAATCCACATAAACGACGTTTTCGAAGGGACTTTGGGGGTCTTTGGTGTGAGACACGCTGTCAGGCTGTTGCTCGCAACTAGATAGCCTTTTTAGGACGCCGAAAGATTTATGTCGAAGCACATATATAGTTCGTTGATTGGCTCTCGCCAGGTTCATTTCACATAATGGAAAGCTGGCGGTAAGAATATATGCTTATTTGCATTTCACCTTTGCCCGATTAGTTAGGAGTTGTCTCGTCATGCCGCATTCTGGACCGAAGGGAAACGCAGGACGGAAGAGAGGTATCCATTACTGACCACGACACAATGCAAGCAACGGCCCACCTCATGTCGATCGGTTGGCTCCCTCGGCTAGAAGGGTGCATCATACTCGCAAAATCTAGCCCTGTTTAGGGCTACTCTCTACGGGCCAACGTCAGGCAAGCGAGAAGGCTAAATCCTGAGAATGCAAGTTTACGCTGGATCCTTGTGAGTCATGGCCCCTTTTCAACACGAAAGCGGGCTGTTTGATCTGTTAGCCCGAGTAACACTCGACTTCCCGAATACATCACACGACACACCAATCTCTTAGAAAGCTGGACCGCCGGATTTCATCTTATCCTTTGCATTTCAATGAGACAAGGATAGCCTTCATACTTGCTTACTTCGCCCACCACCTCGCGTCTCTGAAGTACCTCGTGATACACTACTTCGACACTGCGAACGACGAAAATCCGAGTACCTACACACCAATGTCGCACTTCACTAGCAAGAACCCAAATGTATCAGCAGAATATCAGCTGTCAACCTACAGTAACATTTACCTAGGCAACAACGACTTAGAAACTACAGGTGCTGCGACTTCCTCCAACTTGCTCGCATCTCAACAGTATAAGAATGAGGATGGGTTTGGAAGCACCTACCTGGTATCCTCAGAGCCGCGGCGTAGCAGAACTTTTGTTAATGAAAAGACAAAGGAAGTTTGGAGTGACAAAAGACTAGCAGGGATACGGAGCTTCGTGCTATTCCATCTCCCCTCCGTTGCAATCACAATTCTCCTCCTAGCGCTTTATACCGTTCGCCAGGCATGGAATCCACCTGGTCCATCGGCTGAGATGTTCAGTGTACTTCAATTCGCCGCTAAGGCCCACGAGGGACTCATATTGATCTCCTTATCTGATATTCTCCTCCACAGAATCCGATACGGTCTTCTGGGCGAGGATGGTATTCCTCTCGGCTTCCTCACTTCTGCACACCATCTCCCAGCCCCCTTACTGTATCTATTTAGCTGGGAATTTTGGGGCACAGTTTTCTATCCGGCGCGAAACCGCCTCTCACACGCAATCACGGTCGTTTTGATCATCGTCTTGATCTTACTTGGAATAGGTGCGGCTCCTTTGTCGGCAATCGCAATGATTCCACGCTTACAATGGCTAAGCGTCGAGGATGTTGCCTCCTCAGAAGAACAAATGAGAAGCAACTTCAATGTTTCTTCGCCCCAGTTTATCACTCAAGTTCGATATATAAATCCCGATATATATAGCCTCGAACTCAATGCAAGCCGCTTGCCGGCGACGAATGTCGGAGACTGCTTAGCCGCGGCGTATGATTTCACAACCCCCTGTACAAGCCCCAGCCTCTTCTTACAGAACTTTTGGTCATCAATTACACAGACGCCTGGAAATCTGCGCTCGCAATCCAGCGTGGCCGTCACACGGGTGGGGAGCTGGGCTCCCTACCGGCCAATCTCGTTCTCGACCTTCACGAGTTTCCAAAGCCACATTGCATATGCCAGCGCCCCAATGTTCTTTCTGGCCCATGCTCTATCCTGGGAGGTTCCAGCAGTATATTCCTACTCGGATAGGGACATGATGATCAAAGCTCATTCGGGCAATGCAAAGTTTGATCGATGGAACCAACCACTTGTGGTTGTCGGCTGTCAAGAGGTGAAACAGAATGTGTCAATTACAGACACCCTCGAGTTTGAATGGGACGACGAAACATTTGGCACCTTTAATCTATCACTTGATCTCCAAAAGCCTGTGTTCAAACCGCTCAAAGGGGCGTCGTCCTATCCTCAATCTATTGTGCTGAATCCTGCCGAGCACATACCCGAAGTCAAAGCACCTCTTAGTGCGGCGATAATACTAAGCAGTGCTTCGCCGTGGGCTACCAACAATTACTCGGGAGCGATCACCAATCTTTGTCTTGTTCAAGCACGTTGGATGGAGGCAGACGTCTGGATAAACACTGGCTCACCAACTGGCACACAGTTTGAGTTTGATTTTGAATTCAACGAAGGCATATACAAGCACATGAAGGAAACTTCCACCGAAGGCAATATCATCAAGATGCAGAAGGACTGGGTGGAAGCGGTCGGCTCCAACTCAACCGACTCGCAGATTTCTGCTTACTTGGACCTATACTTCCCAAGCCTTGTGTTCCTAGCATTCGTCGAGGAGACCGCGGAGATAACCGCAACATTCCTCTCCGAAATTCTGGCAATTTACTTTACAGATGCGTTGACAACGTTGGGCAAAGCCTCAAGCTATATCGAGACCTCCAATATATCTAGTACCAATCGGCCACCCGGGCCGGATGATATGGTCATCAACTACGTACACTTTGAGCATCTCTACGCCTATGCATTCAGCGGCGGCTACAGTGTGCCGCTGGCAATATCGATCCTGTGCCTTCACGTCTTGATTGTTCTGGGCCATCACGCTCTTCTGTTCTTTACACCTCGCCCGTGGTTCAGCTCGCGTTGGGAGAGCATTGGAGAGCTGCTCGCTCTGGCGCTCCGGTCGAGGCCTCCCCCAGAGAGTCGCATGGAAAACGTCGGCGGCGGTGTGACGACTGCCAGAACTTGGGGAGCCCCGGTAGTGGTCCGAGATTTGAACAACGGTGGGAAGCTAGAGATGGTACTGGAAGAGGATACGGGCAACGCCACTGGAGCTCAGCTTGGGCATCACTCGTACGCAGAGCTTGCAAGGCCAGGGGTAAAGTACAGTTGATGTCGTACGTTAGTGGAAATCACTGAGAGGAGTAAGTTTAGGTGAGAAAAACGTTACTTTTTCTCCCTTCTCTTCCCCTAACCACGCCTAAGATGAGTACTGATTTCATTTCTGAGAAACTTACTCGTCTATTTATTAACAACGTCCATTGGTAAGGTAACTGATGGTTAGATAAAGTATTCGTGTTTAATGGAGCTTATAAACTCGAGAATTTTGGTTTAAGACAACCGAATTTGTTGTCAGTCTATGGAGAGCACATTAATAGCAATGGAGATTATAAACCAAATCTAGTGCTTCCCATCTTCGGCGTTGAACGAACTCACAAGGAACCAAAACTTCCTATTCCAGAACTACGTTGAGTTAGATGACCCAATTCCATTTTCTCAACTATCCCGGTTTATCCCTCATGAGGCAGGTCTGGCTTTTCAACTGTGCCACTCTCGAAAATTCCCTCTAGAGTGTCTTCTGGTCCCATGGGGAAACAGCTCGGCGGCTTCACGCCGTTTGTCTGGGGCGTAGCAGTGCCATTCTGGACTCCATAGTAAATCACCGAATTAGCCAAGTCGGTTGTGAGCTCAGTAGTTCCCCAGTTCTGCGGGGCGAACATGATACTCGAGTGTGCTTCCGACATGAGAGTGTTGGGGATGTCCTCAGAGCGAGTATAATGCTGCATACCGAGGTTGATCCATGCCACAAGATCCTCTTGTACAAGGGACTCCCCATTGAAGAAGTTGTAGAAGTCTACGAGTGGTGCCTCAGGGACATTCTGATTCAGAGCAGCGGACGAGCCGGGCTCAGTATCATGTTGACGCGACACTGCGAATGGCTGCTTGGCAAAGTTGACGGACCGCTTGAAAAAGGGCGAACGCTTTGATGGAAGCACAACGTTTGATAGACCTGGGAGAATGCGGTAGCCCCTAGGCTGACCCCAGCGGTTCGTATGGTTCTTGTTGACAATGGTAAACATGGATTGGCCATTTGCTGGCATCTCGAGCAGGCCATCATCCTCAGTAGCGATCTCACTGATGTTATAGCGCATCATTTCAAACTCGCCGCGCTCCGGGAACCAAGGTTGGGTGATGTTCTCGACCACGATGTCCGTCTTGATGAAGGTATTGGCTGTGTCGATGAGGTCGAAGTCGGCTTTGAAATTCATTACGTGGCTGTGCAGAGTACCAGCAATAGTCTCTTGAATTCTTGGGCCCCATTTGCCTTCATCATCGGGTCTGAAATAGTTGGCTTGGACATAACCTGATGCATGGGCATCTACAGTAATGGTTCCATCAACATAGAATCCGTAGTCCCAGAGGTAGTCGTAGTTTCCGATGGTGGCAATCATACGGACAACGAGTTTGGAGCCTTTCGTAGACTGCATGTATGATTTGTCTGTGTGGCGAGTTACTGGGACGCCGATATCCGTCTCAAAGATGCAGACATTGGACGGCTGCCTCAGAGCTGTGATTCCGTTGGTGAAATTGGAATCGAGGTAGGTGGCATGGTATGGGCAGTCATATCCAGGAATCAGTCTACCAGCCTGAAGGCCAATACCAAAGTATCGATCCATATAAGCGGTGCCTGCTTGGAAAGGATTGTTTCCAGCATACTGGGCAATAGCATCTATACCTATTAGCTCATTATTCTGTGCAGTGAGATGGGATTCTCTGACAAACCTTGAAGTGAAAGTTCATACATGATTCTCTCATCCTTGAGCTTTATGTCATAGAATTGAATACCCACATCCTTGTCATATCTCATATAAAACTTCCAGCCAAGGTACTCAATGTACTTGTTCTCCTTGTCAATCTTATACCTCTTATCAAGAGTCAGAACAGTAGGTGCCAGACGATCTTCAAGTTCACGGATCGTCCCTCGGCGATCTTTTCGCAGGAAATCGGCGTCTTTGGCTGGCGCAGGCGACTTGACCATATTTCCAGACTCCCAAGCACTGCGAAACTCCTCAACTGTCTCATAAACCTTGAGGTTATACACAATTTTGCGTACGTGGTAGAGGCTAGGGTCAGTTCCGGCAATATCAAAGCTCACATACAAGTCGGAGGGTTGGTCATACGGGGCTAGGCCGGCCCTTCTCCATGGCGTCCAGATAACGCCAGTGGTGCCATCTGTCGAGAAGGGGTTTTGGACGTAGTAGGCTGCCGTGGAGCGAGGGTCACTGCTACCGTAGTACACCACGTCGATCAAGTCGGCCGTGATATCAGCAATCTGGGACATGGCCTTGGCAACAGCGCTGTCAATGGCGGCCTTCCTGACTTTGTCGATGAAGCCTCCATTCAGCAAGACGCTTGGCCCATTTGGACCATTGTAGAAGTAATCTAAAGGCTGAAGAGATGTGTTGCAAGAAATGGGAAGTGGCCCGGCCTTGTAGTGAAGGAAAAATTAGTCAGTGTAAAGAGTTGCTTATTGGGACTTGCTTCCACCTACAAAGTATTCAGAAACGGTTGGGGGGCTACCCGAGCCGTGGTTTATGATGACTCGAGCATGTCGGGGCACAACGCCGTTGCCGTCCAAATAGGACAGGACATCTGTTTTATTTGGCTTAAGTGTCTCGATGTGAGCAATATAATTATCGCTCAGAGACAAGGTTGGACTTGAGCTATTTGTGAGATTCAGCCCAAGCGATTTGTTCTCCAAGAGCCAAGTTGCCACTGAATGGATTTCAGAAGGTGTCAAGGATGTGAAAGGGTTCTTCTTGGGGGCCGTGACGGGAATATCCTTGGGGGCGGGGCAAGCTTGAAGGCTTTCGGCCGAGCGCCTGCCTATATCGAAACCAATGCCAGCATGTACATCCCAGTCGCGGGATGGACTAGGAGCGGCAACAGTTAGGCCGATGTATCCAATAGTGATCGCCTGAAAGGGTCTGAAACGCATGATGATGGTTGACCGTGCTTGGAAAGAGGAAGAGATAAGAAATGGGTGCTCTTAGAGGGAATTCTGTCAGGCTTTTGTGGCGAGAAGCCGTTCTTTAAGTATTTTGACTCAGACTTCTCCATTGTAGGGCCAGATAGAGGCTCTTCACATGTAGTTACCTTACTTCATGGTGCGATACATCCGATGGTCCTAGCTTGCCCCGGTTCATCCTACGCCTTGCATACTACTTTCTACACAATTCCCCGCTAGAAAGCAATAATACGGCAAGTTTTGCTTGAGAATCTCCAGTTCCGGTTGGATTTAGAGTATATCGGCTCCACTTCTTATCTAACACTTCCTTTCCGATTTGTGTTCCGCTCTGTTCGTGACAGTGTAAGACCAGTCAAAGATTCTTCCACTATCATGAAATCCCTGTCCTCAACACTCAACGGCTATCTATTTCCAGAGATTATTATGTAAAAGAATAGATCTCCCCAGATAAAAGGCTGGGCTGTTTCCTGGATCGTTGCATCCAAACTAGAAGCTGCATGGTTGACAGAGAAGCGAGTTTAGCTACGCTAGCCTGTTATAGCTACGATATCCCGGTAACCAATCAGAACGTCTCTTCATATGCAAACTGAGTGGATTCAGACCAAGACGGATGCGGGGAAATAAGAGTAGAAGATAAGGTGGTCAAGCTCGAGTTTGATGCCACGGCTTGAGTCATTTACAAGGATATCTTCTTGGTTTCCTAAGAGAACATCATATCTTATCTCATTAAATCTGATGGATCTATGGATCTATAGGAGAAGAAGCCGATGGGTCAGTTTTCGGGCAAGCTCATTGCGGACACCGCTGGTTCTTATCGAGTTTCTCCAAACTCCGCTTCATGTCGCCATGCCCTCGGAACTCCCCACGCCCGAGCTGAAGTTCCAAGGGATAGCAAGGAGAGGCCTTCAAGAATGTCATGCTAGGCAGAGCTCAATCCTTTCTTCCCAACAAAACTGGACCCATTCCATAATCTGCGATCCAAACATCCTTCTACCATCGCAGTTCCTACTTTCCGCTGGCCAGACTCGCTGTTGTAATGCTTTGATTATTTCAAGAATATTCGGGAAATGCTGTTTTTCATATAGATAGCCGAGAGAGAGAGTCACGGCTGCTCGCAACGAGCTCCCGCTCTCACTCTCGCACCCCAGTACGAACATAGGCCACAGGATCATTGTGATTGCGCTACTTGTAATTGGGACACGAAAACAGATGGTGGAAAGTTCCGCTACAGCTTGTGATATATCAAAGTCGTCCAAGCATGCCGTAGAAACGCTTTGGAATCCACGGTATAGAAAGATGCTGGTCGCTAAACAATGCGCATGCGCCACGTCGATACAGGCATTGTAATTTTGAGACTCGTGATCTGTGGAGTCTGGGAGAGAGTACGGCTGGTGAATCCTTGATGGGAGACTCTCCACGGCATCCCTCAGCCGTCTTAGCAATTCCGTGCGACGACTGTGAGCCTCGTCCATCTCCAGATCACCGGTAAAGAATGCTTCTACCAAGGCAGCTGCGTCTCCCGTTATTAAAAGACTCGCGGAAGCGAATCCTAAAACGAGGTCTGGGCCTGGCCTCAAGTGCTGATGCGGTGGCCATATGTGATCGTCCCAAAAAGACTGGTCTGTAATAGGTTTCCTTGCGCAAGGTACCGAGCACATAATGTCAAAATAAGCCATCATCTTGATGTGAACAGCAAGGGGCCTAGGAGCGTATGAAAGATTTCTGCTGGCGGTAGTAGAGGGAGACTTATTTCCACAGGCTCGCTTCCATCTCAACTCAAGGAGAGCTCTGATTCCATTCAAAAACGGAAGTAACACTTTCGGGCCAGCCGATATCTCTAGAGAAGCCAGTATCATGGATCCCGCAATTTTACCATCGATATGAGAATATTCTTGTTGATGAACGAGGAGCGAGTTATTCATGATTCTGAGGGCTTTGCTTTTGCGCTCGAGAACTTCCACCTGGCTGATTGCACCTGAAGCAGCCATGTGTGCTGCTGAAAATGCCAAGACGATCGGGAGAAGCACCGAATCTCGATCCCATACCAGAGAGAGGTGTTCCGGCAATATGGTTTGGTACTGCTGCGGGCAGGGGTAAGCCAGGCCGGGCAGCACCGTGGCCCAATGTATAAAGATAGGTAGGTCTGATGGTGAATCAAACTGTGGACCGTCTTTGGGAGGAGGCATAAGCCGGAGCGAGTTCGGGCCCCAGACAGTAATACCAGTTCTCGAGGTTCCCCCGGGAGCCACACACATCGAAACCCTACTGCCAGGCGTTGATGCGGTGCGTGGAGACGTCCACTTCAAGGGGTGAGCATATCCACCACAAGCAACGTGCCTCTGGCGGCATTGTGAACAGCTGGGCCGTGATTCATCACACTTGAGACGGGATTCCCGACATGTTAGACAGCCTGCTCATCAGGATTCCGATTGGTCAGCCCATGACTACCTCCCGCAGTGGGCCATGTGATGCTGCAGGTGACATGTATGATCTCACCTTTTCTAGAACGGCGATGATATCCTTGTGCAGGCATCGTGGGCTGGACTTATCGACATGTGTTGCTTCTCACGGGCACAGGACATGCCTATATGAGAATGGCAATGATACCCTGAGAACAGAGGCGATACAGTGTGCATATAGCCGCCAACCTCACCGCACTCTAGATATACAGCTTATCTCTCATACCTATCGATATCATAGTCCTTATCACCACTTAGTCATGGATTCCCAGGTTCCGGGAACCCTATCGGCCCCGTCGGCGACAAGTCCGTTGAACCGCTGGTGGGTCATTCGAATAGGAACTGCTAATTTCTATTCGCCTATTCTACAAGCAGCGTTGGGAAAATGGGTGTCGGCAATTCACGGGAGCTTGCACTGTGCATCTCGCCAAGCTGGTGTATCGCCTGCCAACCGCTACGTGAAGGTTGAAATTGCTGTGCATGACAAACTGGGGATCAGGTTCGGTAAAGGCCACATCAACCAGACAACCGCTGTGGCGAGGTTAAAATTGCTGTGCATCTTTCTCCCATTGGCCGTGCGGTCCTGGGCGTGTACATAGTACACCCCGACAACTGGCAAAAATGAGTGCCCAAATGCGCACGCCCAATTCGAGAAGTACCTTCCCATATAAAAGTACAGGTCTCAAGGATTATAAATGTTAGCACGATATAATTCCAGGGTCAGGATTAGCTGAATAGTAATTATATATCAGTATCTTGCTACTATACCTTAAAGAGGCCCTTTTTAGGTACTGAATATAAGATATATAATATTATAGCCTATAATATTATATCTTTAATATAGCTACTTAGTATTTTAATACTATAATATTATAACTTTAATATAATACTAATACTATAATAATATCTCTAGCTATCTTTAAAGATATTAACTACTAGTAGTAGCTATAAGAGCTACTACTATAGATATAAATAGATTATAAGGGTAATATCTACTATATAATTAGCTCTAGCTCTAGCTCTCTTAATAATAAGAACTTTATTAATAATTTAAGCTAAAATTAAAGCTTAAGTCCCTCTATTTATATATAGAGATATTATAAATATAGTTTAAGATAATCTTTATAGCTAATTTTAATATTAGAAATATCTAATAGAAGAGTAAAAGAGCTCTCTTATAATTAGTAGGTTAAAATAAAAGCTTTATATAAATATACTAACTTTAAGCTTTATAAAATTACTTTAAAAACTAGCTATATATAATATTAAGTTTAGTATATAATTTAGACTCTAGCTATACTATAAAAGTTAGTTATTAAGAAGAAGATAAAACTCTTAGATAAGTAACTTAAGGAGCTATAAATCTTCTTCCTTAAGAATAAATACTATTAGAAGCTAGTTTAATAAGATCTTTATTTCTTTATCCCTTCTCTTAATAATATTAGATATATAGCTCTTAGTAGTAGATTAAATATATTAGGATATATCTATTATTATAGGCTAAGAAATATTAAAACCTCTCCTTAGATTTATAAAACCTAGTTTTAATTTATTTACTAATAGCTAGAGCTTTAGTTTAATCTAATTAACTAAATAAACTAGCTCTTCTTCTTTATAAATAAAACCTATCTCTATTTATAATCTAATAGATCTATATTTATTATAATATTTAACTTTAAAGATCTAAATAGTTTCTCTTTATTAAGAGAAAGAGATTATAATTTTATATTCCCTAGTAGGATCTATAGCTTATAAAAAAGCCTCTATTTTATATAGTAACCTTACTATAATAAGATTAACTAATAGAGTTATTAGAAGTATATTCTTCTGCTTTATACTAACTTTTATAGTTAATAGCCTTAAGGAACTATATTTATATAAGATAGTACTTTATTATATATAGTAAGAACTATATAATAATAGTTATAATTAAGAGATATAGAGATTATTAGATAGTCTCCTTATAGTTCTAATCTTAACCTAATAGAGAATATTTAGAGGATTATAAAGGATTAGATATAGTAATACTATAAAATTAAATATCTCTCCTCTAAATAGCTCAGAATAGCCTTTAAAGAGGTATAGTATACCTATATTACAGAGGAGTTACTATAGAAGCTAGCTATTAAGATACTGGATTAGCTATAAAAGGTTATTATAAGAGATAGTTATCTAATTAGATACTAGATATATTTAAGTATAACTAACCCTAGGAAAATAAGTAGTAAAGCAGCTAAAAAATATATTATTTAAAGTATATCCTTATATCGCTGATCTGTAGATTAACCAGGGTTTTATATACCACTAACGTTTGTGATCCTTGCGACCTGTAGAGAAGAGGTATATAGCTTCGCAGATAAACAGGGTCCCCTGTCTTTTATAGCTCTCGCCAAGGAGACTGCATCAGACTTTAAGGCTGGCTACAGAACAAAGGAAGCTGCTGCTACTCCTATTACTAGGAATTACTGTATAGATAGGTTATTTCTACTGTTAAGTTGCTGCTGTATTCCTTCTGGTACTGAGAGTCCTGATCGCGCTGGCTGTATTATATGAGGATATGGTAGAGATGTAGAGAAACAGTTAATTAATGTAGTTTAGTTTGGGTATGCGCAGCGAATATTTGGGCGTGCGCATTTGGAGACTCGGCGAAAATGAACCTCTGAACACAGTGCCAACACACCCTGAGCGTCTCTCCCATTGGCTCCATGCATATTCCGACAATTCTTTCGACGAGCACTTTGGGAGAGTTAAACTTGCTAAGCGTGTTTCTTCCATTGATTCTATATATGCCGCTAGCAATCCTTACCACCGAACACGAGGAGATCTCCAAGATATCCAGATCGAATAATCACTTGAATTTCTAGTCATCCGTTATTCAATTTCGTGTTGATTCGGTGGTCTCGATAACCTTACTGAGATGGATTCGGCCTGACTCGTGATAGCCTCAAGCTTATCTATGCCAAACGCCCCGTTTGTAGTTGAGGCAAAGCATGAGACTACCAGGAACCATATACATAATCAAAACATGGTCATTACCCATCTTCCAGAAGTCCCTCTGCCAGGAACTTCGGTTGTGCTCTTGACAGTCATTCACCCTTGGCGCAAGGATGCCTGATCTACAAATACCGGCATCGTGGTGCCCCAAACAGGGGTGATCTAGTCTAGCTATAAGAATAACAAGAGAAAATCAAGCCTGAACATTCATACTACCTCTTATCCAAGTGTAGGTATCGTGATACCAGGCTATTGGTTTTTCTCCGGCAAAACATTAGTCAACCTCAGACAACCCATTCGGCGCCGACCTGGTTTTGGCCAGATCGGGCGCAACACGTTTGCTTTTGATCGAAGGAACTAAGATGATCGGTTTTTCCTTCTGTCTTCGAGCGTTTCTCAACGCCCTACCATTGGCCAATTATATTGTTTGCCCATGCTAGCGAGTCTTATTGGCCTCCCTGGAGATCATAGCATTCTGATCAGAGCCAATGACAAGGCGACTAGATCCGTCCCATGTCTCACTTCATCTCCCTTGAGTCGCCAAAAAAGCAAAACCTCCATCACGCATCACGGAAGGAATTAGACTGCTGACCAATTTGCTTTTCTTATTGATCCTTTGATAAACATGTCTCGTAGCCACCCTTAGTTTCTGAAGCGGTTTTTCCCTCCACGTCCCATCAGCTTTCCCGAGACCTCAAAGCACCGACCCTTTGCTGCTCAAGTCTTTTAATCGCGTCTCCGTTGATCACTTGTGTTCAAAACATGCCAGCAGCTGAGTGACAAGTCATTGTTAGTGTCATCTCAATCCATCCCGTCGAAGAGAGGCATGCTACACCAAATGCCCGATTGGTAAGAAAGGGATTCTGCCTGGTGTCCCGAAATACACACCCCATCGTCATGGCCTTCGTCCCGCCCAACTTCAGGGTCGACGTCCCGAGCGAGGATGAGCTCGTCGCCGTCGGCATCGTATGGGGCCTGTCTCTCCCGCTCACCATCTTTGGCATCTTCCGCTGTGTCCGGCAGACGTACAGCCAGTACCGGCGGACCAGGAGGGTCAACCTGTACATGTTCCTCATCTGGCTCGAGCTCATCTCGACGACCTTGATGGGTGGCACCGCTTGGGGATACGTGCGGGGGGTCATCCCACCCAGGTGTGTTACATACAACAAGTAAAAAAGAAACACGCCTGGTACTAACACGGTATGCACAGCATGTGGTACTTTCTCGGGGCAGTTAGTAAGTTCATCCCAGCCTCCACGACCAGCTTTACCATCATATCTCACAAAATCCAAGTCATCCTCTGGATCGTTCAAATCAACGCCATCCTCCAGATCATCCTCAACCGCATCAGCCTCATCTCCGACAACAAACCCTACGTCCGCCGGGTCCAGTAGTTCCTATTCGGCTCCGTGCTGCTCCTCCAGGTCGCCGTCGCCTGCGTCTGGATCCCCGCGCAGCTCCAGATCTCGGACCTGTACGTCCACGTCAACCACGTGTTCGACCGCACGGAGAAGGTCATATTCGCCCTCATAGATCTGTGTCTCAACGTGTACTTCATCTATCTAGTACGGTCGACCCTCATCGCTTACGGGCTGACCAAGTATGTGCTGTTGTATCGTGTCAACATAGCCATGATTCTCGTTTCCATGACCATGGATGTGAGTACGATTCCTACTGCCGACTACATCAACCTGCTTTACCTAATAATCTCCTCTCAGGTCCTCATCATCGGGATGATGTCGCTCCCAAGCGCCTTCTTGTAAGAAACCCCCTCATCCGCCTGAAATCAAAGCTAACCACCATACTCAAGATACGTGCTCTTCCACCCCCTAGCCTACCTCATCAAGCTCCACATCGAACTGTCGATGGCAGAGCTCATCGCCAAGCTCGTCAAGGCCTCAAGCAGGAGCCGAAGCTGCCTGTGTCCCTGCACCGAGGCCGACAACGACATCCTGGTGGCGCCCACCACCGGCCGCGTCTCGGAATGGGCTCTCTTCCGGCGTCTACGGGAGACTCGGGCGGTGGTCGAAAATGGGACCCAGACTGACTGAAAATGACGAACTCATTCGTGAAATTTGTAACTTCGCCTCGGAGGACATCTCTCCCTTAATTTCCAATGTAAATAAGCTAGAACTCTCTATCGCAGCGTTCTTTACAAGGCAAGGAACTCTTGACGACATAGTCACTCAAAAATAGAACAAGCAGACTAAGCTCAGTCAATTGAAACTTCATAAAATAACATTGATTCATCAAGACGCTCTACAGCAATATGTGTAACAAGCTTATCTAACAATCCCAACCAAGTGGGATATTTTAACATCTCTTTTTTTGTTTACTTTGTTTTCTGTCTTTCATTTCTTCCGTTCCCGTTTGGATCATTTCTCATTTCCCAAAATTACCAATTTACAGCCGGCTAAAGACGCCAATGTTGGCGGGGGCGGCGAGGTCGAACCGGTCGAGGTTCATGACCTTGGCCCAGGCGGCGACAAAGTCGTTGACGAGCTTCTGCTGGCCGCCGGCGCTGGCGTACACCTCGGCCAGGGCGCGGAGCTCGGGCTGCGAGCTGAAGATGAGGTCGAAGCGGGTGGCGGTCCACTTCTTGGCGCCCGACTTGCGGTCGGTGCCCTCGAAGACGTCCTTGGAGTCGTCGACGGCCTTCCACTCGGTGGACATGTCCAGCAGGTTGACGAAGAAGTCGTTGGTCAGGACACCGGGGCGAGATGTAAGGATACCGTGGGACGAGCCGTCAAAGTTGGTGTTGATGGCGCGAAGACCGCCGATGAGGACGGTCAGCTCGGGGGCGGACAGCTTGAGAAGGTGGGCGCGGTCAACGAGGGTCTGCTCCTGCTTGACGCGGCCAGATGACTTGCCGTAGTTGCGGAAGCCGTCGGCGATGGGCTGGAGGTAGTTGAAGGACTCGACGTCGGTCTGCTCCTGGGTGGCGTCGGCACGGCCAGGGATGAAAGGCACGACCGTGCGGATACCGGCAGCGTTGGCAGCGCTCTCTACGGCAGCGGAACCGGCGAGGACGATGAGATCAGCCAGGGAGATGCGCTTGCCGGTGGTCTGGGATTCGTTGAAGGAGGTCTGGATGCGCTCGAGGACGCGGAGGACCTCGGCCAATTGCTGGGGGTTGTTGACCTCCCAGTCCTTCTGGGGTGACAGGCGGATGTGGCCACCGTTGGCACCACCACGCTTGTCGCTGCCACGGAAAGTCGAGGCAGAAGCCCAGGCGACGGAGACGAGCTTGGAGATGCTGAGACCCGAGTTGAGGATCTCTCGCTTGAGGCTCAGGATATCATTGCCGTCAACGAGCAGGTGGTTAATGGCAGGGATAGGGTCCTGCCAGAGGAGCTCCTCCTTGGGAACCTCAGGGCCCAGGTAGAGAATACGGGGACCCATGTCACGGTGGGTGAGCTTGAACCAGGCGCGGGCGAAGGCATCGTTGAACTGGTCTGGGTTCTTGAGGAAGTTGCGCGAGATCTTTTCGTACTCAGGGTCGGCCCGGAGAGCAATGTCAGTCACCAACATTCTGGGGGGGTGCTTCTTGGCCTTGTCAAAGGCATCGGGGATGAAGTTGTCGGCATTCTTTGCGACGAACTGTGGGGCACCGCCAGGGCCCTCGACGAGCTCCCACTCGTAGCCGAACAGGTACTCGAAGAAGTTGTTGCTCCACCAGGTGGGAGTCTTGGTCCAGATAACCTCCAGACCAGATGTGATAGCATCGGCACCCTTTCCGGACTTGTAGCTGTTCTTCCAGCCCAGACCGTTCTGCTCGATGGAAGCACCCTCGGGTTCGGGGCCGACATGGCTGTCGGGAGCGGCGCCGTGCGTCTTGCCAAGGGTGTGACCACCAGCAATCAGAGCGACGGTCTCCTCGTCGTTCATGGCCATGCGGCCAAACGCCTCGCGGATGTCGTGGGCGGCAGCGATGGGGTCGGCATTGGCGTTGGGGCCGCGGGGGTCGACGTAGATCAGACCCATGTTGGTGGCTCCCAGGGGCTTCTCGAGGCTCTGGGCATGTGCCTTGCCGTACTTGTTCTCCAGCGAGGGGCCCGAGGCGAAACGCTTGTCCCTGCCCTCGGGGAAGAAGCTAGTCTCGGAACCCCAGTAGACGGACTCGTCGGCCTCCCAGGTGTCGGCGCGGCCGCCGGCGAAGCCAAAGGTCTTGAAACCCATGGACTCGAGGGCGACGTTGCCGGCGAGGATCATCAGGTCGGCCCAGGAGATCTTGTTGCCATACTTTTGCTTGATGGGCCACAGCAGGCGGCGGGCCTTGTCGAGGTTGCCGTTATCGGGCCAGCTGGAGAGAGGGGCGAATCGTTGTTGACCCTGGCAAAGAAAAAGTCCGGTTAGCTCTAGCTCCAATTGATCACATGCAAACCGAGGGATGAAATTACCTGACCACCGCCGCCTCGGCCGTCAAAGACGCGGTAGGTACCAGCCGAGTGCCAGGCCATGCGGATGAAGAGACCGCCGTAGTGGCCGAAGTCGGCTGGCCACCAATCCTGGGAGTCGGTCATCAGGGCCGTCAGGTCGGCCTTGAGGGCATTGTAGTCGAGGCTCTTGAACTCCTTGGCGTAGTCAAAGTCGGCGCCGAAGGGATCCGAGGCAACTCCGTTCTGGCGCAGGATGTCGAGGCGGAGCTGCTCGGGCCACCAGTCGCGGTTCTTGGGGCCGCCGCCAGCGACGTTGGACTGGGCGTAGGGGCACTTGCTCTCACTCATGGTGACGAGGCTGGTGCTAATCGTGCGGTGTGGGAGGAGGAGAAGTCGTCGTGGTTCTAGTCTCCGGAGGTACGCTCTGGGGATCAATCGTCCAAAGGGAGGCATCGACAAAGCAGAAAGCAGAGGAGAAGAAACAAAACAGCGTTAACAATGAGCTGGCAGGTCGGCGGTCTTATACCGACGGCACGATGCTTCGATTCAGGCTAGGGTGGGAGGAGGAGGGACGCAATTCAAAAGGGTAAGCAATGCCGATGGGAGAAAAGTCGGGGCATCGTCACTGCAGCAATTGTGTGCTGCCTTGACTCAGGCCAGGGGAGACGAGAAGTACCGGTACAAGCCCCGTCTGCCCCGCACTTGGAGGTTTCGCAGGGCGCCAGATGACAAAGCCCGCGCACCTGTTGGCCGGACAGTGCCGAGGCAGTCTGCAGCCAGCGCTGGGCCATCCCCCATAGGGCCTGGACGCGAGTGTCCCCACAGCAGCTTTGGCGGGTGAAGGCGCGACTCTTGCCCGCCCAGACGATGGCGGCAGGTACCGGTACGAGATGGAGATCAACGGTGACGGATTGCATCAACGACTCTGCCAACCCCGAATGTCCGAGTTTATCGCTTCGAATCTTCTTTGGAAACACAACCATCACACATTGCATTGTCTCAATTACGTACCACAACACCCCCGACTGCTACACCGATTGAAAACTTCTCGGCTTGCATCCAGCACAACCGGCTACATCCCCAGGTGCAAACGTCATACCACATGACATAATCAACAAACAGTGGAGGCAATGCGAAGCGACGCAGGAGGGACCCACCTCTCCGCCATCTCCTGCCCACAGGCCACTATTTTTACCACTCTAGGCCTAGCCCCGATGCCTGTTTTCCCCGTTTCCAGCCTAGCCCGTTTCTTCAATTCCAAATTCCAAATTCCAAATTCCAAATTCTCCAACGCTCACTTTAACTCCCCAATCGGGGCATTACGCCAGCTGAGAGATTTCAAATACCTGCGCCCTGAGTGAGTCTTCCGGCCCGCCGCCTCGGATCTTCCAGTATGGGGAAGCCCGGCATTCTCCGGATTTTCGGTAAGATACGATGGGATAGTACAGTCATGTTTTTCTAGTCATGATCCGATAGGATGGAATAGTCATGTTTTTTCTAGTCGTGATACGTATATGCTAGGTTAACGCTAATGTAGAAATAAATATGTGCAAGAAAGTGTAGGTATAGGGTATGCAGTGGTCTATCCCCGTGTACCCAAACTGAAAGAAGAAGACAAACAACCAGACAAACAACCCGAAAAAACAAACGCCGATACTCCGATCGTTGTATCTTGATATAATGTATCCCTTTACTGGAGGAGCACCGCGTCCTCGTCCAGCACGCCATACAGCCCCTCCACCTCGCGCTCCATGACTCGCAGCTCGTCCGCCACCCGCCCCGTCACCAGCACGTAGGCGTACAGCAGCGCGTAGTCCCTCTCCTCGACCGCCACCAGACTAGCCGTGGAGGCATCGTCGCTGTGACGGCTGCGCTGGGACTTGACCTCGATGTCGCGGATGCTGCCGGGCCTACTACTACTACCGCCCCCGACCCCTGCCATCTCCGCCGAGTGCTTCTTTCGGAACTGGAACACCTTGGTGAGGAGGTTGTTCCGTAGCGCGATGATGTTCGGAACGGCGTTGGAGAGCGGATACTCGAGCATGGACGAGCTGGCAATCACCTGGAAGATGTGACACATGCGGTCGCAGAGCACGGCGCGCTCGGGTGCCGTGTACGCCAGCAGCGCCTTCTCGCCGGGCGTGAGGTGGCCGCTGCGGTGCGTCACCAGCGCCATGGCGTAGAAGCCGTCGAGAATGCGGCGCATGCTCCTCATGATGCGCCCGTACGCCTCGAACGGGAAGGGGCCCCGGAGTTCAAACTCATGCGATGCCGACTGCCGCAGGCTCTCGAGCCGGGCGGCGTACCTCGTCATCGCCTCCTGCTCGCCCGACCGCAGATAGCTACGCGTGGCCTCGCTGTCGAGCAGGATGGCGAGGGGGCCACGCCTCCAGATGAGGCCCATCTGGAGACACAGCATCGAGAGGCCCTCCTTGAACTTCTTCCGCGCCGATATGGGCCACATGACCCTGCAGATGAACAGACCCCACAGGATCCCGCACGTCACCGAGAGGCAGCGATGCTTGACAATCTCCAGCATGTCCGGATCGATACCACCCTCGTCGTCGCCTTCCTCGACGTTGTCCAGCCCTGCGCTCAAGCTGTAGGCGTACAGCGTCGAGACGTTGTACGCGAGCTGGGTCATGCGACCGAGTGGCGCCTTGCCCGCGGCCACAATGAGATAGAAGTTCCGGAAACTCACGAGCCAGCCCAGGAACACCAGGATCACCGGGTTGCCCTGGCTGATATTCCACGCCGCCAACGAAAGTAGAGCACCGATAATCGTTCCGACAAATCGCGACGCGCCCGTAGTGTTGGAAGCCCCGACCGTCATGGAGCACACAATCATGAATGACAGCAGGCCCCATTCGCCACGATAGTGGTGGTAGTATTCGCGAGTTCTCTCGAGGAACGCCAGCATGCCCCAAAGCGAGGCTCCTATACCCACCTTCAGACCAAATAGAACTGCTTCACGTTAGTATTACAAGATACTTGCCAGCGACGAGGAGTATCGTCGATCCATTTAGAAACCACTCACTATCGTCCCTTGCCAGCTTCCTGACAAAGCGCAGAGTACTTTGCGACACAATTGACAACAGCTTGCTCGCGCTGGGCGCGGCCTCCCAGCTGAAGGTGTCCCTCCTGCGCACCATGGAGTCCGAAATCCCCCTCGGCGTAGCGTGTTTCCTAATCGGCTTGATGAGCCCTTCCTCCTCCAGCGAGGAAAGCCGCAGCGAGCTCAGACTGCCCTTGCGCCACGGGAGCATCCACTCCCACGACCGCCTCGAGTGATCGCCCACGTAGCGCAGATCTTCCAGCGTCTCAAGGTGAACCTGGACATCCTCGGCAAATGCCTGCATACTAGATGTGAAGTGCCCGCAGGCTGCTGCGACCTGTTCGAGCTCGACCTGGTGCGCTGCCGAGTCGCGGGCTCGGAGTGCCGGGTGCTCGTACAGCTGCTCCAGGGCGTTGGTTCTCGCGATGCTGAACACGGCGATGCTCTCGCTCAGCCCGCCGCTCGCGCGACTCTGCTCATTGCCATGCTCGAATTTCGACTCTCGGAGGATATGGCAGATCTCGTCTGTAAGCGCGATCATCGGTTCCTTTAGCGATGTGATGAATAATGTGAAAAAGTCGGGAGGGTTGAAGGCGGGCTCCGTGTCCTCCCCGTCGTCGCTGCTGCTCTCGTTATTAAAGTAAATAGGTATAGTGGAAACGGGTGACATGGGTGATGGTGGAGGGCGAGAAGGTGCGCCATTGGGGCTGAGGTAATTCGGGTTGATCTGGTTGATGATTGGATTGAGCTGTCCGTAGATGTATGGGTTGTCGAGGAGGACAAACAGCGTGCTCGACGCGCTCCTCAGAGCTCCGATGGACTGCGCTAGTTTGTCCATCGATTTAACGAGCGCTCTCTCGGCGACGTAGATTGTTTCATGGCCAAGGAGATAGTGCTCAAACTTGGCCTCCCTCAGATTCTTCATCATCTGAGGGTAATTCGTTCGGTACGCGGAAGATGATGCCGAGTACTCCGCAAGGGCCGGGTCGTCCTCAGTGCCAGTCATGAAGCCTCTAGTAATCATGGCCAGCATGTCTCCGAGAGCAGTCGATCCCTTGTCCATGGTGGTGCGCAGGAGGGTCCGAGCCGAAACTCTCCAGATGAAGAGATTGACCATGGTGGTGGATGCGATGCCCATGAGGAGGATCTTGAGCACCTGGACAATCTTCTGGTTGGAGAAGACATTGTCAATCACGGCCGTCTCCTTGGTCAGGACGCTAATGATGGCGAGGGACGCGAGGGTGCTAGCGACGTTGACCAGCGGGTTCTCCATCTTCTGCTTGACCCAGCCCATGAAGCCGAAGGCTCCGCCAAAGAACAAGACAACGACCAGGACGTGGGCCAAGGTGACCAACCCCCACACAGCGCCAAAGAGCACGGAGGTGGCCATGGACAGCAGGCAGATGACCTCGGCGTAGGCAATGGCGACGATGGCGATGATGACGGCCTCGATCATGGACCCAGTGGTCCGGGCGGGGTGGAAGTAGACGGTGATGGTGGCCACGACGTGCTTGCCGCCGGGCTTGCCGAGCAGGTGAGCGACGGGCGTCACAAAGGTGGCCAGACTGGCGATGGTGTAGGCCATGGTGCACTTGAGCACGCCGCGGCCCTGCGGTGAGTTGAACCAGTAGAGCAGGCGCAAGGTGGTGTCCGAGACCTTGGCCCGGAACCGCTCCATGGCCGTGCCCGCCATCGCGGAGCGGTAGAGGCGGTGCGGTTCTGTCAATGAGGCCCGGCCGGGTGAGTATGTCACTGCCAACGTCGGGTCCGGGAGCGCAGATTGGCGATTGCTCTGGAAGTGGCCAGTGGCAGAGGGGGAGCGTGCCTCAGATGGGATTTATGAGGTTGTTTGACAGCGCCAAGGCAGTGAGGGGGTGGAGCTTATGGGGGAGGCCCAGGCGCACTGTTATAAATAGAGGTGCATAAGACGGCGGACGGGGATGGATCAAGGAGAGTAGCTGGGATACCAGATGCTGGCTTGAGCCTTGGAGGTCTGTCTGTGCCTCAGCTCGGCACTTCCCTGTCGAGCCCTGCCCTAACAATGATGCGTGTTGCGATGAGGCAAGAGGCAAGAGACATACAATGACCTGATGATGGCATAATTAGTGCGTTCTTGCGGGTAGACGGCCGCTGGATTGTCACGCCGCCGCCGGCAATGGCGCTGCAGGGCTCGTTAGCGTCCACTGCAAGCCTGGTTCCAGGTTCCCACAGCGAGTGATCAGTGGTCACAGGGCCTGGAGCAACCCCCACTCCCGCTGCCACATGCTGCAGCTCGCCCGCCTGTCTCACACCAATGAATCATGTGTGCGATACGGGTAAGACATTGATCGGCTACGAATGCGACTGAAAGAGCATTGGACGGATGCTGCCATGGGCCATCTGTTGATTACTTCGCAGCCGGTGTGTGCGAGAACCCCGACAGTTTGCAAGGACGGTCGGGCTGGCCCACACAGTGTGTTCGCTCACCATCCTCCATGGACGCGTGGACTGAAAACACGCAGCATCTAGCTTCCTAGCTTCAACGCAATCGGAAGAGCTACAGGCAGCAGAGGCTCAGCCTTGTCTCTGCCATCTCAAAGCCCAGCCACCTGTTCAAAAAGTCAATTTCAAGAAACACCCACTCGCAGCCTGCTACTATGTCTATGTCTGGATACGCGCACTGATGAGATTCAAAGACAGTGCATAACCCAGTTTTCGCCGACCAGGGCAGTGAGAAATCCCGTCTGCTCTAGGAGCACTGATGATCCGCGCCTTTAATTTTCCGAGCACATCGACGGTGTCTGATTGTTGTAACCGAACGCGCGCCAAATATTAATAATACTGTCCGTCCCTGTCTGGTCTGGTCACGCATCGTTGTCAAAAGTCCCAACTGCTGCCTCAGCTTGCAAGGGAGCTGTGAGCATTTTCTGTGAGCACGTAAGATGGGCGCTGACGCAAAATGGGCGAGTTAGCTGCCTGTTGATTTGACCAATCATGGTTCACACATCGTGCAGTTTTCTCCACCATCTGCCCTAGCTTGGTTTAGCGCAAAGCCAAATTGCCAGAACTTGATTGCAGGCAACTTTGTCAGGTCTCTACGCGATCGTTCATGTAGTACTCCAATTTCAAACACACATCAGAATTATTTGATACACCATAGTTCCTCAAAAAGGATATCAATGATGGAGAAAAAAAAGTGTAGATATGCGGTCGATACTTGTATCGGAAGGCAAGCCCTATCAGGAATCTGGACTACGTGAATTGTAACGATTGGATCTGTATATAGGGTAAGCCATGACCCTCCTCAACAGGCTGCAGCCACAATATACGGTCAATCAATCCTCTTTGGATCTTCCAGGCTCCAACCTCTTGGGTTCAAAGTTGAAATCTAGTGAAAGGGCGCTCAGATTTTGAGTAATGATGTTGCGCGAAGAATCATGCAAAGGGCTTCTTTAGTCTCATATTCACCATGTGGTCTGATGGGTGGCAGATTTTAATGTTGTGCGTTGGTCGAGCGAGCCCCTGAACCACCTTGACCATGCAGCCAACGCCCAACAGCCATGAGAGTGGTCTGAGTAATAACCCACTCCCTACTCTTGTTCCCAACTCTTCTGCTCTCCCAGCTGTCTCCCTGACGTTAATCTTTGTGTCTACGTTCGTTCCAGTCAGCATGATTCTCACTAATCTCCCACCAGAACTTCAATCCAAAATATGCTCTTATCTCGTCAAATCAATTGGCCCTTCATCCATTCATGCCTTGCTTAGAACATGCAAACAATTATATGATGTTGCTCTCCCTTTCTCTGTCCAAATCTTCCGAAATACAGCCCCTATACACATCGGTAGGGGCCCTTGCTCCGAGACTCGCAATGTGCAATTTCTACGCTATATTCTTATCTCCAAGCCCGAACTAGCCAGCAGGGTTGATACAATTATCCTAGGTGGCTTCACGACAACCAGGGAGAGGGTGAAAACACCCACCGCGGTCACTAGCACCGAAGAAGAACCCGCCATATATCAAGAGTTCATCATAAATGCCTTGGGTCCACAACTGAGTGAAGCTGACTTGACACGAAGGGACAGCTGGATTGCTCACCTGAAAGAGGGATTTACTGATGCCCAGATTTCCTTGATCTTACTCGTATGTTCGGGTGTGCGGAGACTCTACTTCGAAGACTATCAAGAAGGAATGTCCCAGAACCAACTTTTCAAAAAACCAGACTGTTTCATATTTTTACTTGAGATGGCCAAGACCTTGTCAACATCCAACACCTCTGGCTTCAACGCTCCACTGCGGAACCTTCGTCATGTCCAATCCCAATCCCACGAGGATAACGACTGTGGCTGGGAACAGGCTTTCAGACTCATGGCGCTGCCTCAGCTGAAATCCTATGAATCCCTCGACACAACGAGGCGTGGTAATTTCGCAGGAGAATCAACTATTCTACCCCTCATCACCACACCCCGGTCCTCTTCCGTGCGATCCATCTCTCTCCACCAGTCTCTCGCGCCCGCGGCGGAGGTACAGGCTTTATTGAGGGTATGCAAGCACCTGGAGAAATTCGAGTACATCAGCCCGACTTTCGAACCGATATCCGGTATTTTTGCCCGGGATATCATGGAAGCCGTACTCCCCCACGCTAGAACTCTCCATCATTTGCACATTAATTTCTCCGATGAGTGCAAGAAGATCGGCTGGGAGGACGATCCCCAGCGGTTGTATCTGGGAACCGAACTTGCCCAGATGACGGCGCTGAGGCACCTCAGTATTGGGATGCAGTCTCTCACAGGCAAGTTTGACCAAGCGCCCACAGACGAGCAAGACACGCCCTCACAGATCGAAGGGGCGCCTCAGCTCATCGAATGCCTTCCAGAGAGTTTGGTAGAGCTCTTCATTCGTGATTGCGGCAAGGGAATTCTCGACCAAGCCAAGGAGCTGATGGCAACCATCGAAAAAGGAGAGCGCTTCAATAACTTGACACGCATCGTGCTGGTGTTCAAAGCCGAAATAGTCAACCTGAGAGATATCCGACAAGCCATTCCTGAGAGAACCAAGAAAGGGAGCCGTTGTGATCTTTGGGTGGCTTTCCAGCATCGCGAAGCGCGGTGGGTCAGCTCGGGAAGAGGACACACATTTGAGGGGATTCGCGCAATCCCGAGCCTCTGTTCTCGAATATTCGCAGATGATCTCCGCAACGACTGGATGAATTTTCGAGGAGGGCTTGCCCATAAACTACACCCCAAAGCTTTTGGGCCTTGCTCACTTGCTCGTGGAGTGGATGAGAGAATGATCAGGCTCTTACTTCTCAAGCCACCACACGAGAACTAGCTCGGCGATTGACTAATAACTTGCTATCTATTTGATGAAGAATGATTAATGAATATCTGTTATCTGAATGAATGACTTTGGTGATCATTACTCCGATCACTATGACCCGCAACTCCCAAAACCAGCTGTACGCTCAAAATGTTTCTGAAACAATCGGAGAAGCCATCGGCGTCATTGACGTATTGAGGAGGAAGGTTGCACCATATTATGCAGTCGCTGTCAACCTTTGAAGCTTTGTTCGGGTCGCTGCAGCTCGAGAGGGCCAGGTAGCGTGCTCGTTTTGGAGAGTAGTATATTGACCATGCGCCATAGGAGGCGCGAGTACAAGACCTAAAGTGGCCACACTCTGTTCAAAGACCCAATCCTACATAACAGCCTGGAGTCAATATATAAAATCTTACTAAAGTAAGTTTGTGAATTTGATTTCAAGGGCGACGTAGCTCCAATAGGAAGAACTATGCTCAGCCACGTCGTTGAAAATACCGTTCTTTCTCATCATCCAACAACCTGATATCAACGCCAAAACGATGAGAGATCCTCTCGACCTCGCGCTCAAAATCAGAATAATCCTCCTCCTCCGAAACATTAAACCAGAGTATCTGCCGCAGTCGCGGAAACTTCGTAGGGCAGCTCTCGGCCAGAAATAATATCACACTCTGAAAAGTGTGAGCAGGCGCCCATATGCGCCTGCTTTCCCCCCAAGCCTTTAGATCTTCCCCCCAGCCCGTCATATTAGGTTCACGTGCATCCCACATGACAAATGTCGCGTCATCCATCATGTCGTCGGTCAGAATAAGAGTCTCGACCGAAGGCGGGATACCGCGACTCAAGGGGGGATAGTTAGTATTAAAACCATACAAGGCTACCAAAGGGACATGTAGTTCCTTAATCTTATCAAATTCGACAAGCCTGTCGAAAGACCCAGAATCATGTATTTCCGGCCATGTCTCCTTTCTGCCGAAACCAACTCGAAACTTGATATGCAGCTTCTCTAATGTATTCTTGGTGGGAGAAATGGCGGTTATTATTTTATCCATGTTTAGATCTGAGCCGTTCGACGCGTCGTAACAGATACCCTCAACGTTATCCCAAGAGTAGGTGAGTGATTTGAGATTCCGTGTCAAGGAGAGTATCTTCTTTAGAAACCTTGGGTGAAGCCATTCGATATCCAATGAGGCGAGGTGGTCGAGGTTTGGCTTTCCCTCTGGCCACCAAAACCAATGGGGGTTTGCGAGCCAAAGTTTGACATGTACAAGATTTGGCAGATAAAGAGTAGAGAAAGCCTCCCGGAACTGAGAATCCGGGTCTGACTGATCTTGATCTTGCTCATCTTTATCAAGACGTCTAACATAGGCTAACCGCTGCAGCCGTGCAAACTTGGGAATTTGATCTGGGAAGGCGTCCGGGTTGGGAGCCTCATCAGAATCGGATTCAACATCCCCATCGTCGGATCCAACAGCTTCAGAATCCGAATAGACCTCATCATCGGAATAGATCTCTTCATCTGAATAGACCTCATCATCTATGTCGGAGTCGACCTCAGAATCGGAATCGACTTCAGAATCGGAACGGGGGGGCGTGAGTTGCAGAGCCTTGGATCGGAGGACTTTGCCAACAAGGTGAAAGTTCCTGATGAAATTGGTTGTAATCGTAAGAATGGTCGTGTTGGAGAGGTAGGCGATGAGGAGCCCGGCGAATGCGTCCATTTGACGGGTCTTCAGCCTCGCCACCCAGATGTCGGTGTACGGTGCTTTGGTCTGTTCGATGGCAGAAATGAATTGAGAAAGGGAAAAGTTGCTTGGTATCCTTAGCCGCAACTGGTCTTGTGACTTCCTATGCCGAGGGGCATTTCCGACTAAGGAAAATGTATTTATGAGGGCAAAAAGCTCTGGTCTAGAGAGAAGAGTCCGAAGAAGGAGAATGATTGGCGGCGTCTCGGAAGTCGACCATGTGAAATTGATGGTGGAATAAAGACATGGCTCGGCATGGTGACGATTGGAATGACTGGTGAGGCACAAACGGGCGAGATCAGCTTTGGGTAGTAAATTGAAGATCTGTTGGATGATTTCGGTTGGAATATCACCAAGGAGCGCCATGATTTTGGGAACTCAACTGTCAAAGACACGTTCAGAAATCGTACGCGATATGCACAAACGGAGGCACAGCCGCGGGGTGATCGTGAGAAGAGGGGAAGAGTCGAGGTGGGGGCATGGACCATGGATTGTGTTTCCAGTTCTGATTGGGTTGACGTGGGTGAGATGCATTGGTGGAGACTCGCGCTTGTGAGTAGGTTGACCGTTAGATGGGGTTAAGGCGGCTGGTGGAGAAGTCTCTTGCGACGACATTTCAATCTATCATCAATATCATCAAGAGAAGAGGTGCAATTGGATGTTTTACAATATTTGGTGCCCAAAGAGGGATTTTTAGGACAGCCAGCTGGGTTTTGCATGAAGAAGAAGACCTTTAAATTAATATGCAGATCCGTGTATTTCGCTCAATGGCTCGGATGCCTAGATCGCTTCAAATGAACTCATAATGTCTAAGCCATTGGAATGCTTTGATATTGAGGTCATTTCGTAGTCTCAATATGTTGATGTTGCGATAATTCGATATGTTGATGTTGTGATAATGCATGCCGAAATGGTGGGGTCGAAGTGTTCATACGAGGATCACCAGAAAGAGTGATGAAATGCTTCAAATAATCGTCCCCTGCAAATTGCGAATGCTCCAGAATTAATACTGGGTCCCTGTTGCACAAAGACCAAACAGCGTGGGCAAGGTGTGGGGGGGCCCTCGCTCAGATGCGCGGCGCGACATCGCCAGGAGCCTCACTCCACGCCAGCGTGCTATATACTCAATTATCGCAACGGTATTTCAACAATTGGGGACCGTGGTCTAATTGGTACGACGTGGTCATTAAAAGCGCACCCGACCCAGATTTACCGATGAGGGGAATCACTGGTAAAGCGGAGGGCGGTACAGCGCCTGGCGATGCATGCCAGCCCGCCTACCTCTGTACACACAGGTGTAAAGTAGGGCACCGAGGCGAGCGCCGGCCAAGACGGGGGTTCGAATCCCTCCCTCCCCATTCTTTTTTTGCTTTTTTTGCAAGTTTCAAATTGGAATCATTGTCGAGTTGAGTGCCCAGCCAAGGCGAGTCCGGCCGACCAGCTCAACTCAGACTGAACAGGGAGGCTGCCCTCCTCTAAGTAACGTAGATTTAACTAGCTGAAGCGCCTAACTTGGAGATTTGATTTAATTTATTTGGTTTCCAATATTTCGAAACTGGCTGCGCATGTTCCGTTGCTTCACCAAGTATTCTCCCCACCCGGCCTGGTATCCCTCTTGCATCGAATCATGAGCAACTCTGCGCTACCGCATTATTGGGTGGCCTTGTAGACTTTAATTGCGATCACTGCCAATGAATGACAAATTTGAGGCTTTAATGACATATTTCTAAGGCCTGATGACACTTTGGTGAATGCAAGGTGTCCGTGAAGTTCTACTCCATGCGTACGAATAAGGTTATTTTAGGTCTGTTCCCAGTTTTACCCGCCGCCATCACCAAGCCGCAACATCGCCAAGACTCTCATTGAATTAGCTGCCAATTAAAATTACCAGCACTAAAATGAATACGTACGGCTTGTAAGAATAGCAGATCCTCTCCTGTATTAGACTAGTCCGGCACGCCCAGCTTCGCCCGACTCTTCCTGTTTATCTGAAAACATACTCCCTGCCTCGCTGTCTTCGGGGCCGTTTCTGTTGGAATTGATCTGGGCCCGGGCCTGTAACTCCTTCTCCCTTTCCGTCTCCTCGAAACTGGGAGGCAAGTCCATATCGTCCGCCAGTCCCGTGAATGGGTTGCTCAAGCGCGTTCCTGGTGATCCTGGCTGACACTCTTTGTCTCTATCTATGCTTTCCGGCATGAGCATGACTGGCTGTTCGTCCTGGATTTTTATATACTCCTTCTCGATGACCCATCGCATTTCAAAAGACAATTTGTGGCTGACTTTCATACTGTACGTGACAAAATTGGGCACAAGGTACTCCGGGTCCACGAGCCGAAGGTTAATTTCTTTGCCGACATCCCTAGGCTCCTCATCAGCGGAGCATTTAATTTCGACAAGAGGCTCCGACTGGCATACAAAACTGTGCCTTATGGTATATTTTTCGGGTCCGGTGAAGGTAAGAGGATGATATTGAGCCGGGATTTCGCAGATTGATGACAGTACAGCCCAAAACCGGACCAACCTTGCCGTTTGTGTTATATTCTTGAGAACCTCGGAAGACTTCGACCAGTTGGGAATGGCTTTGATGGTCAGAGAGATTGGATCTGGATGATTGAGTTGAATGACGCTCGGTGTGGCGATGAGAACCTGCAGGTTCAAACGAGGCACAGACGAGGTGTGAAAGAACTTCTTGACATGCTGCCCCAGACTCAATGGCGCACCATGCATGCCTGGAACGAGGCGCTGGGAATGAACAGTGCGTTTGAATTCGTGAATCTTTAGCCGACAGTCTGCAATGGGGGGACTCGGATCCGCCAATCGTAGAAGGAGGGGATATTGACAGCGGACAATATCCTTGATCCCTTTCCGTTCGTAGATAATCTTGGCTTCAAGAAAATAGTCGACCGACGCGTAGAAATATGGCGACTTGGTCCGGCAAGTTGGGGGAAGAGGATGTCCGCTGACTGAGTCTTGATCAATAGGCAAGAAAAGTGGCATCGTAGAATTGGACACCTCGGTATTCACGCATCTATAGCTGGGGTTCTTTGGAAGTCTGATGTTGAAGGACCATTCGTGGCGACGTATTGCGTCGGGGGGGATATGGATCGCTCCCCTGAAGAGTGATTTCGTCGAGCCGAGAAGCATCATTACACGGGAGGGGTTGTCGTTCACCTGGGTGGCGAGACAGCCAAACAGATTGATGGTGACATGTGCCTCGGGACTGATCATGGCGGTCTGTCGATATACTCGTCCGGAAAGGGAATCGCCAGGATGGAAGAACATCGGGGGATTATGGAGCTCAATACCCAGGTCAGGCCTCGAGGTCGCTTCTCTCGTGGTCTCGCGAAGCATCTTGTCGTCAAGGGCGTTCGGCCTTGGTAGCTTGTTTGCGTCGGTTTATTGATGGAAGGGTCTGAATCCACCTCGCCAGTGGTATCGCGGGCGGGCGTCGACTGTCACTGCATCTTGGGATTGACGTGCAGAGATCATGGACCATGGGAATGTAATGGAAAGGAGAAAAAGAAGACGGAAGAGAGGAGAAGAAAATGGAAATTGTGGACGACGAAAAGCGCCACAAAAGGAGCAGGAAGCTCGTTGTGAGGAAGGAGACAAAATGCTCCTTCCTAGCTCTTGCCATTCTCAAGCCACACCAAGCAGAAACCTCACTCATGAGCTTTTGCATAACCTAGACCTAGAATTGAGCAGAAAATTGATCTTGGCCTAGAAGACCCTAATTGTCGCCAGATCGTCGCTGTTCTGAGAGTTCAAAGCATTATGATTTCATACCGTAACGGCCTTGAGTCATCGTCCGGTCATTGCAATTCTCCGTCTGCGAGACTAAGGATACATGACAACAAACTGAAAATCTCCCAATACATCAGAATGAGTGGCTAAATATTCCTGCTTCGCTCCATGTGCAAGTCTTTCTTGACTAGAGGAATGATCCATCCTGTATCTTCCCCTTCGCTAATCACATACCACTTCCTCCGCCGCAACCTCCGCTACTGCCTCCACCGCCGCCGCTGCTACACCCGCCGGTAGAGCTCCCGCAGCCTCCAGGACTACCACAGGCTCCTGAAGCAATGCCTCCGCCACAAGTACCTGATGCGCAAGCTCCCGGGCAGCCAGAGCCTTCACATGGAACGGAATGGGGGTCGTAGCCAGGATACAATCCCGGCGTGTAGTACGGAGGGTATACATATGGGCCATACACTAGTATTTATTAGCTGTCAGGTCAAATGTTAGAGGGAAGACATGAGACAAATAGACGTACTGAAGTATGGATATCCCCAGTGGCTGTAATATTCGTCCCTGGGAGGCAGTGTACGCCCCTTCTTGCCTGCCCGCTTGCACGCCTTTTGATACTTGTCCTCGAGGCGACGCTGGTACGCGCTGCGGGCCGTTTCGCTAACACTCTTAGAAATGATCATCTGCGGGTTGCCTGGGTCAGTGAGCTTAAAGGAGACGGCGTTGTGTGCGGAGATGTGCGCCGAGTTGTTTGGAGGACATTGCTGGGCGACCCCCGACTCATGAAATCGATTAGCGACTGTAAAGAGTTAGCAAGAACGAAGTTAGTACTTGGTTCAAAGGTTGGACTTCGTATTTACTTGTGTCATTCATGGAGAGACCTAGCGCTTTGCCGAAGGAAGAGATATGTGATGATCGGATCGTCTCACAATACCAGCAGGTACATTCAGAATACACCTCTTGGTACATCTGCTGGTAGGTTTTGCTGGTCCACTCGAAAGCTTGACCCAGTTTGTCATCGCTGATCTTATCATCATGGTCAATGAATCTGGCGTCTTCCTTGGCAGAGGTTACGGCTGTATAATATGCTGATGGAGAGAGCTGGTGTGTATGCCAGGCCTGGATACGAGTATTAGCACGACTGAATGTGTCTCTGGTAGGATTACTTTCAATGCTTACCAGATCAACATCGAGAGTTGGTACGCATAGATGAGTAGGATTATCCTCCATGATTGCCAGAAACCTCTTGTACTTTGCACAGATTCGGGCCATTGTCTGAGGGGCAACAGGAGAGTGTAGCCAATCCAAATGGTACATCTTCTCAACGAAGACGCCCTGCCGCATCACAGCACCGCACAGATCTAGTGCAAATGCCGAAAAGTTGTCCCAGTACCGGCTCATCATTTTGCGGATCACTATTCCCGCTACTGGTGGGAGCGCTGCTCTGCTAATTCTATGGTTGCTTGGTACTCTTGCGACTAGTTGGTCTAACTTTCGGGAGTCTGTAAGCGTGTCTTCAATTGTTCGTCTGATATTTTCCATTGTTGGAGGTTGGAAGCCTGGCTGTTGAGATTGGGTTCTCAGATCATGCAGCTGAAAGGACAGAACCTGCTGGATGAGTCGGTTTGGAAGGCGTAGGGGATCCTGAAGTTTTTCAAACGCATATTCTGTCGATCGGCTTTTATACGACTTGGGTTTCCCAGATTGAGGCTCAAGTATTGTGCCTGGCATCGGGATGCCTTTTCTCAGCAATTTCTTCATGTCAGTGTCAAATTTACCGAGACTGAGCAGTTCTTTGGTTAAATTAGTTCCACAGCCATGGCAGGCATATTGGAACTCGCCGTCACAGTACCCGGAGCCTACCAGACTAGGGATGGTGGCTTCGTCCGCTTGCTCATCTGCGCCACAGGTGGTCCAAGCTACAATGAGTCGGTTGGTGCAGATGGGGCAATTGACAGCCTTTTGTGTCTTGTCTTCGGTATTGTCCCAGGAACGATCTGTATTTGCGACCCACGCAGCCTTGACATCGTCGGAGACGCTGTAGACGAAGCTGGAGTCGATGGCCTTGTTGATGAGTGCCCAGGGCATTCCATGCCACCAAAGTTGCCTGAGCCCTGCCCGCATACAATCTTCAAGATATGCTCTCGGGTTGAGCATGTGTGAGTGCCAAACCATAAGTACATCTATACATCGATAGTTAGAAATCTTCTTGTCGTTTGGAGGTGTTTCAGCCAGTATTTTGATCACACATACCAAGGGGTGGCAGCTGCCCGTTGAACCAGAAGTTTCCATTGCCCCCAGTGCTGGGAAACTCATCATAGGCAAGGGAGCCGTCGTTTTCCATGTCTTGTTCTTGCAACGGGTTTTCATCGTTCATGGATTTCCACCAGCTTTCGTAACGATCGACTGCGCGGGCCACGAAAACAGCCCATCTCTTTTCTCTCACCTGGCTCAAAGCCTCTTGTTGTGCATTGTGATCATTTGCACCCTTGCCTGCTTTGGGCGCTTTGTCAGTCTCATGGTGGCGCAGGATGTCGCGTTTCCCTTGGGTACGAGTATCCCAGAGCCCCCAAAGCCCGTCAGTATATCCTATGTCCTCTTTGAGGACTTGGAATGCGTATAGGAGCTTGAGATGTGCCAAACAGGAGTCTGGGGTAGGGTCGTGTGGCCCTGAAGCGAGGCTCAAGTTGGCGAAAGACGCGGAGATATCAATCGCTGGATGCACAGTCGTGTTTGCATTGTCATATGATGGCGGCGCTGCATGGCCCGTCGGCTTGTCGTGCCCGCCAAGAGGATCCATTGGTCGTGTCTGAACTTGACGAGCAGGTTGTTTTGCGGTGTTGACTTACGTTGTTTTATGAGCGCGACTGCAACTGGAGAGGTCTTTTCTGAGCTTCTGCTCTGAGGTCGAGCTCTTGATGTAAAAATATAGTCTTCTCAAAAAATGGTTGTAAAAGATAAAGTGATCTGAAGAGATGGAAGCTTCATGGAAGGTATTAGCCAGTGGCGCTTTCAAAGAACTTTGCCGCGCCTTGGTAAGACGATTGCGGCTATGTTGACACAACTCGCCCGGCTTCCCTTTGGGCCCATTGGGGGCGGGCTGACTTGTGCTCGTGTGAGTGGTGCCCGGGGTGAACGTGGCTCCAACTGAGGCTTTGATGGGCCAAGCTTTGGCCACAGACAGGGTCTCGTTGGGCTGACTTGCTACAACCCTGAATCCTGTTCTGGTGAAATATTGCCCACGACACGAAGGGAGGGTTCCATCGCCCGGCACGATATGATAGGTAAAAAAACATTGGGTGTGCTCTCGGAACGAATCGGCGGGAAGAGCCAGGGACTGTATCAATGCGAGAAGGTTGGCAAGGACGGTCTCATGTTACTCTGCCTGACAGTTTATAAGTAGTGAGACAACGAGTCAGTTTTCCCGTAACGTGATGGAGACCGTGGCAGATGGACGCGCCCAAGCAAAGCTCACCCTCCACTCTCGACTACTCAACCTTTGACTGACCACTTGCTTGCCTGCGCAAATGAGTCAACTAGATTATTTCGTGGAGTATCACTCGAGCGGTTGAATGTTTCTAGGAGGGCTAGATAGCAGGCTAAACAAAATGGCATGCTAGTAACGTACTTCACATAGAGCTCGAAGCTGTGCCATGTGCACATACCGGATTTGTGTACACACTCTTGCAATAGTTGCCAATCCAACTTGAAGTCTCTCATGATAGACGTAAATTCAAATTGGACAGCAATGATTCATTTGCCTTGTGATCAAGAAGAACGTCATAGCAAATCTTTTACAGAAATCTTTTAGTCCTTTTCTCACTGAGTCCTAGTTGCATCTATTGGAGTAAGAAGTAAGTAAAACGAGTTTGAAAAGTAAAGGACGTCAAGGCGAGATGCAATTCCTTGACGCATCTAGGGGACAGATACTCTTAGCCAAAGCTTCTGGCTCTATGGCTCAGAATGTTCCGTTCCAGCCCAATGTATCACTTTGCACGTTCGATAATATGAATGCTGATAACAAAGTGACTTCCTTGACACGGTTTTCTCATCTGAATGGTTGTTCACTCGTTATTTATTATAGGAGATCCTCAAGATCAAAAGGAAAAACCGAGAAGCTAATCTCGCGTAGAGCTCAGCGTAGTATATAATTCTCAAGTACTGGATAAAAAAAAAGACTTCGTTAGAAGTGTATTGGAAAGAAGAGTATCTGCAAATGGCGTGGAAGGGACAGAACAATTGGTCGCTGACCTTGATGCCTTGGTTCATTGTTACACCATTGGGCTTCGCTCACCCCAACCTCACTTGCTCCCACATTCAAGCTTCACCCTTCAGCCATGTCTGACCAGCACCACCCAGAGACATCATCCGGCATTTGCCTCATGCAACCACAGATATCTGATCCTGTTTTATCTACAGCATCAAGCTCTCATAGCAGGGACACGACAAAGAGCAAGTATCACAACGCGGTAGTCCCGAACCTGTAAATATAGGTAAGCTCAGAAATACCCCTCGGAACCCCCTTCTGGACTCCTGTGGGACCAAGATACTGACTAGGGATTCAGGTTTCAGGTCGGACCACCCACGATGGGAGCCTCGGCTCTCAACAGTACCCGGGCGTCGATGAAGGAACGCGAAGATGCTCGCTGTGTTGTGAAGCCGGTCTTGGCGTCGCATCACATATGTGGCTTGTGGAACCACCCCGACAGTCAGCTTCGAAAGCAGATCCTGAGAACGATCGAACGATTACCTGACGCTCAGGCCGTCGATATTCTACGAAAAGGGTACAAAGATGCTGAAGAACTTCCAGTCACCGTTTGCATCACGCTAACCAAGCGCTCTTCATCGGGGGCGAAGATCGATCGAGTCCTCCGGAAATTGCGAAAGATTCTGGACAATCATGGACTCACCGATATCCTTTGCCAAGTCGTGGAGTCAACAGTTTCTTTTCATTCGTCCGCGTCTACTGCTCATGTACCAGAGTTCACCGCAACGGAGGAAGAGGGGACTAGGTTGATCTCACTTGCGGCAACTAGCATTAGCCCGTTGGCCACAAATGCCTCGGGGGAGTTTTCAGAACTGGAAGTAGAAGGATCACTCGGGCCAGTTTTGAAATGGAAGCAGCAGGACGGTTCTGCGAAATTTTTGGGCCTGACATGCCGGCATGTGGTGCAGGATGAGGCTCAGTTAAATGCTACGATGCACCAGCCGCTGACCGAACCGATCAACATCATACAGCCTGGCCCTGATGCATTCCGACAAATCCGGGACACCTTGACAGAGATTCAAGAACAAGCTGAACCGGAAGAGATCAGAGATCATATCGGGGCTGCCCTCCATCAGCTATCCGCCTTCCAGCCACTAATTGCACGGGTTGTTGGCCAGGTCTTGTTTGCGCCACGTTTTGGACTTCGCCCTGTTGTTCGCCGAAATTCCGCTGTTCGTCAAGATGATCAAGCCGACCCTCCAAGCAGGGAGTTCAGATGGTTGACCGACTGGGCTCTAGTTGAGGTATACCCGGATGTGGCTCCAGAGTTCGCTAATCAAGTGATTGTCTCGAGAGCCCAACACTCACGTCTCCTTGACCATGGAGCTACGATACGTGCCAGGAATATGGGAGCTGATGATGTCACACTTGAGCTGTCCGGAACAGTTTCTGAATCTCAACTGATGGCAATGCCGAGGGACGAAAGCAACCAAGCGACCGTCGCTAAATTCGGTGCGGCCACCGGCCTAACGCTAGGTTCGAGTAATGGTATGTACTCTTCCCTCAGGACCGGGAAAACAACTTGGAGCCAGGAGTGGTGCATCATAGGCATGAAAAAGGACCCTAATCAGGGTATGCTGGCACAACGGACCACATTTTCTGCGCAGGGCGACTCTGGTGCAGCGGTCTGGTTCCTGGATGGGAAGATAGCTGGTATGTTAACGTCTGGCCGCTGTCGTGGGGTTGTGGATGTTACCTATGCTACCCCAATTGAACGCTTACTCAACGATATTAGAGGAAGGGGGTATGATGTCGAGTTGCCTTAGTTGTTGCTATATGGATAAGGGCAGAACGGAGTCGAGATGAGTTGAGGTTAGTCTAAACAAACGCATGGCTGCAGTGCTCAGGGAAATACGCAGTATTCTACTAAATTGCTGATATGCTAGTGATAGTTTAACTGACTAAGGATTGGTATTTGTTTTTGAAACACTGGGAGAATCGAAGCAGTCATTAAAGAGAAAAAAGATTTCACTCCTGATGCCTTCTGAATTGATGCTGAGCGGATGCCCTAGATGTTCCAATATATTATTGAGCGATCAACACTGATAAATTATTCAATGTTCTCATATCTGTATAAGTATTTTCTCTCATCTTCCCTAGGCAGCATAGTTGATGGGATCGAAATGGCTCCTTAAGCACGAAGAAGATAAGCTTATATTAGGCTCTTGGATCAGTCAGCCCACGAAAGAGCCCTGCAGAGAGAAACGAATCACTACCCTTGCTTGTGTTAATTCATGCAGTGTTTGTGTGCACAGCCCTGTCTAATAAGCACCCTGCCAAGATATTGGCTGCTGTCCGCCCTGTCGCTATTCCCCAGTAAAGCCACATTGGTGATTGAATCGCCCATTTACGTTTAAATCGGAGGAATTTGCACTTCTTCTGGCGTAAGATCTCCTTGTTTTCGTGAGAGGCAATATATGCAGCAATTTTCAAAATGTTCCCCGGGAAAACAGATGTCGCAACGCTGTTAAGCCAAAGTAAACACACCCTCCAAAAATATAGGGATTTTGAGTATTCAGGACCGATTGCAGCTGTCCACAACGGGATCCGCCTTTTGTTACTCCGGCCAGGTAGATTTCTCGATGACATCCAAAGCGACCTCATCGACGTCTGCTTCGATGATCAGCTTAAGTATGAGGCCCTCTCGTATACTTGGGGCGACGGAAAGACAAAGCGTCCGATCCGTGTCAGCGGATCACGACTAGATGTCTCGGCGAACCTTGAGGTAGCGCTGCGTCACTTGCGCCCCCTGACTACCACGAGGGTTCTGTGGATAGATGCGCTTTGCATCAACCAGGGCGACTATGAGGAGAGATCAGACCAGGTGAAGAAAATGTTCCAAATTTACCGGCGGGCGACGAATGTTATCGCTTGGTTGGGGAAAGAGAGTCGGGGCAGCGGGGATTCGATGGCCCTTGTCACGGACTTTGCCATGTTCCTCAGGGGAAATGGTGTCGTCGACTTGGAATCCGCCCAGAATTTCAACAACCGAGCCAAAAAGTCACGGAAAGGACCTAGCGGCGACCTGAACAATCTTGGGTTCCCGTTCAAGGAAAAGAAGCGGGACTGGGAATCGTTGTGGAAGCTTTTGAGGCGGCCATACTGGAGCCGGATGTGGATATTGCAGGAATTGGCTGCACGAGGATATTGGGGGAGTAGAGACTCGATGCCGTGTACTCTTCAGTGCGGCTCGCATACCGCATCTATGCACGATCTCCAAATGATGTTTGACCATTTCAACATCATGTGGTCATGGTATTCTCCGAGTGAGGTCGGGGACTGGCGCCTTCAGCAGCCGTTCAAGTCATTCACGAGACAGGGCTTCATGGACCCCCCGGGCTTTACCATGTGCGCTACTCTGAGATTGTTTCACCTTGACCGTGCTGCTGGAAGATCGACACTGAAGAGGTTGCTGCACTTGTCGCACCCTCTGGACGCCTCGGAAGACCGTGACAAGATGTATGCCCTCCTCGGTCTCGTGTCCGAAAACTATACGATAAGTCCAGACTACACTATATCGCTTTCAGACATCTTGATACACTATGTCAGGAACAGCGTCGAGACAGATGGGTCTTTGAATGCTCTTTTCTCGAACCGTTTGTACCCGTGCGAGTCAGGGCTACCAACATGGACGCCAGAGATTCGTAACAAATGGCATGCTCCGTGTCAATGGGAAAAGCATGGGGTTGACACACTGTTCAAAGCCAGTGGCAACAAGAAGGCAGATGTGGAATTCATCCCATACCAGGACCTGAATCAGGATTCGGTAATCCTACGCGCCAAGGGTGTGGTCATTGGCGAGATTGACCATGTCATCGGCCCTTGCCGCATCGATGATCTCGTACAACGTACCATAATGACAAGGTTTTCCTCATTTATCCACCGAGGAAGGTATGAGTTGTTCATGATGGAGCTCAGCCGATTTGCATCCGATCTCGAGAATGGGTCGGCTGACTACGGCTCCTTCTGGCGAACTTTGGTCTTGAATAGAAATGAGGATGTTAATGACACGCGGCAAGCCTCCAAGGGTCTGCGCATCGGAGGGGTCATCGAACTCCGAAGAGACTGGCTACAAGCAAAAGAAATGGGAGAGGTTGTCGCGGGAGAGGATGGGGTGAAGCACAGAAACACCTTTCGCCGGTGCGTATACAGATGCGTGATGAACCGTACCTTTTTCAGGGCCAGGGGCCATAGCTATACGTACATGGGCCTCGGCCCGTACGACGCCCGCCCTGGAGATCTGGCGGTCGTTTTGTTTGGGTCGGATCAGTGTTTGGTGTTGCGACCCAGAGGAGAAGGGTTGGAGGGGTATAATGTGATTGGGACGGCATATGTTCACGGCGCGATGCGGGGAGAATTGGTAGAGGAGCAAGATGTGCAAGAGAGTGTATTCGATCTTTACTAACAGATCTAAGCTAGGTCAAACAAATCATGGTATTATGTTAATCAGGAGATCCTACCATCTCGAAGCTAGAGGAAGTGCTGTATAAGAATACAACACAGATTTGCCAAACTCGATCAACTCAAATACCTATTGGGAGGGCAAGGTTGATCCGTAGAGTTCAATTTTAAGATTTACGATTCCATCATCACCTGGCATGTCAAATTGTAGGTGCTCCCTTCATCATCAGCCATCTGAGAAAATGAATGTCAATGTTGAAGGGGGAAAAACATTAAATCTATCGTCTAGTATACATCCACTGCAGACAAAGTAATGCTCTGCTGACCCGCAGGAATGGTGCTACCAAACTCAATCCCATTCCCGTTGTTCAAGTAGACGAAGGTATTAAAAACTCCTGCGGGGGTGGTAGAAGTGCAGCCGAAGGACGCCCCTGTTCGAGAACAGGTAAGTCGCCTATAGTGGTAACCCGAGGAGTTTTCTGGCAATCCATTATTCAAGTCCCAAATGGCAACTTGCCCGGGATTTTGGTTATCAAAATCGCCCGTATACTCGTTGTATATGTCATAACTTGTTACAAGGATATATCGGTTTTTGATGCCCTGGTATATAAAAAAGATATCCCCGGTCGACACGTCGAGGTAAAACTGTGCAACTCTCATCTCTGAGGGGGGTTGGGCCCCTGAAGAGTATACAAATATAAAAGTTTGAGTTGGAGACGATGATGAAGAATAGTAGTAGACAGGGCTCCCAAAAGTTCCGCTGCCTGCTCCAGATGACAGTAGCGTAAATGCTGTTGGTTGGGGGATCAAGGTTGATGACGACGGAGTGGGAGTGGCTGAATCACTAGGTGGGACGGAAGTTGTTGGTATCGAAAGGCTGGAAGGCGTGGGTGTAGTAGATATCGCGGATGCATTAGATGTCGAAGACACATCTAGTGTAGTAGAGGCACTTGGTGTACTTGATGAGGCGTCTGACGAGGAAGAAATGCCGGGCGTGTTTGATGTAGTCCCGGTAGCTACTGAAGTGTCACTTCCGGCTGTAGGGGTCAAATCCGTGCTCGATTCAGGTGGTGCTGGAGTACTACTTGGGCTCAAGGTGATATCAATGGCACTGGGTGTGGAAGTTTCGGGAGTCGTTTCGGAAACAAAAGAGCTCGAGATAGGAGTAGCAGAGGGCGTGGCAGAGGACGAGACAATAACCGATGAAGGAGAGCCGCTTGCTGAGGGAGTCAAGACACTACTTCTTTGGCACTTGTGCTTGTGTGCAAGCCCTTCAGCAAGGGTCGCTAACACGACGAGAGAGGCGAGCGACCAACGCATCTTTCGGGTAGCAGCGGCGGGGCGCTGTGGTTTGTCGTGTAGTAAAGTAAGGTTCGGGGACGAGAAAGAGGAAGAGGAAGTGGTCGCTTCGTTTTAGGAGCGAGCGTGTATATATCCACATGCAATCTTGCGTTAGTATGCCGCGCCTTTCAGCTTTTTACCCGCGCTACTGGACGATGCCAATATTCCCCCCTTAGGCTAGAGAGTATTGGGACTAGTTCTCAAACGGCTATGGGCCTCGGTGATAGCGCGAAGAAGCGTCTGTAGTTGAAGAAGGCCATCGTTGGTGGGGACTGAATCAATAGTCTGTATATGAGGTCCACCGCACATGTTCCTGCATCACACTATGGATCAGCTCCATTTTGGGCTTTTAACTATTCGGAGATCGATCTTGCTAGACGAAAAGATCTACACCGGATGGTTACCTTCCCATATCACGCACTACCCTACAATATGAGACTGGTCTTGAGTTTGAGAAGACTTGAAAGATGAAATGAAGTAAATGACTCAATTACAGAAGCATTATTGAATAGTCTCATGCCTGGATTCATAAGCTATCTCTTATACTTTGGCCAAAGCGGACCCATTTGACGTTTTCTTTCACGTATATATTCCATATTCGTCGCCACCGACCCAACTTCGAAAAAACCAGAGTACTTAGGTTTCAACAAGTCACATTAGACCACTATCAAGAGACAACGCCCCGCTTAATAGGAATAATGAAAGTGAACAAAATTCGAAGTAGAAGTGCGGAGAACGCAGCTGTAAGGGCACATGGGGGTTGATGAATCAAAGAATGCACTTGAAAGCAACTTTCACCGTATTATTCCAGACTAGCATGACAGTAACCAAATAGTTTCTCACTGAGGCAAAATTACACCGTAAATATGGAAGAAAAAAAGTAGATAGGCATCTACTAGCTTCTTAGTTGTGTGTTGAGTGTTAGAGTTCCTTAAAATGAATGAACTCTTGCATCTTTGGTCCAGTAACGAAACGTCTTCCCAAAGAAAATGAACACAATCATCCCCAGAAGGGTGATTCCTACAGTCATAGCCATAAGAAGCATCTTCGGTTGAATGAAACCGCTAGCAGCCGCCCAGTCGTTCATAAAGTAAGTCATGCCAAACTGCATTCTGTAAGTTAGATGGATACAAATGAATGCTTTTTGGGAAGACTTACTCCAAACGTATTCTTGCAAACGGTTGCAATTACCATAATCTCACCAGTTACGGGCTTGTAGGAGTCGATTGCATAGGTGATCACAATTGTTGGTATCGCAACAACCTGAACACCAACTAGACCGAACCCAACGACGACCACAGCCGGCCAAGGCCACTTGTCTTGCACTCCCACCCCAAAAGCCTACCCATTCTGATTAGACGAGCTTCTTGTTTCATGGAGTCCAGAGACTTACCACCAGGCCGACTAGAGCAGCAGCAATGAATGGGGTTAGTGATATCAATCTCATCTCCGGCTCGCGAATCCCCCCATTCCGCTTCGTGGCTTTCTGTGAAATCCAGTCCGACCAAGGGCCAGCAACTCCAAGGCCGATAATACCTCCTGCCACCAATGCAAAGTTTGCATATCCTACCTGCGCAGGAGTGAAATTGTATGGTGGCGCAGCCAATGCTTGCGACTGTAGTAAATTTACGGCAAGCAGGGCGTTGGCAGCGCAGCCCATGGACATGGATGCCCAGAAAATAATAGGGAAGAAAAATATTTGCACTGGAGTGAGAAAGTGACGAATGACATGCTTAAGAGCCACGCGGTCGATAGGTTGAAAGAGGTTGAACTGAGCTCGGCTAGGTCTTCCTTTGCCGACGCATTCATGTCCGATCGTCAATGCACTGGGTGAGTCCAGCGTCGGGTTTTTGGTTTTATGCTCGTCCTGACCCATGGCGTTACTCGAAGGTTGGCAAGCTTGGCTGTGCATATTATAATCGTCGTAGCTTCGACGCGTTTCGGGGAAGAAGAAAACCAGCGCGACCATGTTCACCCCTTGGGCAATCGTGCAAGCCCAGAAGAACCAGCGGTAAGAGACTCGGTCAGCAACAGCGCCGGCAATGACAGGGCCCAAGAACAGCCCAACGAAATAACACCAGCTGGACCAAGTCAGCCACCGAAGTATTACAAGGACGAGGTGGTCACGTACAAGTATGAGCCCACATATTTACCCCGTTCATGGAGGAAGTACATGTCCGCAACAACGACATTCATGATGCTCTCATTGGCCGAAGCCCCAGTGCCTGTAAGAATGCGGGCACCAAGAAAGGAGCCATAGGAATTTGCCGTTGCCGACCAGATGAGGGCGGCCATGTTCAACAGGCAGCAACACATGAGGGTGATACGTCGTCCAAATATCTCGCTACAGGGGATGATGATAAAGTTACAGTATCCTAATAACATAACCGTAACTCCAGTCTATAAGGTGTTAGTTTTGGGATATAACTGTAAGTGATAAGATATTCCTACCAACAGGGCCACATCGGTCAAGGATCTGTTCCATGTCTCCATGAATAACGGCGTCAGAGGGGCGATAGAAAGAGCCGGAATAACGCTCGAAATCACGAAGAAGCCTTGGTTGACCATTACCAAGGTTTTCCACCAGAGACTCCAATTCTATACACTGGTTAGTGATAAGATGTGGGAACCATTTTGATTAGCAGCACGTACCAGAGGATCGTGCGGATCGTTTGTCGGCTGCGGAATGAGGATTGCGGAGGAGGAAGCATTGTGGGCATGGGCAAGGTGTTTCTCTTCAACATCTGCCATGACCTCTGTACCTGGAATCATCTCAATCTGCTCTCCCTCTGTCGCCCCCCCTTCATACTGCGCAGTGTGTGGTGTTTCTTTCGTATCCATGGTAGCTGAAATAAACGGTTTCTTCTTTCGGTGAAGACTACGATGATCCAAGGGGGAACAGCATTTCCAAATCAAGCATGGAAGTAATATATAGCGAATCTATCAAGGACAGCAGTCTGATTTGTCCCTTTGCGGGGCCCCGCAAACCTTGAACTCAGGTCCCACCACCAGGGTCTAGAGCTTCGGCTGAAGAGACACGCTTCAGTGTTCGGACCGTCTGAATTTGACACTAATCAATCTGGCAACCTGGACGTTATCGATCTCTTGATTCACCCTACTAACAATCCGCTGCCCGTGTTGTACAATCTCCCACGCCATCAGCGAAGTCTAAGACCAGAATATCCTTGCCCAGTTTGCCTTTGACGAATGTCACCAACTCCTGATGAGCTGGGTCATCCTTCACGAAATACGATCTATCTTCGTCATTCTCGAAAACAAGGATCGATGCAAGATTGAACCCTGCAAGCCAATGTTTCATGGAGATTAGCGAGCTATGCTCCGGTAATGGGCAAGCGCAGAACCTGCACTTCACTCATAGCGGCGGCGGGACTTACCAAGGCTCCTAACGTTCTCGGCTGGACGTGTTGTGCCGCATTTGATTGAACTGATGTACGGCTCTCCGTTTCGTTTAGCCGTAGTGGCGAGATTCTTTATGTACTGAACTGCGGTACTCAGTGCCTCATGCTCCCGAAAGGAGTATAACACAATATGCTCTATTGGTTGCTGAGCCATGACTACAGAATTCCCGCTGAATCTGCCGAAATCTACAATGAGAAGAATGGTATCCTTCAAACACCTTACGGCCATCTTCGGCTTTAAATGTCCCAATTGCGGCGGGACCACGACATGTTCACACCCCCTCAAGAATGGTCCCGCCACCGTAATCGCTATTAAAGAGTGTCCGGCAAGCACCCACAAGGAGACTATTGGTCCCGCAGGCTTGATACAACCACAGAAACCCATTATTACATCCGATTTGTGTTGCAAGGATCAAGGATCCGGTCAATCCGGGGACCCCAATACGCGGAGCGGCCTCCATCTGCGAAGAGCCGGAAAAACATATCAATGGAGATACTGCTGCTGGCCATTAAACCCCACCATCAGAGCTGACGCAAGAGAAGGTGTCAGACCACTTGCTCTTGCTTCCAAATAGTTACGCCTCGAAAAACATAGAAACAAAAATGGCATCTGTTGCTACTCAAGTTGTACGTTCGGCCTTATCTGCTCTAATCCTGGATAACAACTCGCGCTCATACGAGAACAGTACATTCCCCCACCAAGTAGCCGTGGGGCTTCAGTCTCAGACATTGAAGCTATCGGAAAAGATAGTGAGCCAGCGGCAGAGTGGCGTGCTAGAGCAGGCATTGACACCTCCAAACAAGTCCGTTTGGTGAAGCTTGTCCATATGCGATACCAACATCCCGGCCTTGATGAAATCACAACATTCCTCCAAGACTTTGGGATGCATGTTGTCAAGGCTACCGACGAAAAGAGATGGTTCGGAGGCTACGGTCCCGATCAATACGTTTACTATGCACAAAAAGGGCCACGGAAGTTTCTGGGAGGGACTTATGAGGTGGAAACTTTCGCCGATTTGGAGAAAGCCTCCAGGATAGAGGGGGCTGGACAAATTGAGGCTCTAAAAGATGCCCCAGGAGGTGGACATATCCTAACTTTGATAGACCCTGAAGGATTTCCAGTTAGCCTCATCCATGGACAAGAACCTGTAAAGGTTGGAGACATTCCCCAGCAGCTCACCATAAACTACGAAGCCGACAAACCAAGAGTTAGGGAGTTTCAACGCTTCAAGGAGGGCCCAGCAGCTGTGCATAAGGTAATCCCATGCCATAAGTAGATGCCTAAAGAGAAAGCACAGCTAACCGACTCCAAGCTTGGTCATTACGGCCTTTGTGTGCAGAATTTCGACACGCTGCTGAGTTGGTACACAAGCAACTTCAACATCGTGCCTACTGACTTCCTTTATGTACTCCCCGAGGGGAAGAGGAAAATTGTGGCTGTTTTCGCACACATCGATCGCGGAACCGACTATGTTGATCATCATACCTTCTTCATGTCTACAAATAAGACCTCGCATGTTCATCACTGCTCGTTTGAGGTCCACGACTTTGATACACAGCAAATAGGGCATCAGTGGCTTGCAAAGAAGGGCTACAAGAGCGTCTGGGGAGTAGGTCGTCACATCTTGGGGAGCCAGATATTTGATTACTGGTGGGACACAACCGGAAACATGGTCGAACACTATGCAGATGGGGACGTGATCAACTCTGAGACACCAATAGGTTATGGACCAGCAGGGGACGAAAGCTTGGCGGTTTGGGGCCCGGATGTCCCAAAGACATTCTTGGACTAAGAGCTATTCATGAAATTATGCGAATATGCTGTCGAGGTGTTAGCTAAATATGTTAAGCAAGTACCTAGCAGAATGAAGATAATTTATTTTCACAGAGGAGTGTAAAGCTAGGACCAAGTTGGAGTATGGAAACCGCAGGATAGGAACTTCATAGATATTCAAAATATCCGTTAAGCTTTATTAGCAAGCTTATAAGACTCTACGCTATTTATACTAATAATACTCGCTTAATTAACTGTATATAATAAATGTATACCTGTAGATCTATTCCTAATCCCTACTGCTCTTAACTACAAGCTTCGGAGATTCTTGTTATATACTCGTAGGTAAATTCCTTATGTAGGGTAGATACGTTGCAAGTGTGGGGTCGAGTGATCGGACCCTCGCTGTGATTTTGGCGCTACTGCGTGACATTTATCTTGGTGAAAGAACAAAACGTTTAGCAGCGGGGTGACATGGACGTCGAAAAAGCCGTGAAGCTATGTGCTAAGACGCTGCGTTTTCGCTTGCAGATGGCTTTCCTTTTCCCTAGAAGTAACAATAGTTGTACGTCGAGATGAGGGACGCTATGGTACTAAATATTATGCCTGTCACCCTTAATTTATTCATACGCAATATATGACTTGGTTTGATTAGAGGTTTTGGGACCATTTTTCGTATTTTATTTTAACCCTTAGTGAACTCATCCCAAAGACATTCTAGTATGGAGGCATAACGGTGCGAAATTTCCCAATGGCCAATCCGGCGTAACAGATCAATAGCATTACAAAACATGCTTGGGTCAACTGGCCAGCTCACTGGCAGGCCTTTAATGCCTTGAGTCATTTGTAATGAAAGTGATGTCCATGATACCATGAACTCTGGCATCGTCACCCTGCTCTGTGCTGCCATTTGCAAGCTTTCTGCTGGTCCGAATTTCGTGTAGCAATAGATGACAATTGCAGCTATAAACAATGCTCTAGGGATGTGCATGGCTGGCTCCACTGAAATGGACAAGCTCTCAGCCCGCTTGACGAGCATCCATGCAATAAGCACTGAGCGGCGGCCTTCGGGCGAAGCTGACCATAGGCGAGCCTTGTAGGCGACTTTCTCCGTTATGATGTGCCCATCCCGGCCTATGGCACTCTCTAGGAGATCAATATCGGCATATAGAGCGATATGGGTCAAGTGCCACATGATTACGAGACCTATGGGGTGGTGTCTTGGATCTTGCAGTGCATGATCATGATCGTGATGCCATTGCAGAAGAAGCTCCTGGAATTGCCTGACATCTGCATCACATAACGGACTACCACGGATTTCTTGGATCGACGCTAATATCCCAGCCAATGAAGCGTACCAAAACATCATCGATCGACGATGAGGTAACTGTGAGCCTCGAGGAAGGCCCCTGGGATAAGCATCGGGGGATCCTGACAGCTCAGTGCTCTTGGCTGTTCGAACAAGACTTTGCCACTCCATCGCCGAGGCGGCCGAGAATAGCTCATCAGAGCAGCATTGAGGAAGTCTGGCTACTGTATGCCTTAATAGTGGTTCGTGGTGGAACGTGGTGGCGAGCTCCGTATCGTGAACATGCAGAGCAAGAACGAGGCGAATGGATGCTTCTGCCTGCGCCCATCTCTTCCACGCGTACTCGGGACTTGATCCGCCATCTCCATCAATGGTACCTAGCGAATCACGCATGTAGAAGAGCCCAGCTTGCCTTGCCCAAGCAACGATGGTGCCATGGAAGCTCTCAGTCAGGCAAAGATCTTGGGACTGTCCGGAGAGCATACCAAAAGTCTGCCCAATAGTAGCTGCCTGGATTAGGGAAAGGGCTTCCACGCTTCCACGACGGATATAACTCTCCCACTGCGTGATATTAGAAAATATTTGGTTTCCAGGAGAGAGCACAGATGTAACTCACGGATGCTAGGACTGCCTTGTTGAGAATTTGGAAGATCCTTCTGCCTTTCACTGCTGCGCTCGCAGTCCCTATAAACAGGGCTCCAATTGAACAAATCGAGAGTAATACTAGAGCGTTTTCGGACGATGGTCGGAACGAAGGTGCATGGATAAGGGGCATTACGGGGTTGAATCGTGAGAAGTAGAGTTTGACGCAGAGATTCTATCCTAGTTAGTTGAAAAGCCACCGTCGTATGCTGCACTGATTACAACTCACCAAAAAGTCGGCTGAGGGTAGATTTGGGTGGCTCATCCGTGGTTGCAGTCTATGGGAAAGCCCTTCCCGATACATGTCGTCCACGCACTCTTGGTCGAGAAAGTGCTCGCTTGATGGCTGAGGGCTGGGATCTCGAGAAAGTCTTGTGTGCCATTTCTGCTGTACTGCCGTGGCAGCCGTAGTGACAGCAGCGTCTTGCGAGGACAGAAATGGGTTCACGCGGCCGAATGAGTTTGTACCTGGATCCAGGGGTCGCTGGTCGGACGAGTCGATCGTGGCCGGGTAGTGAGCCCATTCCGAAAGAACAGTACTTATTGAGCTGTTCAGTGCGTTTATATCGAACTCTTCCCCTAGCAGCCAGGCAGGCTCTTGAATGTTGAAGCTCACGGCCGCGTTCTCGATATCACCGGATGGGTTGAGGATGTTTGTTGGAAAAATGGAAAAGTCGGGCCCTGCAGGTCCTTCTGGGGCTCCTGCTACGCCCAATGTCTCAGCTCGTTGAGCAGAAGGAGACAGTGTAGAGATATCATCCAGGAACTGGGATTGTAGCGACAAGCTAGTTCCTGAATGTGATGGAGGTGGTGATACAACTGCGCCATTCGAAGTAGTGTCACCATCGAGACCAGTGTGTGTCCTTGCATGTCGAAGCAGTGAGTCACTGGTAAATGGTCAGCTCACATATCATTAGACATAAGGGCCATTACGGGACCAGCTCACTGGCGACTGTAAGCCTTCCCGCAGAATTCGCACTCAAACGGCCGTTCCTTAGTATGTGACCGAATATGTCGGGCTAGGTGCTCAGTTTTGGAGAAGACCTGGCCACATTGTGGACATTTCTTCTCCTGAATGTGTCGACGTCGGGCACCAGCCTGGGGCCCGACTTGAACGCCGCGCGTATCTGCCATCGAGGTTGTACGTGGGTGGAATCTGGGGTAACTCCCGATGGGGGGAGGGGCAAGTATTTCTGGCGGGGAGGTGGCGAGACTGGTCCGGGCTAGATTGATGAAGTTGCGGGGAAGGCCAAACTCTCACGGGATTGCCGGGACATGGAAACGTACACAAAATACCTGAGCACTATTTATCCGAGTGATCCCGGTGATTTTGTAACACAGCAATATCAATATAATGAAGGAACGGGTAACAGAAGCAAAATAGAGTATTAAAAGAAAGTTTTACTTATGTCTTTTCACATGATAGAGGATGTCCCCTATTCTGGATTTATGAAAGCAACACGCGGTTAGCTCGGGGCAAAGATTTCAACTTGAGCGCAAAACCCTTGGCTCAGTACTTTGTATTGCCGTAAATCCGTAATGTTTGAATGTATTGGGTCCATCGCTTTACCAAGACTTGATTGCTAGATCCTCTAACCTACATTGGCTCATACTTGACCTTGTTGACTAGGGTTCCAATTTTCTCAATCTCGATCCTCACATCGCTTCCATCTTCGAGAAAAACGCGTGGCTGGCGAAAATACCCAATCCCTGCCGGGGTGCCCGTCAATATAATGGTTCCCGACTCAAGCGTTGTTCCCTGAGACAGATAGGAGATCTGCTTCTTCACATCAAAAATCATATCCCGGGTGTGGCCATCCTGTAGCACATTGCCTTGGTAAATCGTCTTGATCTTAAGCTGCTGGGGGTCTTTAATTATGGAGGGGGAAACGAGCACGGGTCCTGTGAGACCATGTTAGTGATCACAATTTTGATCATTATGCCGACGACTGCACTTACCAATAGGGCAGCTACCATCTAGTCCTTTAGAGAAAGACCATTGCGACGTCTTCATTTGGAGGTCCCGGGCAGAGACATCATTCGAGGACGTGTAGCCAAGCACGTGGTTCAAGGCTTCTTCTTCGGGGATGTCCCGTCCGCTCGTGCCAATAACAGCACACAGTTCGGCTTCAAAGTCGCTCGTCCCATCTTGGGCACACTTTGGGATCGTGATTGCTGCGGGGTATGGATCTGACAGAGCCGTCCTCGGCTTTGCGAAGAGGATTGGCGCTGCTGGCAGCTGCAGGTTTGCCTCCTATTTGGAAGGCTTAACACTCCGCTTCTGGATTCATGTCCGTCCATAAAACCTACCTTTGCATGGTCTGTGTAATTAAGACCCAGGCATCGAATGAAATTGCACTGCTCCCTGCTCACTGGAGAGAGCAACTGTTATGAATCAATATTCGTTGAGCTATTTGTGATGGCATTTTGGAACCAAGACTTACCTGCTTCACCGTATAAACATGCGATGTGATCTTCCCACTGTAGATATCGCCTACAATCAGGTATGCCTTGATTTCCACGCCATTGACAGAGTCTAAACCAATGTCTCGTGAAGTGTCGACCAGTTGTCCCAGGTGAACCTGGTTGTCTTCGACTGCGATGAATCGCACAAGATGTGTCCAGTCAGGCATTTTGGTCTGCAGTATCAATGAAGTTACTTGTTTGGTTTCCCATGAAATCTAACCCCTCGAATTGGGTGTTCATAAATGCACCTACCAATGCCGTATATCCGAATCAGCACTATTTTAAAGATCTACCTAGGTCCCGCATCCGATTCTGATGCTCACATGACCCGCCACAAACTGGTCCCGCCACAAATTGGACGTCCCGCAGACCCCAAAACGCCGGGGTAGAAACTCCGGGGTAGAACTCGCTTGCCTTGGTAGACCATGGGGACTTTTAGGGGCTTATATTGAACGGCTCTTGATGTCAAGGGCTTACGATGGAAATCACGACACAGAGTCTCAACCACTTGATTAAACCCTTCTTAGCTGACATCTCCTGTTCACTATGACGTCTGTGGAAACAACCGATGTGCTTGTCTGCGGCTGTGGGCCCACAGGGGTCATGCTGTCAGTGCTACTTGGACGGCACGGTGTTCAGAATATTGTGCTGGAACGTGACCTTGAAGTGAACGTCGATCCCCGTGGAATCGCTCTGGATGAGGACGGTGTGCGTTATCTGCAAGCTTGTGAGATATATGATAAAGTATTCTCCGAAATCGGCCAATGTAAGTGTCCCTGGTCACTTCGGCTTGACTGTACTAACACTGGCTGATTAGGTGTGGGAAATTTTCGGTTCGTTGGCGGTGTCCATAGCGATCTTCATAAGAAACCATTTATGGTGATGAACTACAACACTGTACGCTATATTTTTCAAAACTAGACCCGGGGAGTTTTCCAACTGATCCGAATCCCAGACTGAAGGGGGCACTGGACACCCGGGCTTTATTTGTCACAAGCAACCGGCTATTGAGACCAATTTACGGTCACGTCTCGTAGCCGAGCCTACTTCAGATCTCCGTCTCGGCTCAACCGTCACCTCAATCCGCGAAGATGAAAAATGGGTCTACGTAACATATCAAGATGCGGCTGGCCAAGAAAAGCATATTCGCAGCCGTTTCGTGGTTGGTGCTGATGGGAAAACGGGTTTCGTGCGGAAGAACTATCTGGAACCCAGAGGAATTCGTCTCGAAACCGTCTCTCAGATGCCTTATGAGGAAACCTGGGTCGCACTGAATTGGAGAATTTCGTTACCAACTCCAAAAACACATCCTAGATTCCCGCTTTGGGAGAAAGGATACACACCGGAGCAGGTATATGATGCCTTCTTCCCTTCAGATTTCCGCTTCTTGTGCAATCCAAACCGCCCTGCTGTCTGCGGTCGTTTTGGAACAAGTGAAGATCGACTCTGGCGCTTCGAATTCGTCATTCGCCCAGATGAGGATGGCATTAAAATGGCAAGCCCCCAGAAGATCCGCGAAGTGGTATTCCCTTATATCACCCATCCGGGAAGCACCTACGGGCTCAATATCAGTGCAGTACATTACCCAGATGACTGTATTGAAGTGCTTCGCTCACGGCCATTCAAGTTTTCAGCCCGAAGCTGTAACAGATGGTCCCAAGACCGGGTGATTCTTTGCGGAGATGCTGCCCATGTATTTCCGCCATTTGGAGGCCAAGGAATAGCATCTGGCTTTCGGGATGCTATCAGTCTTGCCTGGAGACTTGCTATCGCTGCGCGTCAACCATCCTCAATGGAGGCCCCCAATTATCACAAATTATTTGAAGGATGGTACACCGAACGAAAGCAACAGCTCGATAGGTCTTTGGCATCAACGGTGGAGAATGGCAGCTACGTAACGGAAGGGAACTGGCTGAAGTTATTCGTCAGAGATTGGTATCTTTGGCTTATACAGCTTGTTCCCAGCTGGAAGCATAAATTGGAGCAGGGTAACCGCCGAGATGGGATGGTGAGATACTCCTACCAGCCCAATAAAGGCATGGCATTCTTGGCACATCTGGGGGGCGGAATCAACTTTCCCCAGGTCTACTGTACCAAGCTCAGCCACAACAATGCTGCAGAACCTATCCAATTCACGGATGACATCATCTTCGAGAAAAAGAAGAAAGGGTTATTCCAGCTTGTGGTCTTGTTGAAACCTACAAACGATGTTGTTGACGCCCAAGAGATCTTGAGATCTCAGCATGTCGTTTCCACCGGCTTACTTCGCATAGACGAAGCTACGTTCATTATCAATAACACGCAGACCTATTCCAACCAAGATTTAAGGGACAAGACAGTGCTTCACCGACTGGCAACTGGTGAAGAGTTTGCGGCAGACACTTCCCTTTGCCAGGGCCGGCCAAAACCTCAATATTACGATCCCTACAGAATGTCTAGAGAAGTGCTTGGTAAACGATTTGTGGTTCTGAGGCCCGATCGTTTTGTATTCGCGGCTTGCTCGACGAAGGCTGAGTTGAGAGAGGCTCTTGCAGCTTTGGACTTGTTAAGTATGGGAAACTTATAACGGTCTGCCTTGTCTTCATAGAGTTCATGTTCATTGAGGAGCACATGAGTCTACATAAGTGAGTCAGTATCTATTTTGAATTATATGTAGTGAGCAACCGGGTTTCCTACGAGCACAATGAAACTTTTGTTGAAGCGCAACGTATTAACATAGCAATTACCAAGCGATCAAGATACGCGGGTTTCTTCCTCCACGGAGCTTTTTCTCCACGGATTTTCTTCCTCCACATGTTAGATTTGCGACTGTAATTGCCCCTCTCTATTATTAGATTGCAAGGTTAATTATTGCTTTGTCAGCTCTTGCGCTTGCGAAGGATGGATCGTGATGAGATGGGGCATGAGAAATCAAATTTTCGTATCAACGTTCATAACTCAAGCGGGAGAAGGCTGTCTCTAATTAAACAATTAAGCTTTTCTTTAGAAAAAGTCTCCCTCTTAATAACTGTGTAGCATGGTTTCGGATCTAACATACACCTACACGGCCATTGCTGCCCCACGAAACATCCGCCTTATTCACCTCCACCCTGGAAGTGAGTCTGATCCTGTCTCTCTCTCTCTTGCCACTGTTGCCCTCGACTCTGTCCCCGATTATGAAGCTATTTCGTATTGCTGGGGTCAAGCCACGGACCAGCGCCAAGTAACATGCAACGGTGCAACCCTCTCCATCACCAACAGCCTCTTCACCGGACTGGTCGCGTTTCGTCGGCCAGATCAACCCCGCCTTCTCTGGGCAGATGCCATCTGTATCAATCAAGATGACCTGGTCGAGAAGCGCGACCAAGTGCTCCTTATGCCTGATATCTACTCACAGGCCAAGCGCGTGCTCGTATGGCTCGGGATCGCCGATGATCCCGTGTACGGGCGTGTGCCTCTGAACGTTGTAGACTCAATCCAAGAGGCCTTACAAATGATTCCCGAGTTCAACCCCGAAGATGCCTCTGGAATGATAGCGACCGTGCAGGCGCTGTACGAAGATTCGAAACGGCTACGTGAACAAGGCAAGCCGAATCTGTTGGATCATGATTGGCTTCCTCTGCGCGCACTCGTGGCGCGCCCATGGTTCCGTCGGAAGTGGATGATACAGGAGATCTCTCTCGCCAAGGAAGTTCTAGTCCATGTTGGCAACGACGTCCAACTCCCATGGCTAAATATAGGACAGCTGATGTTCAGTATCGGGATATTGAACATCGACAGGGCGGCAGGCCTGCAAATAGACAAGGCGCTGAATCCAATTCACCAGGGAGACAGAGACGGCACTTTAAGGGAGCCCATAGGCGGCGAAGGAGAGGCTAAGAAAACAGTGAACCGCTCTACGTTTTCGTTTACCGCGGCGCTGCAATGTGCTGCGGCTATCTACATGGTCCAACTTTTTCGACATGCTGGCACGCTCGTGGACGGAATTGTGGTTGCGCAGTTGTTTGAATGTACCGACCCGAGGGATCATGTCTACTCGCTTTTGAGCCTAATTTCCTCAGGTCCAACCATTCAGCCCGACTACGAAGCCACCCTCAGCGAAGTGTTCCGCCGTTTTGCCAAGGCAATGCTGGTAGAGGGTCAAAGCCTAAAGATTCTCAGCCTGGCACCCAACAAGCACCTGTTCTATGAACCAGACCCGAAGGAGGTTGAGGGCCTCCCGTCGTGGGTCCCCGATCTGCGGAATATTGACAACAACATCTTGACGGGATCTTCGGTTCGACCCCAAGCGTTCTTCGCTGGCGGAAAGAACAAGCCTATCCTGCATATATCTGCGGACGATCGTATCCTCAGCTGCTCTGGCCGGATCGTCGACACTGTCAAAGCCTTCTCCACTTGCATGTTAGACATGGTCCTAGATGATATGCCCGAATTGAGGGCGAACCCGGCGATTTTCCTAGAAACTGACGATCCTCTACCAGAGCGGAGGCAACGGCGTTTCGCGCGCTGGCTTGACGAATGCTATAGTCTTGCATTTGGTCACCACTATTCGGCTCGAGACGTATCCAACCCTCGGGACGATTTAATGTTGTCCTTTGCGCGGAGCATGATGTGTGATATCGACCTCATGAGGAATCGCGCCGATCCAGAGTCTATAGCCATGTTTCCTCAGTACATGGAGCAGATATTTGACGACGTGGAAAAGGGTAACTTTGAATTGGATACCAAGTCACCCAAAATCTCTACCTATTTGTCAAATTTGGGAGAGATCGTCAGGAGTTTCGCAATGCCGTTATTCTGTGTAACAAGAAATGGACGCTTTGGGCGGATACCTCATACTTCTCGTGCTGGTGATCTTGTGTGTATCTTGGCTGGTGCTGAGACACCGTTCATCATACGCCCGACAGGTCGTGAAACATATACCATGATTGGAGAATGCTATATTGACGGAATAATGGATGGCGAAGCAATAGAAGGGTTCTCTCTAGATACTATTGAGTTAGAGTAGACACCTGTCAGGTGTTTACCAGCAAATTATAAGCTACTGTTCTATACGTAGCGGTGTCAAGAGTTTTGAACGGTATCTGCGCTGATGTCTTGATTGGAGATGAACACAAGCCTAGATACAACTAGGAGCAGATGCAAATACCTTATTCACCTGAGGAAAATCACCTCTGGAAAATCGTCATCAGGACCAGACAGCAGTCCTTCTTCACCACCCAGTAGAGTAAACTGTACAAAGTCGCTCAAATACTCCCTGAGGACTTTCATCACTACTTCCCCCGTGACCTCTCCAAAAAAGGCCTCGGCACCTTCTCGAAAGCCCGTAATATCCCCAATGATAGGAAAGTCGTAGTAACTTCCATGCACCGAGCCATTTATTGTCAATTCCCTCTTCCACACGCTCGGATGAATTGTGTCCATGGCATGGAAGAAGTTCCGCCAGGTGGGTTCCTCGACCGAACTTGAGTTATGGCCGATCGAGCCAAAGCAAAGAAAGGGACGGTCCACGCCAGTGTATTGCACGTCACTCCACATCGCGCCATCAAGATTTACGCCTGAAACCAATCGTAAATCTTTGGGTAATGTGTGGGCTGCTGAAGCACCACCGTATGAATGGCCCATGTAGACGGTTCTATTTAGCTTGAGAGTGTCCAAGATGAACGCAACGTCTTTTGCTCGGATATCCAGGCCAAGAACAATATCCTCCTTGTCGTCGGGATTTGATCCCACCCTGCCGCCGAATATAATATCGCCGTTGGGGAATTGCACTATATCTGTTTCGTACGGGTGGTCAATTACCACTATTTCGTAGCCTATGCTGGCGATTTGCTGTGCTGTTCCTGTATACAGCGTGCGAGTAGTATTGTGGCCTGGACCAAACAGGATTGTTGGGAACTTCTTCCCTAGAGTCCTGTCTTGCTTGCAGCATACCTGAACCTCTAGGTTTCGAAATATGCCATTGAGCCATTCAAAGTCCGGAAAAGCCGCCTTGTAGATCTCTTCCTCTAGTCCGGCCATCTCTGGTGTCATATACGGCACACGGCAGAGCTTTTCGCAACTTGACCTAGGTACAGGCGTAAAGCGAGATATCATAAGCCGCCGAGGGTGAGTTGCATTGAAGGGGTCTACCCGAGAATTGTCCACTAATTCCGAGTTCTCCCAGGCAACGTGAAATGGCCCTCCAGGGGGCGGAAAGAGCTGAGCCGCAGCCGAAGCAGCCAGCCAGATAATGGAAACAGTATCAAATCTCATCTTTTTTGGGTGTTCAACCAAGACCTAGGGATGAATGAAGGAGACAACAATAGGTAAAAAAACGGTGGCAATGGCACTCTTCAGTCCCAACTTCTAGGAGGCATCAAGAGATAAAGCGACCTTCCTATCATGGCATTCTCAGCGATAGATCGCGATTCTCACCACAACCCCGCAGTCAGATACAACGCCCAAATCGTTCGTGATTTCACGTTTGAGGCACTGAGTCTCTATTGCTGCCCTTGTGGCATTCCCCTCAAGAGATTATTCAATGAATTACCACAAATATCAAGCTCGATGAACGTGCTACGTTTGTCTTTCCTCTAATTTTTCTGTGAATGAATTTCCTACTCTATCTTCGAAACCTTCAGTGGAACTGGGACGGTGAGATTGCCGGGCTTTCTTCGTATAAGTAAAGTTTAATACGAATGATCCTTCTTCTTAGTAAGTGGCTTCTAAACCAACTCCGTTATACCAGACCGCTCTCGTGCTTATGCCAATTCTATTAGGACTCCTCTCATTAAGCACGTATGTCATAGCTTAAAGTTGAACTCATAAATAGAAGGACAGATAAGAAACAAGCCAAAATGTAATCAAAATTATGCCCTATGCAAGCTCTAATTTTTAAAAACTGTCCTACCACGGGTAGGACTAGAGTGTCGACAGCTAAACACACCAGGGAGAGTGTAGGGTAATTGATGCCCACCAACGGACAAGCAAGGTGCCAAATTGTGCAGCAACATCAGTTTTATGCACGACCCACAAATATATGGAACATGTGGCGCAACCGTTAGACCCATCAGGCAACGGTAGCCGAACCGTATTTTGTGGCTGAGTTGGGCGCCAAGCAAGGCAGACTTCATGATATTAGGCTTACATCGATCGACTGATGTTCGCCTCACGGTCTCCCAGACCAAGTCGAGACGATTGCAGATCGTGCCTTTGGATTCCAGGGACTTGGACAAACCAACGACTATCGCACTGCTTTGGTTCTCGAAGCTATCACATCTTGCCGGTATCTATTAGTCCCTAGTTGGCCACCGGCCAACCTAAACGTTGTTCCGCCCATGCCAACGGAGCCCCTCCAGCATGGAAGTTTTCAGGCAAGCCCAGAATCGGTTCCATTCCGCCCTGTCAGCAGAAGAGAAGGCCCAATACAGGCCCTGCGACTCTGTTGAGAAGCTGCTTGCCGATGTGAGACAGTTCAGCCTGCTTCCTAAGGGCAACAGGCGGCTCTCTGACTGCATGCTGAAAATCGAAGCTTTCACGGATAATCTTGAGCCGTACTTAGGTGTTATTGCCATCATTTGCGGATCTCATGCTGGCCGGGCTGATACGACTTTTGGCATATTGAGGCTCGTCCTCCAGGTGGGTAATAAAGAAGATGTCTCCATCCCAGGCCCTGAACTAGAGTCTCATGGAACTAAACGATACGCGTAAACCTTTAGATGGCCAGTTCCTACGGTAGCTTCTTTGAGAAACTTTGCGATGCCCTCGAAAGGCTGGACGCTAGGTTTCCGCGATACCAGGAGCTTTACGACAAGCTTAGCTCGCAGAAGGTCGGGCCAGTGGGATCAACGCTAACGAATGCGCTGGGGAATACCTATGACTTGTTATTCGAGTTCTTTCAAAGCGTCGCAGGCCTCTTTTCGCGACCAAGCGGCAGTAAGTTGATGAGTGTGAAGGCGTGACTATTTTTCTAATGCTGGGGTAGGGCGAAGGCACACATTTTCTACCGTTGCTTCTCTTGCTCGAAAGCCATTTGATGTCCGTTTTAAGGAAATACTGGAGAAAATCAGCTTCTACCACAATCTGGTCAAGGAAGAAATAGAGACGGAACGAGTAGATGAGATGCAAGACGATCTGTCTAAACTGAAAGCAGCCGCGGCAGAACAAGCAACAGAAAAATTACAAATCACAGTCCTCGAGAAATTGAAGGAGATTCAAGAAGGTCAAGCACCAAACAAAGCCCAGTTGGCCCTCTTACAGAGTCTCCTTATTGATGGATTCTCTCGCCAAGCAACACTCGAATCACAGAATCGATTACTTGATTTGTTGTATCAGTTCAGGAAACACGAGGAGGCCCAGATGCAAGGTTCGTAAATCACTTATCCAAACCGGAGGCTGCCCTTCTAATGGCAAGTAGCTGAATTTAAAACCGCTGTGATTCGATGGATCGATCCGCCGGATTACAAGGAAAACCTCTGCGATGCGCAAGATGAGCGCGCTGATGAAACTGCAGAATGGATTTTTGATAACCCCGCGTTTATTCAGTGGCAGTTTGGGACCCCAGGACAAGATTCTCCGTCAACATCGGATTCTCCCAGCTCGCTTCTATGGGTCAATGGTAATAATCAAATTGAACGATGCATCCTTCAAGAGCAAGACTGACAACATCAAAGGAAAGCCGGGCTCGGGAAAAACCGTACTCGCTGGATCCATTGTGGAAGAGCTCCGGAGAAAACAAAAAAGCCACACTGTTGACTCAGCAGTTTGTTACTATTTCTTCAATCAAAACATGGGAAAGAAGAACAACCACATCGATACTTATCGTGCTATCCTGGCGCAGCTGTTCTACCACTGCCACGAGATAGACCAAGTTTACGACGTCTTCGGCATGATAAAGGTGGGCATTGTGAGCGATATTCGGGCATCGGAGCATGAGTTAATCGACACAATACAATTATGCCTTAAAGAAGTTCCAAGATCCCATTTTATCCTGGATGGCATTGACGAATGCTCAAACGACACCAAGCTGCTGAAGAATATCAAGATCTGGTGTGAAACAACATCTGTAAAGATTATTCTTCTCAGTCGGCCAGATGTCTCAAGTTTGAGGAAGGCAATCTCTCCAGCTTCAACCATCACTATGATAGATTCTGCATTAGGCAGAGATATCTGCCGGTACCTGACCCCCGAGTTCGATGTCTTTCGAAACGAGGGCCTTTTACCAAAGGATGCAGATATAGAAATGTTGGCAAGTCATCTAGGAAAACGAGCCGAGGGTATGTTCCTTTGGGCTCGCGTGATGATCGAATACTTGGCCTCCCCAGCCTTGAGCAAGAGGCAACGGTTGGAGATTATCATGGAGGACACGCCGGGAGGACTTGATCGCCTTGAAGATCTCTATTGTAGAATTCAAGATCGGATTGATGCCCTTGACAGACCAAGCAGACAATTAGCCCAGAAAGCGCTGGTATGGATAGCTCATACTCGGCTCACACTCCCCGAACTCAGCGAAGCAATCACCGACGAAGATTTGGGGCCTGATCGCGACGAAGGCTCGGACCACTTTGAGCACGCCGTCATTGTGTCTTGCCGTGGGATCATCGAAAAGAGGTCGAACGGGATATTCAGGTATATCCATTTAACAGCAAGGGAGTTTGCTCAAAATGGGCCTCGGCGGTCTGCGCGACAAGCATTGATCCCACATGTTCATATTGCCAAGGCCCAGATTGTTCAATATTGTGTCAGATACTTTAAGAAGCGAATACCTGCAAATCCACTATCGGGACAGCTGGGAGTGACTGCTGATGCCAACATCATCATTCACAGATGGCCCTTGCTGAAATTTGCCTCACGGAATTGGATGGCCTTCGCAGTTGAGTTGCTCTGTTCACACGAAGCTGAATTCTCGGGAAACCAAATGGAAGGCCTTTATACCGAGATCAACGCGTTTTTGCAAAACCAGTTTTTCGTCATGGTTTGGATTGAAGCTCTTTATACATTGTGTCCAAGTGAAGTCTACACATCGGTAGAGGAAACACGAACTAATATTGAACAAATGCAGTTGATGCAACTGGCGCCGAACTGGCAAGAATGCTGGCAAAATTTGAAAGAGCTGATCCAAGACATTTGTCAACTAAATCTCGACTGGGGTGAAACTCTGACAGAAACACCATACGAAGTTTGGGGCGACGTTGGCATCTTCCAGAAAAGCAAGTTCTTGGCCTCAACCAAGGCAGGCACCGTGGAATCCCTGGCACTGAGGTTGCATCAAAAGGGGAGCTCAAGCGCAGCTGGCCCTTTATTCAGCCAGTCTAGAAGTTCTTTAGATACCAAAAGACTTGCTGTACTAAGCGTCTTCCCCTGCAGGTAAGCCGTCTATACCATTCCAAATTCCCACGAGCTACCTAGTGACATGGCAAACTGTAGATTTTTTCGAGACGGCTGGGACAGGCATGATGATATACCATTTAATGCGGAGGCGTCGAGGAGACTTAAGGAGTCATACGGATATTCCGCTCCGTCGCCACGCAAGCGGCCAGCTAATCCATCTCCCCCGTCTTCACAATTTGATTTCTGGGTCGCATGTTCGGGATGGGTAATAACATACGAAATCTTCTCTATCGAGGCTGCCGAATCTAGCCGCTTGCTTTTGATTGAAGCACCGATTGACGCCCTTTCAGTTGAGATATGCCTTAGACAGAGCCTACTTGTTGACACCAAAGACTGGATCTGTGCATTTGCCCTATCGATAGGGCCGAGCTTGGACAGATTCACGGTGTTGAATGTGTTGTTTGATGTGAGATCCGACCAAACTTACCATTGCAGAACAATAGAATGGCCTCAGAGACATCGACCTTCATGTTGGGACACATCCAAACGCATAAAGTCTAATGCCTACTCAAGTGGAAGGGACTCCTATAATTATCATTTCTCATGGAGCTGGGATGGGCGATATGTTTTGTTTCGCGATCGCAATCTCAAAGCAAGTGAATGGGTTCAGCGTGGGACTAGCCTTGCCATATTCTCCATCGAAGAATCAATTTCAGATGCAGAGGGTATCAGATTGGTAAATTCCTTCTCTACCAGTTCTCTTACCACTGGGTTCCATTCCTGTCACTTTCACCCAACTAAAGATCTTTTGTTACTGCGAGACGACAGAGACTTTTACTTATGGAAGTTTCTGGATGGTAAGTGTGATTTTCTAGTTTGAACCAACTTGAATGATGAACCTGATAGGCTGCTAACACTCGAATAAGAAAAAGAGCCTTCTGTTCTTCAGCTCACTGATACTGAGACCCGTCCAGGACTTGGAATTGAAAGCATCTCGTTTTCCAGCTGTGGAAAGTACATTGCCATCTCCTACAGGACCCAGCCATGGCCAAAGCTATATCCTTTGGAAACCTTCTTGGGAATTGAAAAAACCTTTGAGACTTTTCATGAGGCGACGGAGACATCATCGGGTATAATTGAGAACTCGGCTGCCCAACCATCAGCTGCCTCGAGCGAGGTTGCGGCACGAAATAAACAAACAGAACTCACAACTAACTCCATCATCAGCGGGGCTACTTCATCCTCAGTCGTGGTTAGGAAAAGCCACGGAAACGAGTTTGAGATGGCGCTTCTGAAGGTGGCTCCGAAAGAGGTCCAATTTCGTCAAATGCATGAAGGAAAGGACACTTCCACAGCTTTGATCAAATTGCCCCAGTCTATTCCAACCAAAAATATCACCGCCGAGGTGACAGCGCCCATTGCTGGAGAAGACCCCAAATTTCAGGTCATTCTCAATGCCGGGCCGGCAAAAGTGTTTCTCAGCAGCGATGCCGGTGCGGCTGCAACACATTTGCCTCTAGTTGTTCGGAAAGACCCTCGAGCATTAAGGCTGCAACCATCAGATCAAAGCACGGGGGAAGTGGCGAAGATTTCTCCTATTGATAGAGGCGCTGACGCTATTCCAGAGCAGTTGTTAGAAGCTCCCGAGAACAATTCATCGGAACCAGGAGCCAAAAAGCCACTTGAAGCGCAGTCCCCTCAGGCAGCAGCTGGGAAGCTAAAGCCTGCAAAGAGAAAGGGGAAGCTGAATAGTTGGATTACAAAGCGGATGAAGAAGTAAAGGCATGCTTAGAAGATACGAGGAAGATCTTGCTGTCGTCGAGTAGGCTGGGTACAATGGCTCGGACAGTGGCATAGGGCCAGAGCATCTCATCATTGGGGCTGACCAGTGGGCTAGCAAGAACCAGCAGCCCCGCTGTCCACAGGCAAACAGAACCAGAACCTATTTTGAAGTAGAATATTCGAAGAGAGTAAAACTTAGCTATTGCAAAGCGATAAGGGGCAAGATCAGAAGTGCGAGGGTGGGCGCAGCTATGAGGGTATTTATGTTTCGACGGGATGCAACCGTCTTTTCTCCTGATCACATACTTGATGGGTACTACGATGGAAATTCTTGTCATTTAGAGTCACCGCGGTCAATGAATGGCATGGTGAGTAAAATAATAAATTCAATATACCATATCTCTACTATGACGCGGCTTTAATCCGCGTTAATGATAGATCCCAACACACACCGAAACTTTATCCCTCCGTCACCTTTACTTCCAGATAATCTATCTCACAATATACATGGGAATCCAAGCTTCTTCCCCAATCGGCAATGAATCCCTAACCCAGCTTCTTTCCGTAAAGCTTTTCGAGGAATGCTTTGGTATCAACATCTACGGGAGATTGGTCGGGTTTTCTCGATGCCGGTGATTGTCATCTCCTTGAGGTTGATCGTAGCAAGTCCTTACCTGTATGGAGCAGGTCCAGAAATATGATTCTTGGTCCTTTCTTCATGGGCCTTCATCTCCGCTGCCGAGAACTGCTTAGGTTGCTTGTTCACAGTATTCTTAGGACCAGTGATAACCCGTTCCTTGTAGTTGATTGAGGCACCGCCGCGAGCCTTGAGACCTCGTCGGTATGGGGCAGGTCCGGAAATATGATTCTTGGTCCTCTCTTCGTGAGCCTTCATCTCCGCTGCTGAGAACTGCTTGGGCTGCTTGTTCACAGTATTCTTAGGACCAGTAATGACCCGTTCCTTGTAGTTGATCGAGGCACCGCCGCGAGCCTTGAGACCTCGTCGGTATGGAGCAGGTCCAGAAATATGGTTCTTGGTCCTCTCTTCGTGAGCCTTCATCTCCGCCGCCGAGAACTGCTTGGGTTGCTTATTGACCGTGTTCTTCGGACCTGTTATAACCTTCTCCTTAAAGGAGATTGAAGCACCTCCACGGGCGTTGAGACCTCGTCGGTATGGGGCAGGGCCAGAAATATGGTTCTTGGTCCTTTCTTCGTGGGCCTTCATCTCCGCCGCCGAGAATTGCTTAGGTTGCTTGTTGACCGTGTTTTTCGGGCCGGTTATAACTCTCTCCTTATAGTTGATCGAAGCGCCTCCACGGACTTGGAGAGGAAGCTCAAAATCATCGATATCACGCTCGTCCAGATCCTCATCAAACTCGCGCTCATATAACTCATCATCGAAGTCACGTGTGAAGACCTCCTCAGCATCAGATCTCTCTACAAGCGTGAGATCGTCAGTAGCTTCGTCGATTCCTAGAGCAAGTCCCCGACTAGCAAGGCCGAGCCAGAGAAGTCCTGCGAGGCTGAGGTTCATGACAGCGACCATGTTGGCTGTTGTAAAATATAGATACGGGAAAGTGATAGTTAAGCGTAATGTAAGGAATAAAATCAATGGATGAATATAATCTAGACGACCAGCCTCTAGAAGTTGATGTGGTTGTGGAAGGTTGAAGATATGAGTGTCTTATGGTTGTGGAAGGGTGAAGATGAGTTGATATGGTTGTGGAAGATTGAAGATTGAGTGTGTTGATCAATAGCTGGGAATTAGGATAGATGGCATTCATTATTTAAGTATTATTCTCTCACAGAAAGAAGTTTACCATTGCTAAGATTAGCTGCCAGCGTAAGCATAATGAAACTGAGGTCCCCCAAATAGATAGATATTGAAGGATTCGCCCTCTGGTTCCTTTCAGAGCGCAAGATGTCCCCGTAATTGGCTAAACCGAGTGCCCATGCCAATTGAACCAAGTTCGGCATGTTTCAGCTTCTTGAAAGAGCTTAGTCAACAGTCTGTGCTCTCCAACTACCGTCCCCACACTAAATCCTACGATCATGCCGGCAGTAAGTATAGAAATATTCCCCCAGGGTTTGTCGTCAGACTAGGTATAATTATTCTAGATAGGGTCCATATTCGACTGAAGGAGTCTGACAGGAGAATCTCACCTCAGCAATTCTTGCCTCAGTAGTGTTAGTGAAAGAGTCTAGCGTTGAAATATAGTACCTTGAATTCGGGACCCAGCTTCTCTTGGTAACCGAAATTATCGTCAATCCACGCCATACACTATGAACCCCCTACATCCTACCCTATGATCCAGACTGAGACTGAATAAAAATGATTGGTATTGACAAATGAACGACTATGGCTCTTCTCGATTGAGCAAAATTTATATATATTACAGAATTTGGAAGATATTGTATATGCCTTCTCTTACATTTAGTAATAAGGCAGAATTTATTACTCGCCGATGACGACGGCCAGCCATGGGGTTCAAGGAGGATCCTCCCCGCGGCACTTATCCGGTCAGACTACTTAATAATAGCAGGCTCCAACAGAGTGATGATCTCGCCCCTCAAAAAGGTACAGGGCTTCTACTCGTAAAGCCGTCTTGCAGTTTTACTTAAAACGGTAATATTAAGCATCTGAATGATGGAATTACTGAATAATGGCAGCAATTTCTATTCAGATAGTCCACCAAGTCAGGATCATGCGTGAAAGAAGCATCAAAATGAACATAATATGCCCGTCGCTGATTAAGAGATATGAAACACCATATTACAACAGCGATTCACATCCCCTTTTATCTGTAGGTTCAAAATCTGCTGTCCGGGCTACTGAATTGTACCCTGTTGTTCGGCTTAATTAACCTCGGAGGATTTGAGGATTATTAGGAGAGGTAGCAGACTTATTGGAATAGTTCCTAAACCACCCTCACTTTAATGTTTTCTCGTTAGAGAGATGTATACGTCTTATAACGGATGACGATTGTATTGCGGTTTATGAACTGAGTTGCCACGAATAAATTCAGACTAAAATAGCTTAGTTCGCTCTCACCTCGTAAACTAGGTAGATTCGAGTCACGATATCACTTGTCCCTCTGGCCCGATAATTACCTTTCCTTGACCAACGCCTCATCTTTCTCAACATAAGCATCCACCTTGTACTTTCCAAACTCGCGGGCATTGATCCTACGCATAAACAGAATGTCAAGCTCCTCAAATGTCCTCCCTTTTGTTTCCGGAAGCCTGAAGAAAGTCCAAATGAAGAAGGCCAGAGCGCAGCCTCCCCAGAAAAAGCCAGTTTTGCCTTTCCAGTCTCCGGCGGTTGGGTTAATCATGTACGGGTTGACGACGTTGCAGATGATCTGCGCAACATAGTATACGATGCGGCTGAGACAGACGCTCTTGTTACGCAGACGCGTCGACGACACCTCAGAGATGATTGCGTAGCATATGGGGCCGACGGTTGAGTAGTAGATGCCGAGCCAGAGCAGCATCATGCTTGCTTGCGCGTAGTTGCCAGACTCGGAGTTAGGTGCCCCAACGCTGATGAATCCAACAGTCATCAAAACCACAGTGAGAAGACCGAGACCCCAGAGATATAGAGTTCGACGCCCGAAGACGTGCAGGAGATACCATGAGAAGATCGTGCCAACCGAAGCGAGACCTAGGCCGCCGACCGACATGCTGAAGGAGATGGAAGTAGGCAGGCCGGCCTGGATGAAGAAGTAAGTCGGTGTGCCTCCCAGTGCAGAGCCGCAAAATGGTTGGGCGGCAAAGGCCAAGCAGGCAATTTCGGTTCGTCGAAGATCCACGCCCCGAAAGCAGTCCCAGTACGATGTTCCGTCGTCGACCACTTTTTCGATTTCATTGGTATGGACCATCATTGCGAGAGTTTGTTTTAGCTGGTCAGGGCGGCTTGAAAGTCGAGCCAGTGCCTTCTCTGCTTCTCGATACTGTTCCATCCGAACGAAGTGCCAAGGAGACTCGGGGGCAAACCATAAAACAATGAAGAGGGGAACGGGCCATGCCCACTGAATAGCAAAAGGAATACGATAAGACCATTCCCCGGACATCTCAGAGAAGGCTCGCTGAATGCCAGCCGAGATGAGCTGCCCAATCGCCCAGCAGAGATTGACATACACGGTCAGATATCCTCGCAACGCCATTGGGCATACCTCGGAGGCGTAGGCTGGAGCCATCGTGGCGAACACACCCCATGGTATTCCGCAGAGAAACTGACCAACCAGAAGTACGGGCAGGTTGGGAGAAAAGAAGGATATAAAAATGCAGCAGCAAATAGCGACGAGAGAGGCGAGGAGAACCTTGCGATAGCCGAACTTGTGGGTAAAGTAGCCATTGGCAAAGGCCCCAATAATGGTGCCGCAACTGACTGCGTTTGAAAGACCATTCTGCCAACTAGCGGTGATTTCGTAGGTGTCGGTACTGGCTATGTACTCTCCGTACTTGGCTTTGAAAGAAGGCTGGGCGAAGAAGGATTGGATCAGGACGATATCGTACCCTTCCATGATAATGGCGGTAGACAGAAGGATGGACCACATGGCTGCCTTAGGGTAAAGCCGTATAGCGGCCCAGAATCCCAGTTTATGTTCTCCCTCGGCGCCCTGCCTGGCCATGGAGTGGTCGTTCAGGACATGCTCCGCGGTGTCGACATGTTCAAGCTCGCCAAGGGTAGCCCCCTTGTGATCTTGCGTAAAAGACATGTTAACTCAACGAGGTCGGAGTGCAATGATGACGTAGGATGATATCTGAGGCCCAAGAAGGCTCTCTTTCGTATGGCAGAGGGCTGAAGAGGGCTGTTGAGTTGCCTGGAAGACTGTAGATGAGTCTCGGTGGAGCATCTCTATGTAATATATGTGAGGATCAGGTTGACCATGGGGATATCAACCCCACAAACGAACATCAGGCTAGACCGACACCGAGGGCGGCCTGGTAGAGGATCCCAAAAACCGTGGAGGTGGAACTGGGGTAAATTGGTTGTGGAGGCGGAGTTGTGATTTTTTCTTGAGAACTTCTTTGCCAGCTGAAGTTCCGGCGGAGAAGTTTTACCCCGCCGGACTTCACTAGGCACGAAAGTGCGGCTAGCTCAGAGGTCAGATGCCCTTTACCAACAGAATCAGGCCATTGAGCAAATCAGCGCATGATTTCTCGATCCCCCATACCAGAGGCGTCTCGGGTGTTGTTGGAATCTCCTCCGTGTCGATGGTTCCTCGATTTTCCGGCGGGTGGCCGATGAGCATGTATACACCCTGCTCCAAGATCTTACGGGGGGCCTCCGGAAGGGCAATGTCGCCGACTTTCGAAAGGTGACCAGACATCTTGTGGCCAAGACGGACATACAGTTGGACCATCTCGTCGTCGCATGGTCGATCCAGGTGTAAGAACGTAGGTTCTGGATCTTCCTCCAAATCTGCTGGATGAGAACGCCGAGAAGAAGCATTGTCATTCTCATTGGAACTTTCAGGGTTGATTGCCTGGGGCTGCTGCCTGGCGAGATTCACAGACGTACTGTAGGCCCAAACTACAAGAGTCGCGATGAGTATGCCGAACGGCTCTAAAAAGCTGCCACTGCTGTAGCGGCGGACATGCCAAAGGAGAGCACCTGCATGTATAACAGACAGTCTCGCTTTGTATTGGTCGCGAAGAGCCCACTGGAGAATATGGCTTTGTGCTTTAGCAGCTTTGGCACTGTCAACTGCCGAGTTTAACAAAGCCTCCGTAGCCAATGTTTGTAGGTGTTGGGTAGGAGTCAAAAGGAAAAGCCGTGAAAGGTGAAGGTGTAGAACAATAGGGGGCTCCCAGCCACCGGATTTACTAATCATACCGTTGACATTCCAATGGAGTATGTCTAGGCTGTCACAGGCACTATTGCGCCACCTTGAGATGACTGGTAAGGCGGGTGGCCAGGTTTCCTCGACTGGTGTTACAGGTGTGGATTGCTGCACCGCGGCATTGGGAATCCAGAATGTCAGCTTGTTCTGGTGTTGCAAACTGGCTTCTCTAGTTCTACGAAGAATGGCGTAGATCAAAACCGTCGTACCGAGGCCGCCGGTGCTTGGAGGATGTCTCTTTTCCATGTAGAGCATTTGCAGAGCCTCGAGAACAGTCACTATAATCATATGAGACGTATTAGCTTTTATAGTAAACATAAATGGTCACCATAGAATCTCTAACCTGATGTCTGGGTGTGTTTTGCGACTTGCTTTAGAGTCGCATGGTCCCATAGCTCGTCACAAGTCGGCAAGGGGGTCACGCTCACGTCAAATAGTTGCAATAGAGGCGCATGGCCAAACTCAAACATGAGGATGGAGTCAATCAACTACCAAAGAATTAGCTACTCTTGACCGGTGTAGGGACACGCAATTCGAAGAGTTCTCAACTCACCCAGACCATAAGGCCAGCGCGAATTCTGGACTGTATCCCTAGCCAAGTTTCCATATCGTCTTTGGTCTCAAGAGAAAATTTCTCCGGTGCCTTGAATAATTCTAAAAAGCGGCATGCATCTACCAGATGGCTCCTTTCAAGCAGTGCTTCCCTTACCGCATCTCCGTTGCCGCTCCCAAGCACGCAGACAACATTGAGCACAGCTGCCTGGACAGTTGGCAGGTCAGCGTAGTTGCTTGGTTGATCCGAAAAAAGAAGATTTTGAGGCTCAGAGGCTTTGTTTTTCCGCTGTGTTCGGGATAATGATGCTCGTAGAAGAGCGAATAGGACTTGTCGAGTTTGTTTCGCGTCTGGGTTCGTAGAGAATATAGAACCAACAGCCAGGATACCCAAACATATTATCCAGTTACCACTTCCTTCGTATACAGAGCAATCCCGCCTCAGAAATGGATATGCGGGATGAAAGTGCCTAAAATATAGCCGATAGAGTAGCTGAGCATCTGCTAACGGTGGAAATGCACTTGGACTCCAATTAGGAGGGTGGATCTCAGGTTGGGACTTGAGACTCTCAAGAATGTTTTCGTAAGTACGAACGGGCAGTAGATTTCCTTGTGAGTGCACGGATTTGCCGGAGTCGGAGGCTAGGCTGTTGATAGGAGTTGAAGCATCGGAAGGAGAGTTCACTAGGCCTCCAGCACTCAAGATCGATTGTCTTCGATGCGAGCGACCTTTGAAAGATGCCCGAGCCTCGCTGCCATCTACGTAATAGGTTCCTTCGACAGGGTTGGATATCTCTGATCTTGTTACGCTGTCGCTGGGGCCGGGCGATGGCAGAGGAAGGCCCATGCTGGGCGCTGTTTGGCTTTCTTGTCCCGCAGGATCGTGACGCCCTTCCTCTTCTACCATTCCGACGCTAGGGAGGCCTGGTTCCGTTTGTTGTTGCACAGCAGCGGTGGTTGGTTGAAACGGTAGGACGCATAGGTCAGGATCAATAGCCCCGAATGTGAAGGGTGGGAGTTGACTGATCCAGTCAAAGCTGGCCTGATACTGGGGCGACATCCAATTAATCGTAGGCATGACAAACTCCTCCCCCGCCAGCTGTGGACTTGGGTTGAAGTTATTATAGAGATCCTCGGGATTTGATAATATTACATCGTTGTCTGGAAGCTGCATGGTGTTTCCGTTGACAAGAGGGTTCACTGGTGGAGTTACCCCTTCAGCCATCGCGTTTGTGAACACTCCTGTCTCAGTTCTCGTATCGTTTGACGTTGACTTCTGAATGACGAGAGTTCGCTCAATGGTGTCCGGTGCGGGCACCCGCGTCACTAATGTCTTGTTCTCACCCGCGATATACTCAAGCCCAACTGGTCTTCCACTATGCGCTACCGTCTCCGAGGATTCCATTCCCTCTTGGAATAGGCCATAGTCGTCATGATTGACTCTATCAACTGCATCGACCGGTTGGGTTGTCGCAGAAGCCTTGCGCTTTCGAGTTGTTGGGTAATCGCACTTGATATTCTTCTCGGCGCAGCGCCGGCAAGGGTCAGTTCTAGAGCACCGCACACGACTTGTTGCGCACTCTTTGCAGGCCCGGTTAGACACGAGAGCCCCAATTGAAGACTCGGCGTCGTTGCGGTGAGAAGCAGCGTGGCGGGAAAGGGTGTCGACACGAGAAAACCTTTTGCCGCATTCTGGGCAGGCAAACGGCCGCTCGCTCGTGTGTGTTCGTATGTGCCGTATGAGGTGCTCCTGGCGACGGAATGTCGCTTTGCAGTAGTCACATTCGATTTCGCCTCGCATTGTTCCTTCGGACAGACTTCCCGAGTTCAATACATGGGCATAAGCCGCCAACGCGTGAACATTGGCATATTCGAGAGGCGTGGAAGGCGGGTGGATGACGACGGAGAAGGGGAATGTCACTTGATAAATTATTTCGTCCTGCAGCCATCAACGTGGAAAAGAGTGTGGGGAAGAGAAAGGAGGCAGGCCAAGTCGGAGTAACCCAACCATTTGCCAGGGCACGCGAGGAGACTCCAAGACAAGCCTATGATGGCCTGGAACTTCAAACAATGGGTCGATGGATCCTTGGGAGTGTCCGCACCAATCAGGCGTCTTGTTGTAGGAATAGAACAGGGCATTCTCGTTGACTAGCTATTTACCCCTGTCTGTCTACAATGGTAGTTTTATCAATCAGTTGATTGATTTGCCTGAATAACTAGCTAATTTGACAAGCTGCCTGGCTAAAACGTAAATACAATTGGCAGGTCGTTAAAGCGGATGGTTTATCACGGCAAACCCACGTCCCTACGAGACTCTCTGACAAACACAGGCGTCCAGGAGAGAGGACAGTCTACTCCAACTGTTTGGCCCCCCTGGAAGACTGTCTTACTGTCATCCTGCGTCACCCAGGTTTCCCCGGCAGGCAAGTACACCGATATCTTGCGTGCTCCAGGCTTGAACACGGGACAGCAGAGAAAAGCGTCACCGTACATAAACTGTTCCTCAATCTCCCAACATTTTGCATCGTCTGGAAACTCGTAGAACAAGGTGCGCATAACAGGAGTGCCATGCTCATGCGCTTCCCTCATCATTCTGCGAGCGTAGTCCCTCATCTCTTCGCGTAGCAACATGTACTTCTTGCAAATCTCATATACCGTCTCCCCATATGCCCAGACCTCGTTTGGCCCGCCACTGGGGAAAACCAGGGAGCTGCTTTGCCTGGGTTCCCGGTCTCCATGTAGACGCATCACTGGGCAAAACGCACCCCATTGGAACCAGCGCACAAATAACTCTCGGAACCCCTCGTCATCAGGGTTGCCGCCATGGAACCCCCCTATATCGGTCGTCCACCACGCAAGACCCGCGACACCCATGTTCAGCCCGGCGGCAAGCTGGTTGCGGAAGCTTTTCCAACTTGACGCTATATCGCCGCTCCATACGAGGGTGCCATATTGCTGACTGCCTGCCCACGCACACCGGAGAAGGTTCACGATATTCGTCTGCCCTTCGCTTTCCATTCCTTCATAGAAAGTCCGTGCATAGTCGCGCGGGTAAATGTTGCCTACACTCAAATTTGGCCCCAGATGATAGCGGTAATTGTCAAAGTCATAAACCGAATACTCCGGTTCTGCCTGGTCCAGCCAAAAGACCTTGATTCCTTTGGAATAGTAATTCTCTTTGGCCTTATTCCAAAGATACTGGCGAGCCCCTGAGCTCGTGGCGTCGTAATACATAGTCTCCCCTTCAAAGGAAAAGTTGGTCCTCAAGCCACGTTCCGTTCGAACGAGGTGCCCGAGCTCCATCATCTCCTCGTAGTTTTCCGACCGCTTGTCAACAGTCGGCCAGATGGAGACCATGAGCTCAATCTTCAACTCTTTAAGCTCGGCCACCATTGCTTCCGGGTTGGGCCATGCAGCCGTGTCAAATTTCCACTCGCCTTGCATCGGCCAGTGGAAGAAGTCGGCTACTATCACGTCGAGGGGAAGCCCCCGGCGCCTGTGTTCCCGGGCAACCTCGAGTAGCTCATTTTGGGTCTCATACCGCAGTTTGCATTGCCAGAATCCAAGCCCATACTCGGGCATCATTGGGGGCAACCCGGTCGCGCGGGCATAGGACTGCTGGATCTCGGCGGGTGTGTCACCCGCAACCACCCAGTAATCCAACGCCTTTGTTGAGTACGATTCAAAGCTGGTGATGTTTTTACCCAGAACCGCTCGACCAATCGCTGGGCTATTCCACAGGATACCGTAGCCTAGAGAGGACAGGGCAAATGGCACACTGGCCTGGGAATTGCGATGTGCGAGCTCAAGGTCCAGCCCTTTGAGGTCCAGGTGTGGCTGCTGGTACTGCCCCATACCGTAGATCTTCTCCTTCGTGTCCAGGCTTTCAAATCGCATTGTCAGGTGATAGTCGCCGCCGAGGATAGGCTTGAATTCACGGGCCTCGACCTCAATGGCGCTGCATTTCGGGTCAAACAGGTCCCGTCTATTTCGGCTATATTCCTCCAGCAATATTTTACCAGACGCTGTTTCCTTCACAGTGATTTTACCGCGGCTAGTAATTTCAGCCATGATTTTGCCATTTGTGATGGTTGCCGGCTCTGCTGTACCAGCACACGAGATCTGCGTCTGGATCGAAGGCGGTTCCTTCAAAGCCCATAGTTCAGGCGGCATAGATGCCAATTTGGTGGCGCGGACTCGGAAGGCGTTTGCACCCCATGGCTCTATCCAGACCTGCTCGCTGTCGTAGCGATAGATCAAGCGAGAGGCTTCCTTGTAGAGCATGATATGAGATTTTCAAGGTCTTATTGGCTACTATGGGCAATGATTTGGTGGCGATAGTAGCTTAGATCTCGCCGTTTACACAGATTGGAGAAGTAAGAATTTCCAAGAAATAACGAAGGACAATCATCTAAACTTCAAATATGAAGGTACTACAATTCACGATTATGTTCTCCACTTCGACTCCTATCGAGAGTGGATTAACACTGCTTGATTGTGCAAGATAGCTTCTGTTCAACCAATCTACTTTACCTGGAACTCAATTTCCGATGGAGACTTCTTTTTGATCCTTGGTACATAAATGATTAAAATGAACTTGCCCAGTCTCTCTCCCCAAACATGACCCCCACCGGAGGTTTATCTATGCCTCCGCCGGACTTCAGTCTCCCCCACCGGACATATGCCAGGAAAGGGGCACATTACGTACTCTCGCGTTTCTCGCCATGTGACTTCAGACACAACGGCTAAATCCGCTAGTAATATACACTATTGGCATCTGTGTCATACATGGCCGGACTGTAATTGATAGATGAAAGCCTGAGGGTACCTTAGTACCGCCTGAGGACTGCCCTCCTTCCCCATCTCAATTTACGAGTCAGAATAAAATTTTTCAACTGGAAAAAACATAACAAATGTTTGAAAAGATGAAAAGGGGAAGTTTGAACCCTCCACAAACTGAACTGAAAAATTAATTCTCTGAACTTTGTGCGGCTATCGTGCAGCTTGTTGTGATCTTAGCCCTCCAGTACCTAAGCTTTGCGGTTGACAAACTTATTTTAGGTAACTTATGAATTCATCAGTCACAAGTAACAATAATGTAATAAGAAGCTACGGTTAAAGTCCAAAGACAAGGATCTCTACAATCGGGAGAAGCGTGGTTCTGGGGGACTTTCAAATCAAAATAATCTTGATATAGGTAGCGTGATGTATTTATGCCTTCTACTAAGAGATGATATTGTTCTCTTTCCCTATCTCGAAGTGGATGCTACCATTCAGTTCATTGCTAGTTCAATCGGCGGACTATGATATTTATTCTGTCTCCGCTCAAAGGCATGGATACTCAGCGCTTCATACAACTCATCCCCTACCCAATAATCTCAAACGCGAACGCTGTAGAGTTGGACGGTGGCTCAACAGTTATTTTAAGCTATAATGAATTAGATAAATTAGGAGGCCCGGAGATATCGGGAATGATAACTTACTGTGTTCGAAGCATACTCATACCGAGTAATGCCGAGGTCAACGGGATTACCGGTATCAGCTTGATTCCCATTCCAATCGAATCGATAAGCCTGAACATCGACGGATCCTTCCTCAGGAAGACCTATTCCATTTAGGCCCGAGACCTCAATGTCATATGTACTCTGCACCGTCCTAGTGCCCGCTATGATTTTGGCGGTGGTATCGGAAACGGTGGCAAAGACATCAAAAAGAAGATCGGAGGAGATGGATGTAGCGACCCGGGTGCCCGTCATCTCGGCATAGTACTTATAGAGGTACCATTCGCCGTTGGGATAGTATGTACCGTCGACACTGAACACAAGGTTCGCCATGTCGTTATGCAGACCACCGCCGCTCCCCCAGTTTGCGCGGAGGCAGCGTGCGTTGTGTCGTTCGCATTGAGCAATGAAAAAGACGGAGTTTGCAGGGTTCTGCTCGGATGTCCAGGCATACTCGTTGATATCCAATGGGCGATCTGGCAGACTATAGTTGGCCCGGATTGTATCAAACTCTGGAATGGTTCTCTCTGGTTCTCTTTCCCAGCCCCCAATCTGGTGCCAGGAGTAGATATCAGGGATGATGTTTCCTTTGCCGGACACTGCTTCGACCCATGTTCGCCAGGTTTCTCTATCGAGGCTTGGGGAGTGAGCCATGGATGGTCCGCTTATGAGCGTGTTTGGAAGCTCGGTCCTGGCAAGAACAAAATTGATGAGCATGAGGTCACGTTATTCTCTTCTGGGAACAGCACTTACCTGAACAGTGTGGTTGCGTGCACATAGTACTCGAGATACTGCTCCCACGTACGAGCCCAGAAGATCTCAAGCTCCGGTTCATTCCAAATGTCTATGACAAGACCTTCAAGCATATCATTGGCTTGGATATCGCTGACAAGCTGTTTGATGAAAGTGTCCACCTCAGTCCAGTCACCGTTGTCTCCAGGGAAGAGCGCATCATTGCCCGACCCTCCGTCTGCGCCCCAGAGGTCATGCACCAAGAGGATGAAATCGCCTCCAAACTTCCGAGTAGTCAAATAGTTGGACAAGGTCGAGTTGAACCGCCCAATGTATCCTTCGTACCCGCCAAAAGCCCACCCCTTGTTGGGGGCAGGTAGCTGAGCTCCTCCCGCACGACAAGCATTGAATTTGATGTCGGACGCGAAATGGTCCGGGATTGAGCTGTCCGCGTCGACACCGTTATCTGGCCAGCCGTAGATGAAACCGGACGCGAGGTACTTGGCATCTCCAATGGGCTCGGCTAAGTTGACTGTTGCAGTGCCTGAAGATCTCTTGCCAAGCGACCGCGCTGCGCCAGTAGTAGCAAGGGTGGAAATAAAAGTGTTTAGTACGGCAAGCTTCATGTTGGAATTGAGTTGATAACGTGAGAGTTGGTGATGACCAAGTTCCTGATATTTCGAGGGAAGATGCCATCACCGCATGCTGAGTCTTATACTTCCAATGTCTTCAAGATCGACATTTCAGAATAGTCTCCGCCGGAGCGAACAGCCCAAGCCAAGGAAGAAACGTCTTTTCCCATTCGTGCGGTCTGCTACATTAACAAGGCAGATTGGAGCAACTGTGTGGACCAAGTGTCCTTCCACGTCGGGTAAAAGGCAGAATGACAAGGCCGCAAATTATGATGTTGCCTCTGATATGCGGGGAAGTATCTGCACTCCGCGGCCTCCGGGGTATTCGCTCATCATAGCCTACCCCACGGGGGCAAGTTTCTCCCACCGGATTCCCTGCACGGATCGGGTTTTCGCGGGCCAAGTCCACCTTTCACAATGCTCATGTGCTGTACGGTAATATGTGACATCATGGTCAGCTCCTCATAAGCCCACTTCCAAATCTACGTGGTTGAAAGTTCGAGTGCAAAGGAAAAAAAAGCAATGAAAGATGGTAGGCCCGATATATCAACACATTGAATGCTAGTTTTAGAACATGACATGTCAGTGAATAAGGGTCACTCGTATGTCGGTTACCTTTGGTCAAATTACAAGAGTAGGACGTGGTTACAGCAGGCATCTCATAGCAGTTCATTTTCTATAATCTAGCCCGTGTTTGAAGACAACATCAGGGATGGGGTCGATTGGAGTGGGCGCCTTAGCAGCTGGCTCTAGTTCGCACACCGATGAAGAGCAAGACAATTCACGATGAGGCTATTCACGATGCGGGAGTTGTTTCCTGAAAAATAAGCTGTACAGCAATTTTAACTCTCCCCGCGAGATTGTCAGGTTAGCGGCTCCGTTTCGGTTACCTGATATGCTGAGCGGTACAGTTGCCTTACGCAAGGCAACTGACGCAGGCAGCAATTTGAACGTTGATGTGAAGAGTTCTAAACTTGAAGATAATAACTTTGGTTTAATATACATGCAAATACTTGGAGCGCACTAAGCAGTTTTGCCAACTGCTCGTTCTCTATTTTAAAATCTATAGAGCTGTAAGGCTTTGGTCAATTTGCATATCAAGACAAGGGAGGCCAAAGCATCCTTGGGGCGGTTGGCACCTTAGGACATGGTTGTGGCAGCAAATCTCTTTCGCATTTCTAACATGTAAAATTGATAGTTCTCTTCAAAGCTAAAATTATCCGATGAAAAAGTCTCTCGTTCCGCTAATGACTCATGTTTTCCCCAACTTCATTCCTTGCTTGGCAACTCAATACCCGATTACTTGTCAAAAGTTTCATACATCCACCATCCGATCACAGGTTCAATAGTGTCGAGACCCGTCGTCTCGCCGTTGGGAGGGTCGATCTTGTTGCCTCGAAGATCTGTGTGTGTCACGGGCCCTCCGCTGCTGGTGAACTGCTGCCCGACTGAGCCAGCCAACATCCTTGTCTGATACGGGGTTCCGTTATCGTCCACCGTGACGGGAACGGAGGCATATCCAGCCGGGATGTCATCTGTATCGACGGGGAGAAAGGTGGTATTGCCAATCTCGCAGAACGCGCGTTCGGAGCCGAAGCCAGTGTTGCGGATGAGCTCTCCTTCTGCCGACCAGAAACAGAATGATGTCATCCAGCCCGACAAAAATGTTGGCCCTGAGCCGCCACTCTTGTAGTGGGCGATTTTGTTCCAGAACTCCTTCACCTCAGCACTGTCTGGTTCGTCAAACGTACGGATGAAGTAGTCAAGAACTGTCTTGAGCCGTGTCGCAAACTGGGCGGGCTCCTCCCCCCAACTGGCAATCTTGTCCAGGCGATCGCGCAGCTTTGTCCAGTCTTCCCTCTCACCTTGAAGAGTGACCGAGGGTATTCCGCACATCAGGGACATTTTGTAACTGAAGTACTTCTGCAAGGTTCCCATCATGAGAATCGCTGCGACGATCTTGTCGTTATCCTGGGTGGTGGTGAAGTCGGGCATGATCCAGTCTCTGAGCTGCGCATCGACGACGTGGTTTTCAAGCTCGCGCGACATGGCGACGGCCAGCTTGCCAAAGTCGACAGTCTTAATGGTGCCGATTTCCTTGATTTCGATCTCCTTCTGTCCCTCGTGCGCGACAAACTGAGATCGGAGCTCCTCAGCATGCTTGTTTATGTAGAAGCTTAGCTGAACAAGAATGGAGAACCAAACGTCTTCAGGTCGAACTTTCAGGTGGTAATGGCGGCTGTATGCTTGGAATGCGGCATAGACGAAGCCGTTGTTTGAGCCGTGTATGTGCGTGCTGGCGATATCCTGAAAGGAAGATTGAATCATCATCTTGCATTTCTGAGCATCGTTGGAGCATGCTGACCGGAACAGTTCCTCGGAAGATGTCCCTGTAGGCTGCGTCCAAGCCACAGCCGTGGTGCTCGCGGGGTAGACGGTCACGGGCATTTTTTGCTATTGAAATGGAGATGGCAGAATGAGCTTGGCGATGAGGGTCGATGCGATGAGGGATGATGAGCTTGGAAGACTTGGGAGGTGTTGTGGAAGGGCCAAGTTTCTGCCCCTCATCAGTGACCAAGTCAGAAACTGAAGGTGGTACTTGTGTGGCTTGCACAGCCTCCAGGCAGCAGCCACAAACAACAATCAACAATGGAAGCCTTGAACTGGCCACCTGGCAGTTGAGACCTAAGTACCTAATGCACGTACCTTCTTTAATGCAACCAACCATCACACTTGCTCCGTGGGCATAAGCATCAACCTAAACCTTGTGTATTTTCTCCGATTGACGCTGCTTTAGGGTAGCTGACTCCTGCGAGGGCCAGCGACAGTACCTGAGCCCTTGTCAGCCCTGTACCTAATGTAGGTATCGTGGTGGAAATGCTTTCAGGAGCGTTTAGGCCTGTACCTGGTTCAAATTTGTCGCGTGGATTGACTTGACGAATTTCAGTTTAGATAGAGGGCGCTTTTCGGCATTGGAAGACTTAGGAAAGCTGTTGGAAGGATTCTCGTAGCGTTCCACCTCACCAATAGGTTCGAGGTATAAAAATGAGGATTTGAAGTTTGTTGGGTGAGTGATGCCAAGTGGATGGGTGAGTTTCCTTCTCAAAAGATGTCCATGGTACCCGCGAGTGACCTAAATGCAGGGAGAAGTCCAACTCGCCAAGATTCAGCCACCCAAGGCGGATCATAGGCGCCATCGAGAAACCCAAATGACTCCATGTTAACGGCAACGCTGACCTCTTCGGGAATTGTGATAGAACAATCAAGGTCAAACAGGGGCTCATTTGGATGGGTGGCGTGAGACACCGGATTCCGACGAGAATCAAAGACGGTAAAAGGACCAACAGCCAGTTCCCTGGTTACGCTCGCTTGGCCATCGAGTGAGGATAAGCATGAGTCAACGGTTTGGTCTGCCACCGAGGACTTCAGCGCCTCTTTCATATCAGCTTGGTCTTGCTCTATTCTAAGGCCCAAAGGAGATGCTCTTAGCTTCCGCTTTGGAAAAGATCAGGCCCTATCAATAAGTATATTGGTTCTAGTAGCTCTAGACGACTGGCGGATTTTGTCTCTAGAATTGAATCTTCAGTCTTTACTTTTGCTTTTACCTCAGAGGCCTTATAGTGACTATAGACGATATAGAGAGACTTTAAAAATGCACATGGCCACAAGGAAACTAGAAGTGTCCATAGTTGGAAACTTCCAGTTGCAGTGCTTCCTCTCTAACTTATTTCTTGTTGCCTACTATTTCCGTAAGCGCAACCCTACGTCCTTGTCACGGGAAACATGGGTGTCTGCGTCATGCCAGTCTCGGCAAAATACACCTCCCAATGAGTAACGAGCCTCTTCATCACCTCAGTCTCCTTTTCTGCGAGATCATGCAACTCGCCCGGGTCCGCCTCAACATCAAAGAGCTCCCAGTCATCCTTACCTCGCGGCTTTGCGATCCACACGGCCTTGTACTTGCCCTCTCGGATGGCCCTTTGCCCGAACAACTCCCACCCGTGGACGTGGACATCCTCACCGTGGACGGTAGACGACGGTGCCGCGTAGTCTGGCGAAGACAGGTGCGGGACCCAGGATTTACCGCGGGGCACGACCACGTCGCGGCCACGGAAGGAGGTTCCGGGGTGAGAAACCCGGGCGAGGTCGAGGATCGTGGGGAGGATGTCCATGACGGTTGTGAAGCGGTGTGTAATAGCGCTCTGTTGGGCCTGGAAGGGCGGGTAGCGGATGAGACAAGGACAGCGGATCCCGCCTTCGGTGATCCAACACTTCAGCCCTCTCGAGGGAGCTGTTGCCGCACAAGCCCAGCGAGCACCTGTTATATGTTAGTGATGGTGCCCACTAAGGACGAAAGCAAACATCTAGGGGTTTCGTTTTGGCACTCACCGTACCACACAAAGGAGCTTTTTTCTCCAATGTTTTCGTACTTGTTGTCGTAGTACTTCTCAATGACACCACCCATGGTCGTTTCGCCCCCCATCATCTTCATTTCAGTCAGCCGCGTAAAACAACGAATGGAAAGGAACGATATTCACCGGTAGAGCTTCGAGCGCTGCGCCTTCCGCCCCATTATCAGACATGAACAGGACAAACGTGTTATTCAGCTCGCCCGTCGATTCCAAGTGAGAAATTACCCTGCCAATGTTTTCGTCAATCAGCTCAACCATTGCAGCAAAGACTTCCATCTTTCTGGAAGAGATTTTCCGCTCCTCCTCGGTCAGGTCGTCCCATTCTTTGCCTAGGAGACCGCCAGGCGGTGCGGGCTCAACCCCCTCCTTGACAAGACCTAATTGGACTAGTCGTTTCAGACGGCGTTGCGTGAGAGCATCAGGACCATCATCATATTTGCCAGCTGTGGTTTTTTCCTCTCAAGTTAGTCTCGGTTCGTCATTATATCTCTGATCTGTAGCAACAAGATACTCACCGTACTTCTGGACAATTTCCCTCGGCGCTTGCAGAGGCCAGTGTGGTGCCGTGAAAGGCAGGTAAGCAAAAAAAGGTTTCTCTTTTTCCGACTCGCTTCTCTCGCCGAGGAAATTGAGCATGCGGTCCGTAAAGGTCCTTGTGGAGTAAAAGTCCTTTGGTAGATCGGTGCGATGGTTGATGAACTGGTCTCCGTCCATCCAGAAGCCATCAGTGTTGAGACAGGGAATCTTGAACTCGCCATCGTCGAGCTGTGGCTCGTAGGCGTGGTGGTTTCCCGAGCCGGGAAGAAAGCTAAAGATCTTGTCAAAGCCTCTGCTGCAAGGAGCCAGCTCCTTGGTCAACCCAAGGTGCCTTGATAGCAGGGTTGAGATGTTAACAAGTAATATTCCTTATTTGGCCGTGGATTGTAAATCTCACCATTTCCCTGAAATAATGGTGTGATAGCCACTGTCCTGCAGGATTTCGGAGAGGGCTGCGACGCGCCAGTTTAGATAGCCTTCATAGCCGGGCTTCCCCTTGAAGTAGTCGCCAAAAGCACGCATGTGCTCAGCCATTTGACCTTGCTGTATCATCAGCTGAAGATCGAACAATAAAGGACAAGCAGTTTTATTGATCGCTTACCTAGCCCGGCGATATGGTTGTCTGTGCCCGAGAAGAGCATGGATCTTGTGGGAGAACATGCTGATGCCGTGTGAAAGTTTGTCATACGAATGCCCTCAGAGGCCAACTTCTCCAGCACGGGGGTGTTGATCTCGCCTCCGTAGGGGGAGATATCACTGAAGCCCAGGTCATCTGCCACAATAACGAGAAAGTTCGGTCTCTTAGAATTGGCCATAACGAGCTTTTGTCAACGTGGTATGTCTACTCATGTAGCTCTTAGATGTAGAATGCCTTCAAATGTTTATTTTGGAACACTGGGAAGCTGGCAATATTTGGGTCTTGTCGTGCCTACTTCTCTCCTGGTAACAGAATTCAGTTATCTGGGTCAAACCTCCACAAGTACTTGAGATCTCGGGATCGGGACGGATGTCCGCGTCTTCCTACCCACCCTTTCCCCGCGTTCTCCCCACAGCGAGATCCGTTAAATACCGCAGACCGAACCTGATCGACATCCGTAACTGGGGGGGACGACATCCGTCAATGCTTGTGGCTACGATCCGAGTTAGTCGACCTAGCTGAATGATGCCCTCCACCTGGCCGACCCATTGGGTGAAGTAATATGAACTATTCCCCCACAAAGTTCATCTGGTTCGCCAGGTTTCATGCCAATCATGCCTCGTGACTACCCCATAACCCCACGTTGGTTAGGGTACCCCGGACACACATTAACCTAGTGTTCTCCAGTTTGTACACCTCGATCCCAGACCCCGAGCATATAACAATGAATATCCACCCAGAAGTGCTATAATAACCCAGACTTTGTATCCTGTGTACAACTATCTTCTGAGCCTATCCGATTTCACCCATATCCTTCAACTTCTCTTTTTGTCGTTGCTCCCGTCATACTCAGTCATCATGGTCTCCTTCCTAGGACACCTCGGTTTCAGGGAGACCTTCAACTCCACCCTGACCTTCACCATCATGCTCATCGCTGTGTCACAATTCAACTTTGGCTTTGATCAGCAAGGCTTCAACACCACCCAGGCCATGTCTGCGTTTGCCAAGCACTACGGCTGGCTCAACCCAAAGACTAAAGAGTACTATCTCGAGAGTTGGTGGCTCTCTCTCTTCACCGGCCTTCCCTATATTGGTTTCGGAATAGGTAAAATCAATCTTCTTGTGCGCTGCTGCATTGCGTGTTCTTTCTAACGGCCTTCCCAGGCATCATCCTCGGCAGCATGGTCAGCAACCGCTGGGGACGACGAATGTGCATGTTCACCATGAGCGTGTGGTCCCTCATTGCGACGACAATCATCATGACCGCAAACAACCGTGACCACCTCCTCGCCGGCCGGATTCTCGCTTACATCTATATTGGAATGGAGCTTGCTGTTGTGCCCATCTTCCAGTCCGAAATCACCCCGGAAAAGGCCCGCGGTTTCATTGTGGGCACGTACCAGCTCAGTCTTGGTGTGCGTTGGACACAATCCAGAGGTTCATTACCAGTTTCAGCTACTGATGTGTCCTAGGTCGGTGGACTGGTCGTCAATGGCATTGCCCGAGCCACCGGCGATCTCAACAGTCCGGCGGCTTTCCGAATTATCTATGGCCTGTTCTATCTTGTTCCAGCCACTGTGGCCTGTGGCATTTGGTTTGTTCCCGAGGTAAGCCTGCCCACTCCTTTGGCCCCCTTCCCCATAACCCTACAGACAGAACAAAAACCTAATGACAGTTTTCATTAGTCGCCAAGATGGCTCGCCATGAAGGGATGTCAAGAGGAGGCCCTTGCGTCGCTTACCCGATTTCGAAAGAATAAATTCTCCGAGACCGAGATCAACGATGAGATGGCCAAGATCAACTACGGCATCACCCGTGAGGTCGAGAAGGGCACCTTTATGGAGATGTTTCAGAACAAGCAGACAACCAAGCGCACTCTTGTTGTTATCTTTACTAATTTCTTCCTCCAGACGACAGGCAGCCTCTTCGCCAGTGTCTATGGTGCTTACTTTACTAAGCAGCTCGCATTCATCAACCCGTTCACCATTACTGTTTCCAACTCTGCCCTTCAGATTGTCGCCTGTATACTTGCCATGCTCATGGTCGACAAGCTCGGCCGCCGGTACGTTGACGCTCCCCTTGCTTGTGTTTCGCCCCTCTTACTAATATAATGCCGCAGAAACGTCATCTTCATCGGTGGAAGCATCCAAACCGCCGGCCTATTCGTCATGGGCGGCCTCGGTCTCGTGACTAACCCAAACGTCGCCATCAAGTCCGCCATTGTCGCCATGATGGTGGTCATGACCTTTGGCTTCACCATCGGCTGGGCACCCGTCTCCCACATCATCTCCGCCGAGGTGCCCTCCATGCGCCTCCGCGACATCACCTACCGCACGGCCTCGATTGTCAACATCGCGACGCAGTTCGCCGTCACCTTCAGCATGCCCTACCTCCTCAACGCGCCCTACGCGGCCCTGGGGAGCAAGGTCGGTCTCATCTTTGGCAGCATGTGCATCTCGTCGCTTGTGTTCGTCTTCTTCTGCGTTCCCGAGTGCAAGGGACGCAAGCTGGAAGATATTGATTTGTTGTTCGAGTCCAAGGTTCCGCTTAGGCATTTTGGGAGAGTGAGGATCGATGACGCGCTGAGGGAGAGGTATGTCAAGCCCGTTGATCAGGGTAATGATGAGGATGTCAGCAAGGCGGGCATGGCTGTTCAAGTTGAGCACAGCGCCTGAGAGGCTTTTCTATCTGACTTTTGCGGGGGCGGGGGCTCTTCCACGAGCTTCTCAAGTCCCGGTCACTTACTGCCCATCCTCATGTTGCAGGGTGGGAATACGGCGTTCGCAGACACGTTGCTTTGAATCGAGGTGGCTTGGATGTTGTTGATGTAAACAATTAGGAGTAACAGAAACAAAGACAAGGCCTAGACACTCTCTAATCACACAAGTACTCGCGGTTCTAAGGCTAGAATTCCCGAGGAGCTCTTCTCATGCTATTACTTCTATGAAGAACACTAATATCGTTCGCCCTATCGCCTATATTGCATGTTGTGGATTTTCTAAGATAGAAAGCGCTTATAGTAGACTACTCGGCGGCGTCTTTACTTATCCAAGGGGCTATTTATCCTATGTAGATATTCGAATTCTTGCCCCAAGTCCGCTTGTGAGAGAAGGGCTGCGGATAACGCTCGTTGGCAGACTGAGCGTTATCTCGAATAGACCGACGTCGAGATGCGTGCCTAGAGGGCTACTTAGTCTCTTGGAAAATGGATCATACAGTCTTAACAGTAAGAACCCGTGGGGTTAAGGAAATACCAGCCTGCTGAGACACCGGTACTGAAGTCGCTGTTGGCGCTCTAGACCTTGCAAGACCTGGACGAATCGTGCTCATATCCTCGGCAGCACTTTCACAAGAACTAGTACAAGAAATCAATGTAATTAGGCCGTTCATGCTCGCTATCAAATCAGCGCTGCCAACAGAAAGTAGTCGACAGCAACAACCTGGCTGTAGGATACCTTTCAGACTCAACGCAGCTTTCATATAATCTACAGCAGATGAGCTTTTTTCCTCATCGACGACCAGCATGCCATGGAGCAAAAATCTCTTCGTTTCCAGCTCCTGCGAATGTCTACCTCACTTGCAATGCCATCGTGTGCCAGAGAATGGGCATGTTGATGCTCGGTCCGCTACAAGCCGAGAAAGGAATTTGTGATCGGAGCCCAGCCTCGGTGCAGAGTGATGTATGGGTCCCTTTGTCTACATTGGATCTATTAATGGCGATTGACTTTTCCAAGTTTAGGACTCTCCTTCTAGATATCCAGAGAAGGCTTTGTTCTCCGCCAAATTGATGATGCTTTGTGCCCATCAATGTGGTACAAGTCTTGATTCACGTATATAATCTCACCAGTGATGTCCACCGTCACGATCCGCAGCTAAAATTCACTTCCTTTCATTTGCTTACATCCTCTGGTGAACGGCCGATGCATGCTCATCTAGCTGTACAAACAGTGAGACCCTTCCCGTGACCAGCGGCGAATCCAATACGTCGGCGAATATGGTCATGCACGAGAACGAGATCCCAGCTGAGGAAGAGCCTCCACGGATTCGAGCCGAGGAGCTCGAGCAGTACTCTAATGCGCAGCTCCAAGAATTTCTCTTGCACAACCAGCGCGAGACCGGCGGACATCTCACTCTTCCAATCGATCTAGAGAGTTGGAAAGCTCTCCCCAGTGATGCGTCGCAGCTTCTCGTGGCAAGGCTTCAGTCAGTCGCTATGATTTCTATGCATTGAAGTAGCGCGAGCTACCTTAGGTAGTGTTGACGTGCATGCTGACTATTGCTGAGTAGGGAGCAGAGGCTAGCTATACAGAATAATCGTGTAAAGCCTGACGACCTTTTTGCCCGGCTACAACAAATCCCCCTCGACAACGATGACCGTGTAGTGCGGACACCTGAATCATCCACTAGGACCACTACGCTACTAGGATCTGAGTACGATGGCCGTCGAGGCGAAAATGAGCGCGGCGACTACCATCTTCTTCTTGCTGATGGGGGTCGACCCTTTTACTCTATAAAGAAGTTGGACGCCGTGAAGCAGGATCCCGATTCACACCACGACTTGCTTAATCCATGGCAGCATCTCGACTCATTCTCGGGTGGCTTGTTTGAGTGGGAGGTGTTTCAGCGGCAACTCGACCGGTGGGAGCAGTTCCGCAGGTGGCAGCTGGAGCACCGCGGCCAGGATGCGCAAGCGTGCGAGAAGCACATTGAAAAGGCGAGAACCAAGTACGCGCGCTTCGTTGATCGCTCCCCGATGCACGCCAGGCAGCTCGCCAACCTAGATGATCCCGATTCATTTCAACGAGAGCATTTCAAAGCAAGAGACCTATTCCGTAAGTTGACGCTCGAACGGCTCAGCAAAGGAGGCCATCTGTATACTACATTCTCAAATTACACTGAAGATGTCAGGAGGTGTCTGAGACAGCATAGATTCCTTGATCACATTGAGCCGGATATGGACCCAAAGAAGCAGGACGAGCTAACTACCTGGGCCGAATATGTCCACTTCGAATTCTGGTATTTGGCCGCGTACGAGAGGGTGCTGGAGAGGGCGACGCCAAAAATGAAGAGGGAGTGGGAGAAACTTCACGAGCAAGGTATATTCAGCAAGGATGAGACGTTCGACGTCGTGCGGTCGGATGAGTTTAGGAAGCAGCTTTGGCGTGAGAAGGAGGCGTCCTTGTCTGTTGTCCAGAGACTTCGAGATCAGTTTGAGTTTGGCTCAGGCTCTACGACAGAGAGGGACCCCGAGACGGAGGAGAGGATACGCGCGGCACAAAAGAACCATGAACCCGTCGAGAAGAGATTTGAAGCTGTTATCGCTGTCCAGAACAGAGGGCAGTTCCTCAAATATGCAGACTACCTACAAAGCCATAAAAGTCTATTCAAGTGGACTTTGGACCAGTTTCGCCAAATTCAAGCCGGGATCGGACCTCTCTCAGAGATAACACCACTGGATAGTCAGAAGCCCAAAGGAGTGGAAGGCGGTGCAGATGCTACGACCAAACGCAAGGTCGATGACGATGAACCAGTCCACAGGGCCTCCGACAAGCCCGAGGGAAGGCGAGATTCCTCGCAGGAAGCACCGAACATCCAGCCCACCTCAGGTATCTCGGCAGCCGTACCTGGACGCGGCCTGACAACCCTTCTACAAGCCTCGGAAGAGTCAAACGTCACCACCAAACGGCAAAGAAGATCGTCCTCCTCTGCAAAGAGTCCGGGAGAATCTGAGAGACGCACAGGCGAGACTGGAAGCATCATGTGCCAAGGTGCATCAGCCAGCCAAGACAGCACGGACGCGAACCACGGCCAAGTGACAATGGGAGGAGTGGGACACGGAACAAGACTTGCTGCAAGGGGTGTGGCGGAAACAAAGGCTACAAGTTCAAGGGAGAGGCCTCACTATGTCAACGAGCATGAACGAAGCTCAAGCAAAGTAAAGCCCATGAAAATGCATCAGCAGAGCAGCGCTCGTCGGGAAGACAAGGCGCAGGAACCAGAATCAGTTCCAGCCAAGACGCCTAGAAAGCGGAAGAGGGAGCCTACGGCTGAAGAGGTTGAGGCCTCTATTAGGCGGAAAAAATCTTTGAGGCCCTTGGAAAGGCAAAACTACAGTAGGTCTGGTCTATTTCTGACCCTCCTCAATTGAAGCTTTGCAGCAGGCCATGAAGGATCTTTCTATCAATCTCAATAGTAGCAGTAGTAGTCATTGCGATAGTCATTTACTTTACAATAACAAGAAACATAGACTTGGTTGTCCTGCTCAACAAATTCCAAGTCGGCCTGAGAGTGGATGACCAGGCGGCCGTGGAAATAGGCATTCACTTAGACTTGCCCACGATTCGACTTGACAATGTGCAATCCGCAGCGCCCATAGCAAGAAACCCGGCCATCTTTTAAAGCTATCAAAACCATTAATTGCATAAATGTGAAAAGATCGCCCCCCAAAGATCAGTAAACGTGTTCTGCCATGATGGCTGGCTCCTACGATGACTTCCCAGCGACCGTACCTCAGCTGTCAGCCCTGTAAACAGCTTTGGTACAGGGCGACCACCCACTGGAGCACGCTAAAACCCACCTCACACACTAACGTGGAGGGTAGAAAACCCACCACAGGCCAAAACCCATCTCGCCACCACGCTACATGAAAAAGCCAGAACCGACTTCCGACGAGTTCCTGCGACCCATCCAACGTTACAATTCCAATGGTGTTGTCAGCAGATGCGTGTGCGGCTGAGCCTGAAGAGTAGTGTTCGGCACATTAATCTTTGGCCGCTCCTTGATTTGGTTCAGCTGGACAGCCACATCATCAATAGCGGCATCAGCTAGCTCATCGTTAAACCATAACGAGATGGCCACTCTATCATGGAGGCCCTCGGTTCTTTTTATCGTAAAATCTATTGGTCAGTCGCTTGCATTGCCTGTGCTTTTCCAAATATAAGATGCTACCTAACTACCACGTCGCGATCTGACTTGAATTGCCACGTTCTAGTCTATCATTTCTACGTCCACAATGGCACCCGTCTACGCCGATCACCCCTTCCCCCTTGTCCCAACTCCAAATTACAGATTGAAAAAAGATGGCAAGAAGCCTGACGATTTTGATAACTGCGCATCTTTGATGGGCGTTATTCATAACACAATATTGTTAGGCCTCAATTCCATTTATCTTCAGGCTCCAAACATCACAGCCAAGGACCAGAAGGCGTTCTGCGCCTACATCTTGAAATGGCACGAATTTCTCGATCTCCATCACAAGAATGAGGAGCTCGAATTCTTCCCCACTGTTGAGAAGCTAGCTGGCGAGGAGGGGATAATGGAACCCAATGTTGAACAGCACCACAAGTTTGAACCGGGTATCAATTCATTCATCTCCTATGTCAAGGACTGTCAGAACGGCAAAGAGAATTACGATGGAGAGAAGATTTCCAACATGATTGATGAATTTGGGAACATTCTTGCCGGTCACCTGGCAGACGAGATTCCAACGCTGTTGAGTCTCAGGAAGTACGGTGATAAGATGGACACATTATCGAAGGTGTTTGATGAGGAAGGTGCCAAGTCAATGGTTAGTTTACTTCTCATTCTTTCCACACCGAGGATCATTTCGATTTCAGTTCCTTCTTGCTGCTAACAATTTAAGCAGAAAGCGATGGGCCTAGGTGGCTTGTGCTTCTTCTTCGCCAACCAAGACCTTCACTATGAGGAGGACCTTTATGCCGATTTTCCACCTGCGCCGGACTTCATCAAATTCCTTTGCCGCAACGTGGTTTGGTGGAGCAACACGGAACTGTACAAGTTCTCTTCCTGCGACCGCCTCGGTAATATGAGGCCCTTGTATGCGGCACAATGAATGATGAGCAGTACTACAGGCATTTTCAATTTTAGCTCTAATCTTACTCGTTGAGTATCTGTCACACCATCAGTTTCTTAATTGTGTTTAATAGTAGTGCGTTATTGACTTGTGTACTATTACGCTGGAGTTAGAGGATAATTTATCTTTATTCCCCGCTTCCACATATTTCCAACCCAAATGCCTCAGCGTCTTGGTTAAACTACAAACAAGGCACTTTTCAACAAACGGGAAACAAGGATAGTGAACATGGCCGTTGGCAAGGAGCACGAGCATGAAAACTAGCCGCCACAGGGTAGAAGATCGCTGTTGAACTGGAATCAGCGAGATCTGTTTATTCCCTTGCCGTTAACGGCAGCTAGAGCCTATGCAGTTAGTCTATTTGAAATTCGGCTACCGCAATTGTTATCTCGGGACCCATCCGTGGCCCAGAATATCAGCGAGTGAGCGAGCGGGGTTTTCCAATCCACCAATTCCTCGACACTCCTCCTGCCACTCAACGCTTATCTACTTCCAATATCCTATAATGGAGACAGGAAACTCTCTTCCAGATACTGGTACTCTTTCAAATCTTACGTCAGGCAAGCGAACGCGGAGAAAGAACTCAAAATCCCGGCAGGGCTGTCTAAGGTGCAAAAGCCGACGGGTAAGTCTTCATGGAGATATTCTTCGGCTTTCCGCTGATATCTAGCAGGTCAAGTGTGATGAAATCCGACCAGAATGTGGGAACTGCAAGAAAATAAGCCGGCAATGTCCAGGCTTCCAACAGGAGCTTCGTTGGTCGAAGAGACATGAACGAGGCTGTGGACGGCCACGCAGTGATAATAATTTGGCAAGTCAAACGGCCGATTTGGAAGTAGTTCGCACTGCTCGACGGCTGGTAAATACTTCTGAAGAGTCGGGGATTCCTCATAGCCGGCTTAACACATCGACGGCCAGCTCCGAAGCTGTCGCTGACGACTGGTTGCTTTCACTTCCCACAACCTGGCAGGCCACGACATCTGGCTGTGATCTACAATCAAACTATAATTCGACAGAAAATAACGACACCAATATTGAGGTTTCAGTCGGGTGGGGATCTCAATTTCACTCACCTGGCATCTCAACTCCGATTCCTGCCCTTAAATCTCTCCAGTCTCCCGCTCATCTACCAACAACTTTGATTGAATGTTGGTTCCGCCACGTTTGCCCGATGTGGTCGACTTTCGACTCCGAGGTGAACTGGAACAGGCGACTGGCTCGAGGCACATGGACCACATCAAAGGCTGTTTTCTTCACAATGCAAACCATGTCAGCGACGTGTTTGATAGATGTGATGCCTCAGCTTAACAAGACCTTGGAGTCGGCGCGAGCACAGGCCACATCGACCATCCTTGAAGGCATGGAACAGGCGAGAGATGCATCTCAGTCGCCCAGGGTGGCAGCTGATCTCGTGTTTGCGGTATTCGGACTTGGAACTTCGTCCCACTGGGCGGCTTTCACTGACCAAAAACACCCGTGGTTGGAGTTTGCTCGAGAATTGCTGTCCATCTGGAAGCTTGAGCTCTCCAAGCTTGACGAGCTGTTACACGAATATTTTTGTCAGGCTCTCACCTACTGGGAAATGATTGCACTCACGGGGAATTGCAGCTCCATTCCTGCGAAGTTGCAAAGAAAGCGACGGCAATACCAAGATCGACTTCGATTAGCGATGCATTTGCCGAATAGCAATAATAATACATCCTACGAAGCTCCGGAGATGTCTTGGGTTCCCCGTCCAGATCTCTTCGGAACACGGCCAAATTCATGGTGTGGCGTTTCGAAGGAGGTCATCGACGTCTTTGGGCAAGTTCTGGCTTTGTGCCGCAGCGCATGCGAAACCAACAGACCTCGAAGCACGCTGACTGTGCTAACGACGAGTAATGTCCTCTGTGACATGGCTCTAGCGCACGAATTCCAGAGAGAGCTTCTTGGTATGGACTTCGATGCCCTGATTCTTCAGGAGGAGGATCACGGGTTTCCCGTGCAGACGCGAGATGACACCACGCCCATCTCACATCTGCTGCTGACCGCGGAAGCTTATAGGCAGGCTTCGCTTCTACAACTGCATCTGAGTTTCAATGACCTGGAAATGATACAACATTTGAAGGGTTCTACGAGCACACTATTCACTGGACAATCATTTCAGATGAAAGGAGATGAGAAGGCGCGGGCACAATTCCTCCTCAGAATGACACTCGAGCTCGTGGGAATACTTAGACGAATTCCTGCCGAGTCTGGCTCGAAGTCTATTCACCCAATGCTCTACGTTTCTGCCGCTGCAGGGCTCCGACATGATACTTGGACAGAAACGCAAGATATCTCCTCGGCTTCAGTCCCTGCTAAGGAGGCCGGTATTGTCACAAGGGCTACTTTGAGTGAGGACCAGGGCTCGTTTCTCCCGGCACACTCTATGGAGATATCAGCCGCGAGGAAATTTGTCTGGACACGGCTGAGCGGTCTCCAACAAGCATTCCCGGAGAGAACGAGTGATAGTACACTGCGGCTTGTTAAAGCAATATGGAAGGAGTACGACGACTCGCCGTCTGGTCATCCGTGCACACATTGGCTTGACGTGATGGCAGAGACTGGTCTTGGTATTACGTTGTGGTGAATGAAGAAGCACATCGACGTTGGTGTGAGGTGGGCACGTTTGGTCAGACGCTCGTAATATATTGCTATCAATCTAATCTGCTCCGTTCCCTCAACTTGTTTATCATTTAACGTACTTCGACATCTCGTGAAAAGTTTACGCTGAAAAAGTTGTCAAATTCTACTGGGTGAGTACCATTGCTGCAAACCTTGTCAGTCCTAAAAGACTTAGACCATCCAGGAACTTCCAGGGCCTTCGTGTCATCCTGAAACATAACGACACCTCCAACCTCTACCGTCTGTAGTCCTCCAAAGACCTCATCCGTAAGTAGTGTAAGAAGAATTGGCATTGTTCTCTTCCTTCTGGAAGGGCGTATGCGAATAAATTGAAGTGTTGGTGGCAATGATGTCTTGAATTCCCTCTTCAGCTCCTCTTCATTCACTTCATTCTCTTCGAACTTTCCGAAATCGTTAGGACATATCTTGAGACTCTTCAGGCGGCTCAATTCACTCAGAGGTCCTATATGTCCAACCATGGTATAATCTCCAGATTCCGTGCTGTCGAAGTCTAGTGACTCTAGGCTCTGCCCAAACCTTCTCAAGGCAACGCCCATCTCATTCAAATTGAGTGTGTCAAGATGGTTATTATTATCACCAGCCAGGGCTATATCAAGATGGCGCAGGCGGCGGCAGCGCCGCAAAGCATTGGCGAGGCCCCTCTCATCGATGAGGCAGTTCTTGAGTTGCAGAGTTGTGATATTGCTCGTGTCATTCTTCCATTTCATAGCCTCGACCTCGTATTTAGTCCATCTAAAGGCGGACAGCCGAAGAATCTCAAGCCCGGGGTTGAGAAGAACACCCTCGACTTTTTGAACCCTCTCCAGAATGCTTCCGTCGCAGCGAAACCCCACGCGCACCTCTCTTAGACGTGACATGGGGTTCTCAGATGGGGGACCAAGCAGTTGGCTCTCCTGGTGGCCGGCCGGGACGTCGCCAGACTCTCCGTCCTCGTCTCCATCTTTAGAAGCGATTTTAGATCCAATCTCATCAGGAGCATTGCTGTCGCTGTCGGTATCGCTATCTAGAGCCGTCGTGAAGTAATCAACATCGTCCATGTCGCTGTCGGAATCTCCATCTAGAGCCGTCGCGAAGTAATCATCTTCCGCGTCTTGTCTGCCACTGAGATACGCTGCGATACCCTTGAGTGACCCTATCTCCATGTAGTCCAGAGTCTGCAGCCGAGGCGCGGCAACAAGCGCGGCAAGGACCTCACCACGGAACTCGTCATCATCCCCTGCTTCCATCCACATACTTAGCCATCTCTTTTGCCTCTCATCAAGCTTGTCAGGAGAGGCGCAAAGCTTCTGGGCAAAGTTTTCGAAGCCAAATTTAGACAACCAAGGTGCAACTTGAAGCACCTGAATATTGTGACCGATTGACGGGTCAGCGCATAGGACATTCATAAACTTGTCCATGGAGCTATCGGTCACGCCTTTCTTGGACCGCAGCGCGACAGTGCGGTACATCAGCGGACGCGCGATTGTTTGAAAGAGGTGGGATACTCGGGAGAGCGCAACGAGGTCGCGAGATGGGGGGAACGTATCCCCGTCTACGGGCTCCCAGTACTGGAGTGAGATCGGGGTCTCCAAGTGTTCGAAAATGCGAGAAAGGATCTCGGTCGGCATGGAGCCCATCATTTTTGCGCGTCCGTTTGCCTTTCGGCAGGCTTATCTGGTCAATAGCGGCCACGATGTGCTTGTTTGAAAGAGGAAGAAACAACCTCAGCTGTTTCTCTTTCTTTCTCAAATAAATGAAACACGCTCGCTGAGACATTAGGGCACACATGCCCGATACTTTTCCATTTGGGGGCATTTCTATCCCTATAGGTGCAGCTGCAGCTCAGCAACTACATTACTAACCTATGAACATGACCTATCAATTGAACTCATCCCCAGTAATGTAATGCAAAGCTCAGCTAGCAGAGAAATACCAGCTGCATGCTCTCGTATAATTGAGTTTCGTCGATTAGGTTATACAGGTTTGCCTATCTCACTTATACTGAATCCAGACTATGTCTATCCCTTCCTGAGAGGGAACATGGCCTCTCAGCCCAAGTTCCGACTCAACCCATATCCTATAGTGCTATCGGCCGTTTCACATGTCTCTTCTTGTCATATATACCACAATGATCATCAAGATACAACACGTAATTAAGTCGTGAAGGGGTTGCAGGCAATACCCAATCTATCCGCCTCTGCTTGCAGCTTCTTGTTCTTCCTCACCAAATGCCACTTGACCACGCTCGCCAGGCAGATAGCAAGCCCCGCGAACACAATCTGCAAGATCATGGCCATGGTATACCGGGGCTGGTCCCTGTCCGGGAAGAAATAGGGTGAAATGACGTTACCCAGATGACCAAAGATGTTGACAATGGCGCCACCGGCTGCACGCTTCTCAGGGGTCTGGCCGAGCGTCGACACGGCCCAGGTGTATTGAAGCGTGTTTGCGGAGAAACATCCAGCCGCGTAGAGGAATGTCATGGCGTATCGGACTGAGGGGTTGCCAGTCGCGACCGTGACGATGAATCCGACGACGGAGCATGACAGAGGAATAATGATGTGCAGACCACGTTCACGGCGGCGATCAGAGTCCCATGCGACAAAGAATGTGCAGAGCGTTCCCCAAACATAAGGAGGGGCAGTCATTAACAGTGAGGTAATTCTGGTTCCAAAACCTATTCCATTGTTAGATGCGACACGCAAAAATATTATTGAACCCTAAGCACGTACCTAGTCCGTTCACAATAGTAGGGAAGAAGTTGTTGAATCCATATGAAGAGGTGATGAAGATATTCAAGAACAAGAACATGTACAGCTTAACGTCCGTAACAGCCAGCTTAAGCCCGACCCAGACGGTAGACTTCTCAGAGTACTCAACTCGGTCATCGAGAATTCGTGCGGCGGCTACCTTGCGCATGTCCTCTGTCATATACCACATCGCACCACCAGTAGGAGAGTCTGGGTAGTTGGGCAGGACGAAGTAGGCTGTAATTGCAAAAAAGCCGCTGAGGGCGCCCTCAAGAATGAAAAGCCACTTCCATCCAGCAAGGCCCATGGGGCCATCGAGGCCCGCGAAGACGCCGGCAGCAATCAAGCCAGAGAAGGCTTGGGCGAGGACCAGACCGGAGTAGAGCAGGGCAACACGAAGGGCGAATTCTCGACGGGTGTACCAGCAAGACATGAGGAAGACGGCCTGCATGACATATTACTTAGTAATTAGAGTAGCAAGCAGCAGGGGTTTCCACGTACGCCAGGGAAGAGTGGCGCTTCGACAATGCCTAGAATAAACTGGACGCCCCAGAGACCCCCAGCGCTGGTGCAAACAACGGTGAGGGCCGAGACACCTGACCAGATGAAAGCTGCGACAGGGAGGTACACTGATGGTCGCACTCGGGTGATGAGCATGTTCGATGGCAGCTGGGCAACCATGTATCCGACAGTCAAGATAGCAACCGCGGTCTAAAAGATGTTAATTCCTAATTGCCGTTGCGCATAACCGTTTAAACATACCTGATAGTCTCCATCTTTGAGATTAAGGTCCTCATTGAAGGTGTTTAGGCGGGCCTGGGCAATGTTTGTTCGGTTAAGGTAGTTAAACATGTAAAGGATCCAGAGCTGCGGAAGCATCCAGATGTCCAGCTTACGGACAATCTTCTTCTCCAGCTCCTTGGTATTCTCTATCCCAAGCTGGGCGACGTGATTGATGTCCGCGCATACTTCCGTCTTTTCTTGGACGTACGACGGGACAGTGGCCAACTGAGAAGCATCAGTCGCCAGGTTCACTGCCGTCTCTTTAATATCTGCCATGCTTGAAGAATGCCTTGACAAGAGAACCTCGGGAAATGAGAAGCAAGTGCGAGTAAAGGGTCATGGCATAACACAGATGTGCATCTTTCTTTTATAGTTGTCCCCGGTGGCCTGACAACAAATTTTCCATGATCTCCGCATCTTCGCAAGGGGCCATCTCCCAGGGTTCGTGAGGGAATTCGGTCATCGGCCGAGTACACAGGGGCCTAAAACTGGCACCGATACGACGGCCAAGGAAAAGCCAAGGGGCGAGACGAAAAGCAACAGTCTGCCAAGGTGAGGGGGAAAACATGTCATCTGCGGCTCCATGACCGTCATGGTCCGAATAGACTTTGATGGTTACCCTAGCATATTCTAAGCTCATGCCAAGCCAAGCAGCTAGACAACCGAGTGAGAATCTCCTGCCTATTTGGAGCTAAGGGGGTTTTCTAATCCACACCCCAGCCGTCCGTGCCACCCTTAAATTGCAACGTCAAGGTTGCACACTCGCCAAGATCACATACATAAATGCCTCTCTGACCGCTGGTCTATCGCGTGCTCCGGGAACTTGGATGCCATCTTAAGATGGTCACAAGATCATCGCGGATATCAAGGCCGAAGACTGGCGTGATCAGGTATTGGTCTCAACGATGCCCGAGTTGTTCGTAAAGTGAATATACTTTGCCACTCACTCAAACTCACATAGTAGTCAAGTATTAGCTACAACTCTATGATGATGATCCTTACCACTTCTCGGCCTAAATATCCTTTTAGGACATAATAAGCGCCTGGAGGAACACGGAGTAGAAGGCTTCTAAATTCTTTGGGGTAATGAAAGATACACTGGATACATCCATATGCATTGAAATGGAGCTGTTTGGGGTTTGTATCTCGACGTACTGCCAAGATTTGGGGAGAAAATAGGGGCTTATAAATCGCCCACGTTTATGATGCCAGAGACGAGGAGAACGCTGACTCCTGGTCCATTGCAATTCGCCAATCCTCACTCCAAGTCTCTTGGCTTACCTTGGCGTATGGGGAAGAGTGTGGGGTTTGTTGCGGCGCATGAAAAAAAGGTTATTCAGAAGGTTGTTTTCTCTCCTCCGGCCGCCCGCGATTATTGACTTACCCGCCCCTCCCCCCTTTACGACCCCCCCACTCTGCCTCGCTTCCTTGTTTGCGTTGATATTTGTCGAGCCTGACTCCCTGCCGTCATATCGAAGCGGTTTTTACGCGTCAGCACAACATGTAACCAATCAATCTAAGAGTTGCTCTCCACACAAGGGACTCACTCTCCCACACTTTGGGGTAACATTCTTGGCTTGACGCGCTTCATGCCATTATTTGTTTCGAAGAGACAGCAGGGATACGCGGGATCCTCAAGAACATTACTCCACCGTCTGTGTCTGCCTACAGGATCGTCGAATTCCCGTCATGGCCCCACGTTGCCAATTTTCTTTCAAACGGAGCGTTGTTTTCTCCTTCCCACAAGGGATGTAGCCACCAACGCGAGAGGCGAATCAATTCAATCGCCGAGGGAACTCGGTGAGAGGGAAAATGAGAGAAGACTTTTGCCACTGTTGGCGAGGAGGATTTTTTCGCTACGTACCAACCATGAAAGCGCGTGATTTATTCGTAACGTGTTGGGAGGTGGATCCATACATACCCTGAACCAAACAGTTTGATCGGGAGCCGGCAAATACTCCTCATGACCATAATATGGAGTTGAAAATAGACCGGGTTCGTCCCGCTATGCATCGACTTTGATGTGTTTTCATAATGGTACCCTTTTAGAACAGGCAATCAAGGGTGAACTGTACGTATGAAATCACCTTGGTGATCACTAGAGTAAGCTCCGCCCTGGACCATTTATGGGCGCATTTTCCCCCTCAGCTTGACCGACGATATCAATCAGCAACATGAAGGCTAATCTTACGTGATTGTAAGAGCCTTGAATAAGAACAAATAGGTACAAGAACTCGTATGGGTAAATTTATTCACCGGAAACGATGGTCGTTAATTTATGAACACCAGCACCATAACATAGGTATGTCAAATTCCAATATCGTCCATTTGCCACCCTTTCAAAAACTTCTTTTGGAAGCCATGGGCATCTCCGGATTTACGAACAATTTATGTCTCCGTGGGTACTCCGTTCGGATATCGCGGCCCGGCAGGTTCAAAACCGTCCACAATGGAGCTGATGGCCTTGGACTCCTCCTCCGTGAGATCAATCACCTTCATGTTCTCCTGAACCCTTTGACTCGTAGTTGCACCTGGAATGGGGATGATTTCGGGCGTATCAGAGCGCTTGCTCACACTTCTCACCCAGGCGATTGCAAGTTGTGCCGTAGTGCATCCCTTCTTATCGGCGAGGACCTTGACTTGCTCGAGTAGCTTGAGGTTGTGCTCAAGGGCTTCACCTTGCAGGCGAGGGAAGTGCGAAACAATGCCAAGGTGTCTCGTGTCCGCATCAGTTTTGAATTGACCAGTCAAGATCTAACGGAGATGATCAGAGTTAGTTGAACAATGAAACTGGCTTAAACGCAGGAAGATCACACTCACTCCACGGCCCAAAGGCGAGTATGCAACGATAGGGATATTATACTGTGCGCACGCTGCAGCAACTCCATTCTTGAGGATGTCCGGGGTGAACATGCTCAACTCGACCTCGACCGCTGCAACTTTGGTGTGCTTGACAGCCTCATGGATTGTATCCGGGCTGCACTCAGAAAGAGATATCCCTCCAATCTTCCCAGTATCCACGTACTCCTTCTTCAAGACCTCGATTGTTGTTGCCAGGGGCACGCGGTGGTCTCTCCTTGAGATACCAAACAAGTCAAGCTTCTTCTTGCCGCCTAGCTGACGAAGTACGTTATCAACGCACTGCCGGACGTTCTCGGGTGATCCGTCGGGGATCAAAGTCTGCACATGCTGAAGGCCCTTGATAATTATGGTCACACGCTCGGCATCTTCTGGATACTTGGTGAAATAGCTCTTGATAAGAGTCATACTGTTGTATTCCGCAGTACCGTAGAACTCGGCCCCGTTCCAGAGGTTAGCACCGGCCTCAAGGGCAGATTTGAGGACTTCGACAGCCTGCTCGACAGGGACGGTTTCTGGCCTCCAGGTAAAGCCTGGGAAGTAAAGTATGAGTCGCATGTCATGCAATCAGGGTGCGTAGTTGTAATGAGTCTTACCCATCAGGCCATACCCAATAGGGCCAACATTATTTTGCTGAATCAGTGGCATTGTTCTGGCGGAGAGTCGGCAGTCAGCTTAGCGACGGTGGAAAAGGATCAATCAGGTCAATTGCTTGAATATAGGTGGTTTGAGGTAATTGCGATCCTGAATCAATTATAGTTAGAAATGCAACGCTCGCGCGTTTTTTAACTCCGCTCAAACTCCGGTCCGGATTACACGGCAACTCGGCGATGAGGGGCGTGGGATGCCCATTTCTAATAAGTGGGATGTTTGACGATGTAAACCGAGAGGGATGACCCATGAATCATCATAATGATGAGCATCATTTCAAATAGGAGATTTATTTCTAAATGAGTCGAATTAAGTCTAACGTCAAACATTGTGTTTGGGTCTTTCTTTTTGAGGCCCGTGTGTAAGTAACTCTTTCTGCAACGCTCGTCACTCTAGTTTATTTAATCTTGTATTTCCCTTGGTTCCTCAAACTCCATGAAAAAGGTACCATATACAGCAGAAAGCGGTACTGAGTAATGCAAAAGACTTGTCACTAGGAAAGTTCTGGTACATGAGGAAGAGGATAAAAGGTTCCTAGGACCTCTGTTGACGAATTGTCAAGTTCTGGAATAGGCGACGTGGCATAACATACACCCGTGACTTGGACAGATGTGTCAGCAAGCTCCGGGGCAAGAGTAGGAGCGTAATAAGCCTGAGAGTCATTTGAAGTGTCTCTCAACTCCGGTATTTGCGTGGTGGATATTTCAACCTCCCTTTTTAAGGCTAGATTGAAAATGTCCCAGAAAACCATTTGAGGATCCTTCTTGATCCAAGCACCAAACAAGTGCGTCATAGCGCCTGTAAAATGCTCCTTTTGAATGAAAGTCGTCGCACCGGGATTCACTTTGCTTGGGCTGAAGTAGAAGTAGCGTTTCCCAGAGAGACCCGGAAGACTTGCTTCCCACGAGAAGCATTCAGCTGAATTTTCCTAGTGCAGACCGTCTTAGCTACGTGATAAGTGTTTAAGCAGTTAATAGTCGGCCACCTACCTGGAAATATGGGCGAAATGTGACTCCATGAATGTTGACTCTCAAACGACCCCCGACACTTAGATTGAAGTTGGTCTCATTGGGGCGATTGGGAATAATCGTCAAAATTGCAAGGTTGTCAGGTAGTTTTGTTTATCGCGTTAGCAATTATTAGTCGGATAGTGCTCGCCGGTACCGGAAAATATTAGATTTGGTATGATTTCAAAGGGACACTTAAACAGGAGAAGCTATTCCTCTGTTATATGAATTTATTTATTGATTGACAATGAAGGCTATCAAGTGAGATGCGAATATTCGGACGAACTAGATCATGCCGATCGGCCAGTGTTTTTAGTTGGCCCTCTCCTGAAAGTCTCAAGCGCTGGACAATGACCCCGAGGGAAGCGTTATTGGCTGACCGACTCCATCATCTGCCTTATATCTAGTTTCGAAAAGCCCCGAGTTAAAGGCGATCTGACCAAGTGATGCGCGCTGAGGTATCTCGCGCCAATTTCGGCTTTCTTTCGCGCCCGATAAGCTCAAGCCGAGACGCTACAACTGATGCAAAAATAGACACAACTGAAAGGGAGAGCTATTATATAAGTAGGTAGTAGATGTATTTTGGGCGGAAAAAATATTGCGAAGATTGTCTCGATTCTTTAGTTGATGGAGCGTGCAATATTCGTTATTAATAAGACCAATGAATTCGTACTGCCTGGTGGACGATAGGAAAAATTGACATACATCTAATGGAAGAACAGCTATGAGAAGACTACGTAAGAGAAAGAGAATAACGCTCGACAGCAGTGTGCAATAATTTGCTGAATGCTTGATAAGCTTCAGTTCAAGGTCACCCAATTGACAATTGATCTTGATGAAAATTGATATTCTTTTCCTTGATTTAGCTCTCTAGATGTAACACCGGTGTCTGTGAAAATAGAGTGTACCAGTACTTTGTGACGGTATCTCTATAACAACTTAGACATGCTTGTGACTCTCGGGAGCAATAGGGCGGTTCCCTACGACAGCAGTGATAGGATTTCCACTATTGTGATCATCATTTTATCATCTGGAAGCTCCTTCACTTCTTGTTCATAGTATCCAAGCAACAATGATTCTGATTCAATATGGATATATGCCGGTTAGGAAACAGAAGAGGAACAACAGCTTAAATAGTAGCGTCATCTTCTGGTATGCTCGCTCAAACCTCAACTCTGAGATATACCACTTTCCATCTACGAGCTTCCAAGTGTCGTAGTAGAAACCCCCTCCCCTAAGTGCCATCCATGTCCCAAGGTACTTGTGGTAGAGCTGGTCCTCCATGGAGAAGATCGAATGGACTTCATCGGGCGCCACCTGGTCAAAGGTACCTGGCCCAAGGTTATGCAGAGTCTGCAGCTGGGAAAAGAACCCGGCGAAAAAGGCTGCGCTGCTCTTGGATGTGTCGAACACCGTCTGCTTAGAACCAAGCGCCAAAGGTTTTCCGTTGGTGGCGAGGTACATATATCGAGCATCTGGGAGGGCGATGTCGTTTGCCCACTTATTCCATTGCTTTGTGTCGGCGTATATGCCATAAAGTGCTTTCTGACTGGAGATTGCCAGAGCTACTTCGGGTGATGGTGGCGCCATTACAGGCGATTTGTTGTGAAAGAAGAAGATAGTATGCCAGAACACCCTAGCTGATGGTTTATCTTATTTCAATGAACTACCCAGAGCACAATGGCAGGCGAAGAGGGACAGATCAAACTCAGCATGGGGATAGCTCAATGAGATATATTTGACAGTCATACGACTCTTGGTCCAAACAAGGAAATTCGGCGCAGCATATTCTCCAAAAGAAGCATCTCCAAGCGGGGTGCTTACAGGAGGGTTACAAATACCTCCATGTCCTTTTAGTTTTCACATGCGATCGACACTGCATTCCTTCACGTCCAATCAGTCAAAAGCCAAGCCACCATCCCCCCCTCCTCATGACTAACATATATCATCATACATGCCAGTTATCAATCGGTAGAATTGATCTTATGATAAGTAAAGGGGGTAAGTCACCCTACAAAATCTATATCGCGATATTAGATGACGTTTCAGTGGTGGGGTCGGTGAAGTATATGGCGGCTTGCTCTGCTCAGGGAGAAAGATGGTTAACTCCATGGATTTATGTCGTCAACATGAAGTGTCTTCTTTCGTTCAAGAGCGTCATTAATCTTTCATAGCCTCTCCAAGAAAGAAATAAACAAACTATCGCTTTCTTACTTGATAGAGAGACTTTTATCCTAGGTAAGTGAATATAAGTAGTTGAGGATTCTCTAGCATAAAGGAAGTGAAAGCGTGCCTAATTCAGAGCGAGGTTGAGTATAGGTTAGGTATGTGGGTAATTCCTTGAAAGACTTCACGTTACCTCCCTCATCGTCACCAATCAATAAATTATTTGAATCTACAATGGAAAAAAACACGTTTTTGACTGAAATATATATATATATATATAATGAACTGAACTATTAACAAACTACTAAATATCTGTATTCGATATTTTCGATCTCAACATATCGTGACATGGTGAACCGGCATGTTCTTAAAGACTCGTCATTCATGCATTCAACGCTTTGGTGAAGCTACTTTCCTCCGCGACTTTTAATCCAAGTTGTTCAAGAGTAATGTTACTCAGAATTTGAAGAACGGTGATGTCTGCTTTGTACTCATTTGTGAACCAGTTTTTCAACTCGAGCGCAATGAGAGAATCCACGCCGTATAAATGGACGGCCCGTGATGCATCCACGTCTGCAATCGGAATACCGAGGGCGTTCGATAGCTTCTTTGTTAGGGCCTGCACCACTATTGCCCCGGCTTCGTGCAAAGATTTGGACGTCTTGAAGCTGTTTCGATCTTGCTGGGCCGCATCTGATCCCGAGGTGGCCTTGGTACCTCCCGTTTCATGGTACATGGTCTTGAATGTTGGCTGTGCCATCCACTTCGGAATAGCGTAGCCTCCTGCTTGAAGAGCGGCGGGCGAGCGAATACCTAGAACCACTTGGGCTTCCTCAGGTTTCAAAAGTGGTAGCTCTGGATCGCAATAACGTTCAAGCAGCATCTCAAGCTCACGCATTGTCGTGGGCTCGTACCACCCAAAGCTTTCCAAGGTGCGCGCCAGGTGCTCGTCTTCAGCCACGGCGCCCTCGCCAACGACCATTCCAAGATCGAATGAAACGGCCTTTTGCCCCCTTCGAACTCTGCTGAGAGCCAGAGAGTCCTGGAAGGCATTGCCAGCGCTATAATTCCCCTGCCCTTCGCCACCGACAACTCCCACAAGCGAGGAGAAGAAGATGAAGAAGTCGAGGCCGTCGGGTAGCAGACGATCAAGATTCCACGAGCCGGCAATCTTCGAAGTGGCGCTGACCCTCCATTCCTCTTCAGTCATATTTTTGAAATATTGATCCTGTTTCAGTCAGTCAATGTGTATTTGTAATCGGAGAATGTTCAATTGAAGCCATACCTTGAGCACCATGCTGGCTTGAATGCATCCGGAGATAGGACCTAGCTTTTGCTGACAGCTTTGAAGTCCTGTTTCCAGATTTTTGTGGTCGGATACATCGCATACCAACACCTCTACCATGCAGCCGGACCCTCGTAGCTCTTCTAGCAAAGCCAGTCGATTGGGGTCTTCATCAGCACCCGTACGCGACAACAGAATCAGATTTCTCGCTCCCCTCTTCACCATCCACCTGGCCACGCTTCGAGAAATACCCCCAAACCCACCAACGAGAAGATAGCTGCGATTCGGCCTGAAAGCCCACGTCTTCTCGGGTTGGCATTTGACTGTCACCTCTTCTTCGTCGTCCATATTGATGACCACCTTGCCGCCAATCTTTCCGCTTTGGAGACTTCTGAAAGCTGATTCTACCTTCGCAACACCAAACTCAGTAAGAGGGGTCACGGGCTTGATGGCGCCCTCTGATACGAGCCTGAACACATCATTCAGCAGTCTTCTCATAAGCGCAGGTCTATGGCGCCAGATCCCGCTGAGATCGACACATGAGAAAGAGATGTTATTCAGAAGCGGCCTCATATTTAGGCCCCGATTGTCCAAGATGTCCTTCTTGCCCAGCTCAACCCAGCGGCCGAACGGTGCCATCAGTTCGGTCCAACCAGCTTCGAGTAACTCGCCAGAGAGACTGTTCAGCACAATATCAACTCCATAACCATTGGTGACACGCTTCATGCCCGCCACAAAGCTGGCATCGCGCGTGTGGAAGATATGATCGTCCGAGATCCCGTATGTCGTCGAAATGAGCTGTCTCTTGGCGTCACTGCCCACCGTGACGAACACCTCGGCACCGATATGCTGGGCCAGCTGTATGGCCATCTGTCCAGTTGCTCCAGCTCCCGCGTGGATCAGGACCTTCTCATCTGGCTGAAGATCAGCGACGTCCACTAGCGCACGGTAAACAGTACAAGCGGTCCCTGGCATGCTGGCCGCCTCGCGCATAGATAGGGCGTCAGGTATCTTGACTGCTGTACGGTGATCTGCACGAACACAGGACCTCACTGTGCCGTCGGTTAGTACTACAACACGATCGCCAACTTGAAGATCGGCAGATGCGCCGACGGCTGTGACAGTTCCTGCTGCTTCTACTCCAAGAACCGAAATTTGTGGAATACGTCCCAGCGCTGTAAGAACGTCGAGGAAATTCAGGCCGGTGTATGCGGGCTGGATGAGAACCTCATTAACGTGAGGGGCGACTTGTGCTGTTGGGTCTGGCACGAACGTCAATGTCTCCAAAAGACCTGGCGTAGTAATTGTCAACTTGATATCTTCTGCATCGGCGCAGTTGAATTTTCTTTGCACTTTCTTTTTTTCCTTGGACTTTTCGTTCACGTAGGAAGAGATGGCTGGCGAAAAGAAGAGTCGTGGGGTCAGCAAAGCCTTGGCATCCCCATTTGAACTGTAGGAGTATTCCGTCTCTTTCGTCTTGGATTTCGTGCTGTGCTTCCTGAATACGCTCCTAATTACCTCCAAGACACTTGATTCCGTTTGATCAGCGCCCAGATCTGAAGCATCAAGAGTGAGCGTAGTGATATTGATATCTGGACGTTCATTTCGAACACTTCGGGTCAGACCTGCGGCGATTGCGCCCGATGGATATATGGACTCAGACGATACCCAGACAATACTAATTCTCGTCGCACAGAGAAACTTAAGGGCACTGAAAACCCCTAGACCAGTGTCAAAAGGATAATCAGAGTCGGAGCCGGATATGAAAATAGTATGCTCATCGTTCGAGAGTGCCACTTGAGCTTCATCCCATAGTTGGAATTTCGTTCCAGTATAGCCATCTTTAATGAAGGACTCAAAAACTGCCTTTGCTAGGTTTGACGCCCTAAAAGATGGATTCGGAGCTAGAACGACCGAAATTGGCCTTTCTTCTGTTACTGGTGACGGGACAGCGACTGATTTATAGGACGTCAGAAGATGCCCGTCCCATTCCAACTCTAGCTCTTTCTCGAATGACCTTGTCGTAGCTTGGGGGTTGATAGTGTCTGATGTCGAAGCTGCTAGGATAATGATTCTGCCGCCGGATTTGACAAAAGGAGCTAACTCCGACAGATGCTTATCTAGGTCTGGCCCATGCCGGGGGGCAAAGATCAGGTCATAACGTGGTTTGGGCATGGCGTTGAGACCACGTTGAAACAGGTCTTCAAAGTCAAGTATCGTCGATTCATTCATACTCCCTCCCTTGGCCGTGTCTTCAATCGGCCGATCTTTGATTGGATTTCGCGTCGCGAGGTCGTAGTACCCAGCCGGGCCTTCGAAGTCCTTGAGTAGATTCCAAAGAGGGAGCTTAGAAGTATCCGCAGATTCCTCAGGAGCCACTTCAAGTATCCGTGTGTTGACATTGTGATGGAGCACCAGGCTCAAGAATTTTGAAAGTGGATTATGCGCTTTGGAAGCGGCTGTTGTTGACAAATTCGACGTGCAGTACTTGAGCAACTCTTTTGAACTTATGCTCTCGATATCAGGTTTCCATGACATGTTGTAGAAGGGTTGTCCCTTCTTTTCCTCGTCGCTAGCCGCCTCTCCTCCGATAATAATAGTCTCGAGCCCCTCGGCAAACAACACCACGCGTGAGTCTTCCATGCTGAGAACTGAGATCTCCGACTTGGTGTTACGGAAGCCCAGGTAGTCTGCCTTGGATACAGCTTGGACATGCTTTGAAGATACAGCATGGGACAGAATGTCCGCATCAATCCAGAGGGTTTCCAATTGGCTAGGAACCATTGTAGGCACAGGTCGGCCAACACCTGCCCCAAGACTCACCACCGGAAGTTGAAGCACGCCATCAAGAGCTGTTGGGTGGATGAAGTGCGGCGTAGCGTGCTCAGGCTTGCCTTTCAATTTCCAGTTATCAAGCCGAATGCGCGCTGAGGCCAGGCCACCCCTCCAGTCATATTTGACATCATCGAATACTTGGAATGTAGGCCCGAATTCCAAACCGGTCTCTCTGAACCGACCATAGAGCTTCTGCCTTCGGATTTCCGCTCGGCAGACCTCGAGCCGGTCGATGGTCTGTTGTCGCCGACGTTCCTCCAAAAGCTTGTTCTCCGCCTTCATGTGCTTTGAGGAGCTTTCGTCTGTCATTTTAACGGTTATTTTGCCCGTACAAACTTCGCGCCACTGCTCTCCGTCCAGAAGTGTTATCTGGAATGAAAACTGCCGAGAGTTGGCACTGTTGCTGCTGTTTGGATCAATCGGTATAAGACCAATTTCGGTCGATGCTCCTGCTTCAGGCGAAGCGATATTCAGAGCAGATAAAAATGTCACGTCCTTTAATAGGAATCCTGCAGGACGCCTCACGTCAATGTCGGAGACATACTGGGCAGCAGCTTCAATAGCCATCACAATCATCCCCGCGCCAGGATAGATCAACGCTCCCGCGATCTTGTGATCCTCTATCCATGGATTTTCAAGAGTGCGAATCATGTTGCGCCAGCGAGGCGCTAGAGGGTTCCAATTGAGGATTCGCGATCCGAGAAGATCGTTTCTTGCATGCTTCTGAAATCTGTGGTCTCGGCTCACTTGGCTCTCGTGCCAGTATGTTTTGGAATGGTCGAATGGATATTCGGGAAGATCGACCAGACACTCCTTGTCATTGTCGCTGATGCCGTTCACAACTTCAAGATCAATAGGGAAACCTATGCTGTGCAAATAGCCGAGAGTTTCGAGAATACGGTCCAATGAAGCTTTGTTCTTGTCCATGATACTGAAATACACTGGTGAGGGTGTAGTAAGATGTGTAGACATGGTGTCTCGGATGGCACTTCGAAGAGCTCCGGTAGGCCCTACCTCAACTAACGCATGGAGAGGCTGCTGTTGAAGAAGGGTGACCACAGCCGGTTCAAACTTGACCGTCGAAACAAGATTTTGTACCCAGTAGCTTCCTTGGCATAATGTATCACGGTCGATCAGTTCAGTTGTGACTGAGGAAACCATTGGAGGACTTTCAGCGCCCTGTGAGCCTGGCTCAAGGTCACTTAGAAGAGACGCATACTTGTCTGCAACATCATTGAGGATTGGAGAATGATATGGCGCCGGAACAGCCAGAATCCGTAGAAATGTACCGTCAACCTCAAGCAAGCTCTTCAACGCCTTCAATGGACGCAGAGGACCACTTAGGGTCACGTTCTTGGGTGAGTTGATGCAAGCGATGGTAACACGAGAGAGACCCAAGGTTTCCATATTGTGTTCCAGAATCAATTCTACTTCCGGTACTGGCAACCCAACCACGAGCATACCAAAGACTTCATCCAGTGAAGAAAAGTGCTCTGAAATAACTTTGCCTCTGTAGAAAGCGATCCGACAAGCGCTCCGAGCAGATATGGCACCACTTGCGTATGCTGCCGCGATCTCACCCGAGGAGTGGCCAACAACTAGGGACGGCTGCACGCCATACGACCGGAGAAGATCAACTAAGGCAATCTGGATGGCAGTGCAAATAGGTTGAGAAAATTCTGCACTGTCGATTCGACTCTCGTCGGCCTTCTTCGAAAGTTCCCCTTCCAGGTCCCAGCTTGCGCCAAGCTCCTTGAAATATTGTCCAAGCCGGGCAAGATTTTGACGAAAGCTGGGGTTTCCTAGAAACTGGGTGCCCATAGTTGCCCACTGTGCTCCTTGGCCAGTAAACACAAATGCCAGCTTTGGGTCCTTGATTGAACGAATTGGTTTGGATAGTTCAAGTGAACTGGGCTTGTCGTGGGCAACCATGAAAGCCTTCCATGGCAGTTGCGTCCGCCGTGCCGAAAGAGTGAAAGCAAGTTTTCTCATATCAGCGGCCGTGTTCTTCTCCAAGTACGAGGTATACTCAACTCGCATTCGTTCCAGTCCTTGCTCATCTGCCGCGGACCACACAAGGAGGAGGGAATTTGTCTTTCCAATGCCATTGACTGCCACTCCGTTCGTCCCATTGCATGGTTTATCATCAACGCCATCTGATACACCATTAACAAGAGCATCATCTCCAGAAGAGTGAGGCTTCAAGACCGTCGCGGCAAGAATATGATGGTCGCCGTTCTCAATCACGACATGGGCGTTTGCGCCACCAAAGCCAAATGAGTTGATGGATGCCCTCCTGACACCCTGAGGCCAATGAATGCTCTCTTTGGGAAAGGCCATGTTCCATTCCTTTCCCAGGATGTTGGGATGGAGTGTCTCAAAGTTTGCGATTTTGGGGATTATGCCTCTTTCTAACATCAACACAACCTTGACCAGACTGGCAATACCACTCGTTCCTTCTAAATGTCCCAAATTGGCTTTGACTGAACCCATGTAGAGAGGATCATCAGGCGAGCGATGGTCCTTGAATATGGATGCAAGTGCTCTGGTTTCGACCTGATCTCCCTCTGTGCCTGGAGCATGAGCTTCCACATATCTCGTCAGACTGGGATCGAGGTTGGCTGAACGGTAGGTTGACGCAACGAGGGACTGTTGTGCGTCGAAACTAACTTTGGTGATGCCTCCTACCGATCTACCATTTTCGTTTGACCCTGTCGCCCTGATCACAGCCCGGATCGGGTCACCATCAGCCAACGCTTTCGCAAGAGGCTTCAGCACGAGCACCCCAAAACCCTCGCCACGGCAGTAGCCGTTGGCACGGGCGTCAAAGCTATGGCATGCCGCATCTGGTGAGAAGAAATTAAGGTGCGCAAGCGGGGACATGGACTGCGGCGCAAAGAAGAGATTGGCTCCTCCAACGATGCCCATTTCAGATTCGCCGGACCTGATACTCCTGCAGGCGAGATGCAACGCATTCAAGCTGGCGGAGCATGCGGTGTCCAACTGCACGCTGGGACCCTTGAAGTCGTAGAACCAGCTGATCTTGTTGGCAAGCATGGACAAGGCCATACCCGTCGCCGCGTGGCGGATCGGATGGCTGGTATCCTTGTTGTACATCAGGCGGTAGTCGTCTGACGATACACCGGTGAAAACACACGTCTTAGTTCCCGCGCAGCGCTCAATGGGAATGCCGGCATTCTCTAGAGCGCGGTAAGTTGCTTCCAGGAGCTTGCGGGATTGAGGGTCCATTGCTGCCGCCTCCGCAGCACGGATTGAGAAGAACGGTGCGTCAAACGCCGCAATATCCTCCGCGATGAAATTTCCCTGGTTGACTGGTAAGGTCTCTAGCCGGTTTGTGTCTGGATGGTAGAACGCATTGGCGTTGAATCTCGACTCGGGGACTGGTGCTCTCGAGCAACGGCCCGCTGTGATCATATCCCAAAAACCATCGGTCGATAAGGCCTCTCCGCCAAAGCGGAATGAAAGGCCTACGACCGCCACGGGGACCTCGTCCATTATAGCAACGTGACGAAGTAGAAAGTTTAGAGGACGGTTTGAGAAGACGGGTCAACGACAACCAGATCTGCCTTTACGCGGGCTGAACTCGCAACTATGACAATGGCTGTCAAGAAGAGAGTGTTGGGGACAAATCAGACCTTTTCTAGTCTCATCCAATGCTGGATGTCTGGTTGACTTATATCTTAGTTCGTAGTCGACGAATTCTCCATGGTGCTACTTATCGAGAGAATCAGACATGGTTACATATCCCTATTGTTGTGAGGGTCATATACCGGGTCCAGATCTGTCTATTCACATTCCACCTTGATCTAGACTCGGTTGAGTGCGGCTGAGATGGGAAGGGTCGCAACGCTCGCTGAAAAAGGATCTCGTATCGCTGACATCAGCCAACCTGACGTGGAAGATATCCTTGATATGCGCCATTTTAGCTTTGAGATGTTGAATGAACTCGTGGTTCCAACCGATAACGCAACGTTCTACCATTGCCCGCCATTCGCTCATCTCTCATTCGAGCAATTAAACTATTGAAAGACACCACCCCGTTCTAGATTTTAGGCGGGAGTGGACACGCATGCCATCAACCCGGATAAGTCAATATTGGTCCTCTAGTGGTCGCGAGGTGGATAGCCCTGTTATAAACTATTATGTTCGAACTCGTGATTCAGTGGCTGAAAATAGCGCTATTGATTGGCATGCAGTAATGCAGAAGTTCAGCCCGGTTAGGATCGTGCCCCGATGAGGTGTCCTACACCCCTGTGGAGTTTGTGAAAATATTCAGCGTCCCACCCATTGAGACCCTGTGGATTGGCTGCTGCCTTGCCAACCCCTACACCAAACATCAAGCTCTTTTGATTTGCTTTTAACGACCCTGAGGAGACGAAGGTCGATCACTAAACGTGCGACCCATAACTTGCTCCAACAAGCAACCCCAAGGCTAGTTTACTGCTGTATGAATTCAAGGGCGGTATTATTTACGCTCAGATGTTAAAGACTTTGAATGGTGACTTGGAGATGAATAAGTTTGCTGCTGGCCTGGATTCTAACGTAGTATCTTGACCACTTGCCCTTGAATGTACCACTGGATAAAGCGAGTTTTACTCTCTCTCCTCGACTTCTTCCACGAAAACACCCGGATACCGTGCTTCAAGTTGCTTCCTTTCCTCTTTCCTCCAGCGAGACTCTACCATAAACCATAGACCCACGATGAGCAATGTGACCCCCATTAAAGGCCCTGTCACAGACCACCAGCGTCCCAATGCAAGGGCCGAGTAGCTCTCGCCATTCTGATATTTCACAATGTCGGTGCTGAAAAATGTCTGTAAACGGAAGAAGTAATCCAAGTCAGCTTCGCCTGCGCTATTTTCTGAAGGCCTTTTGCCCTCCTCTTCCTTCAAAGGGTAGGTGAATGAGCTAGCGCTTACAGAAACAAACGTCGGTGGTAAATAGACTAATGTGATGATGGTAATTATTCGCATAGCGGAAGTTTCCTGGGAGTTGCGAAGCGTTTGCTCCCACATGCTCCTACTAACAGCCTCCTGTCGTTTGGCTAGCTTTTTTTGCTTTTCACTTATGGTCTCTTGTTGCTTCGTTGCTTCCTCCGTTGCTTGCATGTGGAGATGTTCGCGGATCTTGTCGTTGTGACATTTAGTTCCTTGCATGCTGGCAGTCTGAAGAGGGATAAGGGGTAAAACTCAACTTGATTAACTGAATCTTTAAGGATACTGCCAAGCATGAGCAAGTGGCTATGGTGGAGTTTCATATCATGAATGTTCTTGTCAATTTCCGTTACAAAGGAATTGATAGCCCTTTTGGGGAATGTAGCCAGGCGGTTCTGAGCTCGACGGAAATTGACGTAGAACCGTGACAGAGAAGTCATGGTTGTGCAATTTGCGTTGGCGGCGGCTGCAGTCTCTTGCATCACCCTCTGGTATGCCTCGATAAGACGAGCCACCTCTTTGCTAGGATTCATACTCGCTGCAATAGACTTTTCAAGGTCAAAATTATCAGTCATACTCTAGTCATTATGCGGCAGAGCATTAAAGAACAGATGAGGTAAGAAAAGTGCGAGCATAGCCCTACCAACTCATCAACTTTTTTATCCATAATCTGGATAATCAATGACCATTGTGAGATGGCCCATGTGGTCCACATCAGGTGAATATCAAGACTGGCCTTGAAAGGATTCTCGAACTGCGTACGATGGTTGCTGTTTGTGCCATACTTGCTACCAACGATGGATTTGAGCTTTGCGCTCGGATCTCCTAGGATCCACAGCTGCTTACCGGTCCCGATATCGACTTGGTGATATATAGTGGCTTGCCGTATGACCACGCGATTAATCTCGTCAAGGTCCAGATCGTAGCTTACTGCTTTGAGGTTATAAACGACCTGGAAACGGTCTGAGCTGCGACCAAGTGAGTGAATAGCAATAGCGGTGCTTCCCAAGTCGATCTCGGTGCGGAATCCGCTAAACCGAACCTCACGCTTCCCGGACTCAGAGCCGTAAGCGTGCAGAAATTCGAGGAGTGACGGCATCACCTGGTGGTAGGTTAGTATTCTGAGAAGGGCGGGCTTTGTAGTTTCTAGAGGCCTTTGACTGCTCGGTGTGATGAGAAAACTGGAAGAGGAAGACTACACATTAGCGCACCTATTCACAGAAGGCATGATATTGGGAAGTCAAACGGCGAATTGAAGGCTCTCACATGAAGCGGCAACGAGGGTCAGGCCTCGTCGCTACATGGCCATTTCCTTCAGTCAAATTGGTCGCGTCCGGTTCAAACGTATCGCCAATCCAATCTCTCAAAACATCAATGGAAATCAAGTTTCTCTTGGTGGCAGTGCCATTGTCGTCGATGTCTCGAACGGGAATCTTGAGCATATCTTCATCTTCAAATTGTATGCCTACACCGTCGGCTAGCCGGTCCTGGTGCATATCTAGCAGGGATGGAGCATATTTGTGAACATCCGTCAGATTTGACGGATACGATAAAAACTGGCGACACGAATCAAAGAAACTTTGAGGGAGAAACAAAGGCGTGGGCATCTTGTTGGTGGCGACGCTTAGGTTAGGTAGTTTGAGGCAATGAAGGAGAATGAAGTGGAGAGAGTGATTGACGAAGGAAAACTTTACGGTGAGAGCATTTTGGACTAGGTAAGGTAGTATGGTTGGGCAGATGTGCAGCTCAAGGCACTTATTAAGGTTACTTCGTACATGAGAGCTGAAAACGACATGCAGGCAAGTAGGTACATACATAGGTACCGTAGGTAATTACCAACGACCACAGGGGATTGAGATGCTGACGTAGCAGCATCCCACGTGTCCATTTCTGAGCTCAGCGCCGAAGCGACCAGATACTCATTCCGAATCTGTGAGTTCACGCCTATCACTTCGTCTCATAAGATCATCTTCACTCATATTCCTGAATTTGGCAAGATCGCTGCGATCAGCCTGGACATAGAGTTAAAATTCATCATCAGCGATACCCATCACGATCAGGTGGAACTCGGAACAGGGAAAGAAGGGAAGAGATGAAGTAGCACGTACATCTGTTAACGGACGAGGGGAATTGAAAGTCCAATAATCATTTCGCAGTCGGATTGAGGCTATGGGCTCGGTATGCTCATTTGGAAATTTGATCTTTAGCCACTCGACCAATCTTTCGCGCGACAGGCGATAGGATGTAATATGCACCACCTCTTTAGGCATTCTTGTCTAGAATATCTTTAGTAGCAAGGCAAAGAGAGCAGACTTCGTCGGAGCAACAAGTAAGATGGAAATGAGTGTCAGAAGAATCAGCCCATAGTGGGGACGTCTCTTGTATGAGTTAATAAGGCATCAGCAGCCACGTGACCCTCGGCCCAATTGAAGCGGGGTTGTTCAGACGAGAGTTGAGAGGACATCATCCGTCGCAACATAATTGGCGAAGAATGATCAATGTTGCATTGCAACGCCCTCTCATTTCGCTTTATGAGCGGTATTAACTACTGCCATGTCTTCCTCATATTCAGTCATCAAAGCTTAGACCGTTGGACCATGTCTAAGCTAAACACTCGCATAACAGCAAACCTACGTTATATGCCATCTGCCTTGCATCTTGTTGATTCACGTTTTCTTTGGCATCCTATGGAAACCCACTTAGCAATCCTATAACACTCAAATGGAAAACACCGAAAGGGGCCTATTGCGGGTTCGGCAACTTGTTCAGCAATGCACGCGGACCACGTATGATGGCAGGTCATTCGTGCTGCGCTTCTCTGTCGCCAAATTGTTACAAGAGTCTACTATATTGACTGGCCACAGTGACCTAGAGAGTTTATGGATATACCTACTACCAAGCATCAGAATAAGTCCTTCGACAAGGTTCGATTTGACTTGGGTGCTGTGTATTCTGATTCAGCTGAATATCTATACATCGATCCAGGATTTCGTTCTAGCGGGGATTTTTGACCAGGACTTGCCAATTACCAGGGATCAATTAGAAAAGGTCCTCGCTTCTGTGTCTCCCCATGTTTGGGACGAATTTAGTTCTGAGCAGGCTCGGTGGTTTCCGGTACAGATCGACAATCAACTGGCAAAATTGCTCTCTGATGATGAAATACTACCAATTGTTAGCATACGGCCTATCAGAGGTCATCTGGAGACCTTGCCACAATCAGAAGAGAGCAATTCAACAGTTTGGAGAGCTGAAATCCCGTTGCAGCTGGCCAGTAAAGACCTATTCCATCGCGCGACGAGTAGCCAAGCATTGACCACTGCCTGGTCGCTCGGCATAAGTAATGCAACAAACAAAAGCTCCAATAACCAAATTTTTGAATGCGCCATTAAGAGATTTCCCCAAGACTTGGAGAGTGGCTTTCGAAAAGAACTCCAAAACCTTCAGTTACTAGATAATCCCCCTGGATTTGTACGATGCTTTGGTTGGTACGCGACATCCGGACCACTGCAGTCCAAAACCTTCAACATCCTCTTTGAGCTAGGGAGCATAGACTTGTCTAGGCTTTTACAGCGCGATTTACACTTTCCGTCTCCTGCCGCAGTCAGGAGCTTCTGGGAGTCTTTCGTTTCTCTCCCGGGTGCATTGTCACGGATGCATCAAATTGCTAGAGGGACAATCGTCTATCAAGGGTCAGCATCAACGATTACACTCACTTTACTCCTGTGGATTTTGCTAATCAGTTCCCCGTATAGTTGGCATGGCGACCTGAAGCCGCAGAACATCATATTGGTCGACAGACAGTTTCAAATCACCGATGTAGGAGAGTCCGTGCTTTTACCATTACCTGATCCTAGAACTTGCAACAGCAACGTAGCGTTTAGCACGACTGTGACGTATGGTATGTAGTATTCCTTATCTTCTGCAATCTGTTCGTGTTTGGCCAAGTCATGACTCAACCTTGAATACACAAGCCTGCATATATAAACCCATTTCTGCCTTTCCTATCATTAATCAATCACTAACCGGTACCTAAAGCTCCACCCGAATCAAACAATTTGATAGGCCCTGCCAAGCCAACTAGCCAAAAAGCCGATATTTGGTCATTGGGATGCGTCTTCTCTTTAGTAGCATCTTTTATAATTCTCGGACAGCAAGGTGTAAATGATTTTGCCGAAAGCCGTGCTGAGGGCGTTAAGAAACGCCTCGGATTTGCTGCAGATATCTTCTATGATGAGTTGGAACCATCGCCCGAGGTTACAGAATGGCACCAGCGTTTGAGACAAAACATATTGCATGGAGATGTATGGACGGGCCCCATGTTGGATCTCGTTGAGACTTATATGCTCGTCCGGGCTGAACGTCGCTCTTCAGCCGCCGAGGTGGATAGACGGATGAGGGAAATACTGTCACCGGTGGAATAAAGTCGAAGGAGTGAGCAGATAGTCGAAGGCCCAACCAAAACTACTTGTGCTCCGCTAAGACCCGTTGTGGAATTAGGTTCGTGTCGCACAACAAATTATTCGAATAATAGACTGGGCCATTATCACGTAAAAGATATTTTGGAAGGAGGCATAATCGTAAAGCATGGGCTAACCTCTGATTTCTTGAGCAATGTTGGCCATTTCCATGATTTGAAGAAACGGTACAAGATGATGGGAAGAGTAATGTCATACTGATCAGTGCTGAATTTGTGTATACTTTTGCTTTAACGCTCATATGTCATGTATATGTAGGTACATACTTCCGTTGGAACTTATACATAAATCTATATAATAGCATAAGTGCTATAAACTAAGGACAGCTGGAAAATAGAAACTGTTTAAGGAACTTACAGTCTATTAATTATCTTGTCGGCGCCCTGCTAGGCATCGAAGGACAATTTTGCGAAAGTCGGAGGTGGCAATAAGGCCAAGATCCTATTAAAACGTACGGATCGCCTTAATTATAAACATCACGGGATCACATTCATTTTCATCTTAAGAGTAATTGGCTTCCATATGTCTATTTTCAACACGAGCGTTTCTGAACTTGATCGAAGATAGGTAGTTAGGTAAGGTCAGCTGCTCTCCTTTGTAATGAGTAGAGACAGCTATCAATTAGGCGTTCGAATCTTATGCTGTAGCACACGAAGCTTGCTAAAGTACGCGTCCTTATCCACATACGTGCCTCTCAACCATCGTGGCTTGCCAACGTCGGCCATGTCAAATGCCCTGCGCGAATGGAGTGTCCTTGTGTTATCAAACAAAACGCACTCTCCAGGTTTCATCTTCCTCTCGAACAAATACGCGGGCCTCTGCAGTAATGCGTTGAACTTTACGGCTGCCTGATGCCATCTGTCCACTTTGCTATTCAGATCCGAGACGGGGGATTTCGAAGGCTCTGGATGAGTAGAGGAATCATGCAGAGAGAAGGGTGCGAGGAATGGGGGACCCCAATTGATCTTGTCCATGCAGTTCACGAGTGAGGCCTCACTCCACTCAAATCCCCCGTCTCGACCGTGAAGTGCGTGCATGTCCTTCACATAGTCTTGGATGTGAGTGTAAACGGTTTCCCCAATGCGGAGCTCCTTCAGGTCAATAACAGGCTTGGTAGTCTTGTACACATTTGAATCAGGATGATTGTAATGGTAGTTGACGGGAACTGTCGCAAGAATATCAAACGCCTCGATGTCCGTGTGAAACAAGTCGACGGCGGCTTTGTAGGCATCTGCAAACACACTAGCTCCTCCAGAGGACGCAGACTGGATGCAGTGAAGGAGTTGGATATGAGGTGGTTGTTGGAAGTAGAGCAAATCCGTGTGGAAACCCAAATCATGCGATGTATATGCAGCATTGATAGCGGCCGGGACAGTTCGGACTATCCTTCTAGTTAGCTAAAACTATAAGAAGGAAACAGATCACCATACCGTCCCACGTGTAACCGTAGAATGTATCTTTGATCGGACCAATCCGTGTTGCGATAGTAGCCAAAGACTCTTCCACGCCGGGAATGCCAGTCACGAAAGCAACTCCATGGGTTCGAAGCTGACAGATGACCTGATGCAATATCTGGTCATCTTTCATGTATTGTTGATAGTCGTAGTCGGGAAGATTGAGTGGTTCTTGAGTCCATAAGACTTGAGACGGAACAGGCTCCTTGAGAGAGCCGGTATGGCAACCGGAAGAGCTGATGTTCCTCAAGGTGGTCATACTTAGCTTCGTAGTATGATCAGTGGGATAACCCGGCGCATCGTTCTCCCAAGTAATGGAACAAGCGTCAGAGGCGGCATCATAATTCACCGTTCGGCTTTTAATATCCGCCGGTATGTCGGCGACGGAGAACAGCCTTTGGTTGGTCGACTCATGGACACAGGCCGGACAAGAGCACGAGTCACGCAGCAAAACGTTTGAAATATCGACTGTCTGGCGGTCGATTGGAATAGGAGTATTGGAATAGTATCCATTCGGTATGTCTTTCCCATGAGAAGAGGCACCTTGCTGTGTGAGGACTGGCTCAGGGGTCGAGGAATATGAACGATGCGTTGGGCGAGGGTGATAAGCTATCGTCGGGGGCACCTTCCAGATGATGGGTCAGTTAGAAATTCAGGAATACATAAATACGAGCAAATATACATACTCGCATGGTTGTGTATCCCTTTCGTTTGACGAGCAGACTCTCTTGAGGTTGGTGAATTGTTGAGAGTGATCGTCTGACATAGAAGGATACATTGCGGCATGGATATGCCGCTTCTTTCACCGCGAGCTTTAGAAAGACTTGCATTGTATTGACTTGAAAAGGCTTTGCTTAGAAGTCAAATGAGGTAAGTGATTTCCCAGGTTACCTAAACGTCGGATGGGCTAATAAATACTGTTCCTATTGCGAGGTACAAGCAAGTCGTGCAAGCCTCTCACATGAAAATTGGTCTAACTAATTAAGAGAAAATATTACGAACATCACCTTACCTGAAGATGACCTCTTTGTAGCGTACTTCAGAATGGAGACTTCATGAAATCATAAGGATATCACCCAACGTCAAAGCCCCCTGGCTCGGTAATCCTGAACCAATCGGGAGTTGGACGATGCGAGATGCATACCAATTCCTTGGTGCAATTCCCTTTAGCTCTACTTCTTTATCTAAAAATATAACTTGAAGTGATGCCTCCAATGATATCGTATCTAATTCCCTAAGCCCCGTTGTGGGGTTGATCAACACAGCTTCGGTTGCGGGCAGCTAGACCATATCAGGCGAAATAATACGACGTGCATACTTAGCAGAGATGACTCGACGTTCAACTATTGGTGTTCATGTGGAAACCGTTGCCACAGATCTGGTGAGGCGAACAGATTCGTACTAAAGTGCCTTCAACAGTTAGGTTGCGTTGGAGGGAAATGGTGGCCCATAGGACAGCCATGACAGTCATATCCCCGGCGTCGTATTATAATATATAAATCAAGCAATACCATGCTCCCGATCCTCCAATCTCGCCATGATTATCAGCGTTTCACTTCGAATTGATTTTGATCTCTCCTAGACTTCCAGGGGTAACATAGCGACAGATAACCGAGCGCAGCTATGGCACCGAGCGCTGACCCTGTTGTGGCCCAAGAGACCAAGAAGACGCCGCTGCAGCTCATTTCCCAAGGAGCATGCCTTCCTGGCATTCCCAAGCATCCATCTTTTGCGGCACAGAGGCAATGGATGCTAGAAAAAATGGCTCTAGCTTTTCGTGTCTTTGCCCGTAAGGGCTATACCGACGGGATGGCTGGCCATATTTCTATCCGAGACCCAGAAAACCCACATACATTCTGGACTGTGAGCTCGAAACTTCATCTCGGTTATCTTCCGCAGGGCTAACTTGCGTCACAGAACCCATTGGCAGTCCATTTCGGCATGCTAAAGGCAAGCGACATGATTCTCGTCAACTACGAGGGCATGCCAGTTGGCGGTAATTCTGATCCTCGTCTTTATATCAAAGTCGATTAATGCTGAATCATGCTACAGGAAACATGAGCCGGCCAGCAAACGCAGCAGGTTTCCTAATCCATAGTGCCGTCCACCAGGCTCGTCCTGACGTTATTGCCGCTTGCCACACTCATAGTGTTCATGGTATGGCGTGGAGTGCGTTTGGTCGGCCTCTGGAGATGTTGACACAGGATATTGCGTATCTATACGGTGACGCCCAAGCGGTATACAAGGTGTGTTTATTTGATCTCATAAAGACTACTTATACAAGCAAAATATTAAGGCTGTCTAGGATTTTGGAGGCGTTGTACTTACCCAAGAAGAAGGTGATAAGATTGGAGCCGCATTAGGTACGCGTCAAAAAAGTCCAACGAACTTCCAGCATGCAGTCTAACTTGTTTTTCCGTTCTATAGGTCCCAGGGGAAAGGGGATGATCTTGCAGAATCACGGTCTAATCACAGTTGGCTCAACGGTCGACGAGGCTTGCTTCTTGATGACTCTCATGGAGCTTGGCTGCCAATGTCAGCTGCTCGCAGAGGCTGCGGCAGCTAATGGAATACCAAAAGTATACATCCCCGATGAAAGTGCGAAATATACTTTCGAGAACTCCAGCGACCCAGAGACTCTGTATTGGGAAGGGCAGCCTGATCTAGAGTACGAGGCATATATGTGCAAAGGAGAGCATCAAAGTTGATATCGCCAACGTGAAGCCTGCTTCTGGGCGAGGTACCGACCGAGGATTCACTAGCTACCCTATATTTCACACGCAATTGCGACTAGACGCATTATATCATGACACTCCAGAATCTCAACGCATTATCCATTCGCATAGCATGAGAGTACACGATAATACAGCGATGGGAAATTCCTAACCTAACATTTTAAAATAATGAATATGAAAGGCAAAAAACATGGGCTTACAAAACCAGACGTTGAGCTTCACACATGAAGAACTCTAAGAAAACTTTGTGCCAATGTCTCACTTATCCTCTTGATGAGTTTCTTGTTAGGCCTTTATTTATCCTCACCTCTTCATTTACGTAGCTTTCATACACAGCCTCCTTAATAATAAGTAGTGTCTGGATTAGGGAGTACACCCAGAGGAAGGGAGGTGGATGGGGACTGAATAGAACATGGCGGTGCTCTAAGCCAATCAAAGGTGGGCTCGTGGAGCACACATCTGGTCCTTAAAACATTTCAGCTGACCTTATCTAAGCCAGCCATTCCTGGCTCATCCTTGTCCGTTCAATTGCCTCGCGGGAGAGTGGTTCGCGAAACACGGCTTTGGAGCGACAACCGACCTGTCGTCTGTTGTTCCCGATCCCGCAAAGCCTATCGCTTAGCTATCATGGACTATTCGGAATGGACTCGGCAGGTATTTCGGCTGCGTAAGCTCCCGAGCCGGGTTCGAGCGCCGTCAGAGGCTGCCGTGTTGCTTGAAGGGGCGCTAAGCACAGCGCCTGGCAGCGTGGTAGTCTACTCGGTTGCTGAGACAGCAGACCGATGGGAATCCCCGAAGACAAAAGTGGCGACTCTCCAATTCACGGCAGTGCCCAGTTCCCTGAATGGGAGCCTCAAGGCCAAAGAATGGGAAATTCCGTCGGTAGATGCTCCCGGTGGCGTTCTGATATTGGACACACATTTCGAGGGCATGACTGTTCTGCATGACGCCGACCTGGGAACTCACCATACAGAGTACGCTATAATTACGATCGTTCATTGCGTTCCATATGGGAAAATTGACTGACTACAACTATCCAGCTTGATTGCTATTTCTGGTCTGGCAAGTCATCCTTTTGGCTCCTGGCAACCTCGAGGCCACAACAAGACTTTCATGTGGATCCGAGACGAGCTTCCAAGGTCTATTCCGGGCGTTCGAACTATTATTTACGGCTATGACTCTCAACTTCTTGGTAGCCAGTCTTTTCAGACTATTGGTGATATTTCCCTCGGACTGCTGCCGCAGCTCCATGCCGGAGGTTGGAGTTTGACGACCTCGAAGCCAATTATCTTTCTCGCCCACAGTCTAGGCGGTATTGTTCTTAAAGATGCTATAGTACTAATGGCTGATCGTGAAAACTTTTCACCTATTCTCAACAATATCAAAGGTATTATGATGTTTGGTGTGCCGAGTCTGGGAATGCATCAATCACATCTTCAGGCTATGGTCGAGGGACAGGCAAATGAGACTCTCGTTCAAGACCTATCCCGAGAAAATGGAAGCAGCTATCTCCGGCAACTCAATAAGGCATTCGATGGGCTATCTTTCTTGAAGACCACGTGCATATACTGGGCATATGAGACCCAAGAGACACCAACGGCAGTTGTGGGTTCCAGGGCACGAGGCCATTTCTTCTTATTCCATCGCTAACCAGAATTAGTTGCAAAATGATGGTTCTTGGTCCAGGAATGGCACTCCAGCAGTGTTGGTCAATCCTGACTCGGCAACCTGTCATAACAACACCAAGAACAAATTATCCACGATTCCCATCAATAAAAATCATTCCAACATGGTGAAATTTTCAAGGGGGGACAAAGACTTGGGGTCGATATTAAGTTATGTTTCAGAGCTGTCTGCCAAGAATCGTTCAAGCGGCTCACCACTTACCTTGGACCTTCCAGGAATCACGCAAGATAATGCTACGGAAGCAAACACTGGTCTGGGCAGGATCAAAACCTTAACAGAAGACCAAGAGACACTGCAAGATATGTGTAAAACCTTTTCGTCCGTTGAAGGTAATGCTACTTCTAGACACCCTTATCTAGACACCCTTTCGTCCAGCAAACCGTGGCTTTCGTTCTAATCAACTTGAGACGAGACAGGGTTTTACCTAGAGGTGCACTCACCAGAGCTGGACTTCCGCGTGAACCAGATCGAGGACCCATTCCAAAATACGTTTAGTTGGATTTTCGACTTGCCACTGTTCTACAACTGGATCCAAGAAGGATCCGGCTTATTTTGGATCAGCGGAAAGCCAGGATCTGGAAAGTCAACGTTGATGAAATACATATATCGAAGTCAGCAAACGTGGGAACTCATGCATGATTGGAGGAGAGCTTCTAATGCCATCGAAGAAGTCGCCACTGGCTTCTTCTTTCATTATCGAGGCACTACCCTTCAAAAATCGTTTGAGGGTGTTTTAAGAAGCCTCATAATTCAAATATTGGCTCCGTATTATGAAAAATTTCAACCCCTCTGGAAACGGACCCGCATCTTTGAGCAAGAATGGCTGGAGCTTGTGAAACGGAAGGAGACTCTTGAAGAGAAAGAGACAGAGATTCGCAACCAGATCGACAAGTCTATTGGTGAGTCAAAGGTGGTCACGTCTAGAATTCCAGTGGAAAGCACAACAAGTACTGGCTCTACAGAAGAATCCCCTGACCAGCAATTAACGACAATTCAAACAAGCTTGAAAAGTCTGGAGGCCGAGTTTCTGGCTGCCAAAGAAAAGCTGCCCTCCCTAATCGAGGAGCTCAAGACCTCAAAATCTACGCCTGGAACGTCTTTTTTCCTTGGAGCAATTGAAGAATTTCACCAATGTGGTGACGGCCTAATAACTAAACTTGAGAGAACACTCCATAACCTCCTGGATCACGAGATTATCCAGATGGATATGATCATCTTCTTGGATGCACTTGATGAGTTTGCGGGCCATGCCGACGTGATCTGTCGTTTTCTCAAGGGCCTTACTCAAAATGTCCCAACAAGACGTTCTCGGATTAAAATCTGCTTCTCTAGCCGCCCTTCAGATATATTCCAGTCACACTTCTCTGGCCTTCCAGGTTTTAGACTACACGAACAAACGAGGAGTGATATCGAAGAATATGCTACGAGTAAGCTAGCGAACTCACCAGTGGCTAGCCCTTCAATTATAAAACTCATCATATCAAGAGCACAGGGTGTGTTCCTGTGGGTCAGTTTGGCAGTCAAGGAATTGCTGGATACAATCTCAAGTAGCGAGACAGACGTTTCGACCAAATCTCTCGAGAAAAGGCTCCTGCAGCTTCCGGATGACCTTTTCGATTTCTATGAGCTTATCATCGAGCGCATCAGTAAACCCAACCGTCGTTATACCTATGCTCTTTTGGAACTTATCATCCGCCAACGAGACCCACCGGCCAGCATCTCCTACATCCACTGGGCCGTTCTCTTTTCTGGTTTCAGCTCTCAAGATGAACTATCGTATACCTTGCTAGCTTCATTACACAACGGCGAGCGTGATGCGCAAAATGATTTCGTCACCTGGAGCGGAGGCCTAGTCGAGATCAAAGGCGAATGCCCACAACTAATGCACCAAACTGTTCTCGAATTCGTCATGGGCTTGGGTTTCAAAACAATCGTCCTTGGGGACATTGCAACTATCGTGGTAGAGAATGGGCATTCCTTCCACGCCAAGTATCTGGCTCTGATGTCCGCGAGCCGCGAACTTGACGTTTCAGAGCAACACCGAAAGGAGTTCCTCTATCATGCCACGAGGTCGGAGCTGACCACAGGCAATAGTCAGCTAGAATTCTTCGATACGATACCTCAGCACCAGTGGCAATCACTCAAAGAATTGTCAGTCAGCAACTACCACGAGTTCGAAAGCGCGGAAAGTAATCTGCTCTTGCTTGTCATGTCTAGCGGCCTAGCGCTCTGCCTTCGAGACTGGCTTGTGGAGCATTCCCTGAGGATGCGACGGCTTCAAGCTACCAATCAAATGCCTTTACTCAGACAAATTTTCAAGCCGCATGATGGCATGATGTCAGAGAGTTACCTAACCATTGTCCGTTTGCTGCTGGGGAATGGCTATGATCTCAATAAAGACCCAGGGTTCTTCAATAGAATTCTGACACAATTATGGACTGTGGAGATGAGGGAAGATAAATCGCGAGTATATTTTTCTGAGTCGGCTCTATACACTCTATTCAGGCTTGCGTTGGAGCACGGCCAGGACATTAACGCGTCCATCTCCGTATCCGAAGCTGTAGAAGATGTCCGTTCCGGAAAGCCCCTGCACATGGCCACGATCTCGGTGGCATCTGAGCTAATAGAGCATGGGGCAGACCCTAACGTGACTGACGCTCTCAGTCGCACACCCATGGACTGGGTAGTGAACCCTCCATACAATCTTTCCAACTTCAAATCCAGGGAATGGATCCTGGAGTATAGATTTAGAATGTGTGGCATTCTACTCAAGGCAGGGGGCCTGCCGAAGCAGTCAGATTCCAGCTGGGCTAACCTCATGGACGATTTTGAAAAGGGGGGGCACGACACCACCAGCTTGCGTGAGCAATATAAACATCTGTCAGAAAGACTGCGCCCACGAGAAAATTCCGACGTCAGTGGCCCCGGACCGAACAACGACGGCCGGACCACCTCAATGGATTATCCCGGCCCCAGGGCAAGCAGTCGTGGGTTTAATAACCAAGGCGAATCTTTGCTGGGTGAATCAAGCCGAAGAAGCAGAGTCCGTACAAAACTCTTAAATTTGGTCACCAGGAGATAAGACGACGTTCAATTAAAGTGAGTTTCTATTGTATTTAGTTGATGTTATAGTTGTTGGCGGATGGAAGCTATTTAGGTACGGTGATGCCGCCTTTTTCTTAAGCACATTCTTCATGTTCTGGTGGAAACACGTATTTCCATCTCGCCTTGTTTGTGATTGGTGCGCATAAGAGGAGGTTTTTATTGCGGAGAAAGCGTCGAGCCGTGATATCAAAAGACGCTGCTTCATGATGACGAAGCCACAAGCCACCGCACTAACTGTTTACCCACTCGTTTATTGTCTCAAAACCCTCGTCACGTTCCATTTGCGAGACGTATCGACACCTTTTCCTTATCATTAAGACTACGCATTAGTACAGCAGCCAACATGTCTATGTCCATCGAGGATGCTGCCAAAACTCGCCCGGGGTTCCCCCGCCCATTCCCCAACACACCGAACAATGTTCTTGAGCAGCTTAGCCTCAAGGGTAAAGTAATTGTCGTGACTGGGGCAGCCGATGGGATTGGTCTCGCAGTAGCGGAAGCCATGGCTGAGGCTGGCGGGCATGTCGCTCTTTGGTTCAATTCGTATGTATCTTGTCCTCTAGCACTGAAGGTTCATTCCATGAAATTGACTGTACATCGATAGGAATGATGCCGCTATTTTTCGGGCCAAGGAGCTGGCGAATGCGCATGGAATCAAATCAATAGCATTCAAGGTTGACGGTATGTAAATTGTGAGAGGCGGAGATGATTAGACTGACGCCTGGTGTGCCCTTAGTCTCGAACACTGAGCAAATTGAGAGCGGTTTGGCTGCCGTTGTCAAAGAGTTCGGCAAAATCGACGTTTTCGTTGCGAATGCTGGTAAGGATGATCAAGTTCATATATGGCTCTCTTTCTGACTCGTCAAAGGTTTGGCACTCTGCAAGCCGATCCTAGAGCAGACATTGGATGAATACAGAAAACAAATGTCAGTCAACGGTACGTAATCTCTTCCAACCTTCCAGTCAACGTTCAAGATATTGATCGCTCCAAGTTGATGGCGTCGTCTATTGCTCCAAATCAGTAGGCGCCATCTTCAAGCAACAAGGCTTTGGGAATCTCATCATCACATCGAGCATGAGCGCGCACATTGTTAATGTACCCGTTGATCAACCTGTATACAATGCAACCAAGGCTTTCGTTACCCATTTTGGCAAATGTCTTGCTCGCGAGTGGCGCGACTTTGCACGAGTAAATATTGTGTCTCCTGGATTCTTTGATACCAAGATGGGCGCAGGCCCAGAAGGCCTTCAAGAAGCATATCGAATGTCTACCTTGGGTAGACAAGGACATGTGAAGGAAATCAAGGGACTATACTTGTACCTCGCTAGTGATGCAAGTACGTACATGACAGGGAGCGATGTCCTTATCGACGGAGGGTATGTCTTGCCGTAGATAAATGGGTAGATCAGCAAATACTACATACCAGATATCAAATCCTTTGGCTTAAATGTAGTTTGCTAAGAGTGAACATGGTATCATTCAGAAAGGGCGGCCAATCCTTTCTTGTTGGGTAAAATATGGGCTGCATCCGCTCTCCGAGTCCTGATATATCGAGAATGAGTTTGAGTAGCGTGAGTTCTTACTAGTCATGAAAATAATCACGCCGGAAAGGGTTGCCGATGGTGGCGAAGCCCAGCAATTAGAAACTATGCAAATTGAATTTTCTTTCGTTCTGTCTTAATGCCTGAAATTATAAGCTATGATGTTGATGATCGTTATTTGCTCTTTACATAGAGCTACTCGCAAGTTTCATGATTTCCAAGTCAAGTCTTCATGATAGCAGACTCGCAGATCAGTCGGCGAGCTTCAGCCCACGAACGGATATCCGAGCCCTCACTGTCGCACCAGATCCTACATCAAACTGATCCTCAAGGTCCATGTTGGGAGCACCAAGTACACTTGAAAATGGAACCGTGTAGGTCCCCGAAACCTCGGTCCCGTTCAAAAGCGACAGCTGAAAGTCTGGGGGGTTACCGGCGATTTTATTAGCTCCGATGGGGAGCCGGAAGGCGGTATCAAAAGAGGGGCTGAAAATGTCCGTCCCCGGGGTGTAAGTCTTGATGGGTGTGGCGAACTCCTCGTCGCCCCATGATACCTTGACGCTGGGCTTGAGCTCGTCTCGTTGGCCAGTCAGTCCGGCAGCACCAGCAATGAGCACGGTTGCAAGTCCGCTGATTTCTCCCTCGCTCTGACTTTCAAGGGCCGAAAGCGTGCCGGAGTCCTCGGTGAAGTTGTAAAACTTGGCATGCACTATCAGATTGCTTTCGGTGGGCTCGCCATTGTGGACAAGGTTGAGCTCCTGTGTGCCACCAGCTACAATCAACTGCTTGACAGTCGTAGTAGCAATACCAATATCATCATCGCTGCCGGGGTCTGCGTCATTTAGGTCAAGAGTGATGATCTGTTCGTAGTCCGTAACAAGAAAGTCATGCGTCTCGTTCCACTCCGGCTCGTACGTGTCCTTCTGGGTCGAAGTGCGCCACTCCGGCTCGGCACCGAGATTGACTTGACAATAGCAATCAGGAATGTCCTTGACGATTTTGTCGATAAATCGCTTGACCTTGCCCTTCTTTTGCCCGGTGATGCCGGTAGCCTTCTCGATCGTGAGGCGAATGACGCCATGATGGTGTTGAAAAGTCTTGAAGTAGTCGTTGGAAGGATCGAGCTTGACGAGGTATCGGTTGGGTAGGACGGTCATGGAACCAATGATGTTCAGGATGGATTTGCGGACAACTTTGTTGATCAGGGCAAAATCAGCAATGTTGGCGGCGTCAGTAAAGTCCAGTTCAAGAGTTGGCGGGTTGATGAACGCGAACTGCACAGCTCCGATCTATAAAAACACATCAATGTCAGTGGCCGAACTGGCGCATCTTATTAAATCTTTCATACCAAAGGAATAATGTCCGTCAAGGGACAGAGCAGCACCGCCATCCTTCCTCGTAATTTTACATGCTCGATTCCCTAATCAAATAGTAGATTGTCAGAACCTGATAGTAGCTCAGATTGATAGAAGGTGAGGGGCGAGGACTTACAACTTTAGGCACCATTTTCCCCTCGAGCTCAATATCACACAGGCCATCCCATTCCAAGTCCATGTCAAGCTTGATGCCCTCAAGTTTGGTCTTGTGAACCTCCACATTTGAGAGCTTGATCGGGGTGGTTCCAAAATCTATCTTGGTGAAGCGTAGTGATGAAAGAGGACCGGGCAGCATTGAGTCTAGCATAGGCTCAACCACCTGCTTGAGCATTCTACCTCCAGCGATGTTGATATTGGGCCATAGATGCGCAATGATGTCGTTAAGAAAGCCTTGGCTGGCGAGTTAGATTATTGTATCCATTTATTCAGGCGAAGTCTCGCCAAATATCACATTGAGCGATACCAAACGAAGAACATGGAGAGCCCTGGAAGAGGGGTCGACTAACCTGCGGATTCCGCGCCTCGGGAGGCAGTCAAAGTATCGACGAGAGAAGCCATGCTCGCTTGAAAAGGTTACAGGAGAATAAAAAAATTAATTTAAAAAATGATTCAAAGAATGGGCGCAACAGAAGCTGCCTAGTCAAGATAGACACCTGAGCTAAGCGGGAGATGATGGAGCTGGGGATTTTGAGGGGTTTGGCTTGAGTGCAGCAGTATGCCCAGACTAGTATTTATTGGGTGACGAGCTGACTTTCCTGACGTCATTACATAATAATACAGGATTCTGCAACAGTGATTCACTGCTTCAACCCCTCCTCGTACGTGGCTGGATTCATGCGGGAGGTAGCAAATGGGATCAAACACCATGGCACCCACAAAGACTGACTGGTGGTGGATGCGATGGATTTCTTGTATAAAATCAATGAGCATCCTGTCCATACCACCCCTGGGCCCAGACATGACATATCACTGATGACAAGGGTACGGATAAGTACGAAGAAAGGTGGAGAGAGGCGGCGGGGAGTTGAACAAGGGCCGTGGTACAACCTTTGCCAAACGCCTACGTAATTTTAGAAAGGCGAACATCGATTATGAGTGGTAGAATGCCTCAGATGTTCCAAGATTGGGTTCACGCCCTGTGAACAGGGGGCAAAGATGTGGCCTAAAGCTGTGGTAGTGAAACTAGCAGGCATCTTAATTCTAAAGCTGCTAAAAGCGAACAATTCCGGCTGGTCATCAGCGACTAATGATGCCTTCCATGGCCATTCCCAACTTACGTTTGGGGCGGAGGTCCAAATAAGCGAAGCCATGCACTCACTTTTGGTAGCGATCTTCGGGGGCATGACATCGTTTTGTCATGATTTTCTAACATCTGTCACCATGAATATATAACATTTTAAAGAATAAAGATGTAAATATAGTTTACTTCATAGTAAAAGGATGACTGTAGAGCTTACGGCCTCTGATTTTCGAGGCCAAGCAGTACATCACTCACATTAACATATTTGATTAGTCCAGTTTGATGCAATGCCTCGAATCAATATATACTGTCTGTGTAGACTACTAGATGATCATTTACAGTTTTATAACACACATACGTAAGTTATAGTTACTTTCATTATCGCATTAGATTGAAGCCTTCCTTAATTCCTAAGGTGGCTTGCACCGATCTACCCGGTTATCCTCAAAGCTTCTCGGAACGCCATGTGAGCAACAATCCTAGATGGTTAGGCACCAGTTATTGGCGATGCCTCAACCTTGTTGCATCGACTGACCTCATGCTCCGAAGGTGAAGTTGTCACGCTATCATGCCAGTTACGGGAGTATGTTCACAAGAGGTCTTCAACAGGAAGCTGCGATAATGGATACAACAACTCGAATCGATTCCTCACGCCACGGATCTCGTGGATTGTCAAAAGAAGCAAATAAATCTTCATATGATTGCACATAGCGGGCACCCTAGGGCAGGTATCTCTTGCCGACCGCCAATCCCTGCAATACGAATTACGAAACCTTTTTACCGAGACATATCTGAGGCAGGCAAGTCGTCTCCTAGGCCAGGGAGGTAATGAGTCTCTCAAAATAGACATCGTGTGACCGGCGAATGAAGCTCACCCCTACTTACAAAGGGGACCATCCGGCTTCCTAAAACACACCTTAGGGGGACATCTGGGTCACACGTCAGCTCAGACTTCGAATGCCATAGACCGTGAGTGTAGTATTGCATACTTGTACACTACCCCCTGAGGGTTTCATCGCAGACCGGTCGCAATTTATCCATGCTTCCATTCGTAAGACACGGCCGGACTTCCCATCCGACAATACAACCTTCATTTTACCCGACCTCACGTGCACCACTAGTTTCGGAAACAACCGTGCGAGACTTGCAGTATCAATCTCACGAGGTTGCGATTCTGATTGGGAGTATCACCGTCGTGTAATGAGCATAAAACATGACGGCGTATTTGTCTTACATATATTGATTCATCATGGAGTCTGACTCTATCATGTGTATTATTTGATTATGGGAAACTTGATAGAATTATGTAAAAGTGATGGCTTTTAGGGACGCCTCTTTGTGGTCATGAGGCTCGTCGGTTACAATACTGTCCAGCTGAGTCCATGATGCCTTCGATCCAGCCTTGTATGGTTTTGCTGCGTTGCAATAATGATCGTATGTGATGGCAGACTATGTCTTCTTCTCATTATAATCGAATTCTATGTGATAGTTTCAGATATAAAAAACGTTGTATTGTTCATTACTCTTCGCTCAGTGCTTTCCTCATCCCACAATCAAATTCTCAGACCAGTCTACCAAACACAAATCCTCGATCAAACCTACAGCTTTACGCCTTACGAGCAATCTCCGAAGTGAGCTTCTACTGCCAACTTTGAACGACAATTTGACAAGCTAATTAGCTTACTCGGCCGCTCAGCAGACGATAAAATGTCTTGGACACCAGTGTACGCCCAAGGAGAGCCCGGCAGCGGCATTGGAGGATACGATCTCAAGTCAAAAGCTGATCGTGTCTTTGCACTCGACTACAATTCATCTGGTCAACTAGACCATCTCTGCCTTTATCGCCCAGGAACAGGAGCTTTCTTCATCATACGCAATCAGGGCGGAACCTTCTCTCCTGTTTATTCGCAGGGCGATCCCGGCAGCGGCATTGGCGGCTACGATCTCAAACATGTCAACGATGTTGCTTTTGCCTTCGACTACGAGAGCACAGGAAAGCTGGACCATATCGTCCTTTATCGTCCTGGATACGGCGCGATTTACATTCTGAAGCGATCCGGCACCACTTGGACTCCCGTTTATGCGCAGGGTCATTTGGGAAGCGGAATCGGAGGCTATGACCTTAAGAGTGCAAACGATCGCATCTTCGCTTTCGATTACAATCACTCCGGGCGGCAGGATCACCTTGCCCTCTACAGACCGGGAAAAGGTACTTTCTTCATTTTGAAGAGATCTGGTACCACCTGGAGCGCGGTGTACGCGCAGGGTGATCCAGGTAGTGGTATCGGCGGATACGATCTGGGCCAAACGGCTGACAGAGCGTTCGCGCTGGACTACGACAGCTCAGGCAAGCTGGACCACATTGCATTGTACCGACCAGGCACTGGAACATTTTGGATCCTCAAGAACTCGAGTGGTACTTTCTCTCCTGTTTACAGCGAGGGCGATCCCGGCAATGGCATTGGGGGCTATGATCTTGCCAGCGTTAATGATGTCGCTTTCGCTTTTGACTGGAACAAGACTGGGAAGAGCGATCATATTGTTCTCTACAGGCCTGGAACTTCCACTGTGTTTTAAAAGCTTCAAAGCATTTCTATTGATGCTACCTCCTGGAACCCTTCCGTATTATACTAGGTTACTTGTTCTTATCAGTAGCTGCAGATAATTGCAGCGATCTGGCCTTGGGTACCAAGAACTTCTACCAATCTAACTTATTACCTCTCTTTAACTCCGAGGTAGTCTTTATACTAATATCCTCTACAGGTATACGATTAAGAATATCTTAGCTAAAATTCAGAATACCCAGAAGATATTCTACTAAAAGGTTCTTTAGTTTTTTAATCTACTAGGGTAGCTTAAGATTTTTAAAGAATATAGTTTTCTCAGGCTTATTATATAACTAATTAAGCAGAGTAATTAGAATTACTTAAGCTTAATCAGTATACTTAGAGTTACTAATATTAATTCTTAGTATTTTAGTATCTAACTAAGTAATCTTACCCTCTTTAAGAGAAGGAACTGAGATATCTTTCCTTAGTATAATTTCAAAGGCTGTAGATATATCAGTATAGGTACTCTAGCTAACAGGCTTATAGTACTTACTAGGTTAGTTAGTATCTTCGAGCTTAACTTAAGTGCTTGGATTAGTTAATATAGTTAGATCGAAGATAAGAAGCCAGGTAAAAGAGATAGTATTAATAATCATTCGATAAGCTGCTATCCTAACAGTAAGTAAGTTATTCGTATAATAGTTAGAGTTTTCTAGCCGTATAACTCCTTGGGTATACAAGGAAAGGCTATATTTTTAAGCTTTTCGTATTCACTGTATTAAGCTGGTCGGGCCCTGGCAGCTTCATTGTTATTAAAGTTTATCATTCGTATTCTCCCACGCACAGGCCTGGAAAGGGTACTCTCTGGGTCATAGAGCGCTCTGGCACTACCTATAAAGCGGTGTTTGCCGAAGGTGACCCAGGAAATGGTGTTGGTGGCTATGACTTGAGCAGTGTCGAGGATAAGGTGCTCGCTTTTGACTATGAAGGCTCAAAGAAAGCTGACCATTTGGTCCTTTACCGCACCAATGCCACTGGTACAATTTGGCTTCTCAAGCACACCTAGGAGGTTCCTATGGAGATTGAATGTTGCTAACACGACCTCGGGTTCCATCGCTCTATCGCTCTACTTTCCATTTATTTGTTTGTTTTGTTATTTTGGTCTCAATTCTTTCTGTTTTCCCTTTTCCACATTCCTTTGCTTATTAGTACTTGATCAAGTCTAGTTGAACAATATATACTTAAGTATGCAAGCCCTTTCACGGCTCAAGTCGCGAGCAGACTCAGTAAACACCGGGTAATCGCAATCCACTGATATTGGGCAACCAGAGAAGTCTCACCCCTTCGGTTCATCAGTGAACGCTAGCATAAGCATGACTCTCGAAAATCATAATTATAATCAGTATCTTAGCTTATAACATTGAATATTGACGTTCCCTCGTCTTAAAAAAAACATTGTACTATGGCCACCTACAGTGGCAAGCGACTGACATAAAATATGGCACATCTGGGAAGACACTTCAACGTTATTCCAATACAATATCAAACATTTAATCTCATAATAAATACATTACCAAGCTAAGTAGCATAGAATAATTCTTCATTCTCTCCTTATTGTCCTAAGTAAGGAACAAGATCCTTCCTTGCGCGAAAAGAGATCTGGTGTGCCATGTTTTATTTCACCCACTTAAGTGGGAAAGGAAAAGTTTCTCAACAGCAAAGGTTCATTTCAAACTACAGCTATTATCTCTGACAACAAAGCTCTTCAGCCTAACTAAACCCAATTTTTGGCATCGGTCATCTCCTTCTGAGCGTCCAGCAGCGGCGAGTTCTGGTCCAATCCAATCAGATGAACTTTTGGTCGCAATTGTTACAATGCCATGCCTAATCACTGTTGGCTCTTCTGCCCCCGGTTGGCCAAGCCCATAGCACTCGCAACCAAGCATGACTTTCAAGAATACATCACTTGGAGGGAAACATACTCGATCATCTCCGTGTTTGATGCAAATAACCGTAGCCGTAGCAAAACTTTAAGTGATTTGCGGTAATCCAAGCTCTGGTCAATTTATATCCGCGTAAGTTGATAATCATGTATCAGCCTCAACCTCGGAAATGGCCAGAGAAATCATCTTACAGCCCTATAATTGATTCAGCGGATCATTTAGTACATACTTAAATTTGTAGGGTATTCACTGGGACATTGGCTTACGTCAAAAGCGCCCTCAATCAGCTTTACTCCCCGCTCAGTGGAAAGCTTTGAGTAAGACGTAAAGCCTCCCGTCTGCCCAAGCCAAGGAGTAGTGCTGTGGCTGAGAAATCTCACAGCCCGGACGCCTCGCTTCGTGGTTGTAAGAATTATCCCGTCAAAACACTCCAAGTTCACGCATTCTTGGTCATGACTTTCGTATCCCATATGGCAAGGCGGATCATCCACTCGCCAAAACGTAAATCCGCAAACATATTTTGCGTCACCGAGCTGCGTAAAGCTTACCCTAATTTGTGACAGGCGTGTAGGAACGGGGACTTTGTGGAGGAGGTGGATACGGGACACCTCCCGGATATCGAATCCCGGGCGTTGTTTATGGCACCTTGCGATCATGCTAAGACTATGGTCTGCATCCATGGGAGCAGTGCGATCCAGTGAGCCATGCCAACGAAGCTGGAGTGTGCCTAGAATCATTGGGACCAGGTCCCAGATTCTTCGCCTGTTCTTAAGGTGCTTGTCTATGGACGCATATCGGGTCAAGTCATATAACCTTCGCCAGTCGAGACGGTCCTTCTTATCCAGAGCCTCAAAAAGCCATGAACGTTCGTGAAACTGATGGAATCTAGAAGCCCAGAAGGACTGATGATCAAATGAGGATCGGAAAGCCCTCGACACAAGACGGATGTTTGCCACGTCTGTCGTAGGCAAGTATTGGGTAATCAAGCAGCAGATTTCGGTCGGCAGCCTCAAGAAACGGTCCGAAGAGTTAATGTGGCCATTGCCTATGGTAATGATTTCAGTATTCAGTCGCGAAGACTCTCCTGGCACTATTTCGCTCCGCCCCATCGCAGAGTTGGAAAGGAGTTCATCAACCTGTGGACTCCGGAGAGGGTCGAACGTTGAGTACGGTCGTAGCGGATGTTCTGGATCAGGAGAGAGCCGCACCAACCATGGGTCGTACCCGCACTCGTTCTCGACATCGCGCATGCCATGGTCACGTCCCCAGTCGACTGTCTGGTATATTTCAGAGTAAGGTAGTGATGCCAGGACTTCGTAGAGCCGCCGGAGAGGAAACGAGCTAGAATGGACTGTTTTTTCGAGGAACAGTAGACATGAGTCGTGAATGACATACTCACGATCAGAATACATCGAAATGGGGTCTGTCGTCGTGATGGAGGGCTGATCTTGGGCTTGGTTTGTTATACCATGATCGGGGGGCATCATCTGCAAAACGACAGCCCCCGACCTTTCCAATGAAGTTTGACCACAAATCGACATGCGCACTTGATAGAAGGGGTCAGATTAATGGGTTAACTTTAAATGAATCAGTTACGTTTCAAGATGAAATGCATACGTGTAGCAAAGCCATGGTTTTGCGTCGAGATAGGTCCAGGAAGCCAAGAGGGCGCATGAGACCCGCACAATGCGCAGTTCTGCCGTACTGAGTCCCTCTGCATCTTGAGGATATAGATATGTCACGGTGATATCGTAGGCGAAGGTATTCACGTAATGTTGGCTTGAAATTTGCTTATGGAAGCTGGGAAATGAACAGATATTTTCTCAAACATCCATCAAAGCCGAGACATTTAATGGAAGGATTCAGCAAATGAGGAGAAAACAGTACCTACAATAGCACCTACAATAACACTGACAATGCTACTCCTCGGCGTCATATGTCATGATGAGCGGCCATCCGTCATTGAATGCGGGGAAGACCACATCTGGATACATCTAAGCGACCTTTGTGCAAATAGAGTAAAGCCCATTGGCGGAAGTAAGCCAGATGTCACCCACACTCCTCGATCTGGACAGGTGCAGAATTGTTAAGCCACCGTCTTGCTAATCAACTCGGACCAGCTGACCAGCTTGAAGGCCGAGGAGGAATCGGATAATGTGCCAGCTCACTTCCGAAGATGAGCTCGGGATCCCGACGGGTGCGGCTTGGATGGTTCCTATGTTTTCTAAAGTCTTGAAGTTTAAAGGGCCATATCGAACACATTCAGCTTGTCGCTGATACTATAGTATTTGTTGTCGATTTTTTATAAGTGGTTGGAAAAGTCCACACACAAATAACTCACGTTCATCTTTGCATCTGACCATTTATCACGGAACGGAAATGAAGGCATACAGACTAAGCAGACGAGAGGCTATGAAAGGTCACCTATTTGACAATAGAGTTGCATTTCTACAGTTCCATACACAATATACTAAAGGAAGTCAAAGCTTTGCCTTCTGATTTTTCAGACATTCCTCGGACGGGAGGGACTGGAAAAATTTATCCCACGACTCCTTCGATGCAATGGGAGCCGTGAAGTAGTCCTTCATTTCCAAGTTTTCAAACCGCGGCATGACCTCTGCCAGCACTTCGTCATACATGTCCGTCAAGCGATCTTGATCTATGGTGTCAGAGATGCTGCTAGGTGCCACCGCAACGCACAAACTTTCGTAGAGGGTGAGAATGTTTGGTGAGACTCCTTCTTCTTTGGCGGCCTCATACGCCATTCGGTGTCCGATTGATTCGATTAACGGCCTTGAGCGTGGCAATATATGCCGGTTGTAATCAGCACCGCGGTGAGCTTTATATCCCCCAATCTCAGAAAGCTTGGTCTTGGCTTCTGTCATTGCTCGCATTTCACGTCTAGCCAGTAGACTAGAAGGGTTCAACGCCTCAGGAAGACCATATTTCTCTCCGAGGAGCTCTGACGCTAGACCTAGACGACGGCGAGGTTAGTAACAGCACATAGAAAGTTGGTCAAAATATTCTTACGGATGCAAAGCACTAATGTATCACCCTCAGCGATAGCGTTCCCCTGGAAGCTCAGGAACATGTTGCTCATTTGATTGTACGAGAACAGGCCCTGCCAGCCGCATCTCTCTGAAAATTCAGTCAGGATCTTAGACGCTTGGATGACGGTGGTTTTGAAGACAACTCCAATAGCAGATCGAACGAGAAGATGAGCTTTCGGGTTCATGAACTGTTTGATAGCCCAGCGGGCATATGCCTCAAGCACGGTGGCTTGGACGTGCCCATTTACAATAGGGCGATACTGTGTGCTGAAGGACATGATCGGCGTTAAATCTCCAGACTTGGTTGATCCGACCGTTCGCCGCAGGCTATATGCAGCAAGGAGGTGCGTTCCAATCTTGATGCCGGTGATACCCGCCATGGATAGACTGATGCTGCCGATAGGGACGCGCCAAATTGATCGCATGAATGAGGCACGCTCATCATGTGGCTTCTCCGTGGACCCCAGTAAGCACCATGGTGGTAGAATAACTCTATCAAACGTGGTGATGCAATGATCCAAAGGTTTCGTACCTGGCCGCACCGGTAGTATCTTGGAGGTAACGCCTGGTTTCAATCGCCCTGCCTCGCTCAGAGGAACAACAAAAGGCCTGATGCCACGGTCCTCCTGGTCTACAATCAGCCGAGCATATAGGACAGCAGTTCGAGGTATTCCCGACGCCGTGGTATTTGGTGGCATGGATTTCGCTGCACCTGGATGTGGAGTGTGCAGTTCAAAGGAGCCATCAGGCTGCAGAGTGGCTGTGGTCTCCAAATTGCGGGCGTCCAGTCCGTGGTCTAGTTCTGTGAGCATAAACTGTCCGTTTACATCAAATTTGAGCATTTTCTGGACGAGTTTTGCAATCTCTGGAGATTTTCTGGCGAAGGGAATGATGGTGCCGAGGCATAGATTATAATGAATCACGAGAATAGTCAGGCACGTCGAATCTCGCGCCACGAATGCTGTCCCCCCATGTCAGCAATGTGATCGGGGTACTTAAAGTAGCTGAACACGTACGATCCATATGCAGACTCCAGAACTTCGGTGTTAAGTACAAGATATCCTCGGCTGTGATGCCTGATTTTGGGTTAATCTGACGTGTATCAGTGTAACGTGGAATAGGAGATGCTTACCAGATGCACGGCACACTGACCGAGCTCTTTCATAATGAATTGCCGTGTTGCCAAGCGAAGGATAAATTTCCAAGCCCAATTCTTTGTCTGTGGACCAGACATCTTGCTTTAGAAGGTGTTTCGGATAGGCCATTACCGCAAATTAGAGGTGAGGGCCAGATTCTAACCGCAGAAATGGAGGCGAATGGCAACATTTATAGGCAAAACCACTTCTCAACTACTGACCCCTTTGCCACAGTAATACCAATATCTTGAAACCAAGGCAAGATGTTTAAACCAGAAGCTAAGTTGCAGATGTTCGATTTCAGGTAACCCACATATGTCTCGAGCTTAGCAGAGACCTGTCCGAGGGCCCAGATGTTGAGACTGACTAAGGTTATGTTTTTGTGCTATCAAAATCGCTGAGACCAAAAGTCAGCGAGTAGTTCGAAAGTTTTCCAGCGGAGATCAACTCATGTTATGAAATCTCCAAGTATCCCAGAGTGGCAGATGCCTATCTTATATCATTAAAAAAAAAATTCACGGCGGATCTCGTGTAAGCAAGCCACTGAATCATTTTGTCTTGCAACGTGGTCACGCGCAGTAATCGGCGTCATTGACATCACTTGACAGTATTATTGGGCATTACACTCATAAAAAGTTCTTCTACCTTGTATATTACGTGTTGGCGTTCTTAGTTGCGTAAAACTTGTGTGTTATGAGTAGTTTCAAAGCAGCTGAGCAGGGGACATGTGTCTTGGCTATGCTCAAACTAGAGAATTCTAGTAGAAGGGCTTGGTCTCCATGTATTAACATTATTAAAAAGGCATGGTGGTGCATGAATCTTGTATAATATAAGACATTTTTCATTAGATATTCCAATAGTGCCAACTGATAGGCCATCCCCCTGCATATAAACCCAAATCGACGAGGCTGGGCTCACGCCATTAGTTCATGCTGCCAATTTTTCATCACACGCACGCTTTTTCTATTTCTTCAGTCCATTTGAAAGCATAATAATCAATAAATAAAGAAATAGTTCCATAATAAACTGGGGAAAATGCAATATTGGCTTAGATTAATGATCAGCTATCCAAAGCCAGCGAGAGCTGAAAGCCAGCACTACATCAAATTTGTGCATAGAAACAAAAAGCAAAGGCTAACTTGAATCAAAATAACAATCAAATGGCACAAAAATAATCAAAGCTCATCCCACTGTTTAGCAGCATTACTCGCGCACGCCCAGGGCTTCGTCTTCTTCTCACCCGCAATCGCCTCGATCGACCCCCACAATCCCAGAACGCAGAGCATGATACCAGACACAAGCAGGAACGCATTAGCCAGGAAGCGCGATGTTTGGCGCCGGTCGCTGAACCAGTTCCCCTTGTGCATCCACAGCCAGAAAACGCCGGGCAGGCCGTAGGAGAACCAGCTGACGAAGGCGGCAGCGATGAGACCCAGCAGGCTGTTGAAGACAGGGATGGACTCGGCGATGATCATGGACAGAGCCCAGATCACGAAGGTGACACCCCACCAAGACACGGTGGAGAGCTTGGTCCGGCGCTCGAGGTGCTTGGTGTTGCGGAACAGGCGGACGAAGATGTACTTGGCGGCCACATGACCGTAGATGACTCCAGCGATGACCTATGAGATGAGATTGTTAGCATCGACAGGTCCCAGTAGTGCACAGGGGGTTAGGGGTAGTTATTACAATTGTTGGGATAGCCACTCCCCAGATCGCCTTGCGCATGGCTACGGTTCCAGCAGCTGAAAGCGCCGGGGAAGGGACCTTTTCACCAACGTAGAGGTAGATGACAACGGCGGCGATCATGTACAGAGATGTATCAATGAACTGCAGCAGGTACATGGCTTTAGGGAAGTCCTCAGGCTTTTTGAACTCGCTAATGACGCTGAAGAAACACGAGTGGCTTGCTACAAAGGAGTCAGTACACAAACTTCATGGCCCAGAACGGGTATTTTTGGGATAACTGACAGAATGCAATCGCGATGTTGGTGACTCCAAGGAACGCGGTGGGGAAAGGGAGCGATCGAGCGATGGTCCAGCTCCCAGCGATGGAGTGCCCGACCGAGACATCACCGACAGTCATTAAAGTGGCGACAATGATGGACAGGCAAGCTGATGGTGCCATGGTTAGCTCATAAGCGGGCGGCAGGAACCGGAAAGATGAGACAGCTTACAGGCGAGAGACATCCAGCTGGTATACTTGAGGGTCCGCGGGAGGTTGAGGACCCAAAAGACGCCGAGGCCGACCACGGCCCAAACGATGGTGCACGTAGAGCTGTTGGTCAAGGTGTTCATGCAGATGGTAAAGGTCAGAAGGTGGCTGCCCATGACCATGATCTGGAAGAGGACCTGAGCCCAGCCGAAAATCTCCTGGAAGAGGGCACCCATGCCAATGGGCTGCCCGATGACCTCAAGAGCATCTCCAAAGTTCTGAACATGGGGATACTCCTCGCGGAACTCGGCTAGGACGAGACCCGAGTACGTAGAGAGAGCGCTCAGGATGAGGATGAGGATAATGCCGGGAACGAGGCCGACACTGGCCATGACTGAAGGGAGCGAGAGAATACCAAGTGAGACAGTCTCGGCGGCGAGAACAATACCGCCTTGCCTAAAGCGGAAGAATGTGTCAGAAGACCAAAGCCTCGTTGAAGAGGAGGGAGATGGGGTGAACGAAACAAGGCGATGCTTACCACCAGGTCAAAGTCTTGTAATCAATGAGGGCATCCTGGGAGGCCCTCTCGACGTCATCGTGACCCGAAACATCCTTATCGCTGGGAGGATTCATGGCGGCCGGGATACAGTGTCCCTGGTCAGCTTTTTCTTCTATTTGTCGGCCAATCTGGAAGATCGATTGGGTAGTCGTCCACTAGGCTGGCTGCAAATTTCCGAATTATCACCAGAATTGTGGAAGATGAGATGGGTAAAAAAAGATGTGGGAGCGAGGGGAGGAGATTTAGGGACAGAGAAGAGAGTAAGTTCTTTTACCCAATTTTAAAACGAGGGGGGAAGCACTGCGTTCAAGTGGAATGGATCAAGGTGGAATGGGCCAGGCCTCTAACTCGACGCATGCAGAAACTCTAACTTCCTCTCCACGGGGTAGCAACAAGTGATGATAAGAAACTTAAAACTGAAAAACAAAGGGGAATGGAGCATTAATCCCAGATGAGAGTTTCTCCATTGCCCTCCTTGGCGCCTGGCGGGGGTTAAAAACAACATAGCAAGATATTTGTCAACAGGATCATCGAGGCTGAGGAGATGGAGCATTTCCCAAGGATCATGGATGGATTTAGGGTCAACCGGCTCCACAAAGTTGCTGAGCAGCTGCTTCTAGAAGGGCCATGGAGCCTTTCTCCCGGTCTCTAGCTCCAGTTTGACCCAGAAATTTCCACTTTACAAGGGGCGATGAAGTAAAAGTTATCAGATAAATTGCTCGGTTGGAGCATTTTTCTAGTAATGCCATAGATTACACACATTATTATCAAAATACTCACAGCTGTTAATAAAATCCCAACTTGTGTGCCGACCCAGCCCTAGATCCAAGTTTGACGAGCCCCTTGTCGACTTCATTTGCAAGGCTGCAAGCCAATGTTTACACAGTTATCTCTATATATAAGACGAAAAGAATATCCCAACACATGCTAATTGTTTATTCTATCCTCGTGGGGTGCTGGGCCGGATTCAGAGATGCGAGAGAAATTCAACATTCATTGTCTCACCTGTGGTCGCAAACAACTCCAATTGAGACAATGCTGGCTTCAAGCATCCGCGTTCAATTTTTCATCCCTCTAATGATCTAAGCCCAAGAACATCTATTCTTCTTACCATTTCTCAAAAATGAACCGCGAGGATTACACAATGTACCCATTTGACTGTATCATTTTCCCCCTCATTTTTGGGTTTGGGTTATGGTTTACGGTACTTTCTGATCACATGATGTAGTTATTTACAGTTCCAGGTCCAAATAGAACCTAAAAAAGTATGGATCAGTCTATGATTGAAGGCAAACCTATTGTTACTCTCATTTATTTTGTACGTGGCGGGATCTTGAAGAAACCGCTGCCTACATACTCATCCCCCAAAATCGCACTACACCAGAGCTGACGAGCTATTTCTTCCTTCTGAAAATGCACCGGCCAAGTGATGCTGCTGAGTACCTCCCTAGCATTTTCCCACTGTATTGATTCCATGTCTCTGAAATCAATCCATTTGCGGATTAGCTGGGAGAATCGCGCACTTAACTCTTGAAAGAAGCTCTTCCGCGACTGTACATCGGCGTGGGCTATGCTGAGGATCCCGACAAACAATTTCCAAAGCCACAGCGCCTGCTCTTGCTCTCCTCTTTTGTCAAGTTCTGCTAATTCAGCCTGCAGATCCCTCTCAAGAATAAGAAGGCCACGTGAGTGAAGTGGCGTCTCAGGAGGTGAGCCCGAATTCCAGATTCCCAGCACAGAGGTAAGGTACATTCCCTCAGCGACATTAAATCCCGACCACGAAGATAGCAACGAATCATTCCCATGGGTAGAGGGGTCGGTATTGTGTGAAATTGACCTGGCGTGCGCATCGATGGATGCAACAAACATTTTAGAAGGCGCGCCGCTATGCCATAGATTATACAGAGAATCAATGACACCCTCTCGTGAAGGCCGTTCAAATCGCATATCGTACGCTTTTGTGACATCTCGGAGAGAATCAAGCATAGTGCTGACGTCAATATGGCGGAATGGCTTCTTCACAGCCTCGAGGGGTAGGAAGAAGAATGGAAATAGCGATACCCCCTTCAGTCTTGATAGGCGCTCTTCTTCATCCGTGTGGGCATTATAAATCATGTCCCTAAGTTTTTTCTTGTCTATTGATCGCTGAGGATCGCTTGATTTGGGTATCACTTTCATGAAGTCATTTACTTGACTCTTCAGACCGTGCATAATGTTGAAGGCTCTAAACAGGATGTGAGTTTGTACAATTGAACTCTTCGGACTCAATTAGATGTTTGTGCTTACAAAATAAAGTATCTGTTCAAGAGTTCTCCTTCAATGCTTTCGGCGAGATCAAACCCGGGTTTGGCAGCCGCAAAATGATCCATATATGCCAGGAGACCTGCTAAATGTGCATCGGCAACTGGGAAATTCTTAACGCAACACTATCAAACAAGTGTAAGTGCGAATCCGGTCCATCACAAAGTAAGGATAAAGTGGCTTACCTCGGTGATACATAATGTAGCAATTAGTTGACAACACTTGAAAAACGTGGCTGTATCCGGTGTTCTCTTCAGCCATCCGTTTACTTGATGTACACCATGAAGCTTGTGGGAAAGGAAGGCGCTTTTGAATGATCGAAGCTCCCCAGTGTTCCAAACATGATGAACTCCAGCAACGATGAGCGTGTTTCGAAGCGCCACTGGTGTCTTGACCGCCGAACCAACACTAGTAGGGACTGAATATTAGTTGAATATTCTTGTGCCTTGTAACAATCAGACTTATTACCAAGCATTGATCTGGTGTGGTGATAACCCACTAAAAGTCCCAATAGCTTGGTGATCTATCATGAATCGTTAGGAGAGAATTTTGTGTGTATACAGAGCGAGGACTAATTTGGGATCTGAACTTACAATAGTGAAGCAATTCTTTGGAATTGAAAGGCATCTTGATCGGGAGAACGTTGAACGGATCTACAGCGTCTGGTCGAGGCAATCTCCATCGACGTATCATCGTTTCCTTTTCTGTTGGTTGTTTTCTTCTTCTGCTAGTTGACGCTTTCGACTCTTTTTTTGCCGAAGGGAATATTTGATGTGGGTGGGAGACTGGGAGAGCCCAAGGAGTTTGCTCTCCAGGCAATGCTTGTGCTCTAACCTCACGAAGCGGAAGCCTAGCCGGGCTGTATGAGCATGTTTTCTTTTTGGTTATGCAAGTAGTACTATATCAATACAATATTGTCAGCCATCAAATTGAGAATTATCCCGCGAGCAAACCCGGCTAAACGACGAGGTTGCCAGGGTTCGGGGACCTTCTTAGGCGCCAGAACCTCCCGGACACAGAAGACTTACCAATCAGGCTTCTTCTCATCGCAGCGAATCCGACCCTTCCTACAGTTTATACAGCCAGATCGGCTTCTTGAAGCAATGGCTCGGTCCATCTTCCCCAATGGGGCGCTGTAAATGACCCTTCACCAATTGGTCCAGTTGGGCATTTAGCGCATACATTGACTTCCTGTGAGTGATCTCGCACCTCACTGGACGCCTGACCAACTTCAAGAAGCCTATGACCATAAGTTTGCTGGTGGTTTAACGGAGCTTTGGGTAAATTTCAGCACCATGCAACGTTCGAATCCTCCCCTAGGTCTCGTGACTTTCAGCGTGATAACTCCGGCAACCAGCCATTGCTCCAATGTCAGCCAACCCCTCGTTCTTACGAGCTTCCATATGAGGTTAGCGGTCTTTAACGAGAGCCAAGAAATCTACAACACAGGCAAGCTCCTACTATGTGTTTTAGCCTAACCTATAGCCACCTGTACGATAACACTTATTCCAATAAAGGCAGTCGATTGACTAACCTATTCACAGTAACAGCTCCATAATACTAATCTTGTTTTTTATTATAAATATATTGGGAAAATAAAAGTCGCTCATACTCTTCCCAAATACTAGGCGTTTTTATCAAGGGAAGCTACGGGGAAGAGAGGAAAGTCATCGTGTGCTAGCCTCAGCCATTTACAAGATAGGTGCTTTTAACATTGATTCCTATCAATTCGAGGTAAAATAGATTAAATGTTTCCGTTCATTTGGTCCGGGACATATTCCCGTGTTTCTAGCTAATACGTTGCATCGAGGAGTAAAACGCAACATTATGAACATCTACGTGACGTAAGCGGCATGGATAACCGGCCGATGACGTTGCTAATTCGTGTCTTTTTATCTTCTCCATTGGATTTATAGCTGTCTGGCAGCCTCTGGACGTGAAGGCTAACAACAACTTTCTCATCTAAAATCATTCAAAATGGGTGGAGGAGTAGTGCTCCCGGGGTTCCCTCAGCCAAACCCCACGACTTCTTACTGGCAACTCCCACCTCACCCCATTGCCAATCATCGCACCACGCAATCGCTCCCGAGTTCCACGGCATTTGACTACATCATCATAGGCTCTGGAATATCTGGTGCCGCGGTGGCATTCAAGCTCCTGTCTCGGGATCCGTCCCTCAAAGTATTGATGCTGGAAGCTCGTACCGCTGCTTCAGGTGCCTCTGGCCGTAATGGTGGCCACTGCCGTGCCGGCTTCTGGCTCAACCAGAGAAAATACACCGAGTCTTTTGGGGAAGACGAAGCCCTCAAGTTTCTGAAGCTTGAGGAGCAAAATGGATTGGATATTGCTGATTTTGTTCGCACGCACAACGTCGACTGCGATTTTCGAGAAGTAGAAACAGCGGACGCCTACCTTTCCAATGAAGAATGGAACGATGCGCTCCGAACCATACGAGCTAGAGAAGATCTGCGAAAGCGAAGACCAGATGCCGCCACCCTTTCTGAAAGGACTGTGTTGAGCGGCCAAGAAGCAAGGGACCATTTGGGGATGCCATCAATAGTTGGCGCAGTCACATGGCGAGCATACACACAAAATCCTTACATGCTTGTGTGCAAAATGCTAGAACTTACCCTTGAAAAGGGGCTCAACTTGCAGACTACGACACCAGCACTGGAGATAGTCCAGATAACGAGGCAAGGGACTGCCAGCCGATGGGAAGTCAAAACAGACAGAGGCAATGTGCATGCAAGCCATGTCATCCTAGCAACAAACGCCTATTCAAACGCGCTGCTTCCTGGGCTGAGAGAGACGGGCTTCTTGACCCCTGCTAGGAGTCAGGTGGCAGCTGTAAGACCTGGGAAGAATATGACCGGTAGCCCAGCGCTTCGCGGAAGCGCGGGCCTCAATGATTTGAATGGTACCGGCGACTATTACATGACGCGGCTGCCTGGCCTCAAGGGTGAGGGTGACATCTTGTGGGGAGGCGGGCGCTTTATCTCGAAGGAATATGGAATAACGGATGACTCTCAAATCAATCCTGAGATCGCAACCTACCTCCATCACGCTCCAGCCAAATTCTTTGGAAAGGATGTGTGGGGAGAGGAGGGCGACGTGGTTAGAGATTGGACTGGCATTACATGCTACACTCCTGATACGTTTCCCCTTGTGGGCGAGATGCCAGGTCAGGCGGGACTTTGGATGTCCGTGGGGATGAATGGGCATGGTAGTAAGTGATGATCCTAACACTTGTTCCTGACTGTTGTTTTGTTATCAACGTCAAGTGTACGGACTGACCTTCTCACAGTGGGCATGGCTTTCCGAAGCGCTGAGGCTCTTGTTGAATTAGTAACCACTGGGGAGGAGCCTGAGTGGTACCCAAAGTCATTTAGACCTGGCAGAGCATGGGGAAAATAAGAAAAGTACTGTCCTGCAAACAGATGAGAGTAACTTGATCGGATGTCTCACGGAGATAAATTGGGAGACGGTGCTGAGTGCTGGAATCTTGACATGGATCAACTTGAAAACCTCTAGGATTTCCACCTTCACTATTCTTCACGAGCTTGCAATCAATTGAAAACCTAGTGAACATCCATAGCACGATCCAAAGAATCTAGCATCTCAGACATTGCTTGTTGAATGCTACTCATTATTTCTTCCTGTTAAGTTGCTCACCAATCTTGCTCAGAATGGCAGCCAGGTCCTCGCCATAAGTATCACCATCTTTCAGTATAACCTCCCGCGCGTTCTCGTCCCGCGGCTCAAAGGAAGCTTTATACGGCAAAGCCCTCATCACCAGGCCGTCGGTGCAACCATCAGCATCAACAACTGTCAATTCCCCATCCTCTGATCGTCCAGCCGTGATATCGAATGCCCAGAGAATGCGAGCCATGGAGACCCATATCATATTTCGAGCGAAGAATCTTCCAGGGCAAGTCCTTCTACCGTACCCAAATCCAGCCACTGGCAGAATCTTTAGCTTATCACCGTCCATCCAGCGCTCGGGGAGAAATGAGTCGGTGTCAGGACCAAAGACGGCCTCCTCGCGCGTGACAGCCCAGTGGTTGGCGACCACGACGGAGTTTGCGGGAATCCTGTAACCCTGATATTCGCTTTCGGCCTTTGTGAAGTGAGGAACGCCGCCTGCTCCCACTGCCCTCCAACGAAGAACTTCCTCCAACAAGGCACTAATGTAGGGCAGATGAGGCATATCATCCAGGGTTGGCAGCCGGTTACGGCCCACCACCCTGTCGAGTTCTTGCTTAGCCTTTGCTACGAAACCGTTCTCTTGTGTGATAATGGCAATGATGAACCAGTTCAGCGTTTCCACAGTCCCGTCCAGCGAAGCATCAACCAAGGTGCCGAATTCAAAGGCAAGCTCATCGAACGATATAGGTAATTTCTCTTCCTGCACAGTCTGATGAAGCTGCTTGGTGAAAGTCCATCCAGACGCCTTGAGGCCTCGGTTGAGATTACCGATGTGGAGTTTGCGCTGACGTTGGTGATGAGCTTCCGCCTTAGCTTTCCATGGGGCAAGAGGACCAGGTAGAATATTGAGCGCAGGGAAGGTGTCTACCAGAAACGCGCCAAGCTGGACAAACTCGGAAAATTCGTCGTCGAGCTGCATGGCGTTGACCAGCTCCGGTGCTTCTGCGTCCTTGATGCGGAACCCATAGAACAAAGCGAATATGGTGCTGGCAGTGGTCCTCTCGAGGAAGCCGTGAATATTTGTCCCCTTTCCACCTGCATTCATGAGTAGATCGTACATCAATTGCTTTGACTCAATAGACTGGAATTCGAGGTACTTGGATGATGCGTTCTGGCCCAGGACTGTCGCTTCCAATCTCTGGCGCACCTTAAAACGCTCATCGTAGTCCATTAAGAGTACATTCATATTCTTGAGCGCGAGCTCCTGAGCTACCTGTAAAATGCAAAAATTAACTCATTAGAGGTGAACAGTATCAGGTGAGTGATAGTAGCATGATAACTCACAAACATCTTTGGTCTGTCAGAGAATGTAGCTCCCCTCTTGGCCAAAAGATCGTGAGCTGTCTGAGAGGTGGTGAGGACAATGACATGCTGTCCAAACACATTGAGATGATAGATGGGCCCGTATTGCTTTCTCCATTCCGCAAACTGTCTCCAGGCAAAGGCTTTTGGCACTTGGTGGACATTTCCAATTACTGGCAGCGCGGGAGGCCCAGGAGGCAACGGTAGCGATGGTTTTGCGACAAGCCACCTGACGAAGTAAATTGTGATCAAGCCGAGAGCTCCGGCAGCCACAATAGACGCAGTCAAAGCCATGGCGGCAACGAGATGGCAATGCGCTTGGACGATTGAGAGCGGTGAGCAGTGGTCAGGATTTGGAGGGAATAGGTTCTCAAAATATAGAATCTCAGCGAAGAATTCGCACTACAGTCATTGGTGCCAAGCTCTACTATATGATGACACACGTGTCTTATTTGTTTGCTTGTGCATAAGCGATGGCATTTTTTTAACCCCATGCGGTAAAAGTAAGCACGTCTTTGGCTCCTTCCAAAGACTGGACTCTCCAATTGGCCCTTTGCAGTCGTACTGCGTATCACCCGTCCGGGCTCAGGACATGATCTTAATTGCCCGGACCTGGCAAGCCGGTTATAAGCTCACTCCCCGCACAACCCACGTCATAGATTGTCGAGCTTGGCGTCTCTTGTAGCCAATAGCAAGTAGAGCATTATCAGCAGCTTACTTCTACGGTTATGGTCGAAATCCCGGGACGTTGGTTCCATTGGTTTCACATTGAAAGTCCTCAAATATTATGGCATTCGCGCCATCGAGTCTGGGCTGATGAACATATGGGCCATCGATACACAAACGTCCTACTGCGAGAGGTACAGAAAAGGTATTGCAACCATCCTGCGACGCTGGCAGATGGCTTGGACATCCAAAGCCGGGTGAGCTTAAAGTACAATAAGGTGGTGTCAAGTTGTTAAGTTATTGGTGTTGGGAATTTCCCTTTGTTCTTCAACAGCTGTATAGCTCTCTCACTTACTTACTAAAGTCACAAGAAACGGGATTCATTAACGATCTAGCCTATCATTGTGCCCAGTGAGGTGGCTGTTTTCTTATTGGTTCCTCCGT